TGACTTGTTTGAATGGGATCACGGAATAGCTCTGCATGCACTGCAGGGGAATGGGGCCTCATCTCGCCTCTAGAGGGAAGTCTCATGGTTTTTCTCGAGTTGCGGCGGGGACCTGGGGTATGTTCTCGACTTACGGCGGGGATGGCCCTTCAAAACACGAGTTTCTTCAGTGACGTCAGGACTCCTGTCTAGTAACGAGGGACACCTCAGGAATCTCTTCGAGGCTTGGCAGGGCCAAAGGGACGCTTCTCGAGGTGAGGCAGGGCACCCAAGGACCCTTTCCAGTAGCCACAGGGATTTTGGGATTCCTATCAGTATTCAAGAGGAGTCAGGCATCTTCACCTTTTGAAGCAATGAACTCCGCGTGCCTCTCCAGGTGTCAGCGGGATGTGAGGCATTCCGTCAAAATGAGGCAGGGACCTAGGGCTTTCTCTAAGGTCTCCACAGGGGATTCAGACATCCCTTCATGTTGTGAGATGAAAGACGAGCCTGTATTCAAGCCACTGCAAGGAAATCCGGCCTCCTTTCAAGTTAGGGCTTCTCGCTGTATATTCCCCTTGAGGCAGCAAACTCGGGGTCCCTCCCACATACCTACTGCTGAGAGAAGCCTCCTCCTGAGGTGCTTCTGGGAAGTTGGCATACGTCTTGAGCCTAAGCCAGGGAATCAGCTCGCATCTCGAGACGATTTGGGGTACACGGAGCATTCCTCGAGTTGCTGTGCTGAAGTTGGTGTTCCTCTAGACTTGGGACAGTGTTCTCGGGGCATCTCTGGAGTTGCCTGAAGGAAGTCGAGCCACCGGTCGTGTTGAATGGGGAACGGGGAATGGCTCTGGAGTCAATGCAGGGGAATCGGGCCTCATCTCGAGTTGATTTGGGGCACATGGAGCTGCTTTGCGTTGCTGGGGTGACCTCAGGGTCCGTCTAGTCTGGTGACAGTGTTCTTGGGGACTGTCTCGAGATCCATTAAGCAAGTCGAAGCTCCTGACTTGTTTGAATGGGATCACGGAATAGCTCTGCATGCACTGCAGGGGAATGGGGCCTCATCTCGCCTCTAGGGGGAAGTCTCATGGTTTTTCTCGAGTTGCGGCGGGGACCTGGGGTATGTTTTCGACTTACGGCGGGGATGGCCCTTCAAAACACGAGTTTCTTCAGTGACGTCAGGACTCCTGTCTAGTAACGAGGGACACCTCAGGAATCTCTTCGAGGCTTGGCAGGGCCAAAGGGACGCTTCTCGAGGTGAGGCAGGGCACCCAAGGACCCTTTCCAGTAGACACAGGGATTTTGGGATTCCTATCAGTATTCAAGAGGAGTCAGGCATCGTCACCTTTTGAAGCAATGAACTCCGCGTGCCTCTCGAGGTGTCAGCGGGATGTGAGGCATTCCGTCAAAATGAGGCAGGGACCTAGGGCTTTCTCTAAGGTCTCCACAGGGGATTCAGACATCCCTTCATGTTGTGAGATGAAAGACGAGCCTGTATTCAAGCCACTGCAAGGAAATCCGGCCTCCTTTCAAGTTAGGGCTTCTCGCTGTATATTCCCCTTGAGGCAGCAAACTCGGGGTCCCTCCCACATACCTACTGCTGAGAGAAGCCTCCTCCTGAGGTGCTTCTGGGAAGTTGGCATACGTCTTGAGCCTAAGCCAGGGAATCAGCTCGCATCTCGAGACGATTTGGGGTACACGGAGCATTCCTCGAGTTGCTGTGCTGAAGTTGGTGTTCCTCTAGACTTGGGACAGTGTTCTCGGGGCATCTCTGGAGTTGCCTGAAGGAAGTCGAGCCACCGGTCGTGTTGAATGGGGAACGGGGAATGGCTCTGGAGTCAATGCAGGGGAATCGGGCCTCATCTCGAGTTGATTTGGGGCACATGGAGCTGCTTTGCGTTGCTGAGGTGACCTCAGGGTCCGTCTAGACTGGTGACAGTGTTCTTGGGGACTGTCTCGAGATCCATTAAGCAAGTCGAAGCTCCTGACTTGTTTGAATGGGGTCACGGAATAGCTCTGCATGCACTGCAGGGGAATGGGGCCTCATCTCGCCTCTAGGGGGAAGTCTCATGGTTTTTCTCGAGTTGCGGCGGGGACCTGGGGTATGTTCTCGACTTACGGCGGGGATGGCCCTTCAAAACACGAGTTTCTTCAGTGACGTCAGGACTCCTGTCTAGTAACGAGGGACACCTCAGGAATCTCTTCTAGGCTTGGCAGGGCAAAAGGGACGCTTCTCGAGGTGAGGCAGGGCACCCAAGGACCCTTTCCAGTAGCCACAGGGATTTTGGGATTCCTATCAGTATTCAAGAGGAGTCAGGCATCGTCACCTTTTGAAGCAATGAACTCCGCGTGCCTCTCGAGGTGTCAGCGGGATGTGAGGCATTCCGTCAAAATGAGGCAGGGACCTAGGGCTTTCTCTAAGGTCTCCACAGGGGATTCAGACATCCCTTCATGTTGTGAGATGAAAGACGAGCCTGTATTCAAGCCACTGCAAGGAAATCCGGCCTCCTTTCAAGTTAGGGCTTCTCGCTGTATATTCCCCTTGAGGCAGCAAACTCGGGGTCCCTCCCACATACCTATTGCTGAGAGAAGCCTCCTCCTGAGGTGCTTCTGGGAAGTTGGCATACGTCTTGAGCCTAAGCCAGGGAATCAGCTCGCATCTCGAGACGATTTGGGGTACACGGAGCATTCCTCGAGTTGCTGTGCTGAAGTTGGTGTTCCTCTAGACTTGGGACAGTGTTCTCGGGGCATCTCTGGAGTTGCCTGAAGGAAGTCGAGCCACCGGTCGTGTTGAATGGGGAACGGGGAATGGCTCTGGAGTCAATGCAGGGGAATCGGGCCTCATCTCGAGTTGATTTGGGGCACATGGAGCTGCTTTGCGTTGCTGGGGTGACCTCAGGGTCCGTCTAGACTGGTGACAGTGTTCTTGGGGACTGTCTCGAGATCCATTAAGCAAGTCGAAGCTCCTGACTTGTTTGAATGGGATCACGGAATAGCTCTGCATGCACTGCAGGGGAATGGGGCCTCATCTCGCCTCTAGAGGGAAGTCTCATGGTTTTTCTCGAGTTGCGGCGGGGACCTGGGGTATGTTCTCGACTTACGGCGGGGATGGCCCTTCAAAACACGAGTTTCTTCAGTGACGTCAGGACTCCTGTCTAGTAACGAGGGACACCTCAGGAATCTCTTCGAGGCTTGGCAGGGCCAAAGGGACGCTTCTCGAGGTGAGGCAGGGCACCCAAGGACCCTTTCCAGTAGCCACAGGGATTTTGGGATTCCTATCAGTATTCAAGAGGAGTCAGGCATCTTCACCTTTTGAAGCAATGAACTCCGCGTGCCTCTCCAGGTGTCAGCGGGATGTGAGGCATTCCGTCAAAATGAGGCAGGGACCTAGGGCTTTCTCTAAGGTCTCCACAGGGGATTCAGACATCCCTTCATGTTGTGAGATGAAAGACGAGCCTGTATTCAAGCCACTGCAAGGAAATCCGGCCTCCTTTCAAGTTAGGGCTTCTCGCTGTATATTCCCCTTGAGGCAGCAAACTCGGGGTCCCTCCCACATACCTACTGCTGAGAGAAGCCTCCTCCTGAGGTGCTTCTGGGAAGTTGGCATACGTCTTGAGCCTAAGCCAGGGAATCAGCTCGCATCTCGAGACGATTTGGGGTACACGGAGCATTCCTCGAGTTGCTGTGCTGAAGTTGGTGTTCCTCTAGACTTGGGACAGTGTTCTCGGGGCATCTCTGGAGTTGCCTGAAGGAAGTCGAGCCACCGGTCGTGTTGAATGGGGAACGGGGAATGGCTCTGGAGTCAATGCAGGGGAATCGGGCCTCATCTCGAGTTGATTTGGGGCACATGGAGCTGCTTTGCGTTGCTGGGGTGACCTCAGGGTCCGTCTAGTCTGGTGACAGTGTTCTTGGGGACTGTCTCGAGATCCATTAAGCAAGTCGAAGCTCCTGACTTGTTTGAATGGGATCACGGAATAGCTCTGCATGCACTGCAGGGGAATGGGGCCTCATCTCGCCTCTAGGGGGAAGTCTCATGGTTTTTCTCGAGTTGCGGCGGGGACCTGGGGTATGTTTTCGACTTACGGCGGGGATGGCCCTTCAAAACACGAGTTTCTTCAGTGACGTCAGGACTCCTGTCTAGTAACGAGGGACACCTCAGGAATCTCTTCGAGGCTTGGCAGGGCCAAAGGGACGCTTCTCGAGGTGAGGCAGGGCACCCAAGGACCCTTTCCAGTAGACACAGGGATTTTGGGATTCCTATCAGTATTCAAGAGGAGTCAGGCATCGTCACCTTTTGAAGCAATGAACTCCGCGTGCCTCTCGAGGTGTCAGCGGGATGTGAGGCATTCCGTCAAAATGAGGCAGGGACCTAGGGCTTTCTCTAAGGTCTCCACAGGGGATTCAGACATCCCTTCATGTTGTGAGATGAAAGACGAGCCTGTATTCAAGCCACTGCAAGGAAATCCGGCCTCCTTTCAAGTTAGGGCTTCTCGCTGTATATTCCCCTTGAGGCAGCAAACTCGGGGTCCCTCCCACATACCTACTGCTGAGAGAAGCCTCCTCCTGAGGTGCTTCTGGGAAGTTGGCATACGTCTTGAGCCTAAGCCAGGGAATCAGCTCGCATCTCGAGACGATTTGGGGTACACGGAGCATTCCTCGAGTTGCTGTGCTGAAGTTGGTGTTCCTCTAGACTTGGGACAGTGTTCTCGGGGCATCTCTGGAGTTGCCTGAAGGAAGTCGAGCCACCGGTCGTGTTGAATGGGGAACGGGGAATGGCTCTGGAGTCAATGCAGGGGAATCGGGCCTCATCTCGAGTTGATTTGGGGCACATGGAGCTGCTTTGCGTTGCTGGGGTGACCTCAGGGTCCGTCTAGACTGGTGACAGTGTTCTTGGGGACTGTCTCGAGATCCATTAAGCAAGTCGAAGCTCCTGACTTGTTTGAATGGGGTCACGGAATAGCTCTGCATGCACTGCAGGGGAATGGGGCCTCATCTCGCCTCTAGGGGGAAGTCTCATGGTTTTTCTCGAGTTGCGGCGGGGACCTGGGGTATGTTCTCGACTTACGGCGGGGATGGCCCTTCAAAACACGAGTTTCTTCAGTGACGTCAGGACTCCTGTCTAGTAACGAGGGACACCTCAGGAATCTCTTCTAGGCTTGGCAGGGCAAAAGGGACGCTTCTCGAGGTGAGGCAGGGCACCCAAGGACCCTTTCCAGTAGCCACAGGGATTTTGGGATTCCTATCAGTATTCAAGAGGAATCAGGCATCGTCACCTTTTGAAGCAATGAACTCCGCGTGCCTCTCGAGGTGTCAGCGGGATGTGAGGCATTCCGTCAAAATGAGGCAGGGACCTAGGGCTTTCTCTAAGGTCTCCACAGGGGATTCAGACATCCCTTCATGTTGTGAGATGAAAGACGAGCCTGTATTCAAGCCACTGCAAGGAAATCCGGCCTCCTTTCAAGTTAGGGCTTCTCGCTGTATATTCCCCTTGAGGCAGCAAACTCGGGGTCCCTCCCACATACCTATTGCTGAGAGAAGCCTCCTCCTGAGGTGCTTCTGGGAAGTTGGCATACGTCTTGAGCCTAAGCCAGGGAATCAGCTCGCATCTCGAGACGATTTGGGGTACACGGAGCATTCCTCGAGTTGCTGTGCTGAAGTTGGTGTTCCTCTAGACTTGGGACAGTGTTCTCGGGGCATCTCTGGAGTTGCCTGAAGGAAGTCGAGCCACCGGTCGTGTTGAATGGGGAACGGGGAATGGCTCTGGAGTCAATGCAGGGGAATCGGGCCTCATCTCGAGTTGATTTGGGGCACATGGAGCTGCTTTGCGTTGCTGGGGTGACCTCAGGGTCCGTCTAGACTGGTGACAGTGTTCTTGGGGACTGTCTCGAGATCCATTAAGCAAGTCGAAGCTCCTGACTTGTTTGAATGGGATCACGGAATAGCTCTGCATGCACTGCAGGGGAATGGGGCCTCATCTCGCCTCTAGGGGGAAGTCTCATGGTTTTTCTCGAGTTGCGGCGGGGACCTGGGGTATGTTCTCGACTTACGGCGGGGATGGCCCTTCAAAACACGAGTTTCTTCAGTGACGTCAGGACTCCTGTCTAGTAACGAGGGACACCTCAGGAATCTCTTCGAGGCTTGGCAGGGCCAAAGGGACGCTTCTCGAGGTGAGGCAGGGCACCCAAGGACCCTTTCCAGTAGCCACAGGGATTTTGGGATTCCTATCAGTATTCAAGAGGAGTCAGGCATCGTCACCTTTTGAAGCAATGAACTCCGCGTGCCTCTCGAGGTGTCAGCGGGATGTGAGGCATTCCGTCAAAATGAGGCAGGGACCTAGGGCTTTCTCTAAGGTCTCCACAGGGGATTCAGACATCCCTTCATGTTGTGAGATGAAAGACGAGCCTGTATTCAAGCCACTGCAAGGAAATCCGGCCTCCTTTCAAGTTAGGGCTTCTCGCTGTATATTCCCCTTGAGGCAGCAAACTCGGGGTCCCTCCCACATACCTACTGCTGAGAGAAGCCTCCTCCTGAGGTGCTTCTGGGAAGTTGGCATACGTCTTGAGCCTAAGCCAGGGAATCAGCTCGCATCTCGAGACGATTTGGGGTACACGGAGCATTCCTCGAGTTGCTGTGCTGAAGTTGGTGTTCCTCTAGACTTGGGACAGTGTTCTCGGGGCATCTCTGGAGTTGCCTGAAGGAAGTCGAGCCACCGGTCGTGTTGAATGGGGAACGGGGAATGGCTCTGGAGTCAATGCAGGGGAATCGGGCCTCATCTCGAGTTGATTTGGGGCACATGGAGCTGCTTTGCGTTGCTGGGGTGACCTCAGGGTCCGTCTAGACTGGTGATAGTGTTCTTGGGGACTGTCTCGAGATCCATTAAGCAAGTCGAAGCTCCTGACTTGTTTGAATGGGGTCACGGAATAGCTCTGCATGCACTGCAGGGGAATGGGGCCTCATCTCGCCTCTAGGGGGAAGTCTCATGGTTTTTCTCGAGTTGCGGCGGGGACCTGGGGTATGTTCTCGACTTACGGCGGGGATGGCCCTTCAAAACACGAGTTTCTTCAGTGACGTCAGGACTCCTGTCTAGTAACGAGGGACACCTCAGGAATCTCTTCTTGGCTTGGCAGGGAAAAAGGGACGCTTCTCGAGGTGAAGCAGGGCACCCAAGGACCCTTTCCAGTAGCCACAGGGATTTTGGGATTCCTATCAGTATTCAAGAGGAGTCAGGCATCGTCACCTTTTGAAGCAATGAACTCCGCGTGCCTCTCGAGGTTTCAGCGGGATGTGAGGCATTCCGTCAAAATGAGGCAGGGACCTAGGGCTTTCTCTAAGGTCTCCACAGGGGATTCAGACATCCCTTCATGTTGTGAGATGAAAGACGAGCCTGTATTCAAGCCACTGCAAGGAAATCCGGCCTCCTTTCAAGTTAGGGCTTCTCGCTGTATATTCCCCTTGAGGCAGCAAACTCGGGGTCCCTCCCACATACCTATTGCTGAGAGAAGCCTCCTCCTGAGGTGCTTCTGGGAAGTTGGCATACGTCTTGAGCCTAAGCCAGGGAATCAGCTCGCATCTCGAGACGATTTGGGGTACACGGAGCATTCCTCGAGTTGCTGTGCTGAAGTTGGTGTTCCTCTAGACTTGGGACAGTGTTCTCGGGGCATCTCTGGAGTTGCCTGAAGGAAGTCGAGCCACCGGTCGTGTTGAATGGGGAACGGGGAATGGCTATGGAGTCAAGGCAGGGGAATCGGGCCTCATCTCGAGTTGATTTGGGGCACATGGAGCTGCTTTGCGTTGCTGGGGTGACCTCAGGGTCCGTCTAGACTGGTGACAGTGTTCTTGGGGACTGTCTCGAGATCCATTAAGCAAGTCGAAGCTCCTGACTTGTTTGAATGGGATCACGGAATAGCTCTGCATGCACTGCAGGGGAATGGGGCCTCATCTCGCCTCTAGGGGGAAGTCTCATGGTTTTTCTCGAGTTGCGGCGGGGACCTGGGGTATGTTCTCGACTTACGGCGGGGATGGCCCTTCAAAACACGAGTTTCTTCAGTGACGTCAGGACTCCTGTCTAGTAAAGAGGGACACCTCAGGAATCTCTTCGAGGCTTGGCAGGGCCAAAGGGACGCTTCTCGAGGTGAGGCAGGGCACCCAAGGACCCTTTCCAGTAGCCACAGGGATTTTGGGATTCCTATCAGTATTCAAGAGGAGTCAGGCATCGTCACCTTTTGAAGCAATGAACTCCGCGTGCCTCTCCAGGTGTCAGCGGGATGTGAGGCATTCCGTCAAAATGAGGCAGGGACCTAGGGCTTTCTCTAAGGTCTCCACAGGGGATTCAGACATCCCTTCATGTTGTGAGATGAAAGACGAGCCTGTATTCAAGCCACTGCAAGGAAATCCGGCCTCCTTTCAAGTTAGGGCTTCTCGCTGTATATTCCCCTTGAGGCAGCAAGCTCGGGGTCCCTCCCACATACCTATTGCTGAGAGAAGCCTCCTCCTGAGGTGCTTCTGGGAAGTTGGCATACGTCTTGAGCCTAAGCCAGGGAATCAGCTCGCATCTCGAGACGATTTGGGGTACACGGAGCATTCCTCGAGTTGCTGTGCTGAAGTTGGTGTTCCTCTAGACTTGGGACAGTGTTCTCGGGGCATCTCTGGAGTTGCCTGAAGGAAGTCGAGCCACCGGTCGTGTTGAATGGGGAACGGGGAATGGCTCTGGAGTCAATGCAGGGGAATCGGGCCTCATCTCGAGTTGATTTGGGGCACATGGAGCTGCTTTGCGTTGCTGGGGTGACCTCAGGGTCCGTCTAGTCTGGTGACAGTGTTCTTGGGGACTGTCTCGAGATCCATTAAGCAAGTCGAAGCTCCTGACTTGTTTGAATGGGATCACGGAATAGCTCTGCATGCACTGCAGGGGAATGGGGCCTCATCTCGCCTCTAGGGGGAAGTCTCATGGTTTTTCTCGAGTTGCGGTGGGGACCTGGGCTATGTTCTCGACTTACGGCGGGGATGGCCCTTCAAAACACGAGTTTCTTCAGTGACGTCAGGACTCCTGTCTAGTAACGAGGGACACCTCAGGAATCTCTTCGAGGCTTGGCAGGGCCAAAGGGACGCTTCTCGAGGTGAGGCAGGGCACCCAAGGACCCTTTCCAGTAGCCACAGGGATTTTGGGATTCCTATCAGTATTCAAGAGGAGTCAGGCATCGTCACCTTTTGAAGCAATGAACTCCGCGTGCCTCTCGAGGTGTCAGCGGGATGTGAGGCATTCCGTCAAAATGAGGCAGGGACCTAGGGCTTTCTCTAAGGTCTCCACAGGGGATTCAGACATCCCTTCATGTTGTGAGATGAAAGACGAGCCTGTATTCAAGCCACTGCAAGGAAATCCGGCCTCCTTTCAAGTTAGGGCTTCTCGCTGTATATTCCCCTTGAGGCAGCAAACTCGGGGTCCCTAGCACATACCTATTGCTGAGAGAAGCCTCCTCCTGAGGTGCTTCTGGGAAGTTGGCATACGTCTTGAGCCTAAGCCAGGGAATCAGCTCGCATCTCGAGACGATTTGGGGTACACGGAGCATTCCTCGAGTTGCTGTGCTGAAGTTGGTGTTCCTCTAGACTTGGGACAGTGTTCTCGGGGCATCTCTGGAGTTGCCTGAAGGAAGTCGAGCCACCGGTCGTGTTGAATGGGGAACGGGGAATGGCTCTGGAGTCAATGCAGGGGAATCGGGCCTCATCTCGAGTTGATTTGGGGCACATGGAGCTGCTTTGCGTTGCTGGGGTGACCTCAGGGTCCGTCTAGACTGGTGACAGTGTTCTTGGGGACTGTCTCGAGATCCATTAAGCAAGTCGAAGCTCCTGACTTGTTTGAATGGGATCACGGAATAGCTCTGCATGCACTGCAGGGGAATGGGGCCTCATCTCGCCTCTAGGGGGAAGTCTCATGGTTTTTCTCGAGTTGCGGCGGGGACCTGGGGTATGTTCTCGACTTACGGCGGGGATGGCCCTTCAAAACACGAGTTTCTTCAGTGACGTCAGGACTCCTGTCTAGTAACGAGGGACACCTCAGGAATCTCTTCGAGGCTTGGCAGGGCAAAAGGGACGCTTCTCGAGGTGAGGCAGGGCACCCAAGGACCCTTTCCAGTAGCCACAGGGATTTTGGGATTCCTATCAGTATTCAAGAGGAGTCAGGCATCGTCACCTTTTGAAGCAATGAACTCCGCGTGCCTCTCGAGGTGTCAGCGGGATGTGAGGCATTCCGTCAAAATGAGGCAGGGACCTAGGGCTTTCTCTAAGGTCTCCACAGGGGATTCAGACATCCCTTCATGTTGTGAGATGAAAGACGAGCCTGTATTCAAGCCACTGCAAGGAAATCCGGCCTCCTTTCAAGTTAGGGCTTCTCGATGTATATTCCCCTTGAGGCAGCAAACTCGGGGTCCCTCCCACATACCTACTGCTGAGAGAAGCCTCCTCCTGAGGTGCTTCTGGGAAGATGGCATACGTCTTGAGCCTAAGCCAGGGAATCAGCTCGCATCTCGAGACGATTTGGGGTACACGGAGCATTCCTCGAGTTGCTGTGCTGAAGTTGGTGTTCCTCTAGACTTGGGACAGTGTTCTCGGGGCATCTCTGGAGTTGCCTGAAGGAAGTCGAGCCACCGGTCGTGTTGAATGGGGAACGGGGAATGGCTCTGGAGTCAATGCAGGGGAATCGGGCCTCATCTCGAGTTGATTTGGGGCACATGGAGCTGCTTTGCGTTGCTGGGGTGACCTCAGGGTCTGTCTAGACTGGTGACAGTGTTCTTGGGGACTGTCTCGAGATCCATTAAGCAAGTCGAAGCTCCTGACTTGTTTGAATGGGGTCACGGAATAGCTCTGCATGCACTGCAGGGGAATGGGGCCTCATCTCGCCTCTAGGGGGAAGTCTCATGGTTTTTCTCGAGTTGCGGCGGGGACCTGGGGTATGTTCTCGACTTACGGCGGGGATGGCCCTTCAAAACACGAGTTTCTTCAGTGACGTCAGGACTCCTGTCTAGTAACGAGGGACACCTCAGGAATCTCTTCGAGGCTTGGCAGGGCCAAAGGGACGCTTCTCGAGGTGAGGCAGGGCACCCAAGGACCCTTTCCAGTAGCCACAGGGATTTTGGGATTCCTATCAGTATTCAAGAGGAGTCAGGCATCGTCACCTTTTGAAGCAATGAACTCCGCGTGCCTCTCTAGGTGTCAGCGGGATGTGAGGCATTCCGTCAAAATGAGGCAGGGACCTAGGGCTTTCTCTAAGGTCTCCACAGGGGATTCAGACATCCCTTCATGTTGTGAGATGAAAGACGAGCCTGTATTCAAGCAACTGCAAGGAAATCCGGCCTCCTTTCAAGTTAGGGCTTCTCGCTGTATATTCCCCTTGAGGCAGCAAGCTCGGGGTCCCTCCCACATACCTACTGCTGAGAGAAGCCTCCTCCTGAGGTGCTTCTGGGAAGTTGGCATACGTCTTGAGCCTAAGCCAGGGAATCAGCTCGCATCTCGAGACGATTTGGGGTACACGGAGCATTCGTCGAGTTGCTGTAGTGAAGTTGGTGTTCCTCTAGACTTGGGACAGTGTTCTCGGGGCATCTCTGGAGTTGCCTGAAGGAAGTCGAGCCACCGGTCGTGTTGAATGGGGAACGGGGAATGGCTCTGGAGTCAATGCAGGGGAATCGGGCGTCATCTCGAGTTGATTTGGGGCACATGGAGCTGCTTTGCGTTGCTGGGGTGACCTCAGGGTCCGTCTAGACTGGTGACAGTGTTCTTGGGGACTGTCTCGAGATCCATTAAGCAAGTCGAAGCTCCTGACTTGTTTGAATGGGGTCACGGAATAGCTCTGCACGCACTGCAGGGGAATGGGGCCTCATCTCGCCTCTAGGGGGAAGTCTCATGGTTTTTCTCGAGTTGCGGCGGGGACCTGGGGTATGTTCTCGACTTACGGCGGGGATGGCCCTTCAAAACACGAGTTTCTTCAGTGACGTCAGGACTCCTGTCTAGTAACGAGGGACACCTCAGGAATCTCTTCGAGGCTTGGCAGGGCCAAAGGGACGCTTCTCGAGGTGAGGCAGGGCACCCAAGGACCCTTTCCAGTAGCCACAGGGATTTTGGGATTCCTATCAGTATTCAAGAGGAGTCAGGCATCGTCACCTTTTGAAGCAATGAACTCCGCGTGCCTCTCGAGGTGTCAGCGGGATGTGAGGCATTCCGTCAAAATGAGGCAGGGACCTAGGGCTTTCTCTAAGGTCTCCACAGGGGATTCAGACATCCCTTCATGTTGTGAGATGAAAGACGAGCCTGTATTCAAGCCACTGCAAGGAAATCCGGCCTCCTTTCAAGTTAGGGCTTCTCGCTGTATATTCCCCTTGAGGCAGCAAACTCGGGGTCCCTCCCACATACCTACTGCTGAGAGAAGCCTCCTCCTGAGGTGCTTCTGGGAAGTTGGCATACGTCTTGAGCCTAAGCCAGGGAATCAGCTCGCATCTCGAGACGATTTGGGGTACACGGAGCATTCCTCGAGTTGCTGTGCTGAAGTTGGTGTTCCTCTAGACTTGGGACAGTGTTCTCGGGGCATCTCTGGAGTTGCCTGAAGGAAGTCGAGCCACCGGTCGTGTTGAATGGGGAACGGGGAATGGCTCTGGAGTCAATGCAGGGGAATCGGGCCTCATCTCGAGTTGATTTGGGGCACATGGAGCTGCTTTGCGTTGCTGGGGTGACCTCAGGGTCCGTCTAGACTGGTGACAGTGTTCTTGGGGACTGTCTCGAGATCCATTAAGCAAGTCGAAGCTCCTGACTTGTTTGAATGGGGTCACGGAATAGCTCTGCATGCACTGCAGGGGAATGGGGCCTCATCTCGCCTCTAGGGGGAAGTCTCATGGTTTTTCTCGAGTTGCGGCGGGGACCTGGGGTATGTTCTCGACTTACGGCGGGGATGGCCCTTCAAAACACGAGTTTCTTCAGTGACGTCAGGACTCCTGTCTAGTAACGAGGGACACCTCAGGAATCTCTTCGAGGCTTGGCAGGGCCAAAGGGACGCTTCTCGAGGTGAGGCAGGGCACCCAAGGACCCTTTCCAGTAGCCACAGGGATTTTGGGATTCCTATCAGTATTCAAGAGGAGTCAGGCATCGTCACCTTTTGAAGCAATGAACTCCGCGTGCCTCTCCAGGTGTCAGCGGGATGTGAGGCATTCCGTCAAAATGAGGCAGGGACCTAGGGCTTTCTCTAAGGTCTCCACAGGGGATTCAGACATCCCTTAATGTTGTGAGATGAAAGACGAGCCTGTATTCAAGCCACTGCAAGGAAATCCGGCCTCCTTTCAAGTTAGGGCTTCTCGCTGTATATTCCCCTTGAGGCAGCAAACTCGGGGTCCCTCCCACATACCTATTGCTGAGAGAAGCCTCCTCCTGAGGTGCTTCTGGGAAGTTGGCATACGTCTTGAGCCTAAGCCAGGGAATCAGCTCGCATCTCGAGACGATTTGGGGTACACGGAGCATTCCTCGAGTTGCTGTGCTGAAGTTGGTGTTCCTCTAGACTTGGGACAGTGTTCTCGGGGCATCTCTGGAGTTGCCTGAAGGAAGTCGAGCCACCGGTCGTGTTGAATGGGGAACGGGGAATGGCTCTGGAGTCAATGCAGGGGAATCGGGCCTCATCTCGAGTTGATTTGGGGCACATGGAGCTGCTTTGCGTTGCTGGGGTGACCTCAGGGTCCGTCTAGTCTGGTGACAGTGTTCTTGGGGACTGTCTCGAGATCCATTAAGCAAGTCGAAGCTCCTGACTTGTTTGAATGGGATCACGGAATAGCTCTGCATGCACTGCAGGGGAATGGGGCCTCATCTCGCCTCTAGGGGGAAGTCTCATGGTTTTTCTCGAGTTGCGGCGGGGACCTGGGGTATGTTCTCGACTTACGGCGGGGATGGCCCTTCAAAACACGAGTTTCTTCAGTGACGTCAGGACTCCTGTCTAGTAACGAGGGACACCTCAGGAATCTCTTCTAGGCTTGGCAGGGCCAAAGGGACGCTTCTCGAGGTGAGGCAGGGCACCCAAGGACCCTTTCCAGTAGCCACAGGGATTTTGGGATTCCTATCAGTATTCAAGAGGAGTCAGGCATCGTCACCTTTTGAAGCAATGAACTCCGCGTGCCTCTCGAGGTGTCAGCGGGATGTGAGGCATTCCGTCAAAATGAGGCAGGGACCTAGGGCTTTCTCTAAGGTCTCCACAGGGGATTCAGACATCCCTTCATGTTGTGAGATGAAAGACGAGCCTGTATTCAAGCCACTGCAAGGAAATCCGGCCTCCTTTCAAGTTAGGGCTTCTCGCTGTATATTCCCCTTGAGGCAGCAAACTCGGGGTCCCTCCCACATACCTATTGCTGAGAGAAGCCTCCTCCTGAGGTGCTTCTGGGAAGTTGGCATACGTCTTGAGCCTAAGCCAGGGAATCAGCTCGCATCTCGAGACGATTTGGGGTACACGGAGCATTCCTCGAGTTGCTGTGCTGAAGTTGGTGTTCCTCTAGACTTGGGACAGTGTTCTCGGGGCATCTCTGGAGTTGCCTGAAGGAAGTCGAGCCACCGGTCGTGTTGAATGGGGAACGGGGAATGGCTCTGGAGTCAATGCAGGGGAATCGGGCCTCATCTCGAGTTGATTTGGGGCACATGGAGCTGCTTTGCGTTGCTGGGGTGACCTCAGGGTCCGTCTAGACTGGTGACAGTGTTCTTGGGGACTGTCTCGAGATCCATTAAGCAAGTCGAAGCTCCTGACTTGTTTGAATGGGATCACGGAATAGCTCTGCATGCACTGCAGGGGAATGGGGCCTCATCTCGCCTCTAGGGGGAAGTCTCATGGTTTTTCTCGAGTTGCGGCGGGGACCTGGGGTATGTTCTCGACTTACGGCGGGGATGGCCCTTCAAAACACGAGTTTCTTCAGTGACGTCAGGACTCCTGTCTAGTAATGAGGGACACCTCAGGAATCTCTTCGAGGCTTGGCAGGGCCAAAGGGACGCTTCTCGAGGTGAGGCAGGGCACCCAAGTACCCTTTCCAGTAGCCACAGGGATTTTGGGATTCCTATCAGTATTCAAGAGGAGTCAGGCATCGTCACCTTTTGAAGCAATGAACTCCGCGTGCCTCTCCAGGTGTCAGCGGGATGTGAGGCATTCCGTCAAAATGAGGCAGGGACCTAGGGCTTTCTCTAAGGTCTCCACAGGGGATTCAGACATCCCTTCATGTTGTGAGATGAAAGACGAGCCTGTATTCAAGCCACTGCAAGGAAATCCGGCCTCCTTTCAAGTTAGGGCTTCTCGCTGTATATTCCCCTTGAGGCAGCAAACTCGGGGTCCCTCCCACATACCTATTGCTGAGAGAAGCCTCCTCCTGAGGTGCTTCTGGGAAGTTGGCATACGTCTTGAGCCTAAGCCAGGGAATCAGCTCGCATCTCGAGACGATTTGGGGTACACGGAGCATTCCTCGAGTTGCTGTGCTGAAGTTGGTGTTCCTCTAGACTTGGGACAGTGTTCTCGGGGCATCTCTGGAGTTGCCTGAAGGAAGTCGAGCCACCGGTCGTGTTGAATGGGGAACGGGGAATGGCTCTGGAGTCAATGCAGGGGAATCGGGCCTCATCTCGAGTTGATTTGGGGCACATGGAGCTGCTTTGCGTTGCTGGGGTGACCTCAGGGTCCGTCTAGACTGGTGACAGTGTTCTTGGGGACTGTCTCGAGATCCATTAAGCAAGTCGAAGCTCCTGACTTGTTTGAATGGGGTCACGGAATAGCTCTGCACGCACTGCAGGGGAATGGGGCCTCATCTCGCCTCTAGGGGGAAGTCTCATGGTTTTTCTCGAGTTGCGGCGGGGACCTGGGGTATGTTCTCGACTTACGGCGGGGATGGCCCTTCAAAACACGAGTTTCTTCAGTGACGTCAGGACTCCTGTCTAGTAACGAGGGACACCTCAGGAATCTCTTCGAGGCTTGGCAGGGCCAAAGGGACGCTTCTCGAGGTGAGGCAGGGCACCCAAGGACCCTTTCCAGTAGCCACAGGGATTTTGGGATTCCTATCAGTATTCAAGAGGAGTCAGGCATCGTCACCTTTTGAAGCAATGAACTCCGCGTGCCTCTCGAGGTGTCAGCGGGATGTGAGGCATTCCGTCAAAATGAGGCAGGGACCTAGGGCTTTCTCTAAGGTCTCCACAGGGGATTCAGACATCCCTTCATGTTGTGAGATGAAAGACGACCCTGTATTCAAGCCACTGCAAGGAAATCCGGCCTCCTTTCAAGTTAGGGCTTCTCGCTGTATATTCCCCTTGAGGCAGCAAACTCGGGGTCCCTCCCACATACCTATTGCTGAGAGAAGCCTCCTCCTGAGGTGCTTCTGGGAAGTTGGCATACGTCTTGAGCCTAAGCCAGGGAATCAGCTCGCATCTCGAGACGATTTGGGGTACACGGAGCATTCCTCGAGTTGCTGTGCTGAAGTTGGTGTTCCTCTAGACTTGGGACAGTGTTCTCGGGGCATCTCTGGAGTTGCCTGAAGGAAGTCGAGCCACCGGTCGTGTTGAATGGGGAACGGGGAATGGCTCTGGAGTCAATGCAGGGGAATCGGGCCTCATCTCGAGTTGATTTGGGGCACATGGAGCTGCTTTGCGTTGCTGGGGTGACCTCAGGGTCCGTCTAGACTGGTGACAGTGTTCTTGGGGACTGTCTCGAGATCCATTAAGCAAGTCGAAGCTCCTGACTTGTTTGAATGGGATCACGGAATAGCTCTGCATGCACTGCAGGGGAATGGGGCCTCATCTCGCCTCTAGGGGGAAGTCTCATGGTTTTTCTCGAGTTGCGGCGGGGACCTGGGGTATGTTCTCGACTTACGGCGGGGATGGCCCTTCAAAACACGAGTTTCTTCAGTGACGTCAGGACTCCTGTCTAGTAACGAGGGACACCTCAGGAATCTCTTCGAGGCTTGGCAGGGCCAAAGGGACGCTTCTCGAGGTGAGGCAGGGCACCCAAGGACCCTTTCCAGTAGCCACAGGGATTTTGGGATTCCTATCAGTATTCAAGAGGAGTCAGGCATCGTCACCTTTTGAAGCAATGAACTCCGCGTGCCTCTCGAGGTGTCAGCGGGATGTGAGGCATTCCGTCAAAATGAGGCAGGGACCTAGGGCTTTCTCTAAGGTCTCCACAGGGGATTCAGACATCCCTTCATGTTGTGAGATGAAAGACGAGCCTGTATTCAAGCCACTGCAAGGAAATCCGGCCTCCTTTCAAGTTAGGGCTTCTCGCTGTATATTCCCCTTGAGGCAGCAAACTCGGGGTCCCTCCCACATACCTATTGCTGAGAGAAGCCTCCTCCTGAGGTGCTTCTGGGAAGTTGGCATACGTCTTGAGCCTAAGCCAGGGAATCAGCTCGCATCTCGAGACGATTTGGGGTACACGGAGCATTCCTCGAGTTGCTGTGCTGAAGTTGGTGTTCCTCTAGACTTGGGACAGTGTTCTCGGGGCATCTCTGGAGTTGCCTGAAGGAAGTCGAGCCACCGGTCGTGTTGAATGGGGAACGGGGAATGGCTCTGGAGTCAATGCAGGGGAATCGGGCCTCATCTCGAGTTGATTTGGGGCACATGGAACTGCTTTGCATTGCTGGGGTGACCTCAGGGTCCGTCTAGACTGGTGACAGTGTTCTTGGGGACTGTCTCGAGATCCATTAAGCAAGTCGAAGCTCCTGACTTGTTTGAATGGGATCACGGAATAGCTCTGCATGCACTGCAGGGGAATGGGGCCTCATCTCGCCTCTAGGGGGAAATCTCATGGTTTTTCTCGAGTTGCGGCGGGGACCTGGGATATGTTCTCGACTTACGGCGGGGATGGCCCTTCAAAACACGAGTTTCTTCAGTGACGTCAGGACTCCTGTCTAGTAACGAGGGACACCTCAGGAATCTCTTCGAGGCTTGGCAGGGCCAAAGGGACGCTTCTCGAGGTGAGGCAGGGCACCCAAGGACCCTTTCCAGTAGCCACAGGGATTTTGGGATTCCTATCAGTATTCAAGAGGAGTCAGGCATCGTCACCTTTTGAAGCAATGAACTCCGCGTGCCTCTCGAGGTGTCAGCGGGATGTGAGGCATTCCGTCAAAATGAGGCAGGGACCTAGGGCTTTCTCTAAGGTCTCCACAGGGGATTCAGACATCCCTTCATGTTGTGAGATGAAAGACGAGCCTGTATTCAAGCCACTGCAAGGAAATCCGGCCTCCTTTCAAGTTAGGGCTTCTCGCTGTATATTCCCCTTGAGGCAGCAAACTCGGGGTCCCTCCCACATACCTACTGCTGAGAGAAGCCTCCTCCTGAGGTGCTTCTGGGAAGTTGGCATACGTCTTGAGCCTAAGCCAGGGAATCAGCTCGCATCTCGAGACGATTTGGGGTACACGGAGCATTCCTCGAGTTGCTGTGCTGAAGTTGGTGTTCCTCTAGACTTGGGACAGTGTTCTCGGGGCATCTCTGGAGTTGCCTGAAGGAAGTCGAGCCACCGGTCGTGTTGAATGGGGAACGGGGAATGGCTCTGGAGTCAATGCAGGGGAATCGGGCCTCATCTCGAGTTGATTTGGGGCACATGGAGCTGCTTTGCGTTGCTGGGGTGACCTCAGGGTCCGTCTAGACTGGTGACAGTGTTCTTGGGGACTGTCTCGAGATCCATTAAGCAAGTCGAAGCTCCTGACTTGTTTGAATGGGGTCACGGAATAGCTCTGCATGCACTGCAGGGGAATGGGGCCTCATCTCGCCTCTAGGGGGAAGTCTCATGGTTTTTCTCGAGTTGCGGCGGGGACCTGGGGTATGTTCTCGACTTACGGCGGGGATGGCCCTTCAAAACACGAGTTTCTTCAGTGACGTCAGGACTCCTGTCTAGTAACGAGGGACACCTCAGGAATCTCTTCGAGGCTTGGCAGGGCCAAAGGGACGCTTCTCGAGGTGAGGCAGGGCACCCAAGGACCCTTTCCAGTAGCCACAGGGATTTTGGGATTCCTATCAGTATTCAAGAGGAGTCAGGCATCGTCACCTTTTGAAGCAATGAACTCCGCGTGCCTCTCCAGGTGTCAGCGGGATGTGAGGCATTCCGTCAAAATGAGGCAGGGACCTAGGGCTTTCTCTAAGGTCTCCACAGGGGATTCAGACATCCCTTAATGTTGTGAGATGAAAGACGAGCCTGTATTCAAGCCACTGCAAGGAAATCCGGCCTCCTTTCAAGTTAGGGCTTCTCGCTGTATATTCCCCTTGAGGCAGCAAACTCGGGGTCCCTCCCACATACCTATTGCTGAGAGAAGCCTCCTCCTGAGGTGCTTCTGGGAAGTTGGCATACGTCTTGAGCCTAAGCCAGGGAATCAGCTCGCATCTCGAGACGATTTGGGGTACACGGAGCATTCCTCGAGTTGCTGTGCTGAAGTTGGTGTTCCTCTAGACTTGGGACAGTGTTCTCGGGGCATCTCTGGAGTTGCCTGAAGGAAGTCGAGCCACCGGTCGTGTTGAATGGGGAACGGGGAATGGCTCTGGAGTCAATGCAGGGGAATCGGGCCTCATCTCGAGTTGATTTGGGGCACATGGAGCTGCTTTGCGTTGCTGGGGTGACCTCAGGGTCCGTCTAGTCTGGTGACAGTGTTCTTGGGGACTGTCTCGAGATCCATTAAGCAAGTCGAAGCTCCTGACTTGTTTGAATGGGATCACGGAATAGCTCTGCATGCACTGCAGGGGAATGGGGCCTCATCTCGCCTCTAGGGGGAAGTCTCATGGTTTTTCTCGAGTTGCGGCGGGGACCTGGGGTATGTTCTCGACTTACGGCGGGGATGGCCCTTCAAAACACGAGTTTCTTCAGTGACGTCAGGACTCCTGTCTAGTAACGAGGGACACCTCAGGAATCTCTTCTAGGCTTGGCAGGGCCAAAGGGACGCTTCTCGAGGTGAGGCAGGGCACCCAAGGACCCTTTCCAGTAGCCACAGGGATTTTGGGATTCCTATCAGTATTCAAGAGGAGTCAGGCATCGTCACCTTTTGAAGCAATGAACTCCGCGTGCCTCTCGAGGTGTCAGCGGGATGTGAGGCATTCCGTCAAAATGAGGCAGGGACCTAGGGCTTTCTCTAAGGTCTCCACAGGGGATTCAGACATCCCTTCATGTTGTGAGATGAAAGACGAGCCTGTATTCAAGCCACTGCAAGGAAATCCGGCCTCCTTTCAAGTTAGGGCTTCTCGCTGTATATTCCCCTTGAGGCAGCAAACTCGGGGTCCCTCCCACATACCTATTGCTGAGAGAAGCCTCCTCCTGAGGTGCTTCTGGGAAGTTGGCATACGTCTTGAGCCTAAGCCAGGGAATCAGCTCGCATCTCGAGACGATTTGGGGTACACGGAGCATTCCTCGAGTTGCTGTGCTGAAGTTGGTGTTCCTCTAGACTTGGGACAGTGTTCTCGGGGCATCTCTGGAGTTGCCTGAAGGAAGTCGAGCCACCGGTCGTGTTGAATGGGGAACGGGGAATGGCTCTGGAGTCAATGCAGGGGAATCGGGCCTCATCTCGAGTTGATTTGGGGCACATGGAGCTGCTTTGCGTTGCTGGGGTGACCTCAGGGTCCGTCTAGACTGGTGACAGTGTTCTTGGGGACTGTCTCGAGATCCATTAAGCAAGTCGAAGCTCCTGACTTGTTTGAATGGGATCACGGAATAGCTCTGCATGCACTGCAGGGGAATGGGGCCTCATCTCGCCTCTAGGGGGAAGTCTCATGGTTTTTCTCGAGTTGCGGCGGGGACCTGGGGTATGTTCTCGACTTACGGCGGGGATGGCCCTTCAAAACACGAGTTTCTTCAGTGACGTCAGGACTCCTGTCTAGTAATGAGGGACACCTCAGGAATCTCTTCGAGGCTTGGCAGGGCCAAAGGGACGCTTCTCGAGGTGAGGCAGGGCACCCAAGGACCCTTTCCAGTAGCCACAGGGATTTTGGGATTCCTATCAGTATTCAAGAGGAGTCAGGCATCGTCACCTTTTGAAGCAATGAACTCCGCGTGCCTCTCCAGGTGTCAGCGGGATGTGAGGCATTCCGTCAAAATGAGGCAGGGACCTAGGGCTTTCTCTAAGGTCTCCACAGGGGATTCAGACATCCCTTCATGTTGTGAGATGAAAGACGAGCCTGTATTCAAGCCACTGCAAGGAAATCCGGCCTCCTTTCAAGTTAGGGCTTCTCGCTGTATATTCCCCTTGAGGCAGCAAACTCGGGGTCCCTCCCACATACCTATTGCTGAGAGAAGCCTCCTCCTGAGGTGCTTCTGGGAAGTTGGCATACGTCTTGAGCCTAAGCCAGGGAATCAGCTCGCATCTCGAGACGATTTGGGGTACACGGAGCATTCCTCGAGTTGCTGTGCTGAAGTTGGTGTTCCTCTAGACTTGGGACAGTGTTCTCGGGGCATCTCTGGAGTTGCCTGAAGGAAGTCGAGCCACCGGTCGTGTTGAATGGGGAACGGGGAATGGCTCTGGAGTCAATGCAGGGGAATCGGGCCTCATCTCGAGTTGATTTGGGGCACATGGAGCTGCTTTGCGTTGCTGGGGTGACCTCAGGGTCCGTCTAGACTGGTGACAGTGTTCTTGGGGACTGTCTCGAGATCCATTAAGCAAGTCGAAGCTCCTGACTTGTTTGAATGGGGTCACGGAATAGCTCTGCACGCACTGCAGGGGAATGGGGCCTCATCTCGCCTCTAGGGGGAAGTCTCATGGTTTTTCTCGAGTTGCGGCGGGGACCTGGGGTATGTTCTCGACTTACGGCGGGGATGGCCCTTCAAAACACGAGTTTCTTCAGTGACGTCAGGACTCCTGTCTAGTAACGAGGGACACCTCAGGAATCTCTTCGAGGCTTGGCAGGGCCAAAGGGACGCTTCTCGAGGTGAGGCAGGGCACCCAAGGACCCTTTCCAGTAGCCACAGGGATTTTGGGATTCCTATCAGTATTCAAGAGGAGTCAGGCATCGTCACCTTTTGAAGCAATGAACTCCGCGTGCCTCTCGAGGTGTCAGCGGGATGTGAGGCATTCCGTCAAAATGAGGCAGGGACCTAGGGCTTTCTCTAAGGTCTCCACAGGGGATTCAGACATCCCTTCATGTTGTGAGATGAAAGACGACCCTGTATTCAAGCCACTGCAAGGAAATCCGGCCTCCTTTCAAGTTAGGGCTTCTCGCTGTATATTCCCCTTGAGGCAGCAAACTCGGGGTCCCTCCCACATACCTATTGCTGAGAGAAGCCTCCTCCTGAGGTGCTTCTGGGAAGTTGGCATACGTCTTGAGCCTAAGCCAGGGAATCAGCTCGCATCTCGAGACGATTTGGGGTACACGGAGCATTCCTCGAGTTGCTGTGCTGAAGTTGGTGTTCCTCTAGACTTGGGACAGTGTTCTCGGGGCATCTCTGGAGTTGCCTGAAGGAAGTCGAGCCACCGGTCGTGTTGAATGGGGAACGGGGAATGGCTCTGGAGTCAATGCAGGGGAATCGGGCCTCATCTCGAGTTGATTTGGGGCACATGGAGCTGCTTTGCGTTGCTGGGGTGACCTCAGGGTCCGTCTAGACTGGTGACAGTGTTCTTGGGGACTGTCTCGAGATCCATTAAGCAAGTCGAAGCTCCTGACTTGTTTGAATGGGATCACGGAATAGCTCTGCATGCACTGCAGGGGAATGGGGCCTCATCTCGCCTCTAGGGGGAAGTCTCATGGTTTTTCTCGAGTTGCGGCGGGGACCTGGGGTATGTTCTCGACTTACGGCGGGGATGGCCCTTCAAAACACGAGTTTCTTCAGTGACGTCAGGACTCCTGTCTAGTAACGAGGGACACCTCAGGAATCTCTTCGAGGCTTGGCAGGGCCAAAGGGACGCTTCTCGAGGTGAGGCAGGGCACCCAAGGACCCTTTCCAGTAGCCACAGGGATTTTGGGATTCCTATCAGTATTCAAGAGGAGTCAGGCATCGTCACCTTTTGAAGCAATGAACTCCGCGTGCCTCTCGAGGTGTCAGCGGGATGTGAGGCATTCCGTCAAAATGAGGCAGGGACCTAGGGCTTTCTCTAAGGTCTCCACAGGGGATTCAGACATCCCTTCATGTTGTGAGATGAAAGACGAGCCTGTATTCAAGCCACTGCAAGGAAATCCGGCCTCCTTTCAAGTTAGGGCTTCTCGCTGTATATTCCCCTTGAGGCAGCAAACTCGGGGTCCCTCCCACATACCTATTGCTGAGAGAAGCCTCCTCCTGAGGTGCTTCTGGGAAGTTGGCATACGTCTTGAGCCTAAGCCAGGGAATCAGCTCGCATCTCGAGACGATTTGGGGTACACGGAGCATTCCTCGAGTTGCTGTGCTGAAGTTGGTGTTCCTCTAGACTTGGGACAGTGTTCTCGGGGCATCTCTGGAGTTGCCTGAAGGAAGTCGAGCCACCGGTCGTGTTGAATGGGGAACGGGGAATGGCTCTGGAGTCAATGCAGGGGAATCGGGCCTCATCTCGAGTTGATTTGGGGCACATGGAACTGCTTTGCATTGCTGGGGTGACCTCAGGGTCCGTCTAGACTGGTGACAGTGTTCTTGGGGACTGTCTCGAGATCCATTAAGCAAGTCGAAGCTCCTGACTTGTTTGAATGGGATCACGGAATAGCTCTGCATGCACTGCAGGGGAATGGGGCCTCATCTCGCCTCTAGGGGGAAATCTCATGGTTTTTCTCGAGTTGCGGCGGGGACCTGGGATATGTTCTCGACTTACGGCGGGGATGGCCCTTCAAAACACGAGTTTCTTCAGTGACGTCAGGACTCCTGTCTAGTAACGAGGGACACCTCAGGAATCTCTTCGAGGCTTGGCAGGGCCAAAGGGACGCTTCTCGAGGTGAGGCAGGGCACCCAAGGACCCTTTCCAGTAGCCACAGGGATTTTGGGATTCCTATCAGTATTCAAGAGGAGTCAGGCATCGTCACCTTTTGAAGCAATGAACTCCGCGTGCCTCTCCAGGTGTCAGCGGGATGTGAGGCATTCCGTCAAAATGAGGCAGGGACCTAGGGCTTTCTCTAAGGTCTCCACAGGGGATTCAGACATCCCTTCATGTTGTGAGATGAAAGACGAGCCTGTATTCAAGCCACTGCAAGGAAATCCGGCCTCCTTTCAAGTTAGGGCTTCTCGCTGTATATTCCCCTTGAGGCAGCAAACTCGGGGTCCCTCCCACATACCTATTGCTGAGAGAAGCCTCCTCCTGAGGTGCTTCTGGGAAGTTGGCATACGACTTGAGCCTAAGCCAGGGAATCAGCTCGCATCTCGAGACGATTTGGGGTACACGGAGCATTCCTCGAGTTGCTGTGCTGAAGTTGGTGTTCCTCTAGACTTGGGACAGTGTTCTCGGGGCATCTCTGGAGTTGCCTGAAGGAAGTCGAGCCACCGGTCGTGTTGAATGGAGAACGGGGAATGGCTCTGGAGTCAATGCAGGGGAATCGGGCCTCATCTCGAGTTGATTTGGGGCACATGGAGCTGCTTTGCGTTGCTGGGGTGACCTCAGGGTCCGTCTAGACTGGTGACAGTGTTCTTGGGGACTGTCTCGAGATCCATTAAGCAAGTCGAAGCTCCTGACTTGTTTGAATGGGGTCACGGAATAGCTCTGCACGCACTGCAGGGGAATGGGGCCTCATCTCCCCTCTAGGGGGAAGTCTCATGGTTTTTCTCGAGTTGCGGCGGGGACCTGGGGTATGTTCTCGACTTACGGCGGGGATGGCCCTTCAAAACACGAGTTTCTTCAGTGACGTCAGGACTCCTGTCTAGTAACGAGGGACACCTCAGGAATCTCTTCGAGGCTTGGCAGGGCCAAAGGGACGCTTCTCGAGGTGAGGCAGGGCACCCAAGGACCCTTTCCAGTAGCCACAGGGATTTTGGGATTCCTATCAGTATTCAAGAGGAGTCAGGCATCGTCACCTTTTGAAGCAATGAACTCCGCGTGCCTCTCGAGGTGTCAGCGGGATGTGAGGCATTCCGTCAAAATGAGGCAGGGACCTAGGGCTTTCTCTAAGGTCTCCACAGGGGATTCAGACATCCCTTCATGTTGTGAGATGAAAGACGAGCCTGTATTCAAGCCACTGCAAGGAAATCCGGTCTCCTTTCAAGTTAGGGCTTCTCGCTGTATATTCCCCTTGAGGCAGCAAACTCGGGGTCCCTCCCACATACCTATTGCTGAGAGAAGCCTCCTCCTGAGGTGCTTCTGGGAAGTTGGCATACGTCTTGAGCCTAAGCCAGGGAATCAGCTCGCATCTCGAGACGATTTGGGGTACACGGAGCATTCCTCGAGTTGCTGTGCTGAAGTTGGTGTTCCTCTAGACTTGGGACAGTGTTCTCGGGGCATCTCTGGAGTTGCCTGAAGGAAGTCGAGCCACCGGTCGTGTTGAATGGGGAACGGGGAATGGCTCTGGAGTCAATGCAGGGGAATCGGGCCTCATCTCGAGTTGATTTGGGGCACATGGAGCTGCTTTGCGTTGCTGGGGTGACCTCAGGGTCCGTCTAGACTGGTGACAGTGTTCTTGGGGACTGTCTCGAGATCCATTAAGCAAGTCGAAGCTCCTGACTTGTTTGAATGGGATCACGGAATAGCTCTGCATGCACTGCAGGGGAATGGGGCCTCATCTCGCCTCTAGGGGGAAGTCTCATGGTTTTTCTCGAGTTGCGGCGGGGACCTGGGGTATGTTCTCGACTTACGGCGGGGATGGCCCTTCAAAACACGAGTTTCTTCAGTGACGTCAGGACTCCTGTCTAGTAACGAGGGACACCTCAGGAATCTCTTCGAGGCTTGGCAGGGCCAAAGGGACGCTTCTCGAGGTGAGGCAGGGCACCCAAGGACCCTTTCCAGTAGCCACAGGGATTTTGGGATTCCTATCAGTATTCAAGAGGAGTCAGGCATCGTCACCTTTTGAAGCAATGAACTCCGCGTGCCTCTCCAGGTGTCAGCGGGATGTGAGGCATTCCGTCAAAATGAGGCAGGGACCTAGGGCTTTCTCTAAGGTCTCCACAGGGGATTCAGACATCCCTTCATGTTGTGAGATGAAAGACGAGCCTGTATTCAAGCCACTGCAAGGAAATCCGGCCTCCTTTCAAGTTAGGGCTTCTCGCTGTATATTCCCCTTGAGGCAGCAAACTCGGGGTCCCTCCCACATACCTATTGCTGAGAGAAGCCTCCTCCTGAGGTGCTTCTGGGAAGTTGGCATACGTCTTGAGCCTAAGCCAGGGAATCAGCTCGCATCTCGAGACGATTTGGGGTACACGGAGCATTCCTCGAGTTGCTGTGCTGAAGTTGGTGTTCCTGTAGACTTGGGACAGTGTTCTCGGGGCATCTCTGGAGTTGCCTGAAGGAAGTCGAGCCACCGGTCGTGTTGAATGGGGAACGGGGAATGGCTCTGGAGTCAATGCAGGGGAATCGGGCCTCATCTCGAGTTGATTTGGGGCACATGGAGCTGCTTTGCGTTGCTGGGGTGACCTCAGGGTCCGTCTAGACTGGTGACAGTGTTCTTGGGGACTGTCTCGAGATCCATTAAGCAAGTCGAAGCTCCTGACTTGTTTGAATGGGATCACGGAATAGCTCTGCATGCACTGCAGGGGAATGGGGCCTCATCTCGCCTCTAGGGGGAAGTCTCATGGTTTTTCTCGAGTTGCGGCGGGGACCTGGCGTATGTTCTCGACTTTCGGCGGGGATGGCCCTTCAAAACACGAGTTTCTTCAGTGACGTCAGGAATCCTGTCTAGTAACGAGGGACACCTCAGGAATCTCTTCGAGGCTTGGCAGGGCCAAAGGGACGCTTCTCGAGGTGAGGCAGGGCACCCAAGGACCCTTTCCAGTAGCCACAGGGATTTTGGGATTCCTATCAGTATTCAAGAGGAGTCAGGCATCGTCACCTTTTGAAGCAATGAACTCCGCGTGCCTCTCGAGGTGTCAGCGGGATGTGAGGCATTCCGTCAAAATGAGGCAGGGACCTAGGGCTTTCTCTAAGGTCTCCACAGGGGATTCAGACATCCCTTCATGTTGTGAGATGAAAGACGAGCCTGTATTCGAGCCACTGCAAGGAAATCCGGCCTCCTTTCAAGTTAGGGCTTCTCGCTGTATATTCCCCTTGAGGCAGCAAACTCGGGGTCCCTCCCACATACCTATTGCTGAGAGAAGCCTCCTCCTGAGGTGCTTCTGGGAAGTTGGCATACGTCTTGAGCCTAAGCCAGGGAATCAGCTCGCATCTCGAGACGATTTGGGGTACACGGAGCATTCCTCGAGTTGCTGTGCTGAAGTTGGTGTTCCTCTAGACTTGGGACAGTGTTCTCGGGGCATCTCTGGAGTTGCCTGAAGGAAGTCGAGCCACCGGTCGTGTTGAATGGGGAACGGGGAATGGCTCTGGAGTCAATGCAGGGGAATCGGGCCTCATCTCGAGTTGATTTGGGGCACATGGAGCTGCTTTGCGTTGCTGGGGTGACCTCAGGGTCCGTCTAGACTGCTGACAGTGTTCTTGGGGACTGTCTCGAGATCCATTAAGCAAGTCGAAGCTCCTGACTTGTTTGAATGGGATCACGGAATAGCTCTGCATGCACTGCAGGGGAATGGGGCCTCATCTCGCCTCTAGGGGGAAGTCTCATGGTTTTTCTCGAGTTGCGGCGGGGACCTGGGGTATGTTCTCGACTTACGGCGGGGATGGCCCTTCAAAACACGAGTTTCTTCAGTGACGTCAGGACTCCTGTCTAGTAACGAGGGACACCTCAGGAATCTCTTCGAGGCTTGGCAGGGCCAAAGGGACGCTTCTCGAGGTGAGGCAGGGCACCCAAGGACCCTTTCCAGTAGCCACAGGGATTTTGGGATTCCTATCAGTATTCAAGAGGAGTCAGGCATCGTCACCTTTTGAAGCAATGAACTCCGCGTGCCTCTCCAGGTGTCAGCGGGATGTGAGGCATTCCGTCAAAATGAGGCAGGGACCTAGGGCTTTCTCTAAGGTCTCCACAGGGGATTCAGACATCCCTTCATGTTGTGAGATGAAAGACGAGCCTGTATTCAAGCCACTGCAAGGAAATCCGGCCTCCTTTCAAGTTAGGGCTTCTCGCTGTATATTCCCCTTGAGGCAGCAAACTCGGGGTCCCTCCCACATACCTATTGCTGAGAGAAGCCTCCTCCTGAGGTGCTTCTGGGAAGTTGGCATACGTCTTGAGCCTAAGCCAGGGAATCAGCTCGCATCTCGAGACGATTTGGGGTACACGGAGCATTCCTCGAGTTGCTGTGCTGAAGTTGGTGTTCCTGTAGACTTGGGACAGTGTTCTCGGGGCATCTCTGGAGTTGCCTGAAGGAAGTCGAGCCACCGGTCGTGTTGAATGGGGAACGGGGAATGGCTCTGGAGTCAATGCAGGGGAATCGGGCCTCATCTCGAGTTGATTTGGGGCACATGGAGCTGCTTTGCGTTGCTGGGGTGACCTCAGGGTCCGTCTAGACTGGTGACAGTGTTCTTGGGGACTGTCTCGAGATCCATTAAGCAAGTCGAAGCTCCTGACTTGTTTGAATGGGATCACGGAATAGCTCTGCATGCACTGCAGGGGAATGGGGCCTCATCTCGCCTCTAGGGGGAAGTCTCATGGTTTTTCTCGAGTTGCGGCGGGGACCTGGCGTATGTTCTCGACTTTCGGCGGGGATGGCCCTTCAAAACACGAGTTTCTTCAGTGACGTCAGGAATCCTGTCTAGTAACGAGGGACACCTCAGGAATCTCTTCGAGGCTTGGCAGGGCCAAAGGGACGCTTCTCGAGGTGAGGCAGGGCACCCAAGGACCCTTTCCAGTAGCCACAGGGATTTTGGGATTCCTATCAGTATTCAAGAGGAGTCAGGCATCGTCACCTTTTGAAGCAATGAACTCCGCGTGCCTCTCGAGGTGTCAGCGGGATGTGAGGCATTCCGTCAAAATGAGGCAGGGACCTAGGGCTTTCTCTAAGGTCTCCACAGGGGATTCAGACATCCCTTCATGTTGTGAGATGAAAGACGAGCCTGTATTCGAGCCACTGCAAGGAAATCCGGCCTCCTTTCAAGTTAGGGCTTCTCGCTGTATATTCCCCTTGAGGCAGCAAACTCGGGGTCCCTCCCACATACCTATTGCTGAGAGAAGCCTCCTCCTGAGGTGCTTCTGGGAAGTTGGCATACGTCTTGAGCCTAAGCCAGGGAATCAGCTCGCATCTCGAGACGATTTGGGGTACACGGAGCATTCCTCGAGTTGCTGTGCTGAAGTTGGTGTTCCTCTAGACTTGGGACAGTGTTCTCGGGGCATCTCTGGAGTTGCCTGAAGGAAGTCGAGCCACCGGTCGTGTTGAATGGGGAACGGGGAATGGCTCTGGAGTCAATGCAGGGGAATCGGGCCTCATCTCGAGTTGATTTGGGGCACATGGAGCTGCTTTGCGTTGCTGGGGTGACCTCAGGGTCCGTCTAGACTGCTGACAGTGTTCTTGGGGACTGTCTCGAGATCCATTAAGCAAGTCGAAGCTCCTGACTTGTTTGAATGGGATCACGGAATAGCTCTGCATGCACTGCAGGGGAATGGGGCCTCATCTCGCCTCTAGGGGGAAGTCTCATGGTTTTTCTCGAGTTGCGGCGGGGACCTGGGGTATGTTCTCGACTTACGGCGGGGATGGCCCTTCAAAACACGAGTTTCTTCAGTGACGTCAGGACTCCTGTCTAGTAACGAGGGACACCTCAGGAATCTCTTCGAGGCTTGGCAGGGCCAAAGGGACGCTTCTCGAGGTGAGGCAGGGCACCCAAGGACCCTTTCCAGTAGCCACAGGGATTTTGGGATTCCTATCAGTATTCAAGAGGAGTCAGGCATCGTCACCTTTTGAAGCAATGAACTCCGCGTGCCTCTCGAGGTGTCAACGGGATGTGAGGCATTCCGTCAAAATGAGGCAGGGACCTAGGGCTTTCTCTAAGGTCTCCACAGGGGATTCAGACATCCCTTCATGTTGTGAGATGAAAGACGAGCCTGTATTCAAGCCACTGCAAGGAAATCCGGCCTCCTTTCAAGTTAGGGCTTCTCGCTGTATATTCCCCTTGAGGCAGCAAACTCGGGGTCCCTCCCACATACCTATTGCTGAGAGAAGCCTCCTCCTGAGGTGCTTCTGGGAAGTTGGCATACGTCTTGAGCCTAAGCCAGGGAATCAGCTCGCATCTCGAGACGATTTGGGGTACACGGAGCATTCCTCGAGTTGCTGTGCTGAAGTTGGTGTTCCTCTAGACTTGGGACAGTGTTCTCGGGGTATCTCTGGAGTTGCCTGAAGGAAGTCGAGCCACCGGTCGTGTTGAATGGGGAACGGGGAATGGCTCTGGAGTCAATGCAGGGGAATCGGGCCTCATCTCGAGTTGATTTGGGGCACATGGAGCTGCTTTGCGTTGCTGGGGTGACCTCAGGGTCCGTCTAGACTGGTGACAGTGTTCTTGGGGACTGTCTCGAGATCCATTAAGCAAGTCGAAGCTCCTGACTTGTTTGAATGGGATCACGGAATAGCTCTGCATGCACTGCAGGGGAATGGGGCCTCATCTCGCCTCTAGGGGGAAGTCTCATGGTTTTTCTCGAGTTGCGGCGGGGACCTGGGGTATGTTCTCGACTTACGGCGGGGATGGCCCTTCAAAACACGAGTTTCTTCAGTGACGTCAGGACTCCTGTCTAGTAACGAGGGACACCTCAGGAATCTCTTCGAGGCTTGGCAGGGCCAAAGGGACGCTTCTCGAGGTGAGGCAGGGCACCCAAGGACCCTTTCCAGTAGCCACAGGGATTTTGGGATTCCTATCAGTATTCAAGAGGAGTCAGGCATCGTCACCTTTTGAAGCAATGAACTCCGCGTGCCTCTCGAGGTGTCAGCGGGATGTGAGGCATTCCGTCAAAATGAGGCAGGGACCTAGGGCTTTCTCTAAGGTCTCCACAGGGGATTCAGACATCCCTTCATGTTGTGAGATGAAAGACGAGCCTGTATTCAAGCCACTGCAAGGAAATCCGGCCTCCTTTCAAGTTAGGGCTTCTCGCTGTATATTCCCCTTGAGGCAGCAAACTCGGGGTCCCTCCCACATACCTATTGCTGAGAGAAGCCTCCTCCTGAGGTGCTTCTGGGAAGTTGGCATACGTCTTGAGCCTAAGCCAGGGAATCAGCTCGCATCTCGAGACGATTTGGGGTACACGGAGCATTCCTCGAGTTGCTGTGCTGAAGTTGGTGTTCCTCTAGACTTGGGACAGTGTTCTCGGGGCATCTCTGGAGTGGCCTGAAGGAAGTCGAGCCACCGGTCGTGTTGAATGGGGAACGGGGAATGGCTCTGGAGTCAATGCAGGGGAATCGGGCCTCATCCCGAGTTGATTTGGGGCACATGGAGCTGCTTTGCGTTGCTGGGGTGACCTCAGGGTCCGTCTAGACTGGTGACAGTGTTCTTGGGGACTGTCTCGAGATCCATTAAGCAAGTCGAAGCTCCTGACTTGTTTGAATGGGATCACGGAATAGCTCTGCATGCACTGCAGGGGAATGGGGCCTCATCTCGCCTCTAGGGGGAAGTCTCATGGTTTTTCTCGAGTTGCGGCGGGGACCTGGGGTATGTTCTCGACTTACGGCGGGGATGGCCCTTCAAAACACGAGTTTCTTCAGTGACGTCAGGACTCCTGTCTAGTAACGAGGGACACCTCAGGAATCTCTTCGAGGCTTGGCAGGGCCAAAGGGACGCTTCTCGAGGTGAGGCAGGGCACCCAAGGACCCTTTCCAGTAGCCACAGGGATTTTGGGATTCCTATCAGTATTCAAGAGGAGTCAGGCATCGTCACCTTTTGAAGCAATGAACTCCGCGTGCCTCTCGAGGTGTCAGCGGGATGTGAGGCATTCCGTCAAAATGAGGCAGGGACCTAGGGCTTTCTCTAAGGTCTCCACAGGGGATTCAGACATCCCTTCATGTTGTGAGATGAAAGACGAGCCTGTATTCAAGCCACTGCAAGGAAATCCGGCCTCCTTTCAAGTTAGGGCTTCTCGCTGTATATTCCCCTTGAGGCAGCAAACTCGGGGTCCCTCCCACATACCTATTGCTGAGAGAAGCCTCCTCCGGAGGTGCTTCTGGGAAGTTGGCATACGTCTTGAGCCTAAGCCAGGGAATCAGCTCGCATCTCGAGACGATTTGGGGTACACGGAGCATTCCTCGAGTTGCTGTGCTGAAGTTGGTGTTCCTCTAGACTTGGGACAGTGTTCTCGGGGCATCTCTGGAGTTGCCTGAAGGAAGTCGAGCCACCGGTCGTGTTGAATGGGGAACGGGGAATGGCTCTGGAGTCAATGCAGGGGAATCGGGCCTCATCTCGAGTTGATTTGGGGCACATGGAGCTGCTTTGCATTGCTGGGGTGACCTCAGGGTCCGTCTAGACTGGTGACAGTGTTCTTGGGGACTGTCTCGAGATCCATTAAGCAAGTCGAAGCTCCTGACTTGTTTGAATGGGATCACGGAATAGCTCTGCATGCACTGCAGGGGAATGGGGCCTCATCTCGCCTCTAGGGGGAAGTCTCATGGTTTTTCTTGAGTTGCGGCGGGGACCTGGGGTATGTTCTCGACTTACGGCGGGGATGGCCCTTCAAAACACGAGTTTCTTCAGTGACGTCAGGACTCCTGTCTAGTAACGAGGGACACCTCAGGAATCTCTTCGAGGCTTGGCAGGGCCAAAGGGACGCTTCTCGAGGTGAGGCAGGGCACCCAAGGACCCTTTCCAGTAGCCACAGGGATTTTGGGATTCCTATCAGTATTCAAGAGGAGTCAGGCATCGTCACCTTTTGAAGCAATGAACTCCGCGTGCCTCTCGAGGTGTCAGCGGGATGTGAGGCATTCCGTCAAAATGAGGCAGGGACCTAGGGCTTTCTCTAAGGTCTCCACAGGGGATTCAGACATCCCTTCATGTTGTGAGATGAAAGACGAGCCTGTATTCGAGCCACTGCAAGGAAATCCGGCCTCCTTTCAAGTTAGGGCTTCTCGCTGTATATTCCCCTTGAGGCAGCAAACTCGGGGTCCCTCCCACATACCTATTGCTGAGAGAAGCCTCCTCCTGAGGTGCTTCTGGGAAGTTGGCATACGTCTTGAGCCTAAGCCAGGGAATCAGCTCGCATCTCGAGACGATTTGGGGTACACGGAGCATTCCTCGAGTTGCTGTGCTGAAGTTGGTGTTCCTCTAGACTTGGGACAGTGTTCTCGGGGCATCTCTGGAGTTGCCTGAAGGAAGTCGAGCCACCGGTCGTGTTGAATGGGGAACGGGGAATGGCTCTGGAGTCAATGCAGGGGAATCGGGCCTCATCTCGAGTTGATTTGGGGCACATGGAGCTGCTTTGCGTTGCTGGGGTGACCTCAGGGTCCGTCTAGACTGCTGACAGTGTTCTTGGGGACTGTCTCGAGATCCATTAAGCAAGTTGAAGCTCCTGACTTGTTTGAATGGGATCACGGAATAGCTCTGCATGCACTGCAGGGGAATGGGGCCTCATCTCGCCTCTAGGGGGAAGTCTCATGGTTTTTCTCGAGTTGCGGCGGGGACCTGGGGTATGTTCTCGACTTACGGCGGGGATGGCCCTTCAAAACACGAGTTTCTTCAGTGACGTCAGGACTCCTGTCTAGTAACGAGGGACACCTCAGGAATCTCTTCGAGGCTTGGCAGGGCCAAAGGGACGCTTCTCGAGGTGAGGCAGGGCACCCAAGGACCCTTTCCAGTAGCCACAGGGATTTTGGGATTCCTATCAGTATTCAAGAGGAGTCAGGCATCGTCACCTTTTGAAGCAATGAACTCCGCGTGCCTCTCGAGGTGTCACCGGGATGTGAGGCATTCCGTCAAAATGAGGCAGGGACCTAGGGCTTTCTCTAAGGTCTCCACAGGGGATTCAGACATCCCTTCATGTTGTGAGATGAAAGACGAGCCTGTATTCAAGCCACTGCAAGGAAATCCGGCCTCCTTTCAAGTTAGGGCTTCTCGCTGTATATTCCCCTTGAGGCAGCAAACTCGGGGTCCCTCCCACATACCTATTGCTGAGAGAAGCCTCCTCCTGAGGTGCTTCTGGGAAGTTGGCATACGTCTTGAGCCTAAGCCAGGGAATCAGCTCGCATCTCGAGACGATTTGGGGTACACGGAGCATTCCTCGAGTTGCTGTGCTGAAGTTGGTGTTCCTCTAGACTTGGGACAGTGTTCTCGGGGTATCTCTGGAGTTGCCTGAAGGAAGTCGAGCCACCGGTCGTGTTGAATGGGGAACGGGGAATGGCTCTGGAGTCAATGCAGGGGAATCGGGCCTCATCTCGAGTTGATTTGGGGCACATGGAGCTGCTTTGCGTTGCTGGGGTGACCTCAGGGTCCGTCTAGACTGGTGACAGTGTTCTTGGGGACTGTCTCGAGATCCATTAAGCAAGTCGAAGCTCCTGACTTGTTTGAATGGGATCACGGAATAGCTCTGCATGCACTGCAGGGGAATGGGGCCTCATCTCGCCTCTAGGGGGAAGTCTCATGGTTTTTCTCGAGTTGCGGCGGGGACCTGGGGTATGTTCTCGACTTACGGCGGGGATGGCCCTTCAAAACACGAGTTTCTTCAGTGACGTCAGGACTCCTGTCTAGTAACGAGGGACACCTCAGGAATCTCTTCGAGGCTTGGCAGGGCCAAAGGGACGCTTCTCGAGGTGAGGCAGGGCACCCAAGGACCCTTTCCAGTAGCCACAGGGATTTTGGGATTCCTATCAGTATTCAAGAGGAGTCAGGCATCGTCACCTTTTGAAGCAATGAACTCCGCGTGCCTCTCGAGGTGTCAGCGGGATGTGAGGCATTCCGTCAAAATGAGGCAGGGACCTAGGGCTTTCTCTAAGGTCTCCACAGGGGATTCAGACATCCCTTCATGTTGTGAGATGAAAGACGAGCCTGTATTCAAGCCACTGCAAGGAAATCCGGCCTCCTTTCAAGTTAGGGCTTCTCGCTGTATATTCCCCTTGAGGCAGCAAACTCGGGGTCCCTCCCACATACCTATTGCTGAGAGAAGCCTCCTCCTGAGGTGCTTCTGGGAAGTTGGCATACGTCTTGAGCCTAAGCCAGGGAATCAGCTCGCATCTCGAGACGATTTGGGGTACACGGAGCATTCCTCGAGTTGCTGTGCTGAAGTTGGTGTTCCTCTAGACTTGGGACAGTGTTCTCGGGGCATCTCTGGAGTTGCCTGAAGGAAGTCGAGCCACCGGTCGTGTTGAATGGGGAACGGGGAATGGCTCTGGAGTCAATGCAGGGGAATCGGGCCTCATCCCGAGTTGATTTGGGGCACATGGAGCTGCTTTGCGTTGCTGGGGTGACCTCAGGGTCCGTCTAGACTGGTGACAGTGTTCTTGGGGACTGTCTCGAGATCCATTAAGCAAGTCGAAGCTCCTGACTTGTTTGAATGGGATCACGGAATAGCTCTGCATGCACTGCAGGGGAATGGGGCCTCATCTCGCCTCTAGGGGGAAGTCTCATGGTTTTTCTTGAGTTGCGGCGGGGACCTGGGGTATGTTCTCGACTTACGGCGGGGATGGCCCTTCAAAACACGAGTTTCTTCAGTGACGTCAGGACTCCTGTCTAGTAACGAGGGACACCTCAGGAATCTCTTCGAGGCTTGGCAGGGCAAAAGGGACGCTTCTCGAGGTGAGGCAGGGCACCCAAGGACCCTTTCCAGTAGCCACAGGGATTTTGGGATTCCTATCAGTATTCAAGAGGAGTCAGGAATCGTCACCTTTTGAAGCAATGAACTCCGCGTGCCTCTCGAGGTGTCAGCGGGATGTGAGGCATTCCGTCAAAATGAGGCAGGGACCTAGGGCTTTCTCTAAGGTCTCCACAGGGGATTCAGACATCCCTTCATGTTGTGAGATGAAAGACGAGCCTGTATTCAAGCCACTGCAAGGAAATCCGGCCTCCTTTCAAGTTAGGGCTTCTCGCTCTATATTCCCCTTGAGGCAGCAAACTCGGGGTCCCTCCCACATACCTATTGCTGAGAGAAGCCTCCTCCTGAGGTGCTTCTGGGAAGTTGGCATACGTCTTGAGCCTAAGCCAGGGAATCAGCTCGCATCTCGAGACGATTTGGGGTACACGGAGCATTCCTCGAGTTGCTGTGCTGAAGTTGGTGTTCCTCTAGACTTGGGACAGTGTTCTCGGGGCATCTCTGGAGTTGCCTGAAGGAAGTCGAGCCACCGGTCGTGTTGAATGGGGAACGGGGAATGGCTCTGGAGTCAATGCAGAGGAATCGGGCCTCATCTCGAGTTGATTTTGGGCACATGGATCTGCCTTGCGTTGCTGGGGTGACCTCAGGGTCCGTCTAGACTGGTGACAGTGTTCTTGGGGACTGTCTCGAGATCCATTAAGCAAGTCGAAGCTCCTGACTTGTTTGAATGGGATCACGGAATAGCTCTGCATGCACTGCAGGGGAATGGGGCCTCATCTCGCCTCTAGGGGGAAGTCTCATGGTTTTTCTCGAGTTGCGGCGGGGACCTGGGGTATGTTCTCGACTTACGGCGGGGATGGCCCTTCAAAACACGAGTTTCTTCAGTGACGTCAGGACTCCTGTCTAGTAACGAGGGACACCTCAGGAATCTCTTCGAGGCTTGGCAGGGCAAAAGGGACTCTTCTCGAGGTGAGGCAGGGCACCCAAGGACCCTTTCCAGTAGCCACAGGGATTTTGGGATTCCTATCAGTATTCAAGAGGAGTCAGGCATCGTCACCTTTTGAAGCAATGAACTCCGCGTGCCTCTCGAGGTGTCAGCGGGATGTGAGGCATTCCGTCAAAATGAGGCAGGGACCTAGGGCTTTCTCTAAGGTCTCCACAGGGGATTCAGACATCCCTTCATGTTGTGAGATGAAAGACGAGCCTGTATTCAAGCCACTGCAAGGAAATCCGGCCTCCTTTCAAGTTAGGGCTTCTCGCTGTATATTCCCCTTGAGGCAGCAAACTCGGGGTCCCTCCCACATACCTATTGCTGAGAGAAGCCTCCTCCTGAGGTGCTTCTGGGAAGTTGGCATACGTCTTGAGCCTAAGCCAGGGTATCAGCTCGCATCTCGAGACGATTTGGGGTACACGGAGCATTCCTCGAGTTGCTGTGCTGAAGTTGGTGTTCCTCTAGACTTGGGACAGTGTTCTCGGGGCATCTCTGGAGTTGCCTGAAGGAAGTCGAGCCACCGGTCGTGTTGAATGGGGAACGGGGAATGGCTCTGGAGTCAATGCAGGGGAATCGGGCCTCATCCCGAGTTGATTTGGGGCACATGGAGCTGCTTTGCGTTGCTGGGGTGACCTCAGGGTCCGTCTAGACTGGTGACAGTGTTCTTGGGGACTGTCTCGAGATCCATTAAGCAAGTCGAAGCTCCTGACTTGTTTGAATGGGATCACGGAATAGCTCTGCATGCACTGCAGGGGAATGGGGCCTCATCTCGCCTCTAGGGGGAAGTCTCATGGTTTTTCTCGAGTTGCGGCGGGGACCTGGGGTATGTTCTCGACTTTCGGCGGGGATGGCCCTTCAAAACACGAGTTTCTTCAGTGACGTCAGGACTCCTGTCTAGTAACGAGGGACACCTCAGGAATCTCTTCGAGGCATGGCAGGGCCAAAGGGACGCTTCTCGAGGTGAGGCAGGGCACCCAAGGACCCTTTCCAGTAGCCACAGGGATTTTGGGATTCCTATCAGTATTCAAGAGGAGTCAGGCATCGTCACCTTTTGAAGCAATGAACTCCGCGTGCCTCTCGAGGTGTCAGCGGGATGTGAGGCATTCCGTCAAAATGAGGCAGGGACCTAGGGCTTTCTCTAAGGTCTCCACAGGGGATTCAGACATCCCTTCATGTTGTGAGATGAAAGACGAGCCTGTATTCAAGCCACTGCAAGGAAATCAGGCCTCCTTTCAAGTTAGGGCTTCTCGCTGTATATTCCCCTTGAGGCAGCAAACTCGGGGTCCCTCCCACATACCTATTGCTGAGAGAAGCCTCCTCCGGAGGTGCTTCTGGGAAGTTGGCATATGTCTTGAGCCTAAGCCAGGGAATCAGCTCGCATCTCGAGACGATTTGGGGTACACGGAGCATTCCTCGAGTTGCTGTGCTGAAGTTGGTGTTCCTCTAGACTTGGGACAGTGTTCTCGGGGCATCTCTGGAGTTGCCTGAAGGAAGTCGAGCCACCGGTCGTGTTGAATGGGGAACGGGGAATGGCTCTGGAGTCAATGCAGGGGAATCGGGCCTCATCTCGAGTTGATTTGGGGCACATGGAGCTGCTTTGCATTGCTGGGGTGACCTCAGGGTCCGTCTAGACTGGTGACAGTGTTCTTGGGGACTGTCTCGAGATCCATTAAGCAAGTCGAAGCTCCTGACTTGTTTGAATGGGATCACGGAATAGCTCTGCATGCACTGCAGGGGAATGGGGCCTCATCTCGCCTCTAGGGGGAAGTCTCATGGTTTTTCTCGAGTTGCGGCGGGGACCTGGGGTATGTTCTCGACTTACGGCGGGGATGGCCCTTCAAAACACGAGTTTCTTCAGTGACGTCAGGACTCCTGTCTAGTAACGAGGGACACCTCAGGAATCTCTTCGAGGCTTGGCAGGGCAAAAGGGACGCTTCTCGAGGTGAGGCAGGGCACCCAAGGACCCTTTCCAGTAGCCACAGGGATTTTGGGATTCCTATCAGTATTCAAGAGGAGTCAGGAATCGTCACCTTTTGAAGCAATGAACTCCGCGTGCCTCTCGAGGTGTCAGCGGGATGTGAGGCATTCCGTCAAAATGAGGCAGGGACCTAGGGCTTTCTCTAAGGTCTCCACAGGGGATTCAGACATCCCTTCATGTTGTGAGATGAAAGACGAGCCTGTATTCAAGCCACTGCAAGGAAATCCGGCCTCCTTTCAAGTTAGGGCTTCTCGCTGTATATTCCCCTTGAGGCAGCAAACTCGGGGTCCCTCCCACATACCTATTGCTGAGAGAAGCCTCCTCCTGAGGTGCTTCTGGGAAGTTGGCATACGTCTTGAGCCTAAGCCAGGGAATCAGCTCGCATCTCGAGACGATTTGGGGTACACGGAGCATTCCTCGAGTTGCTGTGCTGAAGTTGGTGTTCCTCTAGACTTGGGACAGTGTTCTCGGGGCATCTCTGGAGTTGCCTGAAGGAAGTCGAGCCACCGGTCGTGTTGAATGGGGAACGGGGAATGGCTCTGGAGTCAATGCAGAGGAATCGGGCCTCATCTCGAGTTGATTTTGGGCACATGGATCTGCTTTGCGTTGCTGGGGTGACCTCAGGGTCCGTCTAGACTGGTGACAGTGTTCTTGGGGACTGTCTCGAGATCCATTAAGCAAGTCGAAGCTCCTGACTTGTTTGAATGGGATCACGGAATAGCTCTGCATGCACTGCAGGGGAATGGGGCCTCATCTCGCCTCTAGGAGGAAGTCTCATGGTTTTTCTCGAGTTGCGGCGGGGACCTGGGGTATGTTCTCGACTTACGGCGGGGATGGCCCTTCAAAACACGAGTTTCTTCAGTGACGTCAGGACTCCTGTCTAGTAACGAGGGACACCTCAGGAATCTCTTCGAGGCTTGGCAGGGCCAAAGGGACGCTTCTCGAGGTGAGGCAGGGCACCCAAGGACCCTTTCCAGTAGCCACAGGGATTTTGGGATTCCTATCAGTATTCAAGAGGAGTCAGGCATCGTCACCTTTTGAAGCAATGAACTCCGCGTGCCTCTCGAGGTGTCAGCGGGATGTGAGGCATTCCGTCAAAATGAGGCAGGGACCTAGGGCTTTCTCTAAGGTCTCCACAGGGGATTCAGACATCCCTTCATGTTGTGAGATGAAAGACGAGCCTGTATTCAAGCCACTGCAAGGAAATCCGGCCTCCTTTCAAGTTAGGGCTTCTCGCTGTATATTCCCCTTGAGGCAGCAAACTCGGGGTCCCTCCCACATACCTATTGCTGAGAGAAGCCTCCTCCGGAGGTGCTTCTGGGAAGTTGGCATATGTCTTGAGCCTAAGCCAGGGAATCAGCTCGCATCTCGAGACGATTTGGGGTACACGGAGCATTCCTCGAGTTGCTGTGCTGAAGTTGGTGTTCCTGTAGACTTGGGACAGTGTTCTCGGGGCATCTCTGGAGTTGCCTGAAGGAAGTCGAGCCACCGGTCGTGTTGAATGGGGAACGGGGAATGGCTCTGGAGTCAATGCAGGGGAATCGGGCCTCATCTCGAGTTGATTTGGGGCACATGGAGCTGCTTTGCATTGCTGGGGTGACCTCAGGGTCCGTCTAGACTGGTGACAGTGTTCTTGGGGACTGTCTCGAGATCCATTAAGCAAGTCGAAGCTCCTGACTTGTTTGAATGGGATCACGGAATAGCTCTGCATGCACTGCAGGGGAATGGGGCCTCATCTCGCCTCTAGGGGGAAGTCTCATGGTTTTTCTCGAGTTGCGGCGGGGACCTGGGGTATGTTCTCGACTTACGGCGGGGATGGCCCTTCAAAACACGAGTTTCTTCAGTGACGTCAGGACTCCTGTCTAGTAACGAGGGACACCTCAGGAATCTCTTCGAGGCTTGGCAGGGCCAAAGGGACGCTTCTCGAGGTGAGGCAGGGCACCCAAGGACCCTTTCCAGTAGCCACAGGGATTTTGGGATTCCTATCAGTATTCAAGAGGAGTCAGGAATCGTCACCTTTTGAAGCAATGAACTCCGCGTGCCTCTCGAGGTGTCAGCGGGATGTGAGGCATTCCGTCAAAATGAGGCAGGGACCTAGGGCTTTCTCTAAGGTCTCCACAGGGGATTCAGACATCCCTTCATGTTGTGAGATGAAAGACGAGCCTGTATTCAAGCCACTGCAAGGAAATCCGGCCTCCTTTCAAGTTAGGGCTTCTCGCTGTATATTCCCCTTGAGGCAGCAAACTCGGGGTCCCTCCCACATACCTATTGCTGAGAGAAGCCTCCTCCTGAGGTGCTTCTGGGAAGTTGGCATACGTCTTGAGCCTAAGCCAGGGAATCAGCTCGCATCTCGAGACGATTTGGGGTACACGGAGCATTCCTCGAGTTGCTGTGCTGAAGTTGGTGTTCCTCTAGACTTGGGACAGTGTTCTCGGGGCATCTCTGGAGTTGCCTGAAGGAAGTCGAGCCACCGGTCGTGTTGAATGGGGAACGGGGAATGGCTCTGGAGTCAATGCAGGGGAATCGGGCCTCATCTCGAGTTGATTTGGGGCACATGGAGCTGCTTTGCGTTGCTGGGGTGACCTCAGGGTCTGTCTAGACTGGTGAAAGTGTTCTTGGGGACTGTCTCGAGATCCATTAAGCAAGTCGAAGCTCCTGACTTGTTTGAATGGGATCACGGAATAGCTCTGCATGCACTGCAGGGGAATGGGGCCTCATCTCGCCTCTAGGGGGAAGTCTCATGGTTTTTCTCGAGTTGCGGCGGGGACCTGGGGTATGTTCTCGACTTACGGCGGGGATGGCCCTTCAAAACACGAGTTTCTTCAGTGACGTCAGGACTCCTGTCTAGTAACGAGGGACACCTCAGGAATCTCTTCGAGGCTTGGCAGGGCAAAAGGGACGCTTCTCGAGGTGAGGCAGGGCACCCAAGGACCCTTTCCAGTAGCCACAGGGATTTTGGGATTCCTATCAGTATTCAAGAGGAGTCAGGCATCGTCACCTTTTGAAGCAATGAACTCCGCGTGCCTCTCGAGGTGTCAGCGGGATGTGAGGCATTCCGTCAAAATGAGGCAGGGACCTAGGGCTTTCTCTAAGGTCTCCACAGGGGATTCAGACATCCCTTCATGTTGTGAGATGAAAGACGAGCCTGTATTCAAGCCACTGCAAGGAAATCCGGCCTCCTTTCAAGTTAGGGCTTCTCGATGTATATTCCCCTTGAGGCAGCAAACTCGGGGTCCCTCCCACATACCTACTGCTGAGAGAAGCCTCCTCCTGAGGTGCTTCTGGGAAGATGGCATACGTCTTGAGCCTAAGCCAGGGAATCAGCTCGCATCTCGAGACGATTTGGGGTACACGGAGCATTCCTCGAGTTGCTGTGCTGAAGTTGGTGTTCCTCTAGACTTGGGACAGTGTTCTCGGGGCATCTCTGGAGTTGCCTGAAGGAAGTCGAGCCACCGGTCGTGTTGAATGGGGAACGGGGAATGGCTCTGGAGTCAATGCAGGGGAATCGGGCCTCATCTCGAGTTGATTTGGGGCACATGGAGCTGCTTTGCGTTGCTGGGGTGACCTCAGGGTCCGTCTAGACTGGTGACAGTGTTCTTGGGGACTGTCTCGAGATCCATTAAGCAAGTCGAAGCTCCTGACTTGTTTGAATGGGGTCACGGAATAGCTCTGCATGCACTGCAGGGGAATGGGGCCTCATCTCGCCTCTAGGGGGAAGTCTCATGGTTTTTCTCGAGTTGCGGCGGGGACCTGGGGTATGTTCTCGACTTACGGCGGGGATGGCCCTTCAAAACACGAGTTTCTTCAGTGACGTCAGGACTCCTGTCTAGTAACGAGGGACACCTCAGGAATCTCTTCGAGGCTTGGCAGGGCCAAAGGGACGCTTCTCGAGGTGAGGCAGGGCACCCAAGGACCCTTTCCAGTAGCCACAGGGATTTTGGGATTCCTATCAGTATTCAAGAGGAGTCAGGCATCGTCACCTTTTGAAGCAATGAACTCCGCGTGCCTCTCTAGGTGTCAGCGGGATGTGAGGCATTCCGTCAAAATGAGGCAGGGACCTAGGGCTTTCTCTAAGGTCTCCACAGGGGATTCAGACATCCCTTCATGTTGTGAGATGAAAGACGAGCCTGTATTCAAGCAACTGCAAGGAAATCCGGCCTCCTTTCAAGTTAGGGCTTCTCGCTGTATATTCCCCTTGAGGCAGCAAGCTCGGGGTCCCTCCCACATACCTACTGCTGAGAGAAGCCTCCTCCTGAGGTGCTTCTGGGAAGTTGGCATACGTCTTGAGCCTAAGCCAGGGAATCAGCTCGCATCTCGAGACGATTTGGGGTACACGGAGCATTCCTCGAGTTGCTGTGCTGAAGTTGGTGTTCCTCTAGACTTGGGACAGTGTTCTCGGGGCATCTCTGGAGTTGCCTGAAAGAAGTCGAGCCACCGGTCGTGTTGAATGGGGAACGGGGAATGGCTCTGGAGTCAATGCAGGGGAATCGGGCCTCATCTCGAGTTGATTTGGGGCACATGGAGCTGCTTTGTGTTGCTGGGGTGACCTCAGGGTCCGTCTAGACTGGTGACAGTGTTCTTGGGGACTGTCTCGAGATCCATTAAGCAAGTCGAAGCTCCTGACTTGTTTGAATGGGGTCACGGAATAGCTCTGCATGCACTGCAGGGGAATGGGGCCTCATCTCGCCTCTAGGGGGAAGTCTCATGGTTTTTCTCGAGTTGCGGCGGGGACCTGGGGTATGTTCTCGACTTACGGCGGGGATGGCCCTTCAAAACACGAGTTTCTTCAGTGACGTCAGGACTCCTGTCTAGTAACGAGGGACACCTCAGGAATCTCTTCGAGGCTTGGCAGGGCAAAAGGGACGCTTCTCGAGGTGAGGCAGGGCACCCAAGGACCCTTTCCATTAGCCACAGGGATTTTGGGATTCCTATCAGTATTCAAGAGGAGTCAGGCATCGTCACCTTTTGAAGCAATGAACTCCGCGTGCCTCTCGAGGTGTCAGCGGGATGTGAGGCATTCCGTCAAAATGAGGCAGGGACCTAGGGCTTTCTCTAAGGTCTCCACAGGGGATTCAGACATCCCTTCATGTTGTGAGATGAAAGACGAGCCTGTATTCAAGCCACTGCAAGGAAATCCGGCCTCCTTTCAAGTTAGGGCTTCTCGCTGTATATTCCCCTTGAGGCAGCAAACTCGGGGTCCCTCCCACATACCTATTGCTGAGAGAAGCCTCCTCCTGAGGTGCTTCTGGGAAGTTGGCATACGTCTTGAGCCTAAGCCAGGGAATCAGCTCGCATCTCGAGACGATTTGGGGTACACGGAGCATTCCTCGAGTTGCTGTGCTGAAGTTGGTGTTCCTCTAGACTTGGGACAGTGTTCTCGGGGCATCTCTGGAGTTGCCTGAAGGAAGTCGAGCCACCGGTCGTGTTGAATGGGGAACGGGGAATGGCTCTGGAGTCAATGCAGGGGAATCGGGCGTCATCTCGAGTTGATTTGGGGCACATGGAGCTGCTTTGCGTTGCTGGGGTGACCTCAGGGTCCGTCTAGACTGGTGACAGTGTTCTTGGGGACTGTCTCGAGATCCATTAAGCAAGTCGAAGCTCCTGACTTGTTTGAATGGGGTCACGGAATAGCTCTGCACGCACTGCAGGGGAATGGGGCCTCATCTCGCCTCTAGGGGGAAGTCTCATGGTTTTTCTCGAGTTGCGGCGGGGACCTGGGGTATGTTCTCGACTTACGGCGGGGATGGCCCTTCAAAACACGAGTTTCTTCAGTGACGTCAGGACTCCTGTCTAGTAACGAGGGACACCTCAGGAATCTCTTCGAGGCTTGGCAGGGCCAAAGGGACGCTTCTCGAGGTGAGGCAGGGCACCCAAGGACCCTTTCCAGTAGCCACAGGGATTTTGGGATTCCTATCAGTATTCAAGAGGAGTCAGGCATCGTCACCTTTTGAAGCAATGAACTCCGCGTGCCTCTCGAGGTGTCAGCGGGATGTGAGGCATTCCGTCAAAATGAGGCAGGGACCTAGGGCTTTCTCTAAGGTCTCCACAGGGGATTCAGACATCCCTTCATGTTGTGAGATGAAAGACGAGCCTGTATTCAAGCCACTGCAAGGAAATCCGGCCTCCTTTCAAGTTAGGGCTTCTCGCTGTATATTCCCCTTGAGGCAGCAAACTCGGGGTCCCTCCCACATACCTACTGCTGAGAGAAGCCTCCTCCTGAGGTGCTTCTGGGAAGTTGGCATACGTCTTGAGCCTAAGCCAGGGAATCAGCTCGCATCTCGAGACGATTTGGGGTACACGGAGCATTCCTCGAGTTGCTGTGCTGAAGTTGGTGTTCCTCTAGACTTGGGACAGTGTTCTCGGGGCATCTCTGGAGTTGCCTGAAGGAAGTCGAGCCACCGGTCGTGTTGAATGGGGAACGGGGAATGGCTCTGGAGTCAATGCAGGGGAATCGGGCCTCATCTCGAGTTGATTTGGGGCACATGGAGCTGCTTTGCGTTGCTGGGGTGACCTCAGGGTCCGTCTAGACTGGTGACAGTGTTCTTGGGGACTGTCTCGAGATCCATTAAGCAAGTCGAAGCTCCTGACTTGTTTGAATGGGGTCACGGAATAGCTCTGCATGCACTGCAGGGGAATGGGGCCTCATCTCGCCTCTAGGGGGAAGTCTCATGGTTTTTCTCGAGTTGCGGCGGGGACCTGGGGTATGTTCTCGACTTACGGCGGGGATGGCCCTTCAAAACACGAGTTTCTTCAGTGACGTCAGGACTCCTGTCTAGTAACGAGGGACACCTCAGGAATCTCTTCGAGGCTTGGCAGGGCAAAAGGGACGCTTCTCGAGGTGAGGCAGGGCACCCAAGGACCCTTTCCAGTAGCCACAGGGATTTTGGGATTCCTATCATTATTCAAGAGGAGTCAGGCATCGTCACCTTTTGAAGCAATGAACTCCGCGTGCCTCTCGAGGTGTCAGCGGGATGTGAGGCATTCCGTCAAAATGAGGCAGGGACCTAGGGCTTTCTCTAAGGTCTCCACAGAGGATTCAGACATCCCTTCATGTTGTGAGATGAAAGACGAGCCTGTATTCAAGCCACTGCAAGGAAATCCGGCCTCCTTTCAAGTTAGGGCTTCTCGCTGTATATTCCCCTTGAGGCAGCAAACTCGGGGTCCCTCCCACATACCTATTGCTGAGAGAAGCCTCCTCCTGAGGTGCTTCTGGGAAGTTGGCATACGTCTTGAGCCTAAGCCAGGGAATCAGCTCGCATCTCGAGACGATTTGGGGTACACGGAGCATTCCTCGAGTTGCTGTGCTGAAGTTGGTGTTCCTCTAGACTTGGGACAGTGTTCTCGGGGCATCTCTGGAGTTGCCTGAAGGAAGTCGAGCCACCGGTCGTGTTGAATGGGGAACGGGGAATGGCTCTGGAGTCAATGCAGGGGAATCGGGCCTCATCTCGAGTTGATTTGGGGCACATGGAGCTGCTTTGCGTTGCTGGGGTGACCTCAGGGTCCGTCTAGACTGGTGACAGTGTTCTTGGGGACTGTCTCGAGATCCATTAAGCAAGTCGAAGCTCCTGACTTGTTTGAATGGGGTCACGGAATAGCTCTGCATGCACTGCAGGGGAATGGGGCCTCATCTCGCCTCTAGGGGGAAGTCTCATGGTTTTTCTCGAGTTGCGGCGGGGACCTGGGGTATGTTCTCGACTTACGGCGGGGATGGCCCTTCAAAACACGAGTTTCTTCAGTGACGTCAGGACTCCTGTCTAGTAACGAGGGACACCTCAGGAATCTCTTCGAGGCTTGGCAGGGCCAAAGGGACGCTTCTCGAGGTGAGGCAGGGCACCCAAGGACCCTTTCCAGTAGCCACAGGGATTTTGGGATTCCTATCAGTATTCAAGAGGAGTCAGGCATCGTCACCTTTTGAAGCAATGAACTCCGCGTGCCTCTCCAGGTGTCAGCGGGATGTGAGGCATTCCGTCAAAATGAGGCAGGGACCTAGGGCTTTCTCTAAGGTCTCCACAGGGGATTCAGACATCCCTTCATGTTGTGAGATGAAAGACGAGCCTGTATTCAAGCCACTGCAAGGAAATCCGGCCTCCTTTCAAGTTAGGGCTTCTCGCTGTATATTCCCCTTGAGGCAGCAAACTCGGGGTCCCTCCCACATACCTATTGCTGAGAGAAGCCTCCTCCTGAGGTGCTTCTGGGAAGTTGGCATACGTCTTGAGCCTAAGCCAGGGAATCAGCTCGCATCTCGAGACGATTTGGGGTACACGGAGCATTCCTCGAGTTGCTGTGCTGAAGTTGGTGTTCCTCTAGACTTGGGACAGTGTTCTCGGGGCATCTCTGGAGTTGCCTGAAGGAAGTCGAGCCACCGGTCGTGTTGAATGGGGAACGGGGAATGGCTCTGGAGTCAATGCAGGGGAATCGGGCCTCATCTCGAGTTGATTTGGGGCACATGGAGCTGCTTTGCGTTGCTGGGGTGACCTCAGGGTCCGTCTAGTCTGGTGACAGTGTTCTTGGGGACTGTCTCGAGATCCATTAAGCAAGTCGAAGCTCCTGACTTGTTTGAATGGGATCACGGAATAGCTCTGCATGCACTGCAGGGGAATGGGGCCTCATCTCGCCTCTAGGGGGAAGTCTCATGGTTTTTCTCGAGTTGCGGCGGGGACCTGGGGTATGTTCTCGACTTACGGCGGGGATGGCCCTTCAAAACACGAGTTTCTTCAGTGACGTCAGGACTCCTGTCTAGTAACGAGGGACACCTCAGGAATCTCTTCTAGGCTTGGCAGGGCCAAAGGGACGCTTCTCGAGGTGAGGCAGGGCACCCAAGGACCCTTTCCAGTAGCCACAGGGATTTTGGGATTCCTATCAGTATTCAAGAGGAGTCAGGCATCGTCACCTTTTGAAGCAATGAACTCCGCGTGCCTCTCGAGGTGTCAGCGGGATGTGAGGCATTCCGTCAAAATGAGGCAGGGACCTAGGGCTTTCTCTAAGGTCTCCACAGGGGATTCAGACATCCCTTCATGTTGTGAGATGAAAGACGAGCCTGTATTCAAGCCACTGCAAGGAAATCCGGCCTCCTTTCAAGTTAGGGCTTCTCGCTGTATATTCCCCTTGAGGCAGCAAACTCGGGGTCCCTCCCACATACCTATTGCTGAGAGAAGCCTCCTCCTGAGGTGCTTCTGGGAAGTTGGCATACGTCTTGAGCCTAAGCCAGGGAATCAGCTCGCATCTCGAGACGATTTGGGGTACACGGAGCATTCCTCGAGTTGCTGTGCTGAAGTTGGTGTTCCTCTAGACTTGGGACAGTGTTCTCGGGGCATCTCTGGAGTTGCCTGAAGGAAGTCGAGCCACCGGTCGTGTTGAATGGGGAACGGGGAATGGCTCTGGAGTCAATGCAGGGGAATCGGGCCTCATCTCGAGTTGATTTGGGGCACATGGAGCTGCTTTGCGTTGCTGGGGTGACCTCAGGGTCCGTCTAGACTGGTGACAGTGTTCTTGGGGACTGTCTCGAGATCCATTAAGCAAGTCGAAGCTCCTGACTTGTTTGAATGGGATCACGGAATAGCTCTGCATGCACTGCAGGGGAATGGGGCCTCATCTCGCCTCTAGGGGGAAGTCTCATGGTTTTTCTCGAGTTGCGGCGGGGACCTGGGGTATGTTCTCGACTTACGGCGGGGATGGCCCTTCAAAACACGAGTTTCTTCAGTGACGTCAGGACTCCTGTCTAGTAACGAGGGACACCTCAGGAATCTCTTCGAGGCTTGGCAGGGCCAAAGGGACGCTTCTCGAGGTGAGGCAGGGCACCCAAGGACCCTTTCCAGTAGCCACAGGGATTTTGGGATTCCTATCAGTATTCAAGAGGAGTCAGGCATCGTCACCTTTTGAAGCAATGAACTCCGCGTGCCTCTCCAGGTGTCAGCGGGATGTGAGGCATTCCGTCAAAATGAGGCAGGGACCTAGGGCTTTCTCTAAGGTCTCCACAGGGGATTCAGACATCCCTTCATGTTGTGAGATGAAAGACGAGCCTGTATTCAAGCCACTGCAAGGAAATCCGGCCTCCTTTCAAGTTAGGGCTTCTCGCTGTATATTCCCCTTGAGGCAGCAAACTCGGGGTCCCTCCCACATACCTATTGCTGAGAGAAGCCTCCTCCTGAGGTGCTTCTGGGAAGTTGGCATACGTCTTGAGCCTAAGCCAGGGAATCAGCTCGCATCTCGAGACGATTTGGGGTACACGGAGCATTCCTCGAGTTGCTGTGCTGAAGTTGGTGTTCCTCTAGACTTGGGACAGTGTTCTCGGGGCATCTCTGGAGTTGCCTGAAGGAAGTCGAGCCACCGGTCGTGTTGAATGGGGAACGGGGAATGGCTCTGGAGTCAATGCAGGGGAATCGGGCCTCATCTCGAGTTGATTTGGGGCACATGGAGCTGCTTTGCGTTGCTGGGGTGACCTCAGGGTCCGTCTAGACTGGTGACAGTGTTCTTGGGGACTGTCTCGAGATCCATTAAGCAAGTCGAAGCTCCTGACTTGTTTGAATGGGGTCACGGAATAGCTCTGCACGCACTGCAGGGGAATGGGGCCTCATCTCGCCTCTAGGGGGAAGTCTCATGGTTTTTCTCGAGTTGCGGCGGGGACCTGGGGTATGTTCTCGACTTACGGCGGGGATGGCCCTTCAAAACACGAGTTTCTTCAGTGACGTCAGGACTCCTGTCTAGTAACGAGGGACACCTCAGGAATCTCTTCGAGGCTTGGCAGGGCCAAAGGGACGCTTCTCGAGGTGAGGCAGGGCACCCAAGGACCCTTTCCAGTAGCCACAGGGATTTTGGGATTCCTATCAGTATTCAAGAGGAGTCAGGCATCGTCACCTTTTGAAGCAATGAACTCCGCGTGCCTCTCGAGGTGTCAGCGGGATGTGAGGCATTCCGTCAAAATGAGGCAGGGACCTAGGGCTTTCTCTAAGGTCTCCACAGGGGATTCAGACATCCCTTCATGTTGTGAGATGAAAGACGAGCCTGTATTCAAGCCACTGCAAGGAAATCCGGTCTCCTTTCAAGTTAGGGCTTCTCGCTGTATATTCCCCTTGAGGCAGCAAACTCGGGGTCCCTCCCACATACCTATTGCTGAGAGAAGCCTCCTCCTGAGGTGCTTCTGGGAAGTTGGCATACGTCTTGAGCCTAAGCCAGGGAATCAGCTCGCATCTCGAGACGATTTGGGGTACACGGAGCATTCCTCGAGTTGCTGTGCTGAAGTTGGTGTTCCTCTAGACTTGGGACAGTGTTCTCGGGGCATCTCTGGAGTTGCCTGAAGGAAGTCGAGCCACCGGTCGTGTTGAATGGGGAACGGGGAATGGCTCTGGAGTCAATGCAGGGGAATCGGGCCTCATCTCGAGTTGATTTGGGGCACATGGAGCTGCTTTGCGTTGCTGGGGTGACCTCAGGGTCCGTCTAGACTGGTGACAGTGTTCTTGGGGACTGTCTCGAGATCCATTAAGCAAGTCGAAGCTCCTGACTTGTTTGAATGGGATCACGGAATAGCTCTGCATGCACTGCAGGGGAATGGGGCCTCATCTCGCCTCTAGGGGGAAGTCTCATGGTTTTTCTCGAGTTGCGGCGGGGACCTGGGGTATGTTCTCGACTTACGGCGGGGATGGCCCTTCAAAACACGAGTTTCTTCAGTGACGTCAGGACTCCTGTCTAGTAACGAGGGACACCTCAGGAATCTCTTCGAGGCTTGGCAGGGCCAAAGGGACGCTTCTCGAGGTGAGGCAGGGCACCCAAGGACCCTTTCCAGTAGCCACAGGGATTTTGGGATTCCTATCAGTATTCAAGAGGAGTCAGGCATCGTCACCTTTTGAAGCAATGAACTCCGCGTGCCTCTCGAGGTGTCAGCGGGATGTGAGGCATTCCGTCAAAATGAGGCAGGGACCTAGGGCTTTCTCTAAGGTCTCCACAGGGGATTCAGACATCCCTTCATGTTGTGAGATGAAAGACGAGCCTGTATTCAAGCCACTGCAAGGAAATCCGGCCTCCTTTCAAGTTAGGGCTTCTCGCTGTATATTCCCCTTGAGGCAGCAAACTCGGGGTCCCTCCCACATACCTATTGCTGAGAGAAGCCTCCTCCTGAGGTGCTTCTGGGAAGTTGGCATACGTCTTGAGCCTAAGCCAGGGAATCAGCTCGCATCTCGAGACGATTTGGGGTACACGGAGCATTCCTCGAGTTGCTGTGCTGAAGTTGGTGTTCCTCTAGACTTGGGACAGTGTTCTCGGGGCATCTCTGGAGTTGCCTGAAGGAAGTCGAGCCACCGGTCGTGTTGAATGGGGAACGGGGAATGGCTCTGGAGTCAATGCAGGGGAATCGGGCCTCATCTCGAGTTGATTTGGGGCACATGGAGCTGCTTTGCGTTGCTGGGGTGACCTCAGGGTCCGTCTAGACTGGTGACAGTGTTCTTGGGGACTGTCTCGAGATCCATTAAGCAAGTCGAAGCTCCTGACTTGTTTGAATGGGATCACGGAATAGCTCTGCATGCACTGCAGGGGAATGGGGCCTCATCTCGCCTCTAGGGGGAAATCTCATGGTTTTTCTCGAGTTGCGGCGGGGACCTGGGATATGTTCTCGACTTACGGCGGGGATGGCCCTTCAAAACACGAGTTTCTTCAGTGACGTCAGGACTCCTGTCTAGTAACGAGGGACACCTCAGGAATCTCTTCGAGGCTTGGCAGGGCCAAAGGGACGCTTCTCGAGGTGAGGCAGGGCACCCAAGGACCCTTTCCAGTAGCCACAGGGATTTTGGGATTCCTATCAGTATTCAAGAGGAGTCAGGCATCGTCACCTTTTGAAGCAATGAACTCCGCGTGCCTCTCCAGGTGTCAGCGGGATGTGAGGCATTCCGTCAAAATGAGGCAGGGACCTAGGGCTTTCTCTAAGGTCTCCACAGGGGATTCAGACATCCCTTCATGTTGTGAGATGAAAGACGAGCCTGTATTCAAGCCACTGCAAGGAAATCCGGCCTCCTTTCAAGTTAGGGCTTCTCGCTGTATATTCCCCTTGAGGCAGCAAACTCGGGGTCCCTCCCACATACCTATTGCTGAGAGAAGCCTCCTCCTGAGGTGCTTCTGGGAAGTTGGCATACGACTTGAGCCTAAGCCAGGGAATCAGCTCGCATCTCGAGACGATTTGGGGTACACGGAGCATTCCTCGAGTTGCTGTGCTGAAGTTGGTGTTCCTCTAGACTTGGGACAGTGTTCTCGGGGCATCTCTGGAGTTGCCTGAAGGAAGTCGAGCCACCGGTCGTGTTGAATGGAGAACGGGGAATGGCTCTGGAGTCAATGCAGGGGAATCGGGCCTCATCTCGACTTGATTTGGGGCACATGGAGCTGCTTTGCGTTGCTGGGGTGACCTCAGGGTCCGTCTAGACTGGTGACAGTGTTCTTGGGGACTGTCTCGAGATCCATTAAGCAAGTCGAAGCTCCTGACTTGTTTGAATGGGGTCACGGAATAGCTCTGCACGCACTGCAGGGGAATGGGGCCTCATCTCGCCTCTAGGGGGAAGTCTCATGGTTTTTCTCGAGTTGCGGCGGGGACCTGGGGTATGTTCTCGACTTACGGCGGGGATGGCCCTTCAAAACACGAGTTTCTTCAGTGACGTCAGGACTCCTGTCTAGTAACGAGGGACACCTCAGGAATCTCTTCGAGGCTTGGCAGGGCCAAAGGGACGCTTCTCGAGGTGAGGCAGGGCACCCAAGGACCCTTTCCAGTAGCCACAGGGATTTTGGGATTCCTATCAGTATTCAAGAGGAGTCAGGCATCGTCACCTTTTGAAGCAATGAACTCCGCGTGCCTCTCGAGGTGTCAGCGGGATGTGAGGCATTCCGTTAAAATGAGGCAGGGACCTAGGGCTTTCTCTAAGGTCTCCACAGGGGATTCAGACATCCCTTCATGTTGTGAGATGAAAGACGAGCCTGTATTCAAGCCACTGCAAGGAAATCCGGTCTCCTTTCAAGTTAGGGCTTCTCGCTGTATATTCCCCTTGAGGCAGCAAACTCGGGGTCCCTCCCACATACCTATTGCTGAGAGAAGCCTCCTCCTGAGGTGCTTCTGGGAAGTTGGCATACGTCTTGAGCCTAAGCCAGGGAATCAGCTCGCATCTCGAGACGATTTGGGGTACACGGAGCATTCCTCGAGTTGCTGTGCTGAAGTTGGTGTTCCTCTAGACTTGGGACAGTGTTCTCGGGGCATCTCTGGAGTTGCCTGAAGGAAGTCGAGCCACCGGTCGTGTTGAATGGGGAACGGGGAATGGCTCTGGAGTCAATGCAGGGGAATCGGGCCTCATCTCGAGTTGATTTGGGGCACATGGAGCTGCTTTGCGTTGCTGGGGTGACCTCAGGGTCCGTCTAGACTGGTGACAGTGTTCTTGGGGACTGTCTCGAGATCCATTAAGCAAGTCGAAGCTCCTGACTTGTTTGAATGGGATCACGGAATAGCTCTGCATGCACTGCAGGGGAATGGGGCCTCATCTCGCCTCTAGGGCGAAGTCTCATGGTTTTTCTCGAGTTGCGGCGGGGACCTGGGGTATGTTCTCGACTTACGGCGGGGATGGCCCTTCAAAACACGAGTTTCTTCAGTGACGTCAGGACTCCTGTCTAGTAACGAGGGACACCTCAGGAATCTCTTCGAGGCTTGGCAGGGCCAAAGGGACGCTTCTCGAGGTGAGGCAGGGCACCCAAGGACCCTTTCCAGTAGCCACAGGGATTTTGGGATTCCTATCAGTATTCAAGAGGAGTCAGGCATCGTCACCTTTTGAAGCAATGAACTCCGCGTGCCTCTCCAGGTGTCAGCGGGATGTGAGGCATTCCGTCAAAATGAGGCAGGGACCTAGGGCTTTCTCTAAGGTCTCCACAGGGGATTCAGACATCCCTTCATGTTGTGAGATGAAAGACGAGCCTGTATTCAAGCCACTGCAAGGAAATCCGGCCTCCTTTCAAGTTAGGGCTTCTCGCTGTATATTCCCCTTGAGGCAGCAAACTCGGGGTCCCTCCCACATACCTATTGCTGAGAGAAGCCTCCTCCTGAGGTGCTTCTGGGAAGTTGGCATACGTCTTGAGCCTAAGCCAGGGAATCAGCTCGCATCTCGAGACGATTTGGGGTACACGGAGCATTCCTCGAGTTGCTGTGCTGAAGTTGGTGTTCCTCTAGACTTGGGACAGTGTTCTCGGGGCATCTCTGGAGTTGCCTGAAGGAAGTCGAGCCACCGGTCGTGTTGAATGGGGAACGGGGAATGGCTCTGGAGTCAATGCAGGGGAATCGGGCCTCATCTCGAGTTGATTTGGGGCACATGGAGCTGCTTTGCGTTGCTGGGGTGACCTCAGGGTCCGTCTAGACTGGTGACAGTGTTCTTGGGGACTGTCTCGAGATCCATTAAGCAAGTCGAAGCTCCTGACTTGTTTGAATGGGATCACGGAATAGCTCTGCATGCACTGCAGGGGAATGGGGCCTCATCTCGCCTCTAGGGGGAAGTCTCATGTTTTTTCTCGAGTTGCGGCGGGGACCTGGCGTATGTTCTCGACTTTCGGCGGGGATGGCCCTTCAAAACACGAGTTTCTTCAGTGACGTCAGGAATCCTGTCTAGTAACGAGGGACACCTCAGGAATCTCTTCGAGGCTTGGCAGGGCAAAAGGGACGCTTCTCGAGGTGAGGCAGGGCACCCAAGGACCCTTTCCAGTAGCCACAGGGATTTTGGGATTCCTATCAGTATTCAAGAGGAGTCAGGCATCGTCACCTTTTGAAGCAATGAACTCCGCGTGCCTCTCGAGGTGTCAGCGGGATGTGAGGCATTCCGTCAAAATGAGGCAGGGACCTAGGGCTTTCTCTAAGGTCTCCACAGGGGATTCAGACATCCCTTCATGTTGTGAGATGAAAGACGAGCCTGTATTCGAGCCACTGCAAGGAAATCCGGCCTCCTTTCAAGTTAGGGCTTCTCGCTGTATATTCCCCTTGAGGCAGCAAACTCGGGGTCCCTCCCACATACCTATTGCTGAGAGAAGCCTCCTCCTGAGGTGCTTCTGGGAAGTTGGCATACGTCTTGAGCCTAAGCCAGGGAATCAGCTCGCATCTCGAGACGATTTGGGGTACACGGAGCATTCCTCGAGTTGCTGTGCTGAAGTTGGTGTTCCTCTAGACTTGGGACAGTGTTCTCGGGGCATCTCTGGAGTTGCCTGAAGGAAGTCGAGCCACCGGTCGTGTTGAATGGGGAACGGGGAATGGCTCTGGAGTCAATGCAGGGGAATCGGGCCTCATCTCGAGTTGATTTGGGGCACATGGAGCTGCTTTGCGTTGCTGGGGTGACCTCAGGGTCCGTCTAGACTGGTGACAGTGTTCTTGGGGACTGTCTCGAGATCCATTAAGCAAGTCGAAGCTCCTGACTTGTTTGAATGGGATCACGGAATAGCTCTGCATGCACTGCAGGGGAATGGGGCCTCATCTCGCCTCTAGGGGGAAGTCTCATGGTTTTTCTCGAGTTGCGGCGGGGACCTGGGGTATGTTCTCGACTTACGGCGGGGATGGCCCTTCAAAACACGAGTTTCTTCAGTGACGTCAGGACTCCTGTCTAGTAACGAGGGACACCTCAGGAATCTCTTCGAGGCTTGGCAGGGCCAAAGGGACGCTTCTCGAGGTGAGGCAGGGCACCCAAGGACCCTTTCCAGTAGCCACAGGGATTTTGGGATTCCTATCAGTATTCAAGAGGAGTCAGGCATCGTCACCTTTTGAAGCAATGAACTCCGCGTGCCTCTCGAGGTGTCAGCGGGATGTGAGGCATTCCGTCAAAATGAGGCAGGGACCTAGGGCTTTCTCTAAGGTCTCCACAGGGGATTCAGACATCCCTTCATGTTGTGAGATGAAAGACGAGCCTGTATTCAAGCCACTGCAAGGAAATCCGGCCTCCTTTCAAGTTAGGGCTTCTCGCTGTATATTCCCCTTGAGGCAGCAAACTCGGGGTCCCTCCCACATACCTATTGCTGAGAGAAGCCTCCTCCTGAGGTGCTTCTGGGAAGTTGGCATACGTCTTGAGCCTAAGCCAGGGAATCAGCTCGCATCTCGAGACGATTTGGGGTACACGGAGCATTCCTCGAGTTGCTGTGCTGAAGTTGGTGTTCCTCTAGACTTGGGACAGTGTTCTCGGGGCATCTCTGGAGTTGCCTGAAGGAAGTCGAGCCACCGGTCGTGTTGAATGGGGAACGGGGAATGGCTCTGGAGTCAATGCAGGGGAATCGGGCCTCATCCCGAGTTGATTTGGGGCACATGGAGCTGCTTTGCGTTGCTGGGGTGACCTCAGGGTCCGTCTAGACTGGTGACAGTGTTCTTGGGGACTGTCTCGAGATCCATTAAGGAAGTCGAAGCTCCTGACTTGTTTGAATGGGATCACGGAATAGCTCTGCATGCACTGCAGGGGAATGGGGCCTCATCTCGCCTCTAGGGGGAAGTCTCATGGTTTTTCTCGAGTTGCGGCGGGGACCTGGGGTATGTTCTCGACTTACGGCGGGGATGGCCCTTCAAAACACGAGTTTCTTCAGTGACGTCAGGACTCCTGTCTAGTAACGAGGGACACCTCAGGAATCTCTTCGAGGCTTGGCAGGGCCAAAGGGACGCTTCTCGAGGTGAGGCAGGGCACCCAAGGACCCTTTCCAGTAGCCACAGGGATTTTGGGATTCCTATCAGTATTCAAGAGGAGTCAGGCATCGTCACCTTTTGAAGCAATGAACTCCGCGTGCCTCTCGAGGTGTCAGCGGGATGTGAGGCATTCCGTCAAAATGAGGCAGGGACCTAGGGCTTTCTCTAAGGTCTCCACAGGGGATTCAGACATCCCTTCATGTTGTGAGATGAAAGACGAGCCTGTATTCAAGCCACTGCAAGGAAATCCGGCCTCCTTTCAAGTTAGGGCTTCTCGCTGTATATTCCCCTTGAGGCAGCAAACTCGGGGTCCCTCCCACATACCTATTGCTGAGAGAAGCCTCCTCCGGAGGTGCTTCTGGGAAGTTGGCATACGTCTTGAGCCTAAGCCAGGGAATCAGCTCGCATCTCGAGACGATTTGGGGTACACGGAGCATTCCTCGAGTTGCTGTGCTGAAGTTGGTGTTCCTCTAGACTTGGGACAGTGTTCTCGGGGCATCTCTGGAGTTGCCTGAAGGAAGTCGAGCCACCGGTCGTGTTGAATGGGGAACGGGGAATGGCTCTGGAGTCAATGCAGGGGAATCGGGCCTCATCTCGAGTTGATTTGGGGCACATGGAGCTGCTTTGCATTGCTGGGGTGACCTCAGGGTCCGTCTAGACTGGTGACAGTGTTCTTGGGGACTGTCTCGAGATCCATTAAGCAAGTCGAAGCTCCTGACTTGTTTGAATGGGATCACGGAATAGCTCTGCATGCACTGCAGGGGAATGGGGCCTCATCTCGCCTCTAGGGGGAAGTCTCATGGTTTTTCTTGAGTTGCGGCGGGGACCTGGGGTATGTTCTCGACTTACGGCGGGGATGGCCCTTCAAAACACGAGTTTCTTCAGTGACGTCAGGACTCCTGTCTAGTAACGAGGGACACCTCAGGAATCTCTTCGAGGCTTGGCAGGGCAAAAGGGACGCTTCTCGAGGTGAGGCAGGGCACCCAAGGACCCTTTCCAGTAGCCACAGGGATTTTGGGATTCCTATCAGTATTCAAGAGGAGTCAGGAATCGTCACCTTTTGAAGCAATGAACTCCGCGTGCCTCTCGAGGTGTCAGCGGGATGTGAGGCATTCCGTCAAAATGAGGCAGGGACCTAGGGCTTTCTCTAAGGTCTCCACAGGGGATTCAGACATCCCTTCATGTTGTGAGATGAAAGACGAGCCTGTATTCAAGCCACTGCAAGGAAATCCGGCCTCCTTTCAAGTTAGGGCTTCTCGCTCTATATTCCCCTTGAGGCAGCAAACTCGGGGTCCCTCCCACATACCTATTGCTGAGAGAAGCCTCCTCCTGAGGTGCTTCTGGGAAGTTGGCATACGTCTTGAGCCTAAGCCAGGGAATCAGCTCGCATCTCGAGACGATTTGGGGTACACGGAGCATTCCTCGAGTTGCTGTGCTGAAGTTGGTGTTCCTCTAGACTTGGGACAGTGTTCTCGGGGCATCTCTGGGGTTGCCTGAAGGAAGTCGAGCCACCGGTCGTGTTGAATGGGGAACGGGGAATGGCTCTGGAGTCAATGCAGAGGAATCGGGCCTCATCTCGAGTTGATTTTGGGCACATGGATCTGCTTTGCGTTGCTGGGGTGACCTCAGGGTCCGTCTAGACTGGTGACAGTGTTCTTGGGGACTGTCTCGAGATCCATTAAGCAAGTCGAAGCTCCTGACTTGTTTGAATGGGATCACGGAATAGCTCTGCATGCACTGCAGGGGAATGGGGCCTCATCTCGCCTCTAGGGGGAAGTCTCATGGTTTTTCTCGAGTTGCGGCGGGGACCTGGGGTATGTTCTCGACTTACGGCGGGGATGGCCCTTCAAAACACGAGTTTCTTCAGTGACGTCAGGACTCCTGTCTAGTAACGAGGGACACCTCAGGAATCTCTTCGAGGCTTGGCAGGGCAAAAGGGACGCTTCTCGAGGTGAGGCAGGGCACCCAAGGACCCTTTCCAGTAGCCACAGGGATTTTGGGATTCCTATCAGTATTCAAGAGGAGTCAGGCATCGTCACCTTTTGAAGCAATGAACTCCGCGTGCCTCTCGAGGTGTCAGCGGGATGTGAGGCATTCCGTCAAAATGAGGCAGGGACCTAGGGCTTTCTCTAAGGTCTCCACAGGGGATTCAGACATCCCTTCATGTTGTGAGATGAAAGACGAGCCTGTATTCAAGCCACTGCAAGGAAATCCGGCCTCCTTTCAAGTTAGGGCTTCTCGCTGTATATTCCCCTTGAGGCAGCAAACTCGGGGTCCCTCCCACATACCTATTGCTGAGAGAAGCCTCCTCCTGAGGTGCTTCTGGGAAGTTGGCATACGTCTTGAGCCTAAGCCAGGGTATCAGCTCGCATCTCGAGACGATTTGGGGTACACGGAGCATTCCTCGAGTTGCTGTGCTGAAGTTGGTGTTCCTCTAGACTTGGGACAGTGTTCTCGGGGCATCTCTGGAGTTGCCTGAAGGAAGTCGAGCCACCGGTCGTGTTGAATGGGGAACGGGGAATGGCTCTGGAGTCAATGCAGGGGAATCGGGCCTCATCCCGAGTTGATTTGGGGCACATGGAGCTGCTTTGCGTTGCTGGGGTGACCTCAGGGTCCGTCTAGACTGGTGACAGTGTTCTTGGGGACTGTCTCGAGATCCATTAAGCAAGTCGAAGCTCCTGACTTGTTTGAATGGGATCACGGAATAGCTCTGCATGCACTGCAGGGGAATGGGGCCTCATCTCGCCTCTAGGGGGAAGTCTCATGGTTTTTCTCGAGTTGCGGCGGGGACCTGGGGTATGTTCTCGACTTTCGGCGGGGATGGCCCTTCAAAACACGAGTTTCTTCAGTGACGTCAGGACTCCTGTCTAGTAACGAGGGACACCTCAGGAATCTCTTCGAGGCATGGCAGGGCCAAAGGGACGCTTCTCGAGGTGAGGCAGGGCACCCAAGGACCCTTTCCAGTAGCCACAGGGATTTTGGGATTCCTATCAGTATTCAAGAGGAGTCAGGCATCGTCACCTTTTGAAGCAATGAACTCCGCGTGCCTCTCGAGGTGTCAGCGGGATGTGAGGCATTCCGTCAAAATGAGGCAGGGACCTAGGGCTTTCTCTAAGGTCTCCACAGGGGATTCAGACATCCCTTCATGTTGTGAGATGAAAGACGAGCCTGTATTCAAGCCACTGCAAGGAAATCAGGCCTCCTTTCAAGTTAGGGCTTCTCGCTGTATATTCCCCTTGAGGCAGCAAACTCGGGGTCCCTCCCACATACCTATTGCTGAGAGAAGCCTCCTCCGGAGGTGCTTCTGGGAAGTTGGCATATGTCTTGAGCCTAAGCCAGGGAATCAGCTCGCATCTCGAGACGATTTGGGGTACACGGAGCATTCCTCGAGTTGCTGTGCTGAAGTTGGTGTTCCTCTAGACTTGGGACAGTGTTCTCGGGGCATCTCTGGAGTTGCCTGAAGGAAGTCGAGCCACCGGTCGTGTTGAATGGGGAACGGGGAATGGCTCTGGAGTCAATGCAGGGGAATCGGGCCTCATCTCGAGTTGATTTGGGGCACATGGAGCTGCTTTGCATTGCTGGGGTGACCTCAGGGTCCGTCTAGACTGGTGACAGTGTTCTTGGGGACTGTCTCGAGATCCATTAAGCAAGTCGAAGCTCCTGACTTGTTTGAATGGGATCACGGAATAGCTCTGCATGCACTGCAGGGGAATGGGGCCTCATCTCGCCTCTAGGGGGAAGTCTCATGGTTTTTCTCGAGTTGCGGCGGGGACCTGGGGTATGTTCTCGACTTACGGCGGGGATGGCCCTTCAAAACACGAGTTTCTTCAGTGACGTCAGGACTCCTGTCTAGTAACGAGGGACACCTCAGGAATCTCTTCGAGGCTTGGCAGGGCAAAAGGGACGCTTCTCGAGGTGAGGCAGGGCACCCAAGGACCCTTTCCAGTAGCCACAGGGATTTTGGGATTCCTATCAGTATTCAAGAGGAGTCAGGAATCGTCACCTTTTGAAGCAATGAACTCCGCGTGCCTCTCGAGGTGTCAGCGGGATGTGAGGCATTCCGTCAAAATGAGGCAGGGACCTAGGGCTTTCTCTAAGGTCTCCACAGGGGATTCAGACATCCCTTCATGTTGTGAGATGAAAGACGAGCCTGTATTCAAGCCACTGCAAGGAAATCCGGCCTCCTTTCAAGTTAGGGCTTCTCGCTGTATATTCCCCTTGAGGCAGCAAACTCGGGGTCCCTCCCACATACCTATTGCTGAGAGAAGCCTCCTCCTGAGGTGCTTCTGGGAAGTTGGCATACGTCTTGAGCCTAAGCCAGGGAATCAGCTCGCATCTCGAGACGATTTGGGGTACACGGAGCATTCCTCGAGTTGCTGTGCTGAAGTTGGTGTTCCTCTAGACTTGGGACAGTGTTCTCGGGGCATCTCTGGAGTTGCCTGAAGGAAGTCGAGCCACCGGTCGTGTTGAATGGGGAACGGGGAATGGCTCTGGAGTCAATGCAGAGGAATCGGGCCTCATCTCGAGTTGATTTTGGGCACATGGATCTGCTTTGCGTTGCTGGGGTGACCTCAGGGTCCGTCTAGACTGGTGACAGTGTTCTTGGGGACTGTCTCGAGATCCATTAAGCAAGTCGAAGCTCCTGACTTGTTTGAATGGGATCACGGAATAGCTCTGCATGCACTGCAGGGGAATGGGGCCTCATCTCGCCTCTAGGAGGAAGTCTCATGGTTTTTCTCGAGTTGCGGCGGGGACCTGGGGTATGTTCTCGACTTACGGCGGGGATGGCCCTTCAAAACACGAGTTTCTTCAGTGACGTCAGGACTCCTGTCTAGTAACGAGGGACACCTCAGGAATCTCTTCGAGGCTTGGCAGGGCCAAAGGGACGCTTCTCGAGGTGAGGCAGGGCACCCAAGGACCCTTTCCAGTAGCCACAGGGATTTTGGGATTCCTATCAGTATTCAAGAGGAGTCAGGCATCGTCACCTTTTGAAGCAATGAACTCCGCGTGCCTCTCGAGGTGTCAGCGGGATGTGAGGCATTCCGTCAAAATGAGGCAGGGACCTAGGGCTTTCTCTAAGGTCTCCACAGGGGATTCAGACATCCCTTCATGTTGTGAGATGAAAGACGAGCCTGTATTCAAGCCACTGCAAGGAAATCCGGCCTCCTTTCAAGTTAGGGCTTCTCGCTGTATATTCCCCTTGAGGCAGCAAACTCGGGGTCCCTCCCACATACCTATTGCTGAGAGAAGCCTCCTCCTGAGGTGCTTCTGGGAAGTTGGCATACGTCTTGAGCCTAAGCCAGGGAATCAGCTCGCATCTCGAGACGATTTGGGGTACACGGAGCATTCCTCGAGTTGCTGTGCTGAAGTTGGTGTTCCTCTAGACTTGGGACAGTGTTCTCGGGGCATCTCTGGAGTTGCCTGAAGGAAGTCGAGCCACCGGTCGTGTTGAATGGGGAACGGGGAATGGCTCTGGAGTCAATGCAGGGGAATCGGGCCTCATCCCGAGTTGATTTGGGGCACATGGAGCTGCTTTGCGTTGCTGGGGTGACCTCAGGGTCCGTCTAGACTGGTGACAGTGTTCTTGGGGACTGTCTCGAGATCCATTAAGCAAGTCGAAGCTCCTGACTTGTTTGAATGGGATCACGGAATAGCTCTGCATGCACTGCAGGGGAATGGGGCCTCATCTCGCCTCTAGGGGGAAGTCTCATGGTTTTTCTCGAGTTGCGGCGGGGACCTGGGGTATGTTCTCGACTTACGGCGGGGATGGCCCTTCAAAACACGAGTTTCTTCAGTGACGTCAGGACTCCTGTCTAGTAACGAGGGACACCTCAGGAATCTCTTCGAGGCTTGGCAGGGCAAAAGGGACGCTTCTCGAGGTGAGGCAGGGCACCCAAGGACCCTTTCCAGTAGCCACAGGGATTTTGGGATTCCTATCAGTATTCAAGAGGAGTCAGGAATCGTCACCTTTTGAAGCAATGAACTCCGCGTGCCTCTCGAGGTGTCAGCGGGATGTGAGGCATTCCGTCAAAATGAGGCAGGGACCTAGGGCTTTCTCTAAGGTCTCCACAGGGGATTCAGACATCCCTTCATGTTGTGAGATGAAAGACGAGCCTGTATTCAAGCCACTGCAAGGAAATCCGGCCTCCTTTCAAGTTAGGGCTTCTCGCTGTATATTCCCCTTGAGGCAGCAAACTCGGGGTCCCTCCCACATACCTATTGCTGAGAGAAGCCTCCTCCTGAGGTGCTTCTGGGAAGTTGGCATACGTCTTGAGCCTAAGCCAGGGAATCAGCTCGCATCTCGAGACGATTTGGGGTACACGGAGCATTCCTCGAGTTGCTGTGCTGAAGTTGGTGTTCCTCTAGACTTGGGACAGTGTTCTCGGGGCATCTCTGGAGTTGCCTGAAGGAAGTCGAGCCACCGGTCGTGTTGAATGGGGAACGGGGAATGGCTCTGGAGTCAATGCAGAGGAATCGGGCCTCATCTCGAGTTGATTTTGGGCACATGGATCTGCTTTGCGTTGCTGGGGTGACCTCAGGGTCCGTCTAGACTGGTGACAGTGTTCTTGGGGACTGTCTCGAGATCCATTAAGCAAGTCGAAGCTCCTGACTTGTTTGAATGGGATCACGGAATAGCTCTGCATGCACTGCAGGGGAATGGGGCCTCATCTCGCCTCTAGGAGGAAGTCTCATGGTTTTTCTCGAGTTGCGGCGGGGACCTGGGGTATGTTCTCGACTTACGGCGGGGATGGCCCTTCAAAACACGAGTTTCTTCAGTGACGTCAGGACTCCTGTCTAGTAACGAGGGACACCTCAGGAATCTCTTCGAGGCTTGGCAGGGCCAAAGGGACGCTTCTCGAGGTGAGGCAGGGCACCCAAGGACCCTTTCCAGTAGCCACAGGGATTTTGGGATTCCTATCAGTATTCAAGAGGAGTCAGGCATCGTCACCTTTTGAAGCAATGAACTCCGCGTGCCTCTCGAGGTGTCAGCGGGATGTGAGGCATTCCGTCAAAATGAGGCAGGGACCTAGGGCTTTCTCTAAGGTCTCCACAGGGGATTCAGACATCCCTTCATGTTGTGAGATGAAAGACGAGCCTGTATTCAAGCCACTGCAAGGAAATCCGGCCTCCTTTCAAGTTAGGGCTTCTCGCTGTATATTCCCCTTGAGGCAGCAAACTCGGGGTCCCTCCCACATACCTATTGCTGAGAGAAGCCTCCTCCTGAGGTGCTTCTGGGAAGTTGGCATACGTCTTGAGCCTAAGCCAGGGAATCAGCTCGCATCTCGAGACGATTTGGGGTACACGGAGCATTCCTCGAGTTGCTGTGCTGAAGTTGGTGTTCCTCTAGACTTGGGACAGTGTTCTCGGGGCATCTCTGGAGTTGCCTGAAGGAAGTCGAGCCACCGGTCGTGTTGAATGGGGAACGGGGAATGGCTCTGGAGTCAATGCAGGGGAATCGGGCCTCATCCCGAGTTGATTTGGGGCACATGGAGCTGCTTTGCGTTGCTGGGGTGACCTCAGGGTCCGTCTAGACTGGTGACAGTGTTCTTGGGGACTGTCTCGAGATCCATTAAGCAAGTCGAAGCTCCTGACTTGTTTGAATGGGATCACGGAATAGCTCTGCATGCACTGCAGGGGAATGGGGCCTCATCTCGCCTCTAGGGGGAAGTCTCATGGTTTTTCTCGAGTTGCGGCGGGGACCTGGGGTATGTTCTCGACTTACGGCGGGGATGGCCCTTCAAAACACGAGTTTCTTCAGTGACGTCAGGACTCCTGTCTAGTAACGAGGGACACCTCAGGAATCTCTTCGAGGCTTGGCAGGGCCAAAGGGACGCTTCTCGAGGTGAGGCAGGGCACCCAAGGACCCTTTCCAGTAGCCACAGGGATTTTGGGATTCCTATCAGTATTCAAGAGGAGTCAGGCATCGTCACCTTTTGAAGCAATGAACTCCGCGTGCCTCTCGAGGTGTCAGCGGGATGTGAGGCATTCCGTCAAAATGAGGCAGGGACCTAGGGCTTTCTCTAAGGTCTCCACAGGGGATTCAGACATCCCTTCATGTTGTGAGATGAAAGACGAGCCTGTATTCAAGCCACTGCAAGGAAATCCGGCCTCCTTTCAAGTTAGGGCTTCTCGCTGTATATTCCCCTTGAGGCAGCAAACTCGGGGTCCCTCCCACATACCTATTGCTGAGAGAAGCCTCCTCCGGAGGTGCTTCTGGGAAGTTGGCATACGTCTTGAGCCTAAGCCAGGGAATCAGCTCGCATCTCGAGACGATTTGGGGTACACGGAGCATTCCTCGAGTTGCTGTGCTGAAGTTGGTGTTCCTCTAGACTTGGGACAGTGTTCTCGGGGCATCTCTGGAGTTGCCTGAAGGAAGTCGAGCCACCGGTCGTGTTGAATGGGGAACGGGGAATGGCTCTGGAGTCAATGCAGGGGAATCGGGCCTCATCTCGAGTTGATTTGGGGCACATGGAGCTGCTTTGCATTGCTGGGGTGACCTCAGGGTCCGTCTAGACTGGTGACAGTGTTCTTGGGGACTGTCTCGAGATCCATTAAGCAAGTCGAAGCTCCTGACTTGTTTGAATGGGATCACGGAATAGCTCTGCATGCACTGCAGGGGAATGGGGCCTCATCTCGCCTCTAGGGGGAAGTCTCATGGTTTTTCTTGAGTTGCGGCGGGGACCTGGGGTATGTTCTCGACTTACGGCGGGGATGGCCCTTCAAAACACGAGTTTCTTCAGTGACGTCAGGACTCCTGTCTAGTAACGAGGGACACCTCAGGAATCTCTTCGAGGCTTGGCAGGGCAAAAGGGACGCTTCTCGAGGTGAGGCAGGGCACCCAAGGACCCTTTCCAGTAGCCACAGGGATTTTGGGATTCCTATCAGTATTCAAGAGGAGTCAGGAATCGTCACCTTTTGAAGCAATGAACTCCGCGTGCCTCTCGAGGTGTCAGCGGGATGTGAGGCATTCCGTCAAAATGAGGCAGGGACCTAGGGCTTTCTCTAAGGTCTCCACAGGGGATTCAGACATCCCTTCATGTTGTGAGATGAAAGACGAGCCTGTATTCAAGCCACTGCAAGGAAATCCGGCCTCCTTTCAAGTTAGGGCTTCTCGCTCTATATTCCCCTTGAGGCAGCAAACTCGGGGTCCCTCCCACATACCTATTGCTGAGAGAAGCCTCCTCCTGAGGTGCTTCTGGGAAGTTGGCATACGTCTTGAGCCTAAGCCAGGGAATCAGCTCGCATCTCGAGACGATTTGGGGTACACGGAGCATTCCTCGAGTTGCTGTGCTGAAGTTGGTGTTCCTCTAGACTTGGGACAGTGTTCTCGGGGCATCTCTGGGGTTGCCTGAAGGAAGTCGAGCCACCGGTCGTGTTGAATGGGGTACGGGGAATGGCTCTGGAGTCAATGCAGAGGAATCGGGCCTCATCTCGAGTTGATTTTGGGCACATGGATCTGCTTTGCGTTGCTGGGGTGACCTCAGGGTCCGTCTAGACTGGTGACAGTGTTCTTGGGGACTGTCTCGAGATCCATTAAGCAAGTCGAAGCTCCTGACTTGTTTGAATGGGATCACGGAATAGCTCTGCATGCACTGCAGGGGAATGGGGCCTCATCTCGCCTCTAGGGGGAAGTCTCATGGTTTTTCTCGAGTTGCGGCGGGGACCTGGGGTATGTTCTCGACTTACGGCGGGGATGGCCCTTCAAAACACGAGTTTCTTCAGTGACGTCAGGACTCCTGTCTAGTAACGAGGGACACCTCAGGAATCTCTTCGAGGCTTGGCAGGGCAAAAGGGACGCTTCTCGAGGTGAGGCAGGGCACCCAAGGACCCTTTCCAGTAGCCACAGGGATTTTGGGATTCCTATCAGTATTCAAGAGGAGTCAGGCATCGTCACCTTTTGAAGCAATGAACTCCGCGTGCCTCTCGAGGTGTCAGCGGGATGTGAGGCATTCCGTCAAAATGAGGCAGGGACCTAGGGCTTTCTCTAAGGTCTCCACAGGGGATTCAGACATCCCTTCATGTTGTGAGATGAAAGACGAGCCTGTATTCAAGCCACTGCAAGGAAATCCGGCCTCCTTTCAAGTTAGGGCTTCTCGCTGTATATTCCCCTTGAGGCAGCAAACTCGGGGTCCCTCCCACATACCTATTGCTGAGAGAAGCCTCCTCCTGAGGTGCTTCTGGGAAGTTGGCATACGTCTTGAGCCTAAGCCAGGGTATCAGCTCGCATCTCGAGACGATTTGGGGTACACGGAGCATTCCTCGAGTTGCTGTGCTGAAGTTGGTGTTCCTCTAGACTTGGGACAGTGTTCTCGGGGCATCTCTGGAGTTGCCTGAAGGAAGTCGAGCCACCGGTCGTGTTGAATGGGGAACGGGGAATGGCTCTGGAGTCAATGCAGGGGAATCGGGCCTCATCCCGAGTTGATTTGGGGCACATGGAGCTGCTTTGCGTTGCTGGGGTGACCTCAGGGTCCGTCTAGACTGGTGACAGTGTTCTTGGGGACTGTCTCGAGATCCATTAAGCAAGTCGAAGCTCCTGACTTGTTTGAATGGGATCACGGAATAGCTCTGCATGCACTGCAGGGGAATGGGGCCTCATCTCGCCTCTAGGGGGAAGTCTCATGGTTTTTCTCGAGTTGCGGCGGGGACCTGGGGTATGTTCTCGACTTTCGGCGGGGATGGCCCTTCAAAACACGAGTTTCTTCAGTGACGTCAGGACTCCTGTCTAGTAACGAGGGACACCTCAGGAATCTCTTCGAGGCATGGCAGGGCCAAAGGGACGCTTCTCGAGGTGAGGCAGGGCACCCAAGGACCCTTTCCAGTAGCCACAGGGATTTTGGGATTCCTATCAGTATTCAAGAGGAGTCAGGCATCGTCACCTTTTGAAGCAATGAAATCCGCGTGCCTCTCGAGGTGTCAGCGGGATGTGAGGCATTCCGTCAAAATGAGGCAGGGACCTAGGGCTTTCTCTAAGGTCTCCACAGGGGATTCAGACATCCCTTCATGTTGTGAGATGAAAGACGAGCCTGTATTCAAGCCACTGCAAGGAAATCAGGCCTCCTTTCAAGTTAGGGCTTCTCGCTGTATATTCCCCTTGAGGCAGCAAACTCGGGGTCCCTCCCACATACCTATTGCTGAGAGAAGCCTCCTCCGGAGGTGCTTCTGGGAAGTTGGCATATGTCTTGAGCCTAAGCCAGGGAATCAGCTCGCATCTCGAGACGATTTGGGGTACACGGAGCATTCCTCGAGTTGCTGTGCTGAAGTTGGTGTTCCTCTAGACTTGGGACAGTGTTCTCGGGGCATCTCTGGAGTTGCCTGAAGGAAGTCGAGCCACCGGTCGTGTTGAATGGGGAACGGGGAATGGCTCTGGAGTCAATGCAGGGGAATCGGGCCTCATCTCGAGTTGATTTGGGGCACATGGAGCTGCTTTGCATTGCTGGGGTGACCTCAGGGTCCGTCTAGACTGGTGACAGTGTTCTTGGGGACTGTCTCGAGATCCATTAAGCAAGTCGAAGCTCCTGACTTGTTTGAATGGGATCACGGAATAGCTCTGCATGCACTGCAGGGGAATGGGGCCTCATCTCGCCTCTAGGGGGAAGTCTCATGGTTTTTCTCGAGTTGCGGCGGGGACCTGGGGTATGTTCTCGACTTACGGCGGGGATGGCCCTTCAAAACACGAGTTTCTTCAGTGACGTCAGGACTCCTGTCTAGTAACGAGGGACACCTCAGGAATCTCTTCGAGGCTTGGCAGGGCAAAAGGGACGCTTCTCGAGGTGAGGCAGGGCACCCAAGGACCCTTTCCAGTAGCCACAGGGATTTTGGGATTCCTATCAGTATTCAAGAGGAGTCAGGAATCGTCACCTTTTGAAGCAATGAACTCCGCGTGCCTCTCGAGGTGTCAGCGGGATGTGAGGCATTCCGTCAAAATGAGGCAGGGACCTAGGGCTTTCTCTAAGGTCTCCACAGGGGATTCAGACATCCCTTCATGTTGTGAGATGAAAGACGAGCCTGTATTCAAGCCACTGCAAGGAAATCCGGCCTCCTTTCAAGTTAGGGCTTCTCGCTGTATATTCCCCTTGAGGCAGCAAACTCGGGGTCCCTCCCACATACCTATTGCTGAGAGAAGCCTCCTCCTGAGGTGCTTCTGGGAAGTTGGCATACGTCTTGAGCCTAAGCCAGGGAATCAGCTCGCATCTCGAGACGATTTGGGGTACACGGAGCATTCCTCGAGTTGCTGTGCTGAAGTTGGTGTTCCTCTAGACTTGGGACAGTGTTCTCGGGGCATCTCTGGAGTTGCCTGAAGGAAGTCGAGCCACCGGTCGTGTTGAATGGGGAACGGGGAATGGCTCTGGAGTCAATGCAGAGGAATCGGGCCTCATCTCGAGTTGATTTTGGGCACATGGATCTGCTTTGCGTTGCTGGGGTGACCTCAGGGTCCGTCTAGACTGGTGACAGTGTTCTTGGGGACTGTCTCGAGATCCATTAAGCAAGTCGAAGCTCCTGACTTGTTTGAATGGGATCACGGAATAGCTCTGCATGCACTGCAGGGGAATGGGGCCTCATCTCGCCTCTAGGAGGAAGTCTCATGGTTTTTCTCGAGTTGCGGCGGGGACCTGGGGTATGTTCTCGACTTACGGCGGGGATGGCCCTTCAAAACACGAGTTTCTTCAGTGACGTCAGGACTCCTGTCTAGTAACGAGGGACAGCTCAGGAATCTCTTCGAGGCTTGGCAGGGCCAAAGGGACGCTTCTCGAGGTGAGGCAGGGCACCCAAGGACCCTTTCCAGTAGCCACAGGGATTTTGGGATTCCTATCAGTATTCAAGAGGAGTCAGGCATCGTCACCTTTTGAAGCAATGAACTCCGCGTGCCTCTCGAGGTGTCAGCGGGATGTGAGGCATTCCGTCAAAATGAGGCAGGGACCTAGGGCTTTCTCTAAGGTCTCCACAGGGGATTCAGACATCCCTTCATGTTGTGAGATGAAAGACGAGCCTGTATTCAAGCCACTGCAAGGAAATCCGGCCTCCTTTCAAGTTAGGGCTTCTCGCTGTATATTCCCCTTGAGGCAGCAAACTCGGGGTCCCTCCCACATACCTATTGCTGAGAGAAGCCTCCTCCGGAGGTGCTTCTGGGAAGTTGGCATATGTCTTGAGCCTAAGCCAGGGAATCAGCTCGCATCTCGAGACGATTTGGGGTACACGGAGCATTCCTCGAGTTGCTGTGCTGAAGTTGGTGTTCCTGTAGACTTGGGACAGTGTTCTCGGGGCATCTCTGGAGTTGCCTGAAGGAAGTCGAGCCACCGGTCGTGTTGAATGGGGAACGGGGAATGGCTCTGGAGTCAATGCAGGGGAATCGGGCCTCATCTCGAGTTGATTTGGGGCACATGGAGCTGCTTTGCATTGCTGGGGTGACCTCAGGGTCCGTCTAGTCTTGTGACAGTGTTCTTGGGGACTGTCTCGAGATCCATTAAGCAAGTCGAAGCTCCTGACTTGTTTGAATGGGATCACGGAATAGCTCTGCATGCACTGCAGGGGAATGGGGCCTCATCTCGCCTCTAGGGGGAAGTCTCATGGTTTTTCTCGAGTTGCGGCGGGGACCTGGGGTATGTTCTCGACTTACGGCGGGGATGGCCCTTCAAAACACGAGTTTCTTCAGTGACGTCAGGACTCCTGTCTAGTAACGAGGGACACCTCAGGAATCTCTTCGAGGCTTGGCAGGGCAAAAGGGACGCTTCTCGAGGTGAGGCAGGGCACCCAAGGACCCTTTCCAGTAGCCACAGGGATTTTGGGATTCCTATCAGTATTCAAGAGGAGTCAGGAATCGTCACCTTTTGAAGCAATGAACTCCGCGTGCCTCTCGAGGTGTCAGCGGGATGTGAGGCATTCCGTCAAAATGAGGCAGGGACCTAGGGCTTTCTCTAAGGTCTCCACAGGGGATTCAGACATCCCTTCATGTTGTGAGATGAAAGACGAGCCTGTATTCAAGCCACTGCAAGGAAATCCGGCCTCCTTTCAAGTTAGGGCTTCTCGCTGTATATTCCCCTTGAGGCAGCAAACTCGGGGTCCCTCCCACATACCTATTGCTGAGAGAAGCCTCCTCCTGAGGTGCTTCTGGGAAGTTGGCATACGTCTTGAGCCTAAGCCAGGGAATCAGCTCGCATCTCGAGACGATTTGGGGTACACGGAGCATTCCTCGAGTTGCTGTGCTGAAGTTGGTGTTCCTCTAGACTTGGGACAGTGTTCTCGGGGCATCTCTGGAGTTGCCTGAAGGAAGTCGAGCCACCGGTCGTGTTGAATGGGGAACGGGGAATGGCTCTGGAGTCAATGCAGAGGAATCGGGCCTCATCTCGAGTTGATTTTGGGCACATGGATCTGCTTTGCGTTGCTGGGGTGACCTCAGGGTCCGTCTAGACTGGTGACAGTGTTCTTGGGGACTGTCTCGAGATCCATTAAGCAAGTCGAAGCTCCTGACTTGTTTGAATGGGATCACGGAATAGCTCTGCATGCACTGCAGGGGAATGGGGCCTCATCTCGCCTCTAGGAGGAAGTCTCATGGTTTTTCTCGAGTTGCGGCGGGGACCTGGGGTATGTTCTCGACTTACGGCGGGGATGGCCCTTCAAAACACGAGTTTCTTCAGTGACGTCAGGACTCCTGTCTAGTAACGAGGGACACCTCAGGAATCTCTTCGAGGCTTGGCAGGGCCAAAGGGACGCTTCTCGAGGTGAGGCAGGGCACCCAAGGACCCTTTCCAGTAGCCACAGGGATTTTGGGATTCCTATCAGTATTCAAGAGGAGTCAGGAATCGTCACCTTTTGAAGCAATGAACTCCGCGTGCCTCTCGAGGTGTCAGCGGGATGTGAGGCATTCCGTCAAAATGAGGCAGGGACCTAGGGCTTTCTCTAAGGTCTCCACAGGGGATTCAGACATCCCTTCATGTTGTGAGATGAAAGACGAGCCTGTATTCAAGCCACTGCAAGGAAATCCGGCCTCCTTTCAAGTTAGGGCTTCTCGCTGTATATTCCCCTTGAGGCAGCAAACTCGGGGTCCCTCCCACATACCTATTGCTGAGAGAAGCCTCCTCCTGAGGTGCTTCTGGGAAGTTGGCATACGTCTTGAGCCTAAGCCAGGGAATCAGCTCGCATCTCGAGACGATTTGGGGTACACGGAGCATTCCTCGAGTTGCTGTGCTGAAGTTGGTGTTCCTCTAGACTTGGGACAGTGTTCTCGGGGCATCTCTGGAGTTGCCTGAAGGAAGTCGAGCCACCGGTCGTGTTGAATGGGGAACGGGGTATGGCTCTGGAGTCAATGCAGGGGAATCGGGCCTCATCTCGAGTTGATTTGGGGCACATGGAGCTGCTTTGCGTTGCTGGGGTGACCTCAGGGTCCGTCTAGACTGGTGACAGTGTTCTTGGGGACTGTCTCGAGATCCATTAAGCAAGTCGAAGCTCCTGACTTGTTTGAATGGGATCACGGAATAGCTCTCCATGCACTGCAGCGGAATGGGGCCTCACCTCGCCTCTAGGGGGAAGTCTCATGGTTTTTCTCGAGTTGCGGCGGGGACCTGGGGTATGTTCTCGACTTACGGCGGGGATGGCCCTTCAAAACACGAGTTTCTTCAGTGACGTCAGGACCCCTGTCTAGTAACGAGGGACACCTCAGGAATCTCTTCGAGGCTTGGCAGGGTAAAAGGGACGCTTCTCCAGGTGAGGCAGGGCACCCAAGGACCCTTTCCAGTAGCCACAGGGATTTTGGGATTCCTTTCAGTATTCAAGAGGAGTCAGGCATCGTCACCTTTTGAAGCAATGAACTCCGCGTGCCTCTCGACGTGTCAGCAGTATGTGAGGCATTCCGTCAAAATGAGGCAGGGACCTAGGGCTTTCTCTAAGGTCTCCACAGGGGATTCAGACATCCCTTCATGTTGTGAGATGAAAGACGAGCCTGTATTCAAGCCACTGCAAGGAAATCCAGCCTACTTTCAAGTTAGGGCTTCTCGCTGTATATTCCCCTTGAGGCAGCAAACTCGGGGTCCCTCCCACATACCTATTGCTGAGAGAAGCCTCCTCCGGAGGTGCTTCTGGGAAGTTGGCATACGTCTTGAGCCTAAGCCAGGGAATCAGCTCGCATCTCGAGACGATTTGGGGTACACGGAGCATTCCTCGAGTTGCTGTGCTGAAGTTGGTGTTCCTCTAGACTTGGGACAGTGTTCTCGGGGCATCTCTGGAGTTGCCTGAAGGAAGTCGAGCCACCGGTCGTGTTGAATGGGGAACGGGGAATGGCTCTGGAGTCAATGCAGGGGAATCGGGCCTCATCTCGAGTTGATTTGGGGCACATGGAGCTGCTTTGCGTTGCTGGGGTGACCTCAGGGTCCGTCTAGACTGGTGACAGTGTTCTTGGGGACTGTCTCGAGATCCATTAAGCAAGTCGAAGCTCCTGACTTGTTTGAATGGGATCACGGAATAGCTCTGCATGCACTGCAGGGGAATGGGGCCTCACCTCGCCTCTAGGGGGAAGTCTCATTGTTTTTCTCGAGTTGCGGCGGGGACCTGGGGTATGTTCTCGACTTACGGCGGGCATGGCCCTTCAAAACACGAGTTTCTTCAGTGACGTCAGGACTCCTGTCTAGTAACGAGGGACACCTCAGGAATCTCTTCGAGGCTTGGCAGGGCAAAAGGGACGCTTCTCGAGGTGAGGCAGGGCACCCAAGGACCCTTTCCAGTAGCCACAGGGATTTTGGGATTCCTATCAGTATTCAAGAGGAGTCAGGCATCGTCACCTTTTGAAGCAATGAACTCCGCGTGCCTCTCGAGGTGTCAGCGGGATGTGAGGCATTCCGTCAAAATGAGGCAGGGACCTAGGGCTTTCTCTAAGGTCTCCACAGGGGATTCAGACATCCCTTCATGTTGTGAGATGTAAGACGAGCCTGTATTCGAGCCACTGCAAGGAAATCCGGCCTCCTTTCAAGTTAGGGCTTCTCGCTGTATATTCCCCTTGAGGCAGCAAACTCGGGGTCCCTCCCACATACCTATTGCTGAGAGAAGCCTCCTCCTGAGGTGCTTCTGGGAAGTTGGCATACGTCTTGAGCCTAAGCCAGGGAATCAGCTCGCATCTCGAGACGATTTGGGGTACACGGAGCATTCCTCGAGTTGCTGTGCTGAAGTTGGTGTTCCTCTAGACTTGGGACAGTGTTCTCGGGGCATCTCTGGAGTTGCCTGAAGGAAGTCGAGCCACCGGTCGTGTTGAATGGGGAACGGGGAATGGCTCTGGAGTCAATGCAGGGGAATCGGGCCTCATCTCGAGTTGATTTGGGGCACATGGAGCTGCTTTGCGTTGCTGGGGTGACCTCAGGGTCCGTCTAGACCTGTGACAGTGTTCTTGGGGACTGTCTCGAGATCCATTAAGCAAGTCGAAGCTCCTGACTTGTTTGAATGGGATCACGGAATAGCTCTGCATGCACTGCAGGGGAATGGGGCCTCATCTCGCCTCTAGGGGGAAGTCTCATGGTTTTTCTCGAGTTGCGGCGGGGACCTGGGGTATGTTCTCGACTTACGGCGGGGATGGCCCTTCAAAACACGAGTTTCTTCAGTGACGTCAGGACCCCTGTCTAGTAACGAGGGACACCTCAGGAATCTCTTCGAGGCTTGGCAGGGCCAAAGGGACGCTTCTCGAGGTGAGGCAGGGCACCCAAGAACCCTTTCCAGTAGCCACAGGGATTTTGGGATTCCTATCAGTATTCAAGAGGAGTCAGGCATCGTCACCTTTTGAAGCAATGAACTCCGCGTGCCTCTCGAGGTGTCAGCGGGATGTGAGGCATTCCGTCAAAATGAGGCAGGGACCTAGGGCTTTCTCTAAGGTCTCCACAGGGGATTCAGACATCCCTTCATGTTGTGAGATGAAAGACGAGCCTGTATTCAAGCCACTGCAAGGAAATCCGGCCTCCTTTCAAGTTAGGGCTTCTCGCTGTATATTCCCCTTGAGGCAGGAAACTCGGGGTCCCTCCCACATACCTATTGCTGAGAGAAGCCTCCTCCTGAGGTGCTTCTGGGAAGTTGGCATACGTCTTGAGCCTAAGCCAGGGAATCAGCTCGCATCTCGAGATGATTTGGGGTACACGGAGCATTCCTCGAGTTGCTGTGCTGAAGTTGGTGTTCCTCTAGACTTGGGACAGTGTTCTCGGGGCATCTCTGGAGTTGCCTGAAGGAAGTCGAGCCACCGGTCGTGTTGAATGGGGAACGGGGAATGGCTCTGGAGTCAATGCAGGGGAATCGGGCCTCATCCCGAGTTGATTTGGGGCACATGGAGCTGCTTTGCGTTGCTGGGGTGACCTCAGGGTCCGTCTAGACTGGTGACAGTGTTCTTGGGGACTGTCTCGAGATCCATTAAGCAAGTCGAAGCTCCTGACTTGTTTGAATGGGATCATGGAATAGCTCTGCATGCACTGCAGGGGAATGGGGCCTCATCTCGCCTCTAGGGGGAAGTCTCATGGTTTTTCTCGAGTTGCGGCGGGGACCTGGGGTATGTTCTCGACTTACGGCGGGGATGGCCCTTCAAAACACGAGTTTCTTCAGTGACGTCAGGACTCCTGTCTAGTAACGAGGGACACCTCAGGAATCTCTTCGAGGCTTGGCAGGGCCAAAGGGACGCTTCTCGAGGTGAGGCAGGGCACCCAAGGACCCTTTCCAGTAGCCACAGGGATTTTGGGATTCCTATCAGTATTCAAGAGGAGTCAGGCATCGTCACCTTTTGAAGCAATGAACTCCGCGTGCCTCTCGAGGTGTCAGCGGGATGTGAGGCATTCCGTCAAAATGAGGCAGGGACCTAGGGCTTTCTCTAAGGTCTCCACAGGGGATTCAGACATCCCTTCATGTTGTGAGATGAAAGACGAGCCTGTATTCAAGCCACTGCAAGGAAATCCGGCCTCCTTTCAAGTTAGGGCTTCTCGCTGTATATTCCCCTTGAGGCAGCAAACTCGGGGTCCCTCCCACATACCTACTGCTGAGAGAAGCCTCCTCCTGAGGTGCTTCTGGGAAGTTGGCATACGTCTTGACCCTAAGCCAGGGAATCAGCTCGCATCTCGAGATGATTTGGGGTACACGGAGCATTCCTCGAGTTGCTGTGCTGAAGTTGGTGTTCCTCTAGACTTGGGACAGTGTTCTCGGGGCATCTCTGGAGTTGCCTGAAGGAAGTCGAGCCACCGGTCGTGTTGAATGGGGAACGGGGAATGGCTCTGGAGTCAATGCAGGGGAATCGGGCCTCATCTCGAGTTGATTTGGGGCACATGGAGCTGCTTTGCGTTGCTGGGGTGACCTCAGGGTCCGTCTAGACTGGTGACAGTGTTCTTGGGGACTGTCTCGAGATCCATTAAGCAAGTCGAAGCTCCTGACTTGTTTGAATGGGATCACGGAATAGCTCTGCATGCACTGCAGGGGAATGGAGCCTCACCTCGCCTCTAGGGGGAATTCTCATGGTTTTTCTCGAGTTGCGGCGGGGACCTGGGGTATGTTCTCGACTTACGGCGGGGATGGCCCTTCAAAACACGAGTTTCTTCAGTGACGTCAGGACTCCTGTCTAGTAACGAGGGACACCTCAGGAATCTCTTCGAGGCTTGGCAGGGCAAAAGGGACGCTTCTCGAGGTGAGGCAGGGCACCCAAGGACCCTTTCCAGTAGCCACAGGGATTTTGGGATTCCTATCAGTATTCAAGAGGAGTCAGGCATCGTCACCTTTTGAAACAATGAACTCCGCGTGCCTCTCGAGGTGTCAGCGGGATGTGAGGCATTCCGTCAAAATGAGGCAGGGACCTAGGGCTTTCTCTAAGGTTTCCACAGGGGATTCAGACATCCCTTCATGTTGTGAGATGAAAGACGAGCCTGTATTCAAGCCACTGCAAGGAAATCCGGCCTACTTTCAAGTTAGGGCTTCTCGATGTATATTCCCCTTGAGGCAGCAAACTCGGGGTCCCTCCCACATACCTATTGCTGAGAGAAGCCTCCTCCGGAGGTGCTTCTGGGAAGTTGGCATACGTCTTGAGCCTAAGCCAGGGAATCAGCTCGCATCTCGAGACGATTTGGGGTACACGGAGCATTCCTCGAGTTGCTGTGCTGAAGTTGGTGTTCCTCTAGACTTGGGACAGTGTTCTCGGGGCATCTCTGGAGTTGCCTGAAGGAAGTCGAGCCACCGGTCGTGTTGAATGGGGAACGGGGAATGGCTCTGGAGTCAATGCAGGGGAATCCGGCCTCATCCCGAGTTGATTTGGGGCACATGGAGCTGCTTTGCGTTGCTGGGGTGACCTCAGGGTCCGTCTAGACTGGTGACAGTGTTCTTGGGGACTGTCTCGAGATCCATTAAGCAAGTCGAAGCTCCTGACTTGTTTGAATGGGATCACGGAATAGCTCTGCATGCACTGCAGGGGAATGGGGCCTCATCTCGCCTCTAGGGGGAAGTCTCATGGTTTTTCTCGAGTTGCGGCGGGGACCTGGGGTATGTTCTCGACTTACGGCGGGGATGGCCCTTCAAAACACGAGTTTCTTCAGTGACGTCAGGACTCCTGTCTAGTAACGAGGGACACCTCAGGAATCTCTTCGAGGCTTGGCAGGGCCAAAGGGACGCTTCTCGAGGTGAGGCAGGGCACCCAAGGACCCTTTCCAGTAGCCACAGGGATTTTGGGATTCCTATCAGTATTCAAGAGGAGTCAGGCATCGTCACCTTTTGAAGCAATGAACTCCGCGTGCCTCTCGAGGTGTCAGCGGGATGTGAGGTATTCCGTCAAAATGAGGCAGGGACCTAGGGCTTTCTCTAAGGTCTCCACAGGGGATTCAGACATCCCTTCATGTTGTGAGATGAAAGACGAGCCTGTGTTCGAGCCACTGCAAGGAAATCAGGCCTCCTTTCAAGTTAGGGCTTCTCGCTGTATATTCCCCTTGAGGCAGCAAACTCGGGGTCCCTCCCACATACCTATTGCTGAGAGAAGCCTCCTCCTGAGGTGCTTCTGGGAAGTTGGCATACGTCTTGAGCCTAAGCCAGGGAATCAGCTCGCATCTCGAGACGATTTGGTGTAGACGGAGCATTCCTCGAGTTGCTGTGCTGAAGTTGGTGTTCCTCTAGACTTGGGACAGTGTTCTCGGGGCATCTCTGGAGTTGCCTGAAGGAAGTCGAGCCACCGGTCGTGTTGAATGGGGAACGGGGAATGGCTCTGGAGTCAATGCAGGGGAATCGGGCCTCATTTCGAGTTGATTTGGGGCACATGGAGCTGCTTTGCGTTGCTGGGTTGACCTCAGGGTCCGTCTAGACTGGTGACAGTGTTCTTGGGGACTGTCTCGAGATCCATTAAGCAAGTCGAAGCTCCTGACTTGTTTGAATGGGATCACGGAATAGCTCTGCATGCACTGCAGGGGAATGGGGCCTCATCTCGCCTCTAGGGGGAAGTCTCATGGTTTTTCTCGAGTTGCGGCGTGGACCTGGGGTATGTTCTCGACTTACGGCGGGGATGGCCCTTCAAAACACGAGTTTCTTCAGTGACGTCAGGACCCCTGTCTAGTAACGAGGGACACCTCAGGAATCTCTTCGAGGCTTGGCAGGGCAAAAGGGACGCTTCTCGAGGTGAGGCAGGGCACCCAAGGACCCTTTCCAGTAGCCACAGGGATTTTGGGATTCCTATCAGTATTCAAGAGGAGTCAGGCATCGTCACCTTTTGAAGCAATGAACTCCGCGTGCCTCTCGAGGTGTCAGCGGGATGTGAGGCATTCCGTCAAAATGAGGCAGGGACCTAGGGCTTTCTCTAAGGTCTCCACAGGGGATTCAGACATCCCTTCATGTTGTGAGATGAAAGACGAGCCTGTATTCAAGCCACTGCAAGGAAATCCGGCCTCCTTTCAAGTTAGGGCTTCTCGCTGTATATTCCCCTTGAGGCAGCAAACTCGGGGTCCCTCCCACATACCTATTGCTGAGAGAAGCCTCCTCCTGAGGTGCTTCTGGGAAGTTGGCATACGTCTTGAGCCTAAGCCAGGGAATCAGCTCGCATCTCGAGACGATTTGGGGTACACGGAGCATTCCTCGAGTTGCTGTGCTGAAGTTGGTGTTCCTCTAGACTTGGGACAGTGTTCTCGGGGCATCTCTGGAGTTGCCTGAAGGAAGTCGAGCCACCGGTCATGTTGAATGGGGAACGGGGAATGGCTCTGGAGTCAATGCAGGGGAATCGGGCCTCATCCCGAGTTGATTTGGGGCACATGGAGCTGCTTTGCGTTGCTGGGGTGACCTCAGGGTCCGTCTAGACTGGTGACAGTGTTCTTGGGGACTGTCTCGAGATCCATTAAGCAAGTCGAAGCTCCTGACTTGTTTTAATGGGATCACGGAATAGCTCTGCATGCACTGCAGGGGAATGGGGCCTCATCTCGCCTCTAGGGGGAAGTCTCATGGTTTTTCTCGAGTTGCGGTGGGGACCTGGGGTATGTTCTCGACTTACGGCGGGGATGGCCCTTCAAAACACGAGTTTCTTCAGTGACGTCAGGACTCCTGTCTAGTAACAAGGGACACCTCAGGAATCTCTTCGAGGCTTGGCAGGGCCAAAGGGACGCTTCTCGAGGTGAGGCAGGGCACCCAAGGACCCTTTCCAGTAGCCACAGGGATTTTGGGATTCCTATCAGTATTCAAGAGGAGTCAGGCATCGTCATCTTTTGAAGCAATGAACTCCGCGTGCCTCTGGAGGTGTCAGCGGGATGTGAGGCATTCCGTCAAAATGAGGCAGGGACCTAGGGCTTTCTCTAAGGTCTCCACAGGGGATTCAGACATCCCTTCATGTTGTGAGATGAAAGACGAGCCTGTATTCAAGCCACTGCAAGGAAATACGGCCTCCTTTCAAGTTAGGGCTTCTCGCTGTATATTCCCCTTGAGGCAGCAAACTCGGGGTCCCTCCCACATACCTACTGCTGAGAGAAGCCTCCTCCTGAGGTGCTTCTGGGAACTTGGCATACGTCTTGAGCCTAAGCCAGGGAATCAGCTCGCATCTCGAGATGATTTGGGGTACACGGAGCATTCCTCGAGTTGCTGTGCTGAAGTTGGTGTTCCTCTAGACTTGGGACAGTGTTCTCGGGGCATCTCTGGAGTTGCCTGAAGGAAGTCGAGCCACCGGTCGTGTTGAATGGGGAACGGGGAATGGCTCTGGAGTCAATGCAGGGGAATCGGGCCTCATCCCGAGTTGATTTGGGGCACATGGAGCTGCTTTGCGTTGCTGGGGTGACCTCAGGGTCCGTCTAGACTGGTGACAGTGTTCTTGGGGACTGTCTCGAGATCCATTAAGCAAGTCGAAGCTCCTGACTTGTTTGAATGGGATCATGGAATAGCTCTGCATGCACTGCAGGGGAATGGGGCCTCATCTCGCCTCTAGGGGGAAGTCTCATGGTTTTTCTCGAGTTGCGGCGGGGACCTGGGGTATGTTCTCGACTTACGGCGGGGATGGCCCTTCAAAACACGAGTTTCTTCAGTGACGTCAGGACTCCTGTCTAGTAACGAGGGACACCTCAGGAATCTCTTCGAGGCTTGGCAGGGCCAAAGGGACGCTTCTCGAGGTGAGGCAGGGCACCCAAGGACCCTTTCCAGTAGCCACAGGGATTTTGGGATTCCTATCAGTATTCAAGAGGAGTCAGGCATCGTCACCTTTTGAAGCAATGAACTCCGCGTGCCTCTCGAGGTGTCAGCGGGATGTGAGGCATTCCGTCAAAATGAGGCAGGGACCTAGGGCTTTCTCTAAGGTCTCCACAGGGGATTCAGACATCCCTTCATGTTGTGAGATGAAAGACGAGCCTGTATTCAAGCCACTGCAAGGAAATCCGGCCTCCTTTCAAGTTAGGGCTTCTCGCTGTATATTCCCCTTGAGGCAGCAAACTCGGGGTCCCTCCCACATACCTACTGCTGAGAGAAGCCTCCTCCTGAGGTGCTTCTGGGAAGTTGGCATACGTCTTGACCCTAAGCCAGGGAATCAGCTCGCATCTCGAGATGATTTGGGGTACACGGAGCATTCCTCGAGTTGCTGTGCTGAAGTTGGTGTTCCTCTAGACTTGGGACAGTGTTCTCGGGGCATCTCTGGAGTTGCCTGAAGGAAGTCGAGCCACCGGTCGTGTTGAATGGGGAACGGGGAATGGCTCTGGAGTCAATGCAGGGGAATCGGGCCTCATCTCGAGTTGATTTGGGGCACATGGAGCTGCTTTGCGTTGCTGGGGTGACCTCAGGGTCCGTCTAGACTGGTGACAGTGTTCTTGGGGACTGTCTCGAGATCCATTAAGCAAGTCGAAGCTCCTGACTTGTTTGAATGGGATCACGGAATAGCTCTGCATGCACTGCAGGGGAATGGAGCCTCACCTCGCCTCTAGGGGGAATTCTCATGGTTTTTCTCGAGTTGCGGCGGGGACCTGGGGTATGTTCTCGACTTACGGCGGGGATGGCCCTTCAAAACACGAGTTTCTTCAGTGACGTCAGGACTCCTGTCTAGTAACGAGGGACACCTCAGGAATCTCTTCGAGGCTTGGCAGGGCAAAAGGGACGCTTCTCGAGGTGAGGCAGGGCACCCAAGGACCCTTTCCAGTAGCCACAGGGATTTTGGGATTCCTATCAGTATTCAAGAGGAGTCAGGCATCGTCACCTTTTGAAACAATGAACTCCGCGTGCCTCTCGAGGTGTCAGCGGGATGTGAGGCATTCCGTCAAAATGAGGCAGGGACCTAGGGCTTTCTCTAAGGTTTCCACAGGGGATTCAGACATCCCTTCATGTTGTGAGATGAAAGACGAGCCTGTATTCAAGCCACTGCAAGGAAATCCGGCCTACTTTCAAGTTAGGGCTTCTCGATGTATATTCCCCTTGAGGCAGCAAACTCGGGGTCCCTCCCACATACCTATTGCTGAGAGAAGCCTCCTCCGGAGGTGCTTCTGGGAAGTTGGCATACGTCTTGAGCCTAAGCCAGGGAATCAGCTCGCATCTCGAGACGATTTGGGGTACACGGAGCATTCCTCGAGTTGCTGTGCTGAAGTTGGTGTTCCTCTAGACTTGGGACAGTGTTCTCGGGGCATCTCTGGAGTTGCCTGAAGGAAGTCGAGCCACCGGTCGTGTTGAATGGGGAACGGGGAATGGCTCTGGAGTCAATGCAGGGGAATCCGGCCTCATCCCGAGTTGATTTGGGGCACATGGAGCTGCTTTGCGTTGCTGGGGTGACCTCAGGGTCCGTCTAGACTGGTGACAGTGTTCTTGGGGACTGTCTCGAGATCCATTAAGCAAGTCGAAGCTCCTGACTTGTTTGAATGGGATCACGGAATAGCTCTGCATGCACTGCAGGGGAATGGGGCCTCATCTCGCCTCTAGGGGGAAGTCTCATGGTTTTTCTCGAGTTGCGGCGGGGACCTGGGGTATGTTCTCGACTTACGGCGGGGATGGCCCTTCAAAACACGAGTTTCTTCAGTGACGTCAGGACTCCTGTCTAGTAACGAGGGACACCTCAGGAATCTCTTCGAGGCTTGGCAGGGCCAAAGGGACGCTTCTCGAGGTGAGGCAGGGCACCCAAGGACCCTTTCCAGTAGCCACAGGGATTTTGGGATTCCTATCAGTATTCAAGAGGAGTCAGGCATCGTCACCTTTTGAAGCAATGAACTCCGCGTGCCTCTCGAGGTGTCAGCGGGATGTGAGGTATTCCGTCAAAATGAGGCAGGGACCTAGGGCTTTCTCTAAGGTCTCCACAGGGGATTCAGACATCCCTTCATGTTGTGAGATGAAAGACGAGCCTGTGTTCGAGCCACTGCAAGGAAATCAGGCCTCCTTTCAAGTTAGGGCTTCTCGCTGTATATTCCCCTTGAGGCAGCAAACTCGGGGTCCCTCCCACATACCTATTGCTGAGAGAAGCCTCCTCCTGAGGTGCTTCTGGGAAGTTGGCATACGTCTTGAGCCTAAGCCAGGGAATCAGCTCGCATCTCGAGACGATTTGGTGTAGACGGAGCATTCCTCGAGTTGCTGTGCTGAAGTTGGTGTTCCTCTAGACTTGGGACAGTGTTCTCGGGGCATCTCTGGAGTTGCCTGAAGGAAGTCGAGCCACCGGTCGTGTTGAATGGGGAACGGGGAATGGCTCTGGAGTCAATGCAGGGGAATCGGGCCTCATTTCGAGTTGATTTGGGGCACATGGAGCTGCTTTGCGTTGCTGGGTTGACCTCAGGGTCCGTCTAGACTGGTGACAGTGTTCTTGGGGACTGTCTCGAGATCCATTAAGCAAGTCGAAGCTCCTGACTTGTTTGAATGGGATCACGGAATAGCTCTGCATGCACTGCAGGGGAATGGGGCCTCATCTCGCCTCTAGGGGGAAGTCTCATGGTTTTTCTCGAGTTGCGGCGTGGACCTGGGGTATGTTCTCGACTTACGGCGGGGATGGCCCTTCAAAACACGAGTTTCTTCAGTGACGTCAGGACCCCTGTCTAGTAACGAGGGACACCTCAGGAATCTCTTCGAGGCTTGGCAGGGCAAAAGGGACGCTTCTCGAGGTGAGGCAGGGCACCCAAGGACCCTTTCCAGTAGCCACAGGGATTTTGGGATTCCTATCAGTATTCAAGAGGAGTCAGGCATCGTCACCTTTTGAAGCAATGAACTCCGCGTGCCTCTCGAGGTGTCAGCGGGATGTGAGGCATTCCGTCAAAATGAGGCAGGGACCTAGGGCTTTCTCTAAGGTCTCCACAGGGGATTCAGACATCCCTTCATGTTGTGAGATGAAAGACGAGCCTGTATTCAAGCCACTGCAAGGAAATCCGGCCTCCTTTCAAGTTAGGGCTTCTCGCTGTATATTCCCCTTGAGGCAGCAAACTCGGGGTCCCTCCCACATACCTATTGCTGAGAGAAGCCTCCTCCTGAGGTGCTTCTGGGAAGTTGGCATACGTCTTGAGCCTAAGCCAGGGAATCAGCTCGCATCTCGAGACGATTTGGGGTACACGGAGCATTCCTCGAGTTGCTGTGCTGAAGTTGGTGTTCCTCTAGACTTGGGACAGTGTTCTCGGGGCATCTCTGGAGTTGCCTGAAGGAAGTCGAGCCACCGGTCATGTTGAATGGGGAACGGGGAATGGCTCTGGAGTCAATGCAGGGGAATCGGGCCTCATCCCGAGTTGATTTGGGGCACATGGAGCTGCTTTGCGTTGCTGGGGTGACCTCAGGGTCCGTCTAGACTGGTGACAGTGTTCTTGGGGACTGTCTCGAGATCCATTAAGCAAGTCGAAGCTCCTGACTTGTTTTAATGGGATCACGGAATAGCTCTGCATGCACTGCAGGGGAATGGGGCCTCATCTCGCCTCTAGGGGGAAGTCTCATGGTTTTTCTCGAGTTGCGGTGGGGACCTGGGGTATGTTCTCGACTTACGGCGGGGATGGCCCTTCAAAACACGAGTTTCTTCAGTGACGTCAGGACTCCTGTCTAGTAACAAGGGACACCTCAGGAATCTCTTCGAGGCTTGGCAGGGCCAAAGGGACGCTTCTCGAGGTGAGGCAGGGCACCCAAGGACCCTTTCCAGTAGCCACAGGGATTTTGGGATTCCTATCAGTATTCAAGAGGAGTCAGGCATCGTCATCTTTTGAAGCAATGAACTCCGCGTGCCTCTGGAGGTGTCAGCGGGATGTGAGGCATTCCGTCAAAATGAGGCAGGGACCTAGGGCTTTCTCTAAGGTCTCCACAGGGGATTCAGACATCCCTTCATGTTGTGAGATGAAAGACGAGCCTGTATTCAAGCCACTGCAAGGAAATACGGCCTCCTTTCAAGTTAGGGCTTCTCGCTGTATATTCCCCTTGAGGCAGCAAACTCGGGGTCCCTCCCACATACCTACTGCTGAGAGAAGCCTCCTCCTGAGGTGCTTCTGGGAACTTGGCATACGTCTTGAGCCTAAGCCAGGGAATCAGCTCGCATCTCGAGATGATTTGGGGTACACGGAGCATTCCTCGAGTTGCTGTGCTGAAGTTGGTGTTCCTCTAGACTTGGGACAGTGTTCTCGGGGCATCTCTGGAGTTGCCTGAAGGAAGTCGAGCCACCGGTCGTGTTGAATGGGGAACGGGGAATGGCTCTGGAGTCAATGCAGGGGAATCGGGCCTCATCTCGAGTTGATTTGGGGCACATGGAGCTGCTTTGCGTTGCTGGGGTGACCTCAGGGTCCGTCTAGACTGGTGACAGTGTTCTTGGGGACTGTCTCGAGATCCATTAAGCAAGTCGAAGCTCCTGACTTGTTTGAATGGGATCACGGAATAGCTCTGCATGCACTGCAGGGGAATGGGGCCTCACCTCGCCTCTAGGGGGAATTCTCATGGTTTTTCTCGAGTTGCGGCGGGGACCTGGGGTATGTTCTCGACTTACGGCGGGGATGGCCCTTCAAAACACGAGTTTCTTCAGTGACGTCAGGACTCCTGTCTAGTAAAGAGGGACACCTCAGGAATCTCTTCGAGGCTTGGCAGGGCAAAAGGGACGCTTCTCGAGGTGAGGCAGGGCACCGAAGGACCCTTTCCAGTAGCCACAGGGATTTTGGGATTCCTATCAGTATTCAAGAGGAGTCAGGCATCGTCACCTTTTGAAGCAATGAACTCCGCGTGCCTCTCGAGGTGTCAGCGGGATGTGAGGCATTCCGTCAAAATGAGGCAGGGACCTAGGGCTTTCTCTAAGGTCTCCACAGGGGATTCAGACATCCCTTCATGTTGTGAGATGAAAGACGAGCCTGTATTCAAGCCACTGCAAGGAAATCCGGCCTCCTTTCAAGTTAGGGCTTCTCGCTGTATATTCCCCTTGAGGCAGCAAACTCGGGGTCCCTCCCACATACCTATTGCTGAGAGAAGCCTCCTCCTGAGGTGCTTCTGGGAAGTTGGCATACGTCTTGAGCCTAAGCCAGGGAATCAGCTCGCATCTCGAGACGATTTGGGGTTGACGGAGCATTCCTCGAGTTGCTGTGCTGAAGTTGGTGTTCCTCTAGACTTGGGACAGTGTTCTCGGGGAATCTCTGGAGTTGCCTGAAGGAAGTCGAGCCACCGGTCGTGTTGAATGGGGAACGGGGAATGGCTCTGGAGTCAATGCAGGGGAATCGGGCCTCATCTCGAGTTGATTTGGGGCACATGGAGCTGCTTTGCGTTGCTGGGGTGACCTCAGGGTCCGTCTAGACTGGTGACAGTGTTCTTGGGGACTGTCTCGAGATCCATTAAGCAAGTCGAAGCTCCTGACTTGTTTGAATGGGATCACGGAATAGCTCTGCATGCACTGCAGGGGAATGGGGCCTCATCTCGCCTCTAGGGGGAAGTCTCATGGTTTTTCTCGAGTTGCGGCGGGGACCTGGGGTATGTTCTCGACTTACGGCGGGGATGGCCCTTCAAAACACGAGTTTCTTCAGTGACGTCAGGACTCCTGTCTAGTAACGAGGGACACCTCAGGAATCTCTTCGAGGCTTGGCAGGGCCAAAGGGACGCTTCTCGAGGTGAGGCAGGGCACCCAAGGACCCTTTCCAGTAGCCACAGGGATTTTGGGATTCCTATCAGTATTCAAGAGGAGTCAGGCATCGTCACCTTTTGAAGCAATGAACTCCGCGTGCCTCTCGAGGTGTCAGCGGGATGTGAGGCATTCCGTCAAAATGAGGCAGGGACCTAGGGCTTTCTCTAAGGTCTCCACAGGGGATTCAGACATCCCTTCATGTTGTGAGATGAAAGACGAGCCTGTATTCAAGCCACTGCAAGGAAATCCGGCCTCCTTTCAAGTTAGGGCTTCTCGCTGTATATTCCCCTTGAGGCAGCAAACTCGGGGTCCCTCCCACATACCTATTGCTGAGAGAAGCCTCCTCCGGAGGTGCTTCTGGGAAGTTGGCATACGTCTTGAGCCTAAGCCAGGGAATCAGCTCGCATCTCGAGACGATTTGGGGTACACGGAGCATTCCTCGAGTTGCTGTGCTGAAGTTGGTGTTCCTCTAGACTTGGGACAGTGTTCTCGGGGCATCTCTGGAGTTGCCTGAAGGAAGTCGAGCCACCGGTCGTGTTGAATGGGGAACGGGGTATGGCTCTGGAGTCAATGCAGGGGAATCGGGCCTCATCTCGAGTTGATTTGGGGCACATGGAGCTGCTTTGCGTTGCTGGGGTGACCTCAGGGTCCGTCTAGACTGGTGACAGTGTTCTTGGGGACTGTCTCGAGATCCATTAAGCAAGTCGAAGCTCCTGACTTGTTTGAATGGGATCATGGAATAGCTCTGCATGCACTGCAGGGGAATGGGGCCTCACCTCGCCTCTAGGGGGAAGTCTCATGGTTTTTCTCGAGTTGCGGCGGGGACCTGGGGTATGTTCTCGACTTACGGCGGGGATGGCCCTTCAAAACACGAGTTTCTTCAGTGACGTCAGGACTCCTGTCTAGTAACGAGGGACACCTCAGGAATCTCTTCGAGGCATGGCAGGGCCAAAGGGACGCTTCTCGAGGTGAGGCAGGGCACCCAAGGACCCTTTCCAGTAGCCACAGGGATTTTGGGATTCCTATCAGTATTCAAGAGGAGTCAGGCATCGTCACCTTTTGAAGCAATGAACTCCGCGTGCCTCTCGAGGTGTCAGCGGGATGTGAGGCATTCCGTCAAAATGAGGCAGGGACCTAGGGCTTTCTCTAAGGTCTCCACAGGGGATTCAGACATCCCTTCATGTTGTGAGATGAAAGACGAGCCTGTATTCAAGCCACTGCAAGGAAATCAGGCCTCCTTTCAAGTTAGGGCTTCTCGCTGTATATTCCCCTTGAGGCAGCAAACTCGGGGTCCCTCCCACATACCTATTGCTGAGAGAAGCCTCCTCCGGAGGTGCTTCTGGGAAGTTGGCATATGTCTTGAGCCTAAGCCAGGGAATCAGCTCGCATCTCGAGACGATTTGGGGTACACGGAGCATTCCTCGAGTTGCTGTGCTGAAGTTGGTGTTCCTCTAGACTTGGGACAGTGTTCTCGGGGCATCTCTGGAGTTGCCTGAAGGAAGTCGAGCCACCGGTCGTGTTGAATGGGGAACGGGGAATGGCTCTGGAGTCAATGCAGGGGAATCGGGCCTCATCTCGAGTTGATTTGGGGCACATGGAGCTGCTTTGCATTGCTGGGGTGACCTCAGGGTCCGTCTAGACTGGTGACAGTGTTCTTGGGGACTGTCTCGAGATCCATTAAGCAAGTCGAAGCTCCTGACTTGTTTGAATGGGATCACGGAATAGCTCTGCATGCACTGCAGGGGAATGGGGCCTCATCTCGCCTCTAGGGGGAAGTCTCATGGTTTTTCTCGAGTTGCGGCGTGGACCTGGGGTATGTTCTCGACTTACGGCGGGGATGGCCCTTCAAAACACGAGTTTCTTCAGTGACGTCAGGACTCCTGTCTAGTAACGAGGGACACCTCAGGAATCTCTTCGAGGCTTGGCAGGGCAAAAGGGACGCTTCTCGAGGTGAGGCAGGGCACCCAAGGACCCTTTCCAGTAGCCACAGGGATTTTGGGATTCCTATCAGTATTCAAGAGGAGTCAGGAATCGTCACCTTTTGAAGCAATGAACTCCGCGTGCCTCTCGAGGTGTCAGCGGGATGTGAGGCATTCCGTCAAAATGAGGCAGGGACCTAGGGCTTTCTCTAAGGTCTCCACAGGGGATTCAGACATCCCTTCATGTTGTGAGATGAAAGACGAGCCTGTATTCAAGCCACTGCAAGGAAATCCGGCCTCCTTTCAAGTTAGGGCTTCTCGCTGTATATTCCCCTTGAGGCAGCAAACTCGGGGTCCCTCCCACATACCTATTGCTGAGAGAAGCCTCCTCCTGAGGTGCTTCTGGGAAGTTGGCATACGTCTTGAGCCTAAGCCAGGGAATCAGCTCGCATCTCGAGACGATTTGGGGTACACGGAGCATTCCTCGAGTTGCTGTGCTGAAGTTGGTGTTCCTCTAGACTTGGGACAGTGTTCTCGGGGCATCTCTGGAGTTGCCTGAAGGAAGTCGAGCCACCGGTCGTGTTGAATGGGGAACGGGGAATGGCTCTGGAGTCAATGCAGAGGAATCGGGCCTCATCTCGAGTTGATTTTGGGCACATGGATCTGCTTTGCGTTGCTGGGGTGACCTCAGGGTCCGTCTAGACTGGTGACAGTGTTCTTGGGGACTGTCTCGAGATCCATTAAGCAAGTCGAAGCTCCTGACTTGTTTGAATGGGATCACGGAATAGCTCTGCATGCACTGCAGGGGAATGGGGCCTCATCTCGCCTCTAGGAGGAAGTCTCATGGTTTTTCTCGAGTTGCGGCGGGGACCTGGGGTATGTTCTCGACTTACGGCGGGGATGGCCCTTCAAAACACGAGTTTCTTCAGTGACGTCAGGACTCCTGTCTAGTAACGAGGGACACCTCAGGAATCTCTTCGAGGCTTGGCAGGGCCAAAGGGACGCTTCTCGAGGTGAGGCAGGGCACCCAAGGACCCTTTCCAGTAGCCACAGGGATTTTGGGATTCCTATCAGTATTCAAGAGGAGTCAGGCATCGTCACCTTTTGAAGCAATGAACTCCGCGTGCCTCTCGAGGTGTCAGCGGGATGTGAGGCATTCCGTCAAAATGAGGCAGGGACCTAGGGCTTTCTCTAAGGTCTCCACAGGGGATTCAGACATCCCTTCATGTTGTGAGATGAAAGACGAGCCTGTATTCAAGCCACTGCAAGGAAATCCGGCCTCCTTTCAAGTTAGGGCTTCTCGCTGTATATTCCCCTTGAGGCAGCAAACTCGGGGTCCCTCCCACATACCTATTGCTGAGAGAAGCCTCCTCCGGAGGTGCTCCTGGGAAGTTGGCATATGTCTTGAGCCTAAGCCAGGGAATCAGCTCGCATCTCGAGACGATTTGGGGTACACGGAGCATTCCTCGAGTTGCTGTGCTGAAGTTGGTGTTCCTGTAGACTTGGGACAGTGTTCTCGGGGCATCTCTGGAGTTGCCTGAAGGAAGTCGAGCCACCGGTCGTGTTGAATGGGGAACGGGGAATGGCTCTGGAGTCAATGCAGGGGAATCGGGCCTCATCTCGAGTTGATTTGGGGCACATGGAGCTGCTTTGCATTGCTGGGGTGACCTCAGGGTCCGTCTAGTCTTGTGACAGTGTTCTTGGGGACTGTCTCGAGATCCATTAAGCAAGTCGAAGCTCCTGACTTGTTTGAATGGGATCACGGAATAGCTCTGCATGCACTGCAGGGGAATGGGGCCTCATCTTGCCTCTAGGGGGAAGTCTCATGGTTTTTCTCGAGTTGCGGCGGGGACCTGGGGTATGTTCTCGACTTACGGCGGGGATGGCCCTTCAAAACACGAGTTTCTTCAGTGACGTCAGGACTCCTGTCTAGTAACGAGGGACACCTCAGGAATCTCTTCGAGGCTTGGCAGGGCCAAAGGGACGCTTCTCGAGGTGAGGCAGGGCACCCAAGGACCCTTTCCAGTAGCCACAGGGATTTTGGGATTCCTATCAGTATTCAAGAGGAGTCAGGAATCGTCACCTTTTGAAGCAATGAACTCCGCGTGCCTCTCGAGGTGTCAGCGGGATGTGAGGCATTCCGTCAAAATGAGGCAGGGACCTAGGGCTTTCTCTAAGGTCTCCACAGGGGATTCAGACATCCCTTCATGTTGTGAGATGAAAGACGAGCCTGTATTCAAGCCACTGCAAGGAAATCCGGCCTCCTTTCAAGTTAGGGCTTCTCGCTGTATATTCCCCTTGAGGCAGCAAACTCGGGGTCCCTCCCACATACCTATTGCTGAGAGAAGCCTCCTCCTGAGGTGCTTCTGGGAAGTTGGCATACGTCTTGAGCCTAAGCCAGGGAATCAGCTCGCATCTCGAGACGATTTGGGGTACACGGAGCATTCCTCGAGTTGCTGTGCTGAAGTTGGTGTTCCTCTAGACTTGGGACAGTGTTCTCGGGGCATCTCTGGAGTTGCCTGAAGGAAGTCGAGCCACCGGTCGTGTTGAATGGGGAACGGGGAATGGCTCTGGAGTCAATGCAGGGGAATCGGGCCTCATCTCGAGTTGATTTGGGGCACATGGAGCTGCTTTGCGTTGCTGGGGTGACCTCAGGGTCCGTCTAGACTGGTGACAGTGTTCTTGGGGACTGTCTCGAGATCCATTAAGCAAGTCGAAGCTCCTGACTTGTTTGAATGGGATCACGGAATAGCTCTGCATGCACTGCAGGGGAATGGGGCCTCATCTCGCCTCTAGGGGGAAGTCTCATGGTTTTTCTCGAGTTGCGGCGGGGACCTGGGGTATGTTCTCGACTTACGGCGGGGATGGCCCTTCAAAACACGAGTTTCTTCAGTGACGTCAGGACTCCTGTCTAGTAACGAGGGACACCTCAGGAATCTCTTCGAGGCTTGGCAGGGCCAAAGGGACGCTTCTCGAGGTGAGGCAGGGCACCCAAGAACCCTTTCCAGTAGCCACAGGGATTTTGGGATTCCTATCAGTATTCAAGAGGAGTCAGGCATCGTCACCTTTTGAAGCAATGAACTCCGCGTGCCTCTCGAGGTGTCAGCGGGATGTGAGGCATTCCGTCAAAATGAGGCAGGGACCTAGGGCTTTCTCTAAGGTCTCCACAGGGGATTCAGACATCCCTTCATGTTGTGAGATGAAAGACGAGCCTGTATTCAAGCCACTGCAAGGAAATCCGGCCTCCTTTCAAGTTAGGGCTTCTCGCTGTATATTCCCCTTGAGGCAGGAAACTCGGGGTCCCTCCCACATACCTATTGCTGAGAGAAGCCTCCTCCTGAGGTGCTTCTGGGAAGTTGGCATACGTCTTGATCCTAAGCCAGGGAATCAGCTCGCATCTCGAGATGATTTGTGGTACACGGAGCATTCCTCGAGTTGCTGTGCTGAAGTTGGTGTTCCTCTAGACTTGGGACAGTGTTCTCGGGGCATCTCTGGAGTTGCCTGAAGGAAGTCGAGCCACCGGTCATGTTGAATGGGGAACGGGGAATGGCTCTGGAGTCAATGCAGGGGAATCGGGCCTCATCCCGAGTTGATTTGGGGCACATGGAGCTGCTTTGCGTTGCTGGGGTGACCTCAGGGTCCGTCTAGACTGGTGACAGTGTTCTTGGGGACTCTCTCGAGATCCATTAAGCAAGTCGAAGCTCCTGACTTGTTTGAATGGGATCATGGAATAGCTCTGCATGCACTGCAGGGGAATGGGGCCTCATCTCGCCTCTAGGGGGAAGTCTCATGGTTTTTCTCGAGTTGCGGCGGGGACCTGGGGTATGTTCTCGACTTACGGCGGGGATGGCCCTTCAAAACACGAGTTTCTTCAGTGACGTCAGGACTCCTGTCTAGTAACGAGGGACACCTCAGGAATCTCTTCGAGGCTTGGCAGGGCCAAAGGGACGCTTCTCGAGGTGAGGCAGGGCACCCAAGGACCCTTTCCAGTAGCCACAGGGATTTTGGGATTCCTATCAGTATTCAAGAGGAGTCAGGCATCGTCACCTTTTGAAGCAATGAACTCCGCGTGCCTCTCGAGGTGTCAGCGGGATGTGAGGCATTCCGTCAATATGAGGCAGGGACCTAGGGCTTTCTCTAAGGTCTCCACAGGGGATTCAGACATCCCTTCATGTTGTGAGATGAAAGACGAGCCTGTATTCAAGCCACTGCAAGGAAATCCGGCCTACTTTCAAGTTAGGGCTTCTCGATGTATATTCCCCTTGAGGCAGCAAACTCGGGGTCCCTCCCACATACCTATTGCTGAGAGAAGCCTCCTCCGGAGGTGCTTCTGGGAAGTTGGCATACGTCTTGAGCCTAAGCCAGGGAATCAGCTCGCATCTCGAGACGATTTGGGGTACACGGAGCATTCCTCGAGTTGCTGTGCTGAAGTTGGTGTTCCTCTAGACTTGGGACAGTGTTCTCGGGGCATCTCTGGAGTTGCCTGAAGGAAGTCGAGCCACCGGTCGTGTTGAATGTGGAACGGGGAATGGCTCTGGAGTCAATGCAGGGGAATCGGGCCTCATTTCGAGTTGATTTGGGGCACATGGAGCTGCTTTGCGTTGCTGGGGTGACCTCAGGGTCCGTCTAGACTGGTGACAGTGTTCTTGGGGACTGTCTCGAGATCCATTAAGCAAGTCGAAGCTCCTGACTTGTTTGAATGGGATCACGGAATAGCTCTGCATGCACTGCAGGGGAATGGGGCCTCATCTCGCCTCTAGGGGGAAGTCTCATGGTTTTTCTCGAGTTGCGGCGTGGACCTGGGGTATGTTCTCGACTTACGGCGGGGATGGCCCTTCAAAACACGAGTTTCTTCAGTGACGTCAGGACCCCTGTCTAGTAACGAGGGACACCTCAGGAATCTCTTCGAGGCTTGGCAGGGCAAAAGGGACGCTTCTCGAGGTGAGGCAGGGCACCCAAGGACCCTTTCCAGTAGCCACAGGGATTTTGGGATTCCTATCAGTATTCAAGAGGAGTCAGGCATCGTCACCTTTTGAAGCAATGAACTCCGCGTGCCTCTCGAGGTGTCAGCGGGATGTGAGGCATTCCGTCAAAATGAGGCAGGGACCTAGGGCTTTCTCTAAGGTCTCCACAGGGGATTCAGACATCCCTTCATGTTGTGAGATGAAAGACGAGCCTGTATTCAAGCCACTGCAAGGAAATCCGGCCTCCTTTCAAGTTAGGGCTTCTCGCTGTATATTCCCCTTGAGGCAGCAAACTCGGGGTCCCTCCCACATACCTATTGCTGAGAGAAGCCTCCTCCTGAGGTGCTTCTGGGAAGTTGGCATACGTCTTGAGCCTAAGCCAGGGAATCAGCTCGCATCTCGAGACGATTTGGGGTACACGGAGCATTCCTCGAGTTGCTGTGCTGAAGTTGGTGTTCCTCTAGACTTGGGACAGTGTTCTCGGGGCATCTCTGGAGTTGCCTGAAGGAAGTCGAGCCACCGGTCTTGTTGAATGGGGAACGGGGAATGGCTCTGGAGTCAATGCAGGGGAATCGGGCCTCATCCCGAGTTGATTTGGGGCACATGGAGCTGCTTTGCGTTGCTGGGGTGACCTCAGGGTCCGTCTAGACTGGTGACAGTGTTCTTGGGGACTGTCTCGAGATCCATTAAGCAAGTCGAAGCTCCTGACTTGTTTTAATGGGATCACGGAATAGCTCTGCATGCACTGCAGGGGAATGGGGCCTCATCTCGCCTCTAGGGGGAAGTCTCATGGTTTTTCTCGAGTTGCGGTGGGGACCTGGGGTATGTTCTCGATTTACGGCGGGGATGGCCCTTCAAAACACGAGTTTCTTCAGTGACGTCAGGACTCCTGTCTAGTAACAAGGGACACCTCAGGAATCTCTTCGAGGCTTGGCAGGGCCAAAGGGACGCTTCTCGAGGTGAGGCAGGGCACCCAAGGACCCTTTCCAGTAGCCACAGGGATTTTGGGATTCCTATCAGTATTCAAGAGGAGTCAGGCATCGTCATCTTTTGAAGCAATGAACTCCGCGTGCCTCTCGAGGTGTCAGCGGGATGTGAGGCATTCCGTCAAAATGAGGCAGGGACCTAGGGCTTTCTCTAAGGTCTCCACAGGGGATTCAGACATCCCTTCATGTTGTGAGATGAAAGACGAGCCTGTATTCAAGCCACTGCAAGGAAATCCGGCCTCCTTTCAAGTTAGGGCTTCTCGCTGTATATTCCCCTTGAGGCAGCAAACTCGGGGTCCCTCCCACATACCTACTGCTGAGAGAAGCCTCCTCCTGAGGTGCTTCTGGGAAGTTGGCATACGTCTTGAGCCTAAGCCAGGGAATCAGCTCGCATCTCGAGATGATTTGTGGTACACGGAGCATTCCTCGAGTTGCTGTGCTGAAGTTGGTGTTCCTCTAGACTTGGGACAGTGTTCTCGGGGCATCTCTGGAGTTGCCTGAAGGAAGTCGAGCCACCGGTCATGTTGAATGGGGAACGGGGAATGGCTCTGGAGTCAATGCAGGGGAATCGGGCCTCATCCCGAGTTGATTTGGGGCACATGGAGCTGCTTTGCGTTGCTGGGGTGACCTCAGGGTCCGTCTAGACTGGTGACAGTGTTCTTGGGGACTCTCTCGAGATCCATTAAGCAAGTCGAAGCTCCTGACTTGTTTGAATGGGATCATGGAATAGCTCTGCATGCACTGCAGGGGAATGGGGCCTCATCTCGCCTCTAGGGGGAAGTCTCATGGTTTTTCTCGAGTTGCGGCGGGGACCTGGGGTATGTTCTCGACTTACGGCGGGGATGGCCCTTCAAAACACGAGTTTCTTCAGTGACGTCAGGACTCCTGTCTAGTAACGAGGGACACCTCAGGAATCTCTTCGAGGCTTGGCAGGGCCAAAGGGACGCTTCTCGAGGTGAGGCAGGGCACCCAAGGACCCTTTCCAGTAGCCACAGGGATTTTGGGATTCCTATCAGTATTCAAGAGGAGTCAGGCATCGTCACCTTTTGAAGCAATGAACTCCGCGTGCCTCTCGAGGTGTCAGCGGGATGTGAGGCATTCCGTCAAAATGAGGCAGGGACCTAGGGCTTTCTCTAAGGTCTCCACAGGGGATTCAGACATCCCTTCATGTTGTGAGATGAAAGACGAGCCTGTATTCAAGCCACTGCAAGGAAATCCGGCCTCCTTTCAAGTTAGGGCTTCTCGCTGTATATTCCCCTTGAGGCAGCAAACTCGGGGTCCCTCCCACATACCTATTGCTGAGAGAAGCCTCCTCCGGAGGTGCTTCTGGGAAGTTGGCATACGTCTTGAGCCTAAGCCAGGGAATCAGCTCGCATCTCGAGATGATTTGGGGTACACGGAGCATTCCTCGAGTTGCTGTGCTGAAGTTGGTGTTCCTCTAGACTTGGGACAGTGTTCTCGGGGCATCTCTGGAGTTGCCTGAAGGAAGTCGAGCCACCGGTCGTGTTGAATGGGGAACGGGGTATGGCTCTGGAGTCAATGCAGGGGAATCGGGCCTCATCTCGAGTTGATTTGGGGCACATGGAGCTGCTTTGCGTTGCTGGGGTGACCTCAGGGTCCGTCTAGACTGGTGACAGTGTTCTTGGGGACTGTCTCGAGATCCATTAAGCAAGTCGAAGCTCCTGACTTGTTTGAATGGGATCATGGAATAGCTCTGCATGCACTGCAGGGGAATGGGGCCTCACCTCGCCTCTAGGGGGAAGTCTCATGGTTTTTCTCGAGTTGCGGCGGGGACCTGGGGTATGTTCTCGACTTACGGCGGGGATGGCCCTTCAAAACACGAGTTTCTTCAGTGACGTCAGGACTCCTGTCTAGTAACGAGGGACACCTCAGGAATCTCTTCGAGGCATGGCAGGGCCAAAGGGACGCTTCTCGAGGTGAGGCAGGGCACCCAAGGACCCTTTCCAGTAGCCACAGGGATTTTGGGATTCCTATCAGTATTCAAGAGGAGTCAGGCATCGTCACCTTTTGAAGCAATGAACTCCGCGTGCCTCTCGAGGTGTCAGCGGGATGTGAGGCATTCCGTCAAAATGAGGCAGGGACCTAGGGCTTTCTCTAAGGTCTCCACAGGGGATTCAGACATCCCTTCATGTTGTGAGATGAAAGACGAGCCTGTATTCAAGCCACTGCAAGGAAATCAGGCCTCCTTTCAAGTTAGGGCTTCTCGCTGTATATTCCCCTTGAGGCAGCAAACTCGGGGTCCCTCCCACATACCTATTGCTGAGAGAAGCCTCCTCCGGAGGTGCTTCTGGGAAGTTGGCATATGTCTTGAGCCTAAGCCAGGGAATCAGCTCGTATCTCGAGACGATTTGGGGTACACGGAGCATTCCTCGAGTTGCTGTGCTGAAGTTGGTGTTCCTCTAGACTTGGGACAGTGTTCTCGGGGCATCTCTGGAGTTGCCTGAAGGAAGTCGAGCCACCGGTCGTGTTGAATGGGGAACGGGGAATGGCTCTGGAGTCAATGCAGGGGAATCGGGCCTCATCTCGAGTTGATTTGGGGCACATGGAGCTGCTTTGCATTGCTGGGGTGACCTCAGGGTCCGTCTAGACTGGTGACAGTGTTCTTGGGGACTGTCTCGAGATCCATTAAGCAAGTCGAAGCTCCTGACTTGTTTGAATGGGATCACGGAATAGCTCTGCATGCACTGCAGGGGAATGGGGCCTCATCTCGCCTCTAGGGGGAAGTCTCATGGTTTTTCTCGAGTTGCGGCGGGGACCTGGGGTATGTTCTCGACTTACGGCGGGGATGGCCCTTCAAAACACGAGTTTCTTCAGTGACGTCAGGACTCCTGTCTAGTAACGAGGGACACCTCAGGAATCTCTTCGAGGCTTGGCAGGGCAAAAGGGACGCTTCTCGAGGTGAGGCAGGGCACCCAAGGACCCTTTCCAGTAGCCACAGGGATTTTGGGATTCCTATCAGTATTCAAGAGGAGTCAGGAATCGTCACCTTTTGAAGCAATGAACTCCGCGTGCCTCTCGAGGTGTCAGCGGGATGTGAGGCATTCCGTCAAAATGAGGCAGGGACCTAGGGCTTTCTCTAAGGTCTCCACAGGGGATTCAGACATCCCTTCATGTTGTGAGATGAAAGACGAGCCTGTATTCAAGCCACTGCAAGGAAATCCGGCCTCCTTTCAAGTTAGGGCTTCTCGCTGTATATTCCCCTTGAGGCAGCAAACTCGGGGTCCCTCCCACATACCTATTGCTGAGAGAAGCCTCCTCCTGAGGTGCTTCTGGGAAGTTGGCATACGTCTTGAGCCTAAGCCAGGGAATCAGCTCGCATCTCGAGACGATTTGGGGTACACGGAGCATTCCTCGAGTTGCTGTGCTGAAGTTGGTGTTCCTCTAGACTTGGGACAGTGTTCTCGGGGCATCTCTGGAGTTGCCTGAAGGAAGTCGAGCCACCGGTCGTGTTGAATGGGGAACGGGGAATGGCTCTGGAGTCAATGCAGAGGAATCGGGCCTCATCTCGAGTTGATTTTGGGCACATGGATCTGCTTTGCGTTGCTGGGGTGACCTCAGGGTCCGTCTAGACTGGTGACAGTGTTCTTGGGGACTGTCTCGAGATCCATTAAGCAAGTCGAAGCTCCTGACTTGTTTGAATGGGATCACGGAATAGCTCTGCATGCACTGCAGGGGAATGGGGCCTCATCTCGCCTCTAGGAGGAAGTCTCATGGTTTTTCTCGAGTTGCGGCGGGGACCTGGGGTATGTTCTCGACTTACGGCGGGGATGGACCTTCAAAACACGAGTTTCTTCAGTGACGTCAGGACTCCTGTCTAGTAACGAGGGACACCTCAGGAATCTCTTCGAGGCTTGGCAGGGCCAAAGGGACGCTTCTCGAGGTGAGGCAGGGCACCCAAGGACCCTTTCCAGTAGCCACAGGGATTTTGGGATTCCTATCAGTATTCAAGAGGAGTCAGGCATCGTCACCTTTTGAAGCAATGAACTCCGCGTGCCTCTCGAGGTGTCAGCGGGATGTGAGGCATTCCGTCAAAATGAGGCAGGGACCTAGGGCTTTCTCTAAGGTCTCCACAGGGGATTCAGACATCCCTTCATGTTGTGAGATGAAAGACGAGCCTGTATTCAAGCCACTGCAAGGAAATCCGGCCTCCTTTCAAGTTAGGGCTTCTCGCTGTATATTCCCCTTGAGGCAGCAAACTCGGGGTCCCTCCCACATACCTATTGCTGAGAGAAGCCTCCTCCGGAGGTGCTTCTGGGAAGTTGGCATATGTCTTGAGCCTAAGCCAGGGAATCAGCTCGCATCTCGAGACGATTTGGGGTACACGGAGCATTCCTCGAGTTGCTGTGCTGAAGTTGGTGTTCCTGTAGACTTGGGACAGTGTTCTCGGGGCATCTCTGGAGTTGCCTGAAGGAAGTCGAGCCACCGGTCGTGTTGAATGGGGAACGGGGAATGGCTCTGGAGTCAATGCAGGGGAATCGGGCCTCATCTCGAGTTGATTTGGGGCACATGGAGCTGCTTTGCATTGCTGGGGTGACCTCAGGGTCCGTCTAGTCTTGTGACAGTGTTCTTGGGGACTGTCTCGAGATCCATTAAGCAAGTCGAAGCTCCTGACTTGTTTGAATGGGATCACGGAATAGCTCTGCATGCACTGCAGGGGAATGGGGCCTCATCTCGCCTCTAGGGGGAAGTCTCATGGTTTTTCTCGAGTTGCGGCGGGGACCTGGGGTATGTTCTCGACTTACGGCGGGGATGGCCCTTCAAAACACGAGTTTCTTCAGTGACGTCAGGACTCCTGTCTAGTAACGAGGGACACCTCAGGAATCTCTTCGAGGCTTGGCAGGGCCAAAGGGACGCTTCTCGAGGTGAGGCAGGGCACCCAAGGACCCTTTCCAGTAGCCACAGGGATTTTGGGATTCCTATCAGTATTCAAGAGGAGTCAGGAATCGTCACCTTTTGAAGCAATGAACTCCGCGTGCCTCTCGAGGTGTCAGCGGGATGTGAGGCATTCCGTCAAAATGAGGCAGGGACCTAGGGCTTTCTCTAAGGTCTCCACAGGGGATTCAGACATCCCTTCATGTTGTGAGATGAAAGACGAGCCTGTATTCAAGCCACTGCAAGGAAATCCGGCCTCCTTTCAAGTTAGGGCTTCTCGCTGTATATTCCCCTTGAGGCAGCAAACTCGGGGTCCCTCCCACATACCTATTGCTGAGAGAAGCCTCCTCCTGAGGTGCTTCTGGGAAGTTGGCATACGTCTTGAGCCTAAGCCAGGGAATCAGCTCGCATCTCGAGACGATTTGGGGTACACGGAGCATTCCTCGAGTTGCTGTGCTGAAGTTGGTGTTCCTGTAGACTTGGGACAGTGTTCTCGGGGCATCTCTGGAGTTGCCTGAAGGAAGTCGAGCCACCGGTCGTGTTGAATGGGGAACGGGGAATGGCTCTGGAGTCAATGCAGGGGAATCGGGCCTCATCTCGAGTTGATTTGGGGCACATGGAGCTGCTTTGCGTTGCTGGGGTGACCTCAGGGTCCGTCTAGACTGGTGACAGTGTTCTTGGGGACTGTCTCGAGATCCATTAAGCAAGTCGAAGCTCCTGACTTGTTTGAATGGGATCACGGAATAGCTCTGCATGCACTGCAGGGGAATGGGGCCTCATCTCGCCTCTAGGGGGAAGTCTCATGGTTTTTCTCGAGTTGCGGCGGGGACCTGGGGTATGTTCTCGACTTACGGCGGGGATGGCCCTTCAAAACACGAGTTTCTTCAGTGACGTCAGGACCCCTGTCTAGTAACGAGGGACACCTCAGGAATCTCTTCGAGGCTTGGCAGGGCCAAAGGGACGCTTCTCGAGGTGAGGCAGGGCACCCAAGAACCCTTTCCAGTAGCCACAGGGATTTTGGGATTCCTATCAGTATTCAAGAGGAGTCAGGCATCGTCACCTTTTGAAGCAATGAACTCCGCGTGCCTCTCGAGGTGTCAGCGGGATGTGAGGCATTCCGTCAAAATGAGGCAGGGACCTAGGGCTTTCTCTAAGGTCTCCACAGGGGATTCAGACATCCCTTCATGTTGTGAGATGAAAGACGAGCCTGTATTCAAGCCACTGCAAGGAAATCCGGCCTCCTTTCAAGTTAGGGCTTCTCGCTGTATATTCCCCTTGAGGCAGGAAACTCGGGGTCCCTCCCACATACCTATTGCTGAGAGAAGCCTCCTCCTGAGGTGCTTCTGGGAAGTTGGCATACGTCTTGAGCCTAAGCCAGGGAATCAGCTCGCATCTCGAGACGATTTGGGGTACACGGAGCATTCCTCGAGTTGCTGTGCTGAAGTTGGTGTTCCTCTAGACTTGGGACAGTGTTCTCGGGGCATCTCTGGAGTTGCCTGAAGGAAGTCGAGCCACCGGTCGTGTTGAATGGGGAACGGGGAATGGCTCTGGAGTCAATGCAGAGGAATCGGGCCTCATCTCGAGTTGATTTTGGGCACATGGATCTGCTTTGCGTTGCTGGGGTGACCTCAGGGTCCGTCTAGACTGGTGACAGTGTTCTTGGGGACTGTCTCGAGATCCATTAAGCAAGTCGAAGCTCCTGACTTGTTTGAATGGGATCACGGAATAGCTCTGCATGCACTGCAGGGGAATGGGGCCTCATCTCGCCTCTAGGAGGAAGTCTCATGGTTTTTCTCGAGTTGCGGCGGGGACCTGGGGTATGTTCTCGACTTACGGCGGGGATGGCCCTTCAAAACACGAGTTTCTTCAGTGACGTCAGGACTCCTGTCTAGTAACGAGGGACACCTCAGGAATCTCTTCGAGGCTTGGCAGGGCCAAAGGGACGCTTCTCGAGGTGAGGCAGGGCACCCAAGGACCCTTTCCAGTAGCCACAGGGATTTTGGGATTCCTATCAGTATTCAAGAGGAGTCAGGCATCGTCACCTTTTGAAGCAATGAACTCCGCGTGCCTCTCGAGGTGTCAGCGGGATGTGAGGCATTCCGTCAAAATGAGGCAGGGACCTAGGGCTTTCTCTAAGGTCTCCACAGGGGATTCAGACATCCCTTCATGTTGTGAGATGAAAGACGAGCCTGTATTCAAGCCACTGCAAGGAAATCCGGCCTCCTTTCAAGTTAGGGCTTCTCGCTGTATATTCCCCTTGAGGCAGCAAACTCGGGGTCCCTCCCACATACCTATTGCTGAGAGAAGCCTCCTCCTGAGGTGCTTCTGGGAAGTTGGCATACGTCTTGAGCCTAAGCCAGGGAATCAGCTCGCATCTCGAGACGATTTGGGGTACACGGAGCATTCCTCGAGTTGCTGTGCTGAAGTTGGTGTTCCTGTAGACTTGGGACAGTGTTCTCGGGGCATCTCTGGAGTTGCCTGAAGGAAGTCGAGCCACCGGTCGTGTTGAATGGGGAACGGGGAATGGCTCTGGAGTCAATGCAGGGGAATCGGGCCTCATCTCGAGTTGATTTGGGGCACATGGAGCTGCTTTGCGTTGCTGGGGTGACCTCAGGGTCCGTCTAGACTGGTGACAGTGTTCTTGGGGACTGTCTCGAGATCCATTAAGCAAGTCGAAGCTCCTGACTTGTTTGAATGGGATCACGGAATAGCTCTGCATGCACTGCAGGGGAATGGGGCCTCATCTCGCCTCTAGGGGGAAGTCTCATGGTTTTTCTCGAGTTGCGGCGGGGACCTGGGGTATGTTCTCGACTTACGGCGGGGATGGCCCTTCAAAACACGAGTTTCTTCAGTGACGTCAGGACCCCTGTCTAGTAACGAGGGACACCTCAGGAATCTCTTCGAGGCTTGGCAGGGCCAAAGGGACGCTTCTCGAGGTGAGGCAGGGCACCCAAGAACCCTTTCCAGTAGCCACAGGGATTTTGGGATTCCTATCAGTATTCAAGAGGAGTCAGGCATCGTCACCTTTTGAAGCAATGAACTCCGCGTGCCTCTCGAGGTGTCAGCGGGATGTGAGGCATTCCGTCAAAATGAGGCAGGGACCTAGGGCTTTCTCTAAGGTCTCCACAGGGGATTCAGACATCCCTTCATGTTGTGAGATGAAAGACGAGCCTGTATTCAAGCCACTGCAAGGAAATCCGGCCTCCTTTCAAGTTAGGGCTTCTCGCTGTATATTCCCCTTGAGGCAGGAAACTCGGGGTCCCTCCCACATACCTATTGCTGAGAGAAGCCTCCTCCTGAGGTGCTTCTGGGAAGTTGGCATACGTCTTGAGCCTAAGCCAGGGAATCAGCTCGCATCTCGAGATGATTTGGGGTACACGGAGCATTCCTCGAGTTGCTGTGCTGAAGTTGGTGTTCCTCTAGACTTGGGACAGTGTTCTCGGGGCATCTCTGGAGTTGCCTGAAGGAAGTCGAGCCACCGGTCGTGTTGAATGGGGAACGGGGAATGGCTCTGGAGTCAATGCAGGGGAATCGGGCCTCATCCCGAGTTGATTTGGGGCACATGGAGCTGCTTTGCGTTGCTGGGGTGACCTCAGGGTCCGTCTAGACTGGTGACAGTGTTCTTGGGGACTCTCTCGAGATCCATTAAGCAAGTCGAAGCTCCTGACTTGTTTGAATGGGATCATGGAATAGCTCTGCATGCACTGCAGGGGAATGGGGCCTCATCTCGCCTCTAGGGGGAAGTCTCATGGTTTTTCTCGAGTTGCGGCGGGGACCTGGGGTATGTTCTCGACTTACGGCGGGGATGGCCCTTCAAAACACGAGTTTCTTCAGTGACGTCAGGACTCCTGTCTAGTAACGAGGGACACCTCAGGAATCTCTTCGAGGCTTGGCAGGGCCAAAGGGACGCTTCTCGAGGTGAGGCAGGGCACCCAAGGACCCTTTCCAGTAGCCACAGGGATTTTGGGATTCCTATCAGTATTCAAGAGGAGTCAGGCATCGTCACCTTTTGAAGCAATGAACTCCGCGTGCCTCTCGAGGTGTCAGCGGGATGTGAGGCATTCCGTCAAAATGAGGCAGGGACCTAGGGCTTTCTCTAAGGTCTCCACAGGGGATTCAGACATCCCTTCATGTTGTGAGATGAAAGACGAGCCTGTATTCAAGCCACTGCAAGGAAATCCGGCCTCCTTTCAAGTTAGGGCTTCTCGCTGTATATTCCCCTTGAGGCAGCAAACTCGGGGTCCCTCCCACATACCTATTGCTGAGAGAAGCCTCCTCCTGAGGTGCTTCTGGGAAGTTGGCATACGTCTTGAGCCTAAGCCAGGGAATCAGCTCGCATCTCGAGACGATTTGGGGTACACGGAGCATTCCTCGAGTTGCTGTGCTGAAGTTGGTGTTCCTCTAGACTTGGGACAGTGTTCTCGGGGCATCTCTGGAGTTGCCTGAAGGAAGTCGAGCCACCGGTCGTGTTGAATGGGGAACGGGGTATGGCTCTGGAGTCAATGCAGGGGAATCGGGCCTCATCTCGAGTTGATTTGGGGCACATGGAGCTGCTTTGCGTTGCTGGGGTGACCTCAGGGTCCGTCTAGACTGGTGACAGTGTTCTTGGGGACTGTCTCGAGATCCATTAAGCAAGTCGAAGCTCCTGACTTGTTTGAATGGGATCACGGAATAGCTCTGCATGCACTGCAGGGGAATGGGGCCTCACCTCGCCTCTAGGGGGAAATCTCATGGTTTTTCTCGAGTTGCGGCGGGGACCTGGGGTATGTTCTCGACTTACGGCGGGGATGGCCCTTCAAAACACGAGTTTCTTCAGTGACGTCAGGACCCCTGTCTAGTAACGAGGGACACCTCAGGAATCTCTTCGAGGCTTGGCAGGGTAAAAGGGACGCTTCTCCAGGTGAGGCAGGGCACCCAAGGACCCTTTCCAGTAGCCACAGGGATTTTGGGATTCCTTTCAGTATTCAAGAGGAGTCAGGCATCGTCACCTTTTGAAGCAATGAACTCCGCGTGCCTCTCGAGGTGTCAGCAGTATGTGAGGCATTCCGTCAAAATGAGGCAGGGACCTAGGGCTTTGTCTAAGGTCTCCACAGGGGATTCAGACATCCCTTCATGTTGTGAGATGAAAGACGAGCCTGTATTCAAGCCACTGCAAGGAAATCCGGCCTACTTTCAAGTTAGGGCTTCTCGCTGTATATTCCCCTTGAGGCAGCAAACTCGGGGTCCCTCCCACATACCTATTGCTGAGAGAAGCCTCCTCCGGAGGTGCTTCTGGGAAGTTGGCATACGTCTTGAGCCTAAGCCAGGGAATCAGCTCGCATCTCGAGACGATTTGGGGTACACGGAGCATTCCTCGAGTTGCTGTGCTGAAGTTGGTGTTCCTCTAGACTTGGGACAGTGTTCTCGGGGCATCTCTGGAGTTGCCTGAAGGAAGTCGAGCCACCGGTCGTGTTGAATGGGGAACGGGGAATGGCTCTGGAGTCAATGCAGGGGAATCGGGCCTCATCTCGAGTTGATTTGGGGCACATGGAGCTGCTTTGCGTTGCTGGGGTGACCTCAGGGTCCGTCTAGACTGGTGACAGTGTTCTTGGGGACTGTCTCGAGATCCATTAAGCAAGTCGAAGCTCCTGACTTGTTTGAATGGGATCACGGAATAGCTCTGCATGCACTGCAGGGGAATGGGGCCTCACCTCGCCTCTAGGGGGAAGTCTCATTGTTTTTCTCGAGTTGCGGCGGGGACCTGGGGTATGTTCTCGACTTACGGCGGGCATGGCCCTTCAAAACACGAGTTTCTTCAGTGACGTCAGGACTCCTGTCTAGTAACGAGGGACACCTCAGGAATCTCTTCGAGGCTTGGCAGGGCAAAAGGGACGCTTCTCGAGGTGAGGCAGGGCACCCAAGGACCCTTTCCAGTAGCCACAGGGATTTTGGGATTCCTATCAGTATTCAAGAGGAGTCAGGCATCGTCACCTTTTGAAGCAATGAACTCCGCGTGCCTCTCGAGGTGTCAGCGGGATGTGAGGCATTCCGTCAAAATGAGGCAGGGACCTAGGGCTTTCTCTAAGGTCTCCACAGGGGATTCAGACATCCCTTCATGTTGTGAGATGTAAGACGAGCCTGTATTCGAGCCACTGCAAGGAAATCCGGCCTCCTTTCAAGTTAGGGCTTCTCGCTGTATATTCCCCTTGAGGCAGCAAACTCGGGGTCCCTCCCACATACCTATTGCTGAGAGAAGCCTCCTCCTGAGGTGCTTCTGGGAAGTTGGCATACGTCTTGAGCCTAAGCCAGGGAATCAGCTCGCATCTCGAGACGATTTGGGGTACACGGAGCATTCCTCGAGTTGCTGTGCTGAAGTTGGTGTTCCTCTAGACTTGGGACAGTGTTCTCGGGGCATCTCTGGAGTTGCCTGAAGGAAGTCGAGCCACCGGTCGTGTTGAATGGGGAACGGGGAATGGCTCTGGAGTCAATGCATTGGAATCGGGCCTCATCTCGAGTTGATTTGGGGCACATGGAGCTGCTTTGCGTTGCTGGGGTGACCTCAGGGTCCGTCTAGACTGGTGACAGTGTTCTTGGGGACTGTCTCGAGATCCATTAAGCAAGTCGAAGCTCCTGACTTGTTTGAATGGGATCACGGAATAGCTCTGCATGCACTGCAGGGGAATGGGGCCTCATCTCGCCTCTAGGGGGAAGTCTCATGGTTTTTCTCGAGTTGCGGCGGGGACCTGGGGTATGTTCTCGACTTACGGCGGGGATGGCCCTTCAAAACACGAGTTTCTTCAGTGACGTCAGGACCCCTGTCTAGTAACGAGGGACACCTCAGGAATCTCTTCGAGGCTTGGCAGGGCCAAAGGGACGCTTCTCGAGGTGAGGCAGGGCACCCAAGAACCCTTTCCAGTAGCCACAGGGATTTTGGGATTCCTATCAGTATTCAAGAGGAGTCAGGCATCGTCACCTTTTGAAGCAATGAACTCCGCGTGCCTCTCGAGGTGTCAGCGGGATGTGAGGCATTCCGTCAAAATGAGGCAGGGACCTAGGGCTTTCTCTAAGGTCTCCACAGGGGATTCAGACATCCCTTCATGTTGTGAGATGAAAGACGAGCCTGTATTCAAGCCACTGCAAGGAAATCCGGCCTCCTTTCAAGTTAGGGCTTCTCGCTGTATATTCCCCTTGAGGCAGGAAACTCGGGGTCCCTCCCACATACCTATTGCTGAGAGAAGCCTCCTCCTGAGGTGCTTCTGGGAAGTTGGCATACGTCTTGAGCCTAAGCCAGGGAATCAGCTCGCATCTCGAGATGATTTGGGGTACACGGAGCATTCCTCGAGTTGCTGTGCTGAAGTTGGTGTTCCTCTAGACTTGGGACAGTGTTCTCGGGGCATCTCTGGAGTTGCCTGAAGGAAGTCGAGCCACCGGTCGTGTTGAATGGGGAACGGGGAATGGCTCTGGAGTCAATGCAGGGGAATCGGGCCTCATCCCGAGTTGATTTGGGGCACATGGAGCTGCTTTGCGTTGCTGGGGTGACCTCAGGGTCCGTCTAGACTGGTGACAGTGTTCTTGGGGACTCTCTCGAGATCCATTAAGCAAGTCGAAGCTCCTGACTTGTTTGAATGGGATCATGGAATAGCTCTGCATGCACTGCAGGGGAATGGGGCCTCATCTCGCCTCTAGGGGGAAGTCTCATGGTTTTTCTCGAGTTGCGGCGGGGACCTGGGGTATGTTCTCGACTTACGGCGGGGATGGCCCTTCAAAACACGAGTTTCTTCAGTGACGTCAGGACTCCTGTCTAGTAACGAGGGACACCTCAGGAATCTCTTCGAGGCTTGGCAGGGCCAAAGGGACGCTTCTCGAGGTGAGGCAGGGCACCCAAGGACCCTTTCCAGTAGCCACAGGGATTTTGGGATTCCTATCAGTATTCAAGAGGAGTCAGGCATCGTCACCTTTTGAAGCAATGAACTCCGCGTGCCTCTCGAGGTGTCAGCGGGATGTGAGGCATTCCGTCAAAATGAGGCAGGGACCTAGGGCTTTCTCTAAGGTCTCCACAGGGGATTCAGACATCCCTTCATGTTGTGAGATGAAAGACGAGCCTGTATTCAAGCCACTGCAAGGAAATCCGGCCTCCTTTCAAGTTAGGGCTTCTCGCTGTATATTCCCCTTGAGGCAGCAAACTCGGGGTCCCTCCCACATACCTACTGCTGAGAGAAGCCTCCTCCTGAGGTGCTTCTGGGAAGTTGGCATACGTCTTGACCCTAAGCCAGGGAATCAGCTCGCATCTCGAGATGATTTGGGGTACACGGAGCATTCCTCGAGTTGCTGTGCTGAAGTTGGTGTTCCTCTAGACTTGGGACAGTGTTCTCGGGGCATCTCTGGAGTTGCCTGAAGGAAGTCGAGCCACCGGTCGTGTTGAATGGGGAACGGGGTATGGCTCTGGAGTCAATGCAGGGGAATCGGGCCTCATCTCGAGTTGATTTGGGGCACATGGAGCTGCTTTGCGTTGCTGGGGTGACCTCAGGGTCCGTCTAGACTGGTGACAGTGTTCTTGGGGACTGTCTCGAGATCCATTAAGCAAGTCGAAGCTCCTGACTTGTTTGAATGGGATCACGGAATAGCTCTGCATGCACTGCAGGGGAATGGGGCCTCACCTCGCCTCTAGGGGGAAGTCTCATGGTTTTTCTCGAGTTGCGGCGGGGACCTGGGGTATGTTCTCGACTTACGGCGGGGATGGCCCTTCAAAACACGAGTTTCTTCAGTGACGTCAGGACCCCTGTCTAGTAACGAGGGACACCTCAGGAATCTCTTCGAGGCTTGGCAGGGTAAAAGGGACGCTTCTCCAGGTGAGGCAGGGCACCCAAGGACCCTTTCCAGTAGCCACAGGGATTTTGGGATTCCTTTCAGTATTCAAGAGGAGTCAGGCATCGTCACCTTTTGAAGCAATGAACTCCGCGTGCCTCTCGAGGTGTCAGCAGTATGTGAGGCATTCCGTCAAAATGAGGCAGGGACCTAGGGCTTTGTCTAAGGTCTCCACAGGGGATTCAGACATCCCTTCATGTTGTGAGATGAAAGACGAGCCTGTATTCAAGCCACTGCAAGGAAATCCGGCCTACTTTCAAGTTAGGGCTTCTCGCTGTATATTCCCCTTGAGGCAGCAAACTCGGGGTCCCTCCCACATACCTATTGCTGAGAGAAGCCTCCTCCGGAGGTGCTTCTGGGAAGTTGGCATACGTCTTGAGCCTAAGCCAGGGAATCAGCTCGCATCTCGAGACGATTTGGGGTACACGGAGCATTCCTCGAGTTGCTGTGCTGAAGTTGGTGTTCCTCTAGACTTGGGACAGTGTTCTCGGGGCATCTCTGGAGTTGCCTGAAGGAAGTCGAGCCACCGGTCGTGTTGAATGGGGAACGGGGAATGGCTCTGGAGTCAATGCAGGGGAATCGGGCCTCATCTCGAGTTGATTTGGGGCACATGGAGCTGCTTTGCGTTGCTGGGGTGACCTCAGGGTCCGTCTAGACTGGTGACAGTGTTCTTGGGGACTGTCTCGAGATCCATTAAGCAAGTCGAAGCTCCTGACTTGTTTGAATGGGATCACGGAATAGCTCTGCATGCACTGCAGGGGAATGGGGCCTCACCTCGCCTCTAGGGGGAAGTCTCATTGTTTTTCTCGAGTTGCGGCGGGGACCTGGGGTATGTTCTCGACTTACGGCGGGCATGGCCCTTCAAAACACGAGTTTCTTCAGTGACGTCAGGACTCCTGTCTAGTAACGAGGGACACCTCAGGAATCTCTTCGAGGCTTGGCAGGGCAAAAGGGACGCTTCTCGAGGTGAGGCAGGGCACCCAAGGACCCTTTCCAGTAGCCACAGGGATTTTGGGATTCCTATCAGTATTCAAGAGGAGTCAGGCATCGTCACCTTTTGAAGCAATGAACTCCGCGTGCCTCTCGAGGTGTCAGCGGGATGTGAGGCATTCCGTCAAAATGAGGCAGGGACCTAGGGCTTTCTCTAAGGTCTCCACAGGGGATTCAGACATCCCTTCATGTTGTGAGATGTAAGACGAGCCTGTATTCGAGCCACTGCAAGGAAATCCGGCCTCCTTTCAAGTTAGGGCTTCTCGCTGTATATTCCCCTTGAGGCAGCAAACTCGGGGTCCCTCCCACATACCTATTGCTGAGAGAAGCCTCCTCCTGAGGTGCTTCTGGGAAGTTGGCATACGTCTTGAGCCTAAGCCAGGGAATCAGCTCGCATCTCGAGACGATTTGGGGTACACGGAGCATTCCTCGAGTTGCTGTGCTGAAGTTGGTGTTCCTCTAGACTTGGGACAGTGTTCTCGGGGCATCTCTGGAGTTGCCTGAAGGAAGTCGAGCCACCGGTCGTGTTGAATGGGGAACGGGGAATGGCTCTGGAGTCAATGCATTGGAATCGGGCCTCATCTCGAGTTGATTTGGGGCACATGGAGCTGCTTTGCGTTGCTGGGGTGACCTCAGGGTCCGTCTAGACTGGTGACAGTGTTCTTGGGGACTGTCTCGAGATCCATTAAGCAAGTCGAAGCTCCTGACTTGTTTGAATGGGATCACGGAATAGCTCTGCATGCACTGCAGGGGAATGGGGCCTCATCTCGCCTCTAGGGGGAAGTCTCATGGTTTTTCTCGAGTTGCGGCGGGGACCTGGGGTATGTTCTCGACTTACGGCGGGGATGGCCCTTCAAAACACGAGTTTCTTCAGTGACGTCAGGACCCCTGTCTAGTAACGAGGGACACCTCAGGAATCTCTTCGAGGCTTGGCAGGGCCAAAGGGACGCTTCTCGAGGTGAGGCAGGGCACCCAAGAACCCTTTCCAGTAGCCACAGGGATTTTGGGATTCCTATCAGTATTCAAGAGGAGTCAGGCATCGTCACCTTTTGAAGCAATGAACTCCGCGTGCCTCTCGAGGTGTCAGCGGGATGTGAGGCATTCCGTCAAAATGAGGCAGGGACCTAGGGCTTTCTCTAAGGTCTCCACAGGGGATTCAGACATCCCTTCATGTTGTGAGATGAAAGACGAGCCTGTATTCAAGCCACTGCAAGGAAATCCGGCCTCCTTTCAAGTTAGGGCTTCTCGCTGTATATTCCCCTTGAGGCAGGAAACTCGGGGTCCCTCCCACATACCTATTGCTGAGAGAAGCCTCCTCCTGAGGTGCTTCTGGGAAGTTGGCATACGTCTTGAGCCTAAGCCAGGGAATCAGCTCGCATCTCGAGATGATTTGGGGTACACGGAGCATTCCTCGAGTTGCTGTGCTGAAGTTGGTGTTCCTCTAGACTTGGGACAGTGTTCTCGGGGCATCTCTGGAGTTGCCTGAAGGAAGTCGAGCCACCGGTCGTGTTGAATGGGGAACGGGGAATGGCTCTGGAGTCAATGCAGGGGAATCGGGCCTCATCCCGAGTTGATTTGGGGCACATGGAGCTGCTTTGCGTTGCTGGGGTGACCTCAGGGTCCGTCTAGACTGGTGACAGTGTTCTTGGGGACTCTCTCGAGATCCATTAAGCAAGTCGAAGCTCCTGACTTGTTTGAATGGGATCATGGAATAGCTCTGCATGCACTGCAGGGGAATGGGGCCTCATCTCGCCTCTAGGGGGAAGTCTCATGGTTTTTCTCGAGTTGCGGCGGGGACCTGGGGTATGTTCTCGACTTACGGCGGGGATGGCCCTTCAAAACACGAGTTTCTTCAGTGACGTCAGGACTCCTGTCTAGTAACGAGGGACACCTCAGGAATCTCTTCGAGGCTTGGCAGGGCCAAAGGGACGCTTCTCGAGGTGAGGCAGGGCACCCAAGGACCCTTTCCAGTAGCCACAGGGATTTTGGGATTCCTATCAGTATTCAAGAGGAGTCAGGCATCGTCACCTTTTGAAGCAATGAACTCCGCGTGCCTCTCGAGGTGTCAGCGGGATGTGAGGCATTCCGTCAAAATGAGGCAGGGACCTAGGGCTTTCTCTAAGGTCTCCACAGGGGATTCAGACATCCCTTCATGTTGTGAGATGAAAGACGAGCCTGTATTCAAGCCACTGCAAGGAAATCCGGCCTCCTTTCAAGTTAGGGCTTCTCGCTGTATATTCCCCTTGAGGCAGCAAACTCGGGGTCCCTCCCACATACCTACTGCTGAGAGAAGCCTCCTCCTGAGGTGCTTCTGGGAAGTTGGCATACGTCTTGACCCTAAGCCAGGGAATCAGCTCGCATCTCGAGATGATTTGGGGTACACGGAGCATTCCTCGAGTTGCTGTGCTGAAGTTGGTGTTCCTCTAGACTTGGGACAGTGTTCTCGGGGCATCTCTGGAGTTGCCTGAAGGAAGTCGAGCCACCGGTCGTGTTGAATGGGGAACGGGGAATGGCTCTGGAGTCAATGCAGGGGAATCGGGCCTCATCTCGAGTTGATTTGGGGCACATGGAGCTGCTTTGCGTTGCTGGGGTGACCTCAGGGTCCGTCTAGACTGGTGACAGTGTTCTTGGGGACTGTCTCGAGATCCATTAAGCAAGTCGAAGCTCCTGACTTGTTTGAATGGGATCACGGAATAGCTCTGCATGCACTGCAGGGGAATGGAGCCTCACCTCGCCTCTAGGGGGAATTCTCATGGTTTTTCTCGAGTTGCGGCGGGGACCTGGGGTATGTTCTCGACTTACGGCGGGGATGGCCCTTCAAAACACGAGTTTCTTCAGTGACGTCAGGACTCCTGTCTAGTAACGAGGGACACCTCAGGAATCTCTTCGAGGCTTGGCAGGGCAAAAGGGACGCTTCTCGAGGTGAGGCAGGGCACCCAAGGAACCTTTCCAGTAGCCACAGGGATTTTGGGATTCCTATCAGTATTCAAGAGGAGTCAGGCATCGTCACCTTTTGAAACAATGAACTCCGCGTGCCTCTCGAGGTGTCAGCGGGATGTGAGGCATTCCGTCAAAATGAGGCAGGGTCCTAGGGCTTTCTCTAAGGTTTCCACAGGGGATTCAGACATCCCTTCATGTTGTGAGATGAAAGACGAGCCTGTATTCAAGCCACTGCAAGGAAATCCGGCCTACTTTCAAGTTAGGGCTTCTCGATGTATATTCCCCTTGAGGCAGCAAACTCGGGGTCCTTCCCACATACCTATTGCTGAGAGAAGCCTCCTCCGGAGGTGCTTCTGGGAAGTTGGCATACGTCTTGAGCCTAAGCCAGGGAATCAGCTCGCATCTCGAGACGATTTGGGGTACACGGAGCATTCCTCGAGTTGCTGTGCTGAAGTTGGTGTTCCTCTAGACTTGGGACAGTGTTCTCGGGGCATCTCTGGAGTTGCCTGAAGGAAGTCGAGCCACCGGTCGTGTTGAATGGGGAACGGGGAATGGCTCTGGAGTCAATGCAGGGGAATCCGGCCTCATCCCGAGTTGATTTGGGGCACATGGAGCTGCTTTGCGTTGCTGGGGTGACCTCAGGGTCCGTCTAGACTGGTGACAGTGTTCTTGGGGACTGTCTCGAGATCCATTAAGCAAGTCGAAGCTCCTGACTTGTTTGAATGGGATCACGGAATAGCTCTGCATGCACTGCAGGGGAATGGGGCCTCATCTCGCCTCTAGGGGGAAGTCTCATGGTTTTTCTCGAGTTGCGGCGGGGACCTGGGGTATGTTCTCGACTTACGGCGGGGATGGCCCTTCAAAACACGAGTTTCTTCAGTGACGTCAGGACTCCTGTCTAGTAACGAGGGACACCTCAGGAATCTCTTCGAGGCTTGGCAGGGCCAAAGGGACGCTTCTCGAGGTGAGGCAGGGCACCCAAGGACCCTTTCCAGTAGCCACAGGGATTTTGGGATTCCTATCAGTATTCAAGAGGAGTCAGGCATCGTCACCTTTTGAAGCAATGAACTCCGCGTGCCTCTCGAGGTGTCAGCGGGATGTGAGGTATTCCGTCAAAATGAGGCAGGGACCTAGGGCTTTCTCTAAGGTCTCCACAGGGGATTCAGACATCCCTTCATGTTGTGAGATGAAAGACGAGCCTGTGTTCGAGCCACTGCAAGGAAATCCGGCCTCCTTTCAAGTTAGGGCTTCTCGCTGTATATTCCCCTTGAGGCAGCAAACTCGGGGTCCCTCCCACATACCTATTGCTGAGAGAAGCCTCCTCCTGAGGTGCTTCTGGGAAGTTGGCATACGTCTTGAGCCTAAGCCAGGGAATCAGCTCGCATCTCGAGACGATTTGGTGTAGACGGAGCATTCCTCGAGTTGCTGTGCTGAAGTTGGTGTTCCTCTAGACTTGGGACAGTGTTCTCGGGGCATCTCTGGAGTTGCCTGAAGGAAGTCGAGCCACCGGTCGTGTTGAATGGGGAACGGGGAATGGCTCTGGAGTCAATGCAGGGGAATCGGGCCTCATTTCGAGTTGATTTGGGGCACATGGAGCTGCTTTGCGTTGCTGGGGTGACCTCAGGGTCCGTCTAGACTGGTGACAGTGTTCTTGGGGACTGTCTCGAGATCCATTAAGCAAGTCGAAGCTCCTGACTTGTTTGAATGGGATCACGGAATAGCTCTGCATGCACTGCAGGGGAATGGGGCCTCATCTCGCCTCTAGGGGGAAGTCTCATGGTTTTTCTCGAGTTGCGGCGTGGACCTGGGGTATGTTCTCGACTTACGGCGGGGATGGCCCTTCAAAACACGAGTTTCTTCAGTGACGTCAGGACCCCTGTCTAGTAACGAGGGACACCTCAGGAATCTCTTCGAGGCTTGGCAGGGCAAAAGGGACGCTTCTCGAGGTGAGGCAGGGCACCCAAGGACCCTTTCCAGTAGCCACAGGGATTTTGGGATTCCTATCAGTATTCAAGAGGAGTCAGGCATCGTCACCTTTTGAAGCAATGAACTCCGCGTGCCTCTCGAGGTGTCAGCGGGATGTGAGGCATTCCGTCAAAATGAGGCAGGGACCTAGGGCTTTCTCTAAGGTCTCCACAGGGGATTCAGACATCCCTTCATGTTGTGAGATGAAAGACGAGCCTGTATTCAAGCCACTGCAAGGAAATCCGGCCTCCTTTCAAGTTAGGGCTTCTCGCTGTATATTCCCCTTGAGGCAGCAAACTCGGGGTCCCTCCCACATACCTATTGCTGAGAGAAGCCTCCTCCTGAGGTGCTTCTGGGAAGTTGGCATACGTCTTGAGCCTAAGCCAGGGAATCAGCTCGCATCTCGAGACGATTTGGGGTACACGGAGCATTCCTCGAGTTGCTGTGCTGAAGTTGGTGTTCCTCTAGACTTGGGACAGTGTTCTCGGGGCATCTCTGGAGTTGCCTGAAGGAAGTCGAGCCACAGGTCATGTTGAATGGGGAACGGGGAATGGCTCTGGAGTCAATGCAGGGGAATCGGGCCTCATCCCGAGTTGATTTGGGGCACATGGAGCTGCTTTGCGTTGCTGGGGTGACCTCAGGGTCCGTCTAGACTGGTGACAGTGTTCTTGGGGACTGTCTCGAGATCCATTAAGCAAGTCGAAGCTCCTGACTTGTTTTAATGGGATCACGGAATAGCTCTGCATGCACTGCAGGGGAATGGGGCCTCATCTCGCCTCTAGGGGGAAGTCTCATGGTTTTTCTCGAGTTGCGGTGGGGACCTGGGGTATGTTCTCGACTTACGGCGGGGATGGCCCTTCAAAACACGAGTTTCTTCAGTGACGTCAGGACTCCTGTCTTGTAACAAGGGACACCTCAGGAATCTCTTCGAGGCTTGGCAGGGCCAAAGGGACGCTTCTCGAGGTGAGGCAGGGCACCCAAGGACCCTTTCCAGTAGCCACAGGGATTTTGGGATTCCTATCAGTATTCAAGAGGAGTCAGGCATCGTCATCTTTTGAAGCAATGAACTCCGCGTGCCTCTCGAGGTGTCAGCGGGATGTGAGGCATTCCGTCAAAATGAGGCAGGGACCTAGGGCTTTCTCTAAGGTCTCCACAGGGGATTCAGACATCCCTTCATGTTGTGAGATGAAAGACGAGCCTGTATTCAAGCCACTGCAATGAAATCCGGCCTCCTTTCAAGTTAGGGCTTCTCGCTGTATATTCCCCTTGAGGCAGCAAACTCGGGGTCCCTCCCACATACCTACTGCTGAGAGAAGCCTCCTCCTGAGGTGCTTCTGGGAAGTTGGCATACGTCTTGAGCCTAAGCCAGGGAATCAGCTCGCATCTCGAGATGATTTGGGGTACACGGAGCATTCCTCGAGTTGCTGTGCTGAAGTTGGTGTTCCTCTAGACTTGGGACAGTGTTCTCGGGGCATCTCTGGAGTTGCCTGAAGGAAGTCGAGCCACCGGTCGTGTTGAATGGGGAACGGGGAATGGCTCTGGAGTCAATGCAGGGGAATCGGGCCTCATCTCGAGTTGATTTGGGGCACATGGAGCTGCTTTGCGTTGCTGGGGTGACCTCAGGGTCCGTCTAGACTGGTGACAGTGTTCTTGGGGACTGTCTCGAGATCCATTAAGCAAGTCGAAGCTCCTGACTTGTTTGAATGGGATCACGGAATAGCTCTGCATGCACTGCAGGGGAATGGGGCCTCACCTCGCCTCTAGGGGGAATTCTCATGGTTTTTCTCGAGTTGCGGCGGGGACCTGGGGTATGTTCTCGACTTACGGCGGGGATGGCCCTTCAAAACACGAGTTTCTTCAGTGACGTCAGGACTCCTGTCTAGTAACGAGGGACACCTCAGGAATCTCTTCGAGGCTTGGCAGGGCAAAAGGGACGCTTCTCGAGGTGAGGTAGGGCACCCAAGGACCCTTTCCAGTAGCCACAGGGATTTTGGGATTCCTATCAGTATTCAAGAGGAGTCAGGCATCGTCACCTTTTGAAGCAATGAACTCCGCGTGCCTCTCGAGGTGTCAGCGGGATGTGAGGCATTCCGTCAAAATGAGGCAGGGACCTAGGGCTTTCTCTAAGGTCTCCACAGGGGATTCAGACATCCCTTCATGTTGTGAGATGAAAGACGAGCCTGTATTCAAGCCACTGCAAGGAAATCCGGCCTCCTTTCAAGTTAGGGCTTCTCGCTGTATATTCCCCTTGAGGCAGCAAACTCGGGGTCCCTCCCACATACCTATTGCTGAGAGAAGCCTCCTCCTGAGGTGCTTCTGGGAAGTTGGCATACGTCTTGAGCCTAAGCCAGGGAATCAGCTCGCATCTCGAGACGATTTGGGGTTGACGGAGCATTCCTCGAGTTGCTGTGCTGAAGTTGGTGTTCCTCTAGACTTGGGACAGTGTTCTCGGGGAATCTCTGGAGTTGCCTGAAGGAAGTCGAGCCACCGGTCTTCTTGAATGGGGAACGGGGAATGGCACTGGAGTCAATGCAGGGGAATCGGGCCTCATCTCGAGTTGATTTGGGGCACATGGAGCTGCTTTGCGTTGCTGGGGTGACCTCAGGGTCCGTCTAGACTGGTGACAGTGTTCTTGGGGACTGTCTCGAGATCCATTAAGCAAGTCGAAGCTCCTGACTTGTTTGAATGGGATCACGGAATAGCTCTGCATGCACTGCAGGGGAATGGGGCCTCATCTCGCCTCTAGGGGGAAGTCTCATGGTTTTTCTCGAGTTGCGGCGGGGACCTGGGGTATGTTCTCGACTTACGGCGGGGATGGCCCTTCAAAACACGAGTTTCTTCAGTGACGTCAGGACTCCTGTCTAGTAACGAGGGACACCTCAGGAATCTCTTCGAGGCTTGGCAGGGCCAAAGGGACGCTTCTCGAGGTGAGGCAGGGCACCCAAGGACCCTTTCCAGTAGCCACAGGGATTTTGGGATTCCTATCAGTATTCAAGAGGAGTCAGGCATCGTCACCTTTTGAAGCAATGAACTCCGCGTGCCTCTCGAGGTGTCAGCGGGATGTGAGGCATTCCGTCAAAATGAGGCAGGGACCTAGGGCTTTCTCTAAGGTCTCCACAGGGGATTCAGACATCCCTTCATGTTGTGAGATGAAAGACGAGCCTGTATTCAAGCCACTGCAAGGAAATCCGGCCTCCTTTCAAGTTAGGGCTTCTCGCTGTATATTCCCCTTGAGGCAGCAAACTCGGGGTCCCTCCCACATACCTATTGCTGAGAGAAGCCTCCTCCGGAGGTGCTTCTGGGAAGTTGGCATACGTCTTGAGCCTAAGCCAGGGAATCAGCTCGCATCTCGAGACGATTTGGGGTACACGGAGCATTCCTCGAGTTGCTGTGCTGAAGTTGGTGTTCCTCTAGACTTGGGACAGTGTTCTCGGGGCATCTCTGGAGTTGCCTGAAGGAAGTCGAGCCACCGGTCGTGTTGAATGGGGAACGGGGTATGGCTCTGGAGTCAATGCAGGGGAATCGGGCCTCATCTCGAGTTGATTTGGGGCACATGGAGCTGCTTTGCGTTGCTGGGGTGACCTCAGGGTCCGTCTAGACTGGTGACAGTGTTCTTGGGGACTGTCTCGAGATCCATTAAGCAAGTCGAAGCTCCTGACTTGTTTGAATGGGATCATGGAATAGCTCTGCATGCACTGCAGGGGAATGGGGCCTCACCTCGCCTCTAGGGGGAAGTCTCATGGTTTTTCTCGAGTTGCGGCGGGGACCTGGGGTATGTTCTCGACTTACGGCGGGGATGGCCCTTCAAAACACGAGTTTCTTCAGTGACGTCAGGACTCCTGTCTAGTAACGAGGGACACCTCAGGAATCTCTTCGAGGCTTGGCAGGGCAAAAGGGACGCTTCTCGAGGTGAGGCAGGGCACCCAAGGACCCTTTCCAGTAGCCACAGGGATTTTGGGATTCCTATCAGTATTCAAGAGGAGTCAGGCATCGTCACCTTTTGAAGCAATGAACTCCGCGTTCCTCTCGAGGTGTCAGCGGGATGTGAGGCATTTCGTCAAAATGAGGCAGGGACCTAGGGCTTTCTCTAAGGTCTCCACAGGGGATTCAGACATCCCTTCATGTTGTGAGATGAAAGACGAGCCTGTATTCGAGCCACTGCAAGGAAATCCGGCCTCCTTTCAAGTTAGGGCTTCTCGCTGTATATTCCCCTTGAGGCAGCAAACTCGGGGTCCCTCCCACATACCTATTGCTGAGAGAAGCCTCCTCCTGAGGTGCTTCTGGGAAGTTGGCATACGTCTTGAGCCTAAGCCAGGGAATCAGCTCGCATCTCGAGACGACTTGGGGTACACGGAGCATTCCTCGAGTTGCTGTGCTGAAGTTGGTGTTCCTCTAGACTAGGGACAGTGTTCTCGGGGCATCTCTGGAGTTGCTGAAGGAAGTCGAGCCACCGGTCGTGTTGAATGGGGAACGGGGAATGGCTCTGGAGTCAATGCAGGGGAATCGGGCCTCATCTCGAGTTGATTTGGGGCACATGGAGCTGCTTTGCGTTGCTGGGGTGACCTCAGGGTCCGTCTAGACTGGTGACAGTGTTCTTGGGGACTGTCTCGAGATCCATTAAGCAAGTCGAAGCTCCTGACTTGTTTGAATGGGATCACGGAATAGCTCTGCATGCACTGCAGGGGAATGGGGCCTCATCTCGCCTCTAGGGGGAAGTCTCATGGTTTTTCTCGAGTTGCGGCGGGGACCTGGGGTATGTTCTCGACTTACGGCGGGGATGGCCCTTCAAAACACGAGTTTCTTCAGTGACGTCAGGACTCCTGTCTAGTAACGAGGGACACCTCAGGAATCTCTTCGAGGCTTGGCAGGGCAAAAGGGACGCTTCTCGAGGTGAGGCAGGGCACCCAAGGACCCTTTCCAGTAGCCACAGGGATTTTGGGATTCCTATCAGTATTCAAGAGGAGTCAGGCATCGTCACCTTTTGAAGCAATGAACTCCGCGTGCCTCTCGAGGTGTCAGCGGGATGTGAGGCATTCCGTCAAAATGAGGCAGGGACCTAGGGCTTTCTCTAAGGTCTCCACAGGGGATTCAGACATCCCTTCATGTTGTGAGATGAAAGACGAGCCTGTATTCAAGCCACTGCAAGGAAATCCGGCCTCCTTTCAAGTTAGGGCTTCTCGCTGTATATTCCCCTTGAGGCAGCAAACTCGGGGTCCCTCCCACATACCTATTGCTGAGAGAAGCCTCCTCCGGAGGTGCTTCTGGGAAGTTGGCATACGTCTTGAGCCTAAGCCAGGGAATCAGCTCGCATCTCGAGACGATTTGGGGTACACGGAGCATTCCTCGAGTTGCTGTGCTGAAGTTGGTGTTCCTCTAGACTTCGGACAGTGTTCTCGGGGCATCTCTGGAGTTGCCTGAAGGAAGTCGAGCCACCGGTCGTGTTGAATGGGGAACGGGGTATGGCTCTGGAGTCAATGCAGGGGAATCGGGCTTCATCTCGAGTTGATTTGGGGCACATGGAGCTGCTTTGCGTTGCTGGGGTGACCTCAGGGTCCGTCTAGACTGGTGACAGTGTTCTTGGGGACTGTCTCAAAATCCATTAAGCAAGTCGAAGCTCCTGACTTGTTTGAATGGGATCATGCAATAGCTCTGCATGCACTGCAGGGGAATGGGGCCTCACCTCGCCTCTAGGGGGAAGTCTCATGGTTTTTCTCGAGTTGCGGCGGGGACCTGGGGTATGTTCTCGACTTACGGCGGGGATGGTCCTTCAAAACACGAGTTTCTTCAGTGACGTCAGGACTCCTGTCTAGTAACGAGGGACACCTCAGGAATCTCTTCGAGGCTTGGCAGGGCAAAAGGGACGCTTCTCGAGGTGAGGCAGGGCACCCAAGGACCCTTTCCAGTAGCCACAGGGATTTTGGGATTCCTATCAGTATTCAAGAGGAGTCAGGCATCGTCACCTTTTGAAGCAATGAACTCCGCGTGCCTCTCGAGGTGTCAGCGGGATGTGAGGCATTCCGTCAAAATGAGGCAGGGACCTAGGGCTTTCTCTAAGGTCTCCACAGGGGATTCAGACATCCCTTCATGTTGTGAGATGAAAGACGAGCCTGTATTCGAGCCACTGCAAGGAAATCCGGCCTCCTTTCAAGTTAGGGCTTCTCCCTGTATATTCCCCTTGAGGCAGCAAACTCGGGGTCCCTCCCACATACCTATTGCTGAGAGAAGCCTCCTCCTGAGGTGCTTCTGGGAAGTTGGCATACGTCTTGAGCCTAAGCCAGGGAATCAGCTCGCATCTCGAGACGACTTGGGGTACACGGAGCATTCCTCGAGTTGCTGTGCTGAAGGTGTTGTTCCTCTAGACTTGGGACAGTGTTCTCGGGGCATCTCTGGAGTTGCCTGAAGGAAGTCGAGCCACCGGTCGTGTTGAATGGGGAACGGGGAATGGCTCTGGAGTCAATGCAGGGGAATCGGGCCTCATCTCGAGTTGATTTGGGGCACATGGAGCTGCTTTGCGTTGCTGGGGTGACCTCAGGGTCCGTCTAGACTGGTGACAGTGTTCTTGGGGACTGTCTCGAGATCCATTAAGCAAGTCGAAGCTCCTGACTTGTTTGAATGGGATCACGGAATAGCTCTGCATGCACTGCAGGGGAATGGGGCCTCATCTCGCCTCTAGGGGGAAGTCTCATGGTTTTTCTCGAGTTGCGGCGGGGACCTGGGGTATGTTCTCGACTTACGGCGGGGATGGCCCTTCAAAACACGAGTTTCTTCAGTGACGTCAGGACCCCTGTCTAGTAACGAGGGACACCTCAGGAATCTCTTCGAGGCTTGGCAGGGCAAAAGTGACGCTTCTCGAGGTGAGGCAGGGCACCCAAGGACCCTTTCCAGTAGCCACAGGGATTTTGGGATTCCTATCAGTATTCAAGAGGAGTCAGGCATCGTCACCTTTTGAAGCAATGAACTCCGCGTGCCTCTCGAGGTGTCAGCGGGATGTGAGGCATTCCGTCAAAATGAGGCAGGGACCTAGGGCTTTCTCTAAGGTCTCCACAGGGGATTCAGACATCCCTTCATGTTGTGAGATGAAAGACGAGCCTGTATTCAAGCCACTGCAAGGAAATCCGGCCTCCTTTCAAGTTAGGGCTTCTCGCTGTATATTCCCCTTGAGGCAGCAAACTCGGGGTCCCTCCCACATACCTATTGCTGAGAGAAGCCTCCTCCTGAGGTGCTTCTGGGAAGTTGGCATACGTCTTGAACCTAAGCCAGGGAATCAGCTCGCATCTCGAGACGATTAGGGGTACACGGAGCATTCCTGGAGTTGCTGTGCTGAAGTTGGTGTTCCTCTAGACTTGGGACAGTGTTCTCGGGGCATCTCTGGAGTTGCCTGAAGGAAGTCGAGCCACCGGTCGTGTTGAATGGGGAACGGGGAATGGCTCTGGAGTCAATGCAGGGGAATCGGGCCTCATCTCGAGTTGATTTGGGGCACATGGAGCTGCTTTGCGTTGCTGGGGTGACCTCAGGGTCCGTCTAGACTGGTGACAGTGTTCTTGGGGACTGTCTCGAGATCCATTAAGCAAGTCGAAGCTCCTGACTTGTTTGAATGGGATCACGGAATAGCTCTGCACGCACTGCAGGGGAATGGGGCCTCATCTCGCCTCTAGGGGGAAGTCTCATGGTTTTTCTCGAGTTGCGGCGGGGACCTGGGGTATGTTCTCGACTTACGGCGGGGATGGCCCTTCAAAACACGAGTTTCTTCAGTGACGTCAGGACTCCTGTCTAGTAACGAGGGACACCTCAGGAATCTCTTCGAGGCTTGGCAGGGCCAAAGGGACGCTTCTCGAGGTGAGGCAGGGCACCCAAGGACCGTTTCCAGTAGCCACAGGGATTTTGGGATTCCTATCAGTATTCAAGAGGAGTCAGGCATCGTCACCTTTTGAAGCAATGAACTCCGCGTGCCTCTCGAGGTGTCAGCGGGATGTGAGGCATTCCGTCAAAATGAGGCAGGGACCTAGGGCTTTCTCTAAGGTCTCCACAGGGGATTCAGACATCCCTTCATGTTGTGAGATGAAAGACGAGCCTGTATTCAAGCCACTGCAAGGAAATCCGGCCTCCTTTCAAGTTAGGGCTTCTCGCTGTATATTCCCCTTGAGGCAGCAAACTCGGGGTCCCTCCCACATACCTATTGCTGAGAGAAGCCTCCTCCTGAGGTGCTTCTGGGAAGTTGGCATACGTCTTGAGCCTAAGCCAGGGAATCAGCTCGCATCTCGAGACGATTTGGGGTACACGGAGCATTCCTCGAGTTGCTGTGCTGAAGTTGGTGTTCCTCTAGACTTGGGACAGTGTTCTCGGGGCATCTCTGGAGTTGCCTGAAGGAAGTCGAGCCACCGGTCGTGTTGAATGGGGAACGGGGAATGGCTCTGGAGTCAATGCAGGGGAATCGGGCCTCATCTCGAGTTCATTTGGGGCACATGGAGCTGCTTTGCGTTGCTGGGGTGACCTCAGGGTCCGTCTAGACTGGTGACAGTGTTCTTGGGGACTGTCTCGAGATTCATTAAGCAAGTCGAAACTCCTGACTTGTTTGAATGGGATCACGGAATAGCTCTGCATGCACTGCAGGGGAATGGGGCCTCATCTCGCCTCTAGGGGGAAGTCTCATGGTTTTTCTCGAGTTGCGGTGGGGACCTGGGGTATGTTCTCGACTTACGGCGGGGATGGCCCTTCAAAACACGAGTTTCTTCAGTGACGTCAGGACTCCTGTCTAGTAACGAGGGACACCTCAGGAATCTCTTCGAGGCTTGGCAGGGCCAAAGGGACGCTTCTCGAGGTGAGGCAGGGCACCCAAGGACCCTTTCCAGTAGCCACAGGGATTTTGGGATTCCTATCAGTATTCAAGAGGAGTCAGGCATCGTCACCTTTTGAAGCAATGAACTCCGCGTGCCTCTCGAGGTGTCAGCGGGATGTGAGGCATTCCGTCAAAATGAGGCAGGGACCTAGGGCTTTCTCTAAGGTCTCCACAGGGGATTCAGACATCCCTTCATGTTGTGAGATGAAAGACGAGCCTGTATTCAAGCCACTGCAAGGAAATCCGGCCTCCTTTCAAGTTAGGGCTTCTCGCTGTATATTCCCCTTGAGGCAGCAAACTCGGGGTCCCTCCCACATACCTATTGCTGAGAGAAGCCTCCTCCTGAGGTGCTTCTGGGAAGTTGGCATACGTCTTGAGCCTAAGCCAGGGAATCAGCTCGCATCTCGAGACGATTTGGGGTACACGGAGCATTCCTCGAGTTGCTGTGCTGAAGTTGGTGTTCCTCTAGACTTGGGACAGTGTTCTCGGGGAATCTCTGGAGTTGCCTGAAGGAAGTCGAGCCACCGGTCGTGTTGAATGGGGAACGGGGAATGGCTCTGGAGTCAATGCAGGGGAATCGGGCCTCATCTCGAGTTGATTTGGGGCACATGGAGCTGCTTTGCGTTGCTGGGGTGACCTCAGGGTCCGTCTAGACTGGTGACAGTGTTCTTGGGGACTGTCTCGAGATCCATTAAGCAAGTCGAAGCTCCTGACTTGTTTGAATGGGGTCACGGAATAGCTCTGCACGCACTGCAGGGGAATGGGGCCTCATCTCGCCTCTAGGGGGAAGTCTCATGGTTTTTCTCGAGTTGCGGCGGGGACCTGGGGTATGTTCTCGACTTACGGCGGGGATGGCCCTTCAAAACACGAGTTTCTTCAGTGACGTCAGGACTCCTGTCTAGTAACGAGGGACACCTCAGGAATCTCTTCGAGGCTTGGCAGGGCCAAAGGGACGCTTCTCGAGGTGAGGCAGGGCACCCAAGGACCCTTTCCAGTAGCCACAGGGATTTTGGGATTCCTATCAGTATTCAAGAGGAGTCAGGCATCGTCACCTTTTGAAGCAATGAACTCCGCGTGCATCTCCAGGTGTCAGCGGGATGTGAGGCATTCCGTCAAAATGAGGCAGGGACCTAGGGCTTTCTCTAAGGTCTCCACAGGGGATTCAGACATCCCTTCATGTTGTGAGATGAAAGACGAGCCTGTATTCAAGCCACTGCAAGGAAATCCGGCCTCCTTTCAAGTTAGGGCTTCTCGCTGTATATTCCCCTTGAGGCAGCAAACTCGGGGTCCCTCCCACATACCTATTGCTGAGAGACGCCTCCTCCTGAGGTGCTTCTGGGAAGTTGGCATACGTCTTGAGCCTAAGCCAGGGAATCAGCTCGCATCTCGAGACGATTTGGGGTACACGGAGCATTCCTCGAGTTGCTGTGCTGAAGTTGGTGTTCCTCTAGACTTGGGACAGTGTTCTCGGGGCATCTCTGGAGTTGCCTGAAGGAAGTCGAGCCACCGGTCGTGTTGAATGGGGAACGGGGAATGGCTCTGGAGTCAATGCAGGGGAATCGGGCCTCATCTCGAGTTGATTTGGGGCACATGGAGCTGCTTTGCGTTGCTGGGGTGACCTCAGGGTCCGTCTAGACTGGTGACAGTGTTCTTGGGGACTGTCTCGAGATCCATTAAGCAAGTCGAAGCTCCTGACTTGTTTGAATGGGGTCACGGAATAGCTCTGCATGCACTGCAGGGGAATGGGGCCTCATCTCGCCTCTAGGGGGAAGTCTCATGGTTTTTCTCGAGTTGCGGCGGGGACCTGGGGTATGTTCTCGACTTACGGCGGGGATGGCCCTTCAAAACACGAGTTTCTTCAGTGACGTCAGGACTCCTGTCTAGTAACGAGGGACACCTCAGGAATCTCTTCGAGGCTTGGCAGGGCCAAAGGGACGCTTCTCGAGGTGAGGCAGGGCACCCAAGGACCCTTTCCAGTAGCCACAGGGATTTTGGGATTCCTATCAGTATTCAAGAGGAGTCAGGCATCGTCACCTTTTGAAGCAATGAACTCCGCGTGCCTCTCGAGGTGTCAGCGGGATGTGAGGCATTCCGTCAAAATGAGGCAGGGACCTAGGGCTTTCTCTAAGGTCTCCACAGGGGATTCAGACATCCCTTCATGTTGTGAGATGAAAGACGAGCCTGTATTCAAGCCACTGCAAGGAAATCCGGCCTCCTTTCAAGTTAGGGCTTCTCGCTGTATATTCCCCTTGAGGCAGCAAACTCGGGGTCCCTCCCACATACCTATTGCTGAGAGAAGCCTCCTCCTGAGGTGCTTCTGGGAAGTTGGCATACGTCTTGAGCCTAAGCCAGGGAATCAGCTCGCATCTCGAGACGATTTGGGGTACACGGAGCATTCCTCGAGTTGCTGTGCTGAAGTTGGTGTTCCTCTAGACTTGGGACAGTGTTCTCGGGGCATCTCTGGAGTTGCCTGAAGGAAGTCGAGCCACCGGTCGTGTTGAATGGGGAACGGGGAATGGCTCTGGAGTCAATGCAGAGGAATCGGGCCTCATCTCGAGTTGATTGGGGGCACATGGAGCTGCTTTGCGTTGCTGGGGTGACCTCAGGGTCCGTCTAGACTGGTGACAGTGTTCTTGGGGACTGTCTCGAGATCCATTAAGCAAGTCGAAGCTCCTGACTTGTTTGAATGGGGTCACGGAATAGCTCTGCACGCACTGCAGGGGAATGGGGCCTCATCTCGCCTCTAGGGGGAAGTCTCATGGTTTTTCTCGAGTTGCGGCGGGGACCTGGGGTATGTTCTCGACTTACGGCGGGGATGGCCCTTCAAAACACGAGTTTCTTCAGTGACGTCAGGACTCCTGTCTAGTAACGAGGGACACCTCAGGAATCTCTTCGAGGCTTGGCAGGGCCAAAGGGACGCTTCTCGAGGTGAGGCAGGGCACCCAAAGACCCTTTCCAGTAGCCACAGGGATTTTGGGATTCCTATCATTATTCAAGAGGAGTCAGGCATCGTCACCTTTTGAAGCAATGAACTCCGCGTGCATCTCCAGGTGTCAGCGGGATGTGAGGCATTCCGTCAAAATGAGGCAGGGACCTAGGGCTTTCTCTAAGGTCTCCACAGGGGATTCAGACATCCCTTCATGTTGTGAGATGAAAGACGAGCCTGTATTCAAGCCACTGCAAGGAAATCCGGCCTCCTTTCAAGTTAGGGCTTCTCGCTGTATATTCCCCTTGAGGCAGCAAACTCGGGGTCCCTCCCACATACCTATTGCTGAGAGAAGCCTCCTCCTGAGGTGCTTCTGGGAAGTTGGCATACGTCTTGAGCCTAAGCCAGGGAATCAGCTCGCATCTCGAGACGATTTGGGGTACACGGAGCATTCCTCGAGTTGCTGTGCTGAAGTTGGTGTTCCTCTAGACTTGGGACAGTGTTCTCGGGGCATCTCTGGAGTTGCCTGAAGGAAGTCGAGCCACCGGTCGTGTTGAATGGGGAACGGGGAATGGCTCTGGAGTCAATGCAGGGGAATCGGGCCTCATCTCGAGTTGATTTGGGGCACATGGAGCTGCTTTGCGTTGCTGGGGTGACCTCAGGGTCCGTCTAGACTGGTGACAGTGTTCTTGGGGACTGTCTCGAGATCCATTAAGCAAGTCGAAGCTCCTGACTTGTTTGAATGGGGTCACGGAATAGCTCTGCATGCACTGCAGGGGAATGGGGCCTCATCTCGCCTCTAGGGGGAAGTCTCATGGTTTTTCTCGAGTTGCGGCGGGGACCTGGGGTATGTTCTCGACTTATGGCGGGGATGGCCCTTCAAAACACGAGTTTCTTCAGTGACGTCAGGACTCCTGTCTAGTAACGAGGGACACCTCAGGAATCTCTTCGAGGCTTGGCAGGGCCAAAGGGACGCTTCTCGAGGTGAGGCAGGGCACCCAAGGACCCTTTCCAGTAGCCACAGGGATTTTGGAATTCCTATCAGTATTCAAGAGGAGTCAGGCATCGTCACCTTTTGAAGCAATGAACTCCGCGTGCCTCTCGAGGTGTCAGCGGGATGTGAGGCATTCCGTCAAAATGAGGCAGGGACCTAGGGCTTTCTCTAAGGTCTCCACAGGGGATTCAGACATCCCTTCATGTTGTGAGATGAAAGACGAGCCTGTATTCAAGCCACTGCAAGGAAATCCGGCCTCCTTTCAAGTTAGGGCTTCTCGCTGTATATTCCCCTTGAGGCAGCAAACTCGGGGTCCCTCCCACATACCTACTGCTGAGAGAAGCCTCCTCCTGAGGTGCTTCTGGGAAGTTGGCATACGTCTTGAGCCTAAGCCAGGGAATCAGCTCGCATCTCGAGACGATTTGGGGTACACGGAGCATTCCTCGAGTTGCTGTGCTGAAGTTGGTGTTCCTCTAGACTTGGGACAGTGTTCTCGGGGCATCTCTGGAGTTGCCTGAAGGAAGTCGAGCCACCGGTCGTGTTGAATGGGGAACGGGGAATGGCTCTGGAGTCAATGCAGGGGAATCGGGCCTCATCTCGAGTTGATTTGGGGCACAGGGAGCTGCTTTGCGTTGCTGGGGTGACCTCAGGGTCCGTCTAGACTGGTGACAGTGTTCTTGGGGACTGTCTCGAGATCCATTAAGCAAGTCGAAGCTCCTGACTTGTTTGAATGGGATCACGGAATAGCTCTGCATGCACTGCAGGGGAATGGGGCCTCATCTCGCCTCTAGGGGGAAGTCTCATGGTTTTTCTCGAGTTGCGGCGGGGACCTGGGGTATGTTCTCGACTTACGGCGGGGATGGCCCTTCAAAACACGAGTTTCTTCAGTGACGTCAGGACTCCTGTCTAGTAACGAGGGACACCTCAGGAATCTCTTCGAGGCTTGGCAGGGCAAAAGGGACGCTTCTCGAGGTGAGGCAGGGCACCCAAGGACCCTTTCCAGTAGCCACAGGGATTTTGGGATTCCTATCAGTATTCAAGAGGAGTCAGGCATCGTCACCTTTTGAAGCAATGAACTCCGCGTGCCTCTCGAGGTGTCAGCGGGATGTGAGGCATTCCGTCAAAATGAGGCAGGGACCTAGGGCTTTCTCTAAGGTCTCCACAGGGGATTCAGACATCCCTTCATGTTGTGAGATGAAAGACGAGCCGGTATTCAAGCAACTGCAAGGAAATCCGGCCTCCTTTCAAGTTAGGGCTTCTCGCTGTATATTCCCCTTGAGGCAGCAAACTCGGGGTCCCTCCCACATACCTATTGCTGAGAGACGCCTCCTCCTGAGGTGCTTCTGGGAAGTTGGCATACGTCTTGAGCCTAAGCCAGGGAATCAGCTCGCATCTCGAGACGATTTGGGGTACACGGAGCATTCCTCGAGTTGCTGTGCTGAAGTTGGTGTTCCTCTAGACTTGGGACAGTGTTCTCGGGGCATCTCTGGAGTTGCCTGAAGGAAGTCGAGCCACCGGTCGTGTTGAATGGGGAACGGGGAATGGCTCTGGAGTCAATGCAGGGGAATCGGGCCTCATCTTGAGTTGATTTGGGGCACATGGAGCTGCTTTGCGTTGCTGGGGTGACCTCAGGGTCTGTCTAGACTGGTGACAGTGTTCTTGGGGACTGTCTCGAGATCCATTAAGCAAGTCGAAGCTCCTGACTTGTTTGAATGGGGTCACGGAATAGCTCTGCATGCACTGCAGGGGAATGGGGCCTCATCTCGCCTCTAGGGGGAAGTCTCATGGTTTTTCTCGAGTTGCGGCGGGGACCTGGGGTATGTTCTCGACTTACGGCGGGGATGGCCCTTCAAAACACGAGTTTCTTCAGTGACGTCAGGACTCCTGTCTAGTAACGAGGGACACCTCAGGAATCTCTTCGAGGCTTGGCAGGGCCAAAGGGACGCTTCTCGAGGTGAGGCAGGGCACCCAAGGACCCTTTCCAGTAGCCACAGGGATTTTGGGATTCCTATCAGTATTCAAGAGGAGTCAGGCATCGTCACCTTTTGAAGCAATGAACTCCGCGTGCCTCTCGAGGTGTCAGCGGGATGTGAGGCATTCCGTCAAAATGAGGCAGGGACCTAGGGCTTTCTCTAAGGTCTCCACAGGGGATTCAGACATCCCTTCATGTTGTGAGATGAAAGACGAGCCTGTATTCAAGCCACTGCAAGGAAATCCGGCCTCCTTTCAAGTTAGGGCTTCTCGCTGTATATTCCCCTTGAGGCAGCAAACTCGGGGTCCCTCCCACATACCTACTGCTGAGAGAAGCCTCCTCCTGAGGTGCTTCTGGGAAGTTGGCATACGTCTTGAGCCTAAGCCAGGGAATCAGCTCGCATCTCGAGACGATTTGGGGTACACGGAGCATTCCTCGAGTTGCTGTGCTGAAGTTGGTGTTCCTCTAGACTTGGGACAGTGTTCTCGGGGCATCTCTGGAGTTGCCTGAAGGAAGTCGAGCCACCGGTCGTGTTGAATGGGGAACGGGGAATGGCTCTGGAGTCAATGCAGGGGAATCGGGCCTCATCTCGAGTTGATTTGGGGCACATGGAGCTGCTTTGCGTTGCTGAGGTGACCTCAGGGTCCGTCTAGACTGGTGACAGTGTTCTTGGGGACTGTCTCGAGATCCATTAAGCAAGTCGAAGCTCCTGACTTGTTTGAATGGGGTCACGGAATAGCTCTGCATGCACTGCAGGGGAATGGGGCCTCATCTCGCCTCTAGGGGGAAGTCTCATGGTTTTTCTCGAGTTGCGGCGGGGACCTGGGGTATGTTCTCGACTTACGGCGGGGATGGCCCTTCAAAACACGAGTTTCTTCAGTGACGTCAGGACTCCTGTCTAGTAACGAGGGACACCTCAGGAATCTCTTCTAGGCTTGGCAGGGCAAAAGGGACGCTTCTCGAGGTGAGGCAGGGCACCCAAGGACCCTTTCCAATAGCCACAGGGATTTTGGGATTCCTATCAGTATTCAAGAGGAGTCAGGCATCGTCACCTTTTGAAGCAATGAACTCCGCGTGCCTCTCGAGGTGTCAGCGGGATGTGAGGCATTCCGTCAAAATGAGGCAGGGACCTAGGGCTTTCTCTAAGGTCTCCACAGGGGATTCAGACATCCCTTCATGTTGTGAGATGAAAGACGAGCCTGTATTCAAGCCACTGCAAGGAAATCCGGCCTCCTTTCAAGTTAGGGCTTCTCGCTGTATATTCCCCTTGAGGCAGCAAACTCGGGGTCCCTCCCACATACCTATTGCTGAGAGAAGCCTCCTCCTGAGGTGCTTCTGGGAAGTTGGCATACGTCTTGAGCCTAAGCCAGGGAATCAGCTCGCATCTCGAGACGATTTGGGGTACACGGAGCATTCCTCGAGTTGCTGTGCTGAAGTTGGTGTTCCTCTAGACTTGGGACAGTGTTCTCGGGGCATCTCTGGAGTTGCCTGAAGGAAGTCGAGCCACCGGTCGTGTTGAATGGGGAACGGGGAATGGCTCTGGAGTCAATGCAGGGGAATCGGGCCTCATCTCGAGTTGATTTGGGGCACATGGAGCTGCTTTGCGTTGCTGGGGTGACCTCAGGGTCCGTCTAGACTGGTGACAGTGTTCTTGGGGACTGTCTCGAGATCCATTAAGCAAGTCGAAGCTCCTGACTTGTTTGAATGGGATCACGGAATAGCTCTGCATGCACTGCAGGGGAATGGGGCCTCATCTCGCCTCTAGAGGGAAGTCTCATGGTTTTTCTCGAGTTGCGGCGGGGACCTGGGGTATGTTCTCGACTTACGGCGGGGATGGCCCTTCAAAACACGAGTTTCTTCAGTGACGTCAGGACTCCTGTCTAGTAACGAGGGACACCTCAGGAATCTCTTCGAGGCTTGGCAGGGCCAAAGGGACGCTTCTCGAGGTGAGGCAGGGCACCCAAGGACCCTTTCCAGTAGCCACAGGGATTTTGGGATTCCTATCAGTATTCAAGAGGAGTCAGGCATCTTCACCTTTTGAAGCAATGAACTCCGCGTGCCTCTCCAGGTGTCAGCGGGATGTGAGGCATTCCGTCAAAATGAGGCAGGGACCTAGGGCTTTCTCTAAGGTCTCCACAGGGGATTCAGACATCCCTTCATGTTGTGAGATGAAAGACGAGCCTGTATTCAAGCCACTGCAAGGAAATCCGGCCTCCTTTCAAGTTAGGGCTTCTCGCTGTATATTCCCCTTGAGGCAGCAAACTCGGGGTCCCTCCCACATACCTACTGCTGAGAGAAGCCTCCTCCTGAGGTGCTTCTGGGAAGTTGGCATACGTCTTGAGCCTAAGCCAGGGAATCAGCTCGCATCTCGAGACGATTTGGGGTACACGGAGCATTCCTCGAGTTGCTGTGCTGAAGTTGGTGTTCCTCTAGACTTGGGACAGTGTTCTCGGGGCATCTCTGGAGTTGCCTGAAGGAAGTCGAGCCACCGGTCGTGTTGAATGGGGAACGGGGAATGGCTCTGGAGTCAATGCAGGGGAATCGGGCCTCATCTCGAGTTGATTTGGGGCACATGGAGCTGCTTTGCGTTGCTGGGGTGACCTCAGGGTCCGTCTAGTCTGGTGACAGTGTTCTTGGGGACTGTCTCGAGATCCATTAAGCAAGTCGAAGCTCCTGACTTGTTTGAATGGGATCACGGAATAGCTCTGCATGCACTGCAGGGGAATGGGGCCTCATCTCGCCTCTAGGGGGAAGTCTCATGGTTTTTCTCGAATTGCGGCGGGGACCTGGGGTATGTTCTCGACTTACGGCGGGGATGGCCCTTCAAAACACGAGTTTCTTCAGTGACGTCAGGACTCCTGTCTAGTAACGAGGGACACCTCAGGAATCTCTTCGAGGCTTGGCAGGGCCAAAGGGACGCTTCTCGAGGTGAGGCAGGGCACCCAAGGACCCTTTCCAGTAGCCACAGGGATTTTGGGATTCCTATCAGTATTCAAGAGGAGTCAGGCATCGTCACCTTTTGAAGCAATGAACTCCGCGTGCCTCTCCAGGTGTCAGCGGGATGTGAGGCATTCCGTCAAAATGAGGCAGGGACCTAGGGCTTTCTCTAAGGTCTCCACAGGGGATTCAGACATCCCTTCATGTTGTGAGATGAAAGACGAGCCTGTATTCAAGCCACTGCAAGGAAATCCGGCCTCCTTTCAAGTTAGGGCTTCTCGCTGTATATTCCCCTTGAGGCAGCAAACTCGGGGTCCCTCCCACATACCTATTGCTGAGAGAAGCCTCCTCCTGAGGTGCTTCTGGGAAGTTGGCATACGTCTTGAGCCTAAGCCAGGGAATCAGCTCGCATCTCGAGACGATTTGGGGTACACGGAGCATTCCTCGAGTTGCTGTGCTGAAGTTGGTGTTCCTCTAGACTTGGGACAGTGTTCTCGGGGCATCTCTGGAGTTGCCTGAAGGAAGTCGAGCCACCGGTCGTGTTGAATGGGGAACGGGGAATGGCTCTGGAGTCAATGCAGGGGAATCGGGCCTCATCTCGAGTTGATTTGGGGCACATGGAGCTGCTTTGCGTTGCTGGGTTGACCTCAGGGTCCCTCTAGACTGGTGACAGTGTTCTTGGGGACTGTCTCGAGATCCATTAAGCAAGTCGAAGCTCCTGACTTGTTTGAATGGGGTCACGGAATAGCTCTGCACGCACTGCAGGGGAATGGGGCCTCATCTCGCCTCTAGGGGGAAGTCTCATGGTTTTTCTCGAGTTGCGGCGGGGACCTGGGGTATGTTCTCGACTTACGGCGGGGATGGCCCTTCAAAACACGAGTTTCTTCAGTGACGTCAGGACTCCTGTCTAGTAACGAGGGACACCTCAGGAATCTCTTCGAGGCTTGGCAGGGCAAAAGGGACGCTTCTCGAGGTGAGGCAGGGCACCCAAGGACCCTTTCCAGTAGCCACAGGGATTTTGGGATTCCTATCAGTATTCAAGAGGAGTCAGGCATCGTCACCTTTTGAAGCAATGAACTCCGCGTGCCTCTCGAGGTGTCAGCGGGATGTGAGGCATTCCGTCAAAATGAGGCAGGGACCTAGGGCTTTCTCTAAGGTCTCCACAGGGGATTCAGACATCCCTTCATGTTGTGAGATGAAAGACGAGCCTGTATTCAAGCCACTGCAAGGAAATCCGGCCTCCTTTCAAGTTAGGGCTTCTCGCTGTATATTCCCCTTGAGGCAGCAAACTCGGGGTCCCTCCCACATACCTACTGCTGAGAGAAGCCTCCTCCTGAGGTGCTTCTGGGAAGTTGGCATACGTCTTGAGCCTAAGCCAGGGAATCAGCTCGCATCTCGAGACGATTTGGGGTACACGGAGCATTCCTCGAGTTGCTGTGCTGAAGTTGGTGTTCCTCTAGACTTGGGACAGTGTTCTCGGGGCATCTCTGGAGTTGCCTGAAGGAAGTCGAGCCACCGGTCGTGTTGAATGGGGAACGGGGAATGGCTCTGGAGTCAATGCAGGGGAATCGGGCCTCATCTCGAGTTGATTTGGGGCACATGGAGCTGCTTTGCGTTGCTGAGGTGACCTCAGGGTCCGTCTAGACGGGTGACAGTGTTCTTGGGGACTGTCTCGAGATCCATTAAGCAAGTCGAAGCTCCTGACTTGTTTGAATGGGGTCACGGAATAGCTCTGCATGCACTGCAGGGGAATGGGGCCTCATCTCGCCTCTAGGGGGAAGTCTCATGGTTTTTCTCGAGTTGCGGCGGGGACCTGGGGTATGTTCTCGACTTACGGCGGGGATGGCCCTTCAAAACACGAGTTTCTTCAGTGACGTCAGGACTCCTGTCTAGTAACGAGGGACACCTCAGGAATCTCTTCTAGGCTTGGCAGGGCAAAAGGGACGCTTCTCGAGGTGAGGCAGGGCACCCAAGGACCCTTTCCAGTAGCCACAGGGATTTTGGGATTCCTATCAGTATTCAAGAGGAGTCAGGCATCGTCACCTTTTGAAGCAATGAACTCCGCGTGCCTCTCGAGGTGTCAGCGGGATGTGAGGCATTCCGTCAAAATGAGGCAGGGACCTAGGGCTTTCTCTAAGGTCTCCACAGGGGATTCAGACATCCCTTCATGTTGTGAGATGAAAGACGAGCCTGTATTCAAGCCACTGCAAGGAAATCCGGCCTCCTTTCAAGTTAGGGCTTCTCGCTGTATATTCCCCTTGAGGCAGCAAACTCGGGGACCCTCCCACATACCTATTGCTGAGAGAAGCCTCCTCCTGAGGTGCTTCTGGGAAGTTGGCATACGTCTTGAGCCTAAGCCAGGGAATCAGCTCGCATCTCGAGACGATTTGGGGTACACGGAGCATTCCTCGAGTTGCTGTGCTGAAGTTGGTGTTCCTCTAGACTTGGGACAGTGTTCTCGGGGCATCTCTGGAGTTGCCTGAAGGAAGTCGAGCCACCGGTCGTGTTGAATGGGGAACGGGGAATGGCTCTGGAGTCAATGCAGGGGAATCGGGCCTCATCTCGAGTTGATTTGGGGCACATGGAGCTGCTTTGCGTTGCTGGGGTGACCTCAGGGTCCGTCTAGACTGGTGACAGTGTTCTTGGGGACTGTCTCGAGATCCATTAAGCAAGTCGAAGCTCCTGACTTGTTTGAATGGGATCACGGAATAGCTCTGCATGCACTGCAGGGGAATGGGGCCTCATCTCGCCTCTAGAGGGAAGTCTCATGGTTTTTCTCGAGTTGCGGCGGGGACCTGGGGTATGTTCTCGACTTACGGCGGGGATGGCCCTTCAAAACACGAGTTTCTTCAGTGACGTCAGGACTCCTGTCTAGTAACGAGGGACACCTCAGGAATCTCTTCGAGGCTTGGCAGGGCCAAAGGGACGCTTCTCGAGGTGAGGCAGGGCACCCAAGGACCCTTTCCAGTAGCCACAGGGATTTTGGGATTCCTATCAGTATTCAAGAGGAGTCAGGCATCTTCACCTTTTGAAGCAATGAACTCCGCGTGCCTCTCCAGGTATCAGCGGGATGTGAGGCATTCCGTCAAAATGAGGCAGGGACCTAGGGCTTTCTCTAAGGTCTCCACAGGGGATTCAGACATCCCTTCATGTTGTGAGATGAAAGACGAGCCTGTATTCAAGCCACTGCAAGGAAATCCGGCCTCCTTTCAAGTTAGGGCTTCTCGCTGTATATTCCCATTGAGGCAGCAAACTCGGGGTCCCTCCCACATACCTACTGCTGAGAGAAGCCTCCTCCTGAGGTGCTTCTGGGAAGTTGGCATACGTCTTGAGCCTAAGCCAGGGAATCAGCTCGCATCTCGAGACGATTTGGGGTACACGGAGCATTCCTCGAGTTGCTGTGCTGAAGTTGGTGTTCCTCTAGACTTGGGACAGTGTTCTCGGGGCATCTCTGGAGTTGCCTGAAGGAAGTCGAGCCACCGGTCGTGTTGAATGGGGAACGGGGAATGGCTCTGGAGTCAATGCAGGGGAATCGGGCCTCATCTCGAGTTGATTTGGGGCACATGGAGCTGCTTTGCGTTGCTGGGGTGACCTCAGGGTCCGTCTAGACTGGTGACAGTGTTCTTGGGGACTGTCTCGAGATCCATTAAGCAAGTCGAAGCTCCTGACTTGTTTGAATGGGGTCACGGAATAGCTCTGCATGCACTGCAGGGGAATGGGGCCTCATCTCGCCTCTAGGGGGAAGTCTCATGGTTTTTCTCGAGTTGCGGCGGGGACCTGGGGTATGTTCTCGACTTACGGCGGGGATGGCCCTTCAAAACACGAGTTTCTTCAGTGACGTCAGGACTCCTGTCTAGTAACGAGGGACACCTCAGGAATCTCTTCGAGGCTTGGCAGGGCCAAAGGGACGCTTCTCGAGGTGAGGCAGGGCACCCAAGGACCCTTTCCAGTAGCCACAGGGATTTTGGGATTCCTATCAGTATTCAAGAGGAGTCAGGCATCGTCACCTTTTGAAGCAATGAACTCCGCGTGCCTCTCGAGGTGTCAGCGGGATGTGAGGCATTCCGTCAAAATGAGGCAGGGACCTAGGGCTTTCTCTAAGGTCTCCACAGGGGATTCAGACATCCCTTCATGTTGTGAGATGAAAGACGAGCCTGTATTCAAGCCACTGCAAGGAAATCCGGCCTCCTTTCAAGTTAGGGCTTCTCGCTGTATATTCCCCTTGAGGCAGCAAACTCGGGGTCCCTCCCACATACCTACTGCTGAGAGAAGCCTCCTCCTGAGGTGCTTCTGGGAAGTTGGCATACGTCTTGAGCCTAAGCCAGGGAATCAGCTCGCATCTCGAGACGATTTGGGGTACACGGAGCATTCCTCGAGTTGCTGTGCTGAAGTTGGTGTTCCTCTAGACTTGGGACAGTGTTCTCGGGGCATCTCTGGAGTTGCCTGAAGGAAGTCGAGCCACCGGTCGTGTTGAATGGGGAACGGGGAATGGCTCTGGAGTCAATGCAGGGGAATCGGGCCTCATCTCGAGTTGATTTGGGGCACATGGAGCTGCTTTGCGTTGCTGGGGTGACCTCAGGGTCCGTCTAGACTGGTGACAGTGTTCTTGGGGACTGTCTCGAGATCCATTAAGCAAGTCGAAGCTCCTGACTTGTTTGAATGGGGTCACGGAATAGCTCTGCATGCACTGCAGGGGAATGGGGCCTCATCTCGCCTCTAGGGGGAAGTCTCATGGTTTTTCTCGAGTTGCGGCGGGGACCTGGGGTATGTTCTCGACTTACGGCGGGGATGGCCCTTCAAAACACGAGTTTCTTCAGTGACGTCAGGACTCCTGTCTAGTAACGAGGGACACCTCAGGAATCTCTTCTTGGCTTGGCAGGGAAAAAGGGACGCTTCTCGAGGTGAAGCAGGGCACCCAAGGACCCTTTCCAGTAGCCACAGGGATTTTGGGATTCCTATCAGTATTCAAGAGGAGTCAGGCATCGTCACCTTTTGAAGCAATGAACTCCGCGTGCCTCTCGAGGTGTCAGCGGGATGTGAGGCATTCCGTCAAAATGAGGCAGGGACCTAGGGCTTTCTCTAAGGTCTCCACAGGGGATTCAGACATCCCTTCATGTTGTGAGATGAAAGACGAGCCTGTATTCAAGCCACTGCAAGGAAATCCGGCCTCCTTTCAAGTTAGGGCTTCTCGCTGTATATTCCCCTTGAGGCAGCAAACTCGGGGTCCCTCCCACATACCTATTGCTGAGAGAAGCCTCCTCCTGAGGTGCTTCTGGGAAGTTGGCATACGTCTTGAGCCTAAGCCAGGGAATCAGCTCGCATCTCGAGACGATTTGGGGTACACGGAGCATTCCTCGAGTTGCTGTGCTGAAGTTGGTGTTCCTCTAGACTTGGGACAGTGTTCTCGGGGCATCTCTGGAGTTGCCTGAAGGAAGTCGAGCCACCGGTCTTGTTGAATGGGGAACGGGGAATGGCTCTGGAGTCAAGGCAGGGGAATCGGGCCTCATCTCGAGTTGATTTGGGGCACATGGAGCTGCTTTGCGTTGCTGGGGTGAACTCAGGGTCCGTCTAGACTGGTGACAGTGTTCTTGGGGACTGTCTCGAGATCCATTAAGCAAGTCGAAGCTCCTGACTTGTTTGAATGGGATCACGGAATAGCTCTGCATGCACTGCAGGGGAATGGGGCCTCATCTCGCCTCTAGGGGGAAGTCTCATGGTTTTTCTCGAGTTGCGGCGGGGACCTGGGGTATGTTCTCGACTTACGGCGGGGATGGCCCTTCAAAACACGAGTTTCTTCAGTGACGTCAGGACTCCTGTCTAGTAACGAGGGACACCTCAGGAATCTCTTCGAGGCTTGGCAGGGCAAAAGGGACGCTTCTTGAGGTGAGGCAGGGCACCCAAGGACCCTTTCCAGTAGCCACAGGGATTTTGGGATTCCTATCAGTATTCAAGAGGAGTCAGGCATCGTCACCTTTTGAAGCAATGAACTCCGCGTGCCTCTCGAGGTGTCAGCGGGATGTGAGGCATTCCGTCAAAATGAGGCAGGGACCTAGGGCTTTCTCTAAGGTCTCCACAGGGGATTCAGACATCCCTTCATGTTGTGAGATGAAAGACGAGCCTGTATTCAAGCCACTGCAAGGAAATCCGGCCTCCTTTCAAGTTAGGGCTTCTCGATGTATATTCCCCTTGAGGCAGCAAACTCGGGGTCCCTCCCACATACCTACTGCTGAGAGAAGCCTCCTCCTGAGGTGCTTCTGGGAAGATGGCATACGTCTTGAGCCTAAGCCAGGGAATCAGCTCGCATCTCGAGACGATTTGGGGTACACGGAGCATTCCTCGAGTTGCTGTGCTGAAGTTGGTGTTCCTCTAGACTTGGGACAGTGTTCTCGGGGCATCTCTGGAGTTGCCTGAAGGAAGTCGAGCCACCGGTCGTGTTGAATGGGGAACGGGGAATGGCTCTGGAGTCAATGCAGGGGAATCGGGCCTCATCTCGAGTTGATTTGGGGCACATGGAGCTGCTTTGCGTTGCTGGGGTGACCTCAGGGTCCGTCTAGACTGGTGACAGTGTTCTTGGGGACTGTCTCGAGATCCATTAAGCAAGTCGAAGCTCCTGACTTGTTTGAATGGGGTCACGGAATAGCTCTGCATGCACTGCAGGGGAATGGGGCCTCATCTCGCCTCTAGGGGGAAGTCTCATGGTTTTTCTCGAGTTGCGGCGGGGACCTGGGGTATGTTCTCGACTTACGGCGGGGATGGCCCTTCAAAACACGAGTTTCTTCAGTGACGTCAGGACTCCTGTCTAGTAACGAGGGACACCTCAGGAATCTCTTCGAGGCTTGGCAGGGCCAAAGGGACGCTTCTCGAGGTGAGGCAGGGCACCCAAGGACCCTTTCCATTAGCCACAGGGATTTTGGGATTCCTATCAGTATTCAAGAGGAGTCAGGCATCGTCACCTTTTGAAGCAATGAACTCCGCGTGCCTCTCGAGGTGTCAGCGGGATGTGAGGCATTCCGTCAAAATGAGGCAGGGACCTAGGGCTTTCTCTAAGGTCTCCACAGGGGATTCAGACATCCCTTCATGTTGTGAGATGAAAGACGAGCCTGTATTCAAGCCACTGCAAGGAAATCCGGCCTCCTTTCAAGTTAGGGCTTCTCGATGTATATTCCCCTTGAGGCAGCAAACTCGGGGTCCCTCCCACATACCTACTGCTGAGAGAAGCCTCCTCCTGAGGTGCTTCTGGGAAGATGGCATACGTCTTGAGCCTAAGCCAGGGAATCAGCTCGCATCTCGAGACGATTTGGGGTACACGGAGCATTCCTCGAGTTGCTGTGCTGAAGTTGGTGTTCCTCTAGACTTGGGACAGTGTTCTCGGGGCATCTCTGGAGTTGCCTGAAGGAAGTCGAGCCACCGGTCGTGTTGAATGGGGAACGGGGAATGGCTCTGGAGTCAATGCAGGGGAATCGGGCCTCATCTCGAGTTGATTTGGGGCACATGGAGCTGCTTTGCGTTGCTGGGGTGACCTCAGGGTCCGTCTAGACTGGTGACAGTGTTCTTGGGGACTGTCTCGAGATCCATTAAGCAAGTCGAAGCTCCTGACTTGTTTGAATGGGGTCACGGAATAGCTCTGCATGCACTGCAGGGGAATGGGGCCTCATCTCGCCTCTAGGGGGAAGTCTCATGGTTTTTCTCGAGTTGCGGCGGGGACCTGGGGTATGTTCTCGACTTACGGCGGGGATGGCCCTTCAAAACACGAGTTTCTTCAGTGACGTCAGGACTCCTGTCTAGTAACGAGGGACACCTCAGGAATCTCTTCGAGGCTTGGCAGGGCCAAAGGGACGCTTCTCGAGGTGAGGCAGGGCACCCAAGGACCCTTTCCAGTAGCCACAGGGATTTTGGGATTCCTATCAGTATTCAAGAGGAGTCAGGCATCGTCACCTTTTGAAGCAATGAACTCCGCGTGCCTCTCTAGGTGTCAGCGGGATGTGAGGCATTCCGTCAAAATGAGGCAGGGACCTAGGGCTTTCTCTAAGGTATCCACAGGGGATTCAGACATCCCTTCATGTTGTGAGATGAAAGACGAGCCTGTATTCAAGCAACTGCAAGGAAATCCGGCCTCCTTTCAAGTTAGGGCTTCTCGCTGTATATTCCCCTTGAGGCAGCAAGCTCGGGGTCCCTCCCACATACCTACTGCTGAGAGAAGCCTCCTCCTGAGGTGCTTCTGGGAAGTTGGCATACGTCTTGAGCCTAAGCCAGGGAATCAGCTCGCATCTCGAGACGATTTGGGGTACACAGAGCATTCCTCGAGTTGCTGTGCTGAAGTTGGTGTTCCTCTAGACTTGGGACAGTGTTCTCGGGGCATCTCTGGAGTTGCCTGAAAGAAGTCGAGCCACCGGTCGTGTTGAATGGGGAACGGGGAATGGCTCTGGAGTCAATGCAGGGGAATCGGGCCTCATCTCGAGTTGATTTGGGGCACATGGAGCTGCTTTGTGTTGCTGGGGTGACCTCAGGGTCCGTCTAGACTGGTGACAGTGTTCTTGGGGACTGTCTCGAGATCCATTAAGCAAGTCGAAGCTCCTGACTTGTTTGAATGGGGTCACGGAATAGCTCTGCATGCACTGCAGGGGAATGGGGCCTCATCTCGCCTCTAGGGGGAAGTCTCATGGTTTTTCTCGAGTTGCGGCGGGGACCTGGGGTATGTTCTCGACTTACGGCGGGGATGGCCCTTCAAAACACGAGTTTCTTCAGTGACGTCAGGACTCCTGTCTAGTAACGAGGGACACCTCAGGAATCTCTTCGAGGCTTGGCAGGGCAAAAGGGACGCTTCTCGAGGTGAGGCAGGGCACCCAAGGACCCTTTCCATTAGCCACAGGGATTTTGGGATTCCTATCAGTATTCAAGAGTAGTCAGGCATCGTCACCTTTTGAAGCAATGAACTCCGCGTGCCTCTCGAGGTGTCAGCGGGATGTGAGGCATTCCGTCAAAATGAGGCAGGGACCTAGGGCTTTCTCTAAGGTCTCCACAGGGGATTCAGACATCCCTTCATGTTGTGAGATGAAAGACGAGCCTGTATTCAAGCCACTGCAAGGAAATCCGGCCTCCTTTCAAGTTAGGGCTTCTCGCAGTATATTCCCCTTGAGGCAGCAAACTCGGGGTCCCTCCCACATACCTATTGCTGAGAGAAGCCTCCTCCTGAGGTGCTTCTGGGAAGTTGGCATACGTCTTGAGCCTAAGCCAGGGAATCAGCTCGCATCTCGAGACGATTTGGGGTAGACGGAGCATTCCTCGAGTTGCTGTAGTGAAGTTGGTGTTCCTCTAGACTTGGGACAGTGTTCTCGGGGCATCTCTGGAGTTGCCTGAAGGAAGTCGAGCCACCGGTCGTGTTGAATGGGGAACGGGGAATGGCTCTGGAGTCAATGCAGGGGAATCGGGCGTCATCTCGAGTTGATTTGGGGCACATGGAGCTGCTTTGCGTTGCTGGGGTGACCTCAGGGTCCGTCTAGACTGGTGACAGTGTTCTTGGGGACTGTCTCGAGATCCATTAAGCAAGTCGAAGCTCCTGACTTGTTTGAATGGGGTCACGGAATAGCTCTGCACGCACTGCAGGGGAATGGGGCCTCATCTCGCCTCTAGGGGGAAGTCTCATGGTTTTTCTCGAGTTGCGGCGGGGACCTGGGGTATGTTCTCGACTTACGGCGGGGATGGCCCTTCAAAACACGAGTTTCTTCAGTGACGTCAGGACTCCTGTCTAGTAACGAGGGACACCTCAGGAATCTCTTCGAGGCTTGGCAGGGCCAAAGGGACGCTTCTCGAGGTGAGGCAGGGCACCCAAGGACCCTTTCCAGTAGCCACAGGGATTTTGGGATTCCTATCAGTATTCAAGAGGAGTCAGGCATCGTCACCTTTTGAAGCAATGAACTCCGCGTGCCTCTCGAGGTGTCAGCGGGATGTGAGGCATTCCGTCAAAATGAGGCAGGGACCTAGGGCTTTCTCTAAGGTCTCCACAGGGGATTCAGACATCCCTTCATGTTGTGAGATGAAAGACGAGCCTGTATTCAAGCCACTGCAAGGAAATCCGGCCTCCTTTCAAGTTAGGGCTTCTCGCTGTATATTCCCCTTGAGGCAGCAAACTCGGGGTCCCTCCCACATACCTACTGCTGAGAGAAGCCTCCTCCTGAGGTGCTTCTGGGAAGTTGGCATACGTCTTGAGCCTAAGCCAGGGAATCAGCTCGCATCTCGAGACGATTTGGGGTACACGGAGCATTCCTCGAGTTGCTGTGCTGAAGTTGGTGTTCCTCTAGACTTGGGACAGTGTTCTCGGGGCATCTCTGGAGTTGCCTGAAGGAAGTCCAGCCACCGGTCGTGTTGAATGGAGAACGGGGAATGGCTCTGGAGTCAATGCAGGGGAATCGGGCCTCATCTCGAGTTGATTTGGGGCACATGGAGCTGCTTTGCGTTGCTGGGGTGACCTCAGGGTCCGTCTAGACTGGTGACAGTGTTCTTGGGGACTGTCTCGAGATCCATTAAGCAAGTCGAAGCTCCTGACTTGTTTGAATGGGGTCACGGAATAGCTCTGCACGCACTGCAGGGGAATGGGGCCTCATCTCGCCTCTAGGGGGAAGTCTCATGGTTTTTCTCGAGTTGCGGCGGGGACCTGGGGTATGTTCTCGACTTACGGCGGGGATGGCCCTTCAAAACACGAGTTTCTTCAGTGACGTCAGGACTCCTGTCTAGTAACGAGGGACACCTCAGGAATCTCTTCTAGGCTTGGCAGGGCCAAAGGGACGCTTCTCGAGGTGAGGCAGGGCACCCAAGGACCCTTTCCAGTAGCCACAGGGATTTTGGGATTCCTATCAGTATTCAAGAGGAGTCAGGCATCGTCACCTTTTGAAGCAATGAACTCCGCGTGCCTCTCGAGGTGTCAGCGGGATGTGAGGCATTCCGTCAAAATGAGGCAGGGACCTAGGGCTTTCTCTAAGGTCTCCACAGGGGATTCAGACATCCCTTCATGTTGTGAGATGAAAGACGAGCCTGTATTCAAGCCACTGCAAGGAAATCCGGCCTCCTTTCAAGTTAGGGCTTCTCGCTGTATATTCCCCTTGAGGCAGCAAACTCGGGGTCCCTCCCACATACCTATTGCTGAGAGAAGCCTCCTCCTGAGGTGCTTCTGGGAAGTTGGCATACGTCTTGAGCCTAAGCCAGGGAATCAGCTCGCATCTCGAGACGACTTGGGGTACACGGAGCATTCCTCGAGTTGCTGTGCTGAAGTTGGTGTTCCTCTAGACTTGGGACAGTGTTCTCGGGGCATCTCTGGAGTTGCCTGAAGGAAGTGGAGCCACCGGTCGTGTTGAATGGGGAACGGGGAATGGCTCTGGAGTCAATGCAGGGGAATCGGGCCTCATCTCGAGTTGATTTGGGGCACATGGAGCTGCTTTGCGTTGCTGGGGTGACCTCAGGGTCCGTCTAGACTGGTGACAGTGTTCTTGGGGACTGTCTCGAGATCCATTAAGCAAGTCGAAGCTCCTGACTTGTTTGAATGGGGTCACGGAATAGCTCTGCATGCACTGCAGGGGAATGGGGCCTCATCTCGCCTCTAGGGGGAAGTCTCATGGTTTTTCTCGAGTTGCGGCGGGGACCTGGGGTATGTTCTCGACTTACGGCGGGGATGGCCCTTCAAAACACGAGTTTCTTCAGTGACGTCAGGACTCCTGTCTAGTAACGAGGGACACCTCAGGAATCTCTTCGAGGCTTGGCAGGGCCAAAGGGATGCTTCTCGAGGTGAGGCAGGGCACCCAAGGACCCTTTCCAGTAGCCACAGGGATTTTGGGATTCCTATCAGTATTCAAGAGGAGTCAGGCATCGTCACCTTTTGAAGCAATGAACTCCGCGTGCCTCTCGAGGTGTCAGCGGGATGTGAGGCATTCCGTCAAAATGAGGCAGGGACCTAGGGCTTTCTCTAAGGTCTCCACAGGGGATTCAGACATCCCTTCATGTTGTGAGATGAAAGACGAGCCTGTATTCAAGCCACTGCAAGGAAATCCGGCCTCCTTTCAAGTTAGGGCTTCTCGCTGTATATTCCCCTTGAGGCAGCAAACTCGGGGTCCCTCCCACATACCTATTGCTGAGAGAAGCCTCCTCCTGAGGTGCTTCTGGGAAGTTGGCATACGTCTTGAGCCTAAGCCAGGGAATCAGCTCGCATCTCGAGACGATTTGGGGTACACGGAGCATTCCTCGAGTTGCTGTGCTGAAGTTGGTGTTCCTCTAGACTTGGGACAGTGTTCTCGGGGCATCTCTGGAGTTGCCTGAAGGAAGTCGAGCCACCGGTCGTGTTGAATGGGGAACGGGGAATGGCTCTGGAGTCAATGCAGGGGAATCGGGCCTCATCTCGAGTTGATTTGGGGCACATGGAGCTGCTTTGCGTTGCTGGGGTGACCTCAGGGTCCGTCTAGACTGGTGACAGTGTTCTTGGGGACTGTCTCGAGATCCATTAAGCAAGTCGAAGCTCCTGACTTGTTTGAATGGGGTCACGGAATAGCTCTTCATGCACTGCAGGGGAATGGGGCCTCATCTCGCCTCTAGGGGGAAGTCTCATGGTTTTTCTCGAGTTGCGGCGGGGACCTGGGGTATGTTCTCGACTTACGGCGGGGATGGCCCTTCAAAACACGAGTTTCTTCAGTGACGTCAGGACTCCTGTCTAGTAACGAGGGACACCTCAGGAATCTCTTCGAGGCTTGGCAGGGCAAAAGGGACGCTTCTCGAGGTGAGGCAGGGCACCCAAGGACCCTTTCCAGTAGCCACAGGGATTTTGGGATTCCTATCAGTATTCAAGAGGAGTCAGGCATCGTCACCTTTTGAAGCAATGAACTCCGCGTGCCTCTCGAGGTGTCAGCGGGATGTGAGGCATTCCGTCAAAATGAGGCAGGGACCTAGGGCTTTCTCTAAGGTCTCCACAGAGGATTCAGACATCCCTTCATGTTGTGAGATGAAAGACGAGCCTGTATTCAAGCCACTGCAAGGAAATCCGGCCTCCTTTCAAGTTAGGGCTTCTCGCTGTATATTCCCCTTGAGGCAGCAAACTCGGGGTCCCTCCCACATACCTATTGCTGAGAGAAGCCTCCTCCTGAGGTGCTTCTGGGAAGTTGGCATACGTCTTGAGCCTAAGCCAGGGAATCAGCTCGCATCTCGAGACGATTTGGGGTACACGGAGCATTCCTCGAGTTGCTGTGCTGAATTTGGTGTTCCTCTAGACTTGGGACAGTGTTCTCCGGGCATCTCTGGAGTTGCCTGAAGGAAGTCGAGCCACCGGTCGTGTTGAATGGGGAACGGGGAATGGCTCTGGAGTCAATGCAGGGGAATCGGGCCTCATCTCGAGTTGATTTGGGGCACATGGAGCTGCTTTGCGTTGCTGGGGTGACCTCAGGGTCCGTCTAGACTGGTGACAGTGTTCTTGGGGACTGTCTCGAGATCCATTAAGCAAGTCGAAGCTCCTGACTTGTTTGAATGGGGTCACGGAATAGCTCTGCATGCACTGCAGGGGAATGGGGCCTCATCTCGCCTCTAGGGGGAAGTCTCATGGTTTTTCTCGAGTTGCGGCGGGGACCTGGGGTATGTTCTCGACTTACGGCGGGGATGGCCCTTCAAAACACGAGTTTCTTCAGTGACGTCAGGACTCCTGTCTAGTAACGAGGGACACCTCAGGAATCTCTTCGAGGCTTGGCAGGGCCAAAGGGACGCTTCTCGAGGTGAGGCAGGGCACCCAAGGACCCTTTCCAGTAGCCACAGGGATTTTGGGATTCCTATCAGTATTCAAGAGGAGTCAGGCATCGTCACCTTTTGAAGCAATGAACTCCGCGTGCCTCTCCAGGTGTCAGCGGGATGTGAGGCATTCCGTCAAAATGAGGCAGGGACCTAGGGCTTTCTCTAAGGTCTCCACAGGGGATTCAGACATCCCTTCATGTTGTGAGATGAAAGACGAGCCTGTATTCAAGCCACTGCAAGGAAATCCGGCCTCCTTTCAAGTTAGGGCTTCTCGCTGTATATTCCCCTTGAGGCAGCAAACTCGGGGTCCCTCCCACATACCTACTGCTGAGAGAAGCCTCCTCCTGAGGTGCTTCTGGGAAGTTGGCATACGTCTTGAGCCTAAGCCAGGGAATCAGCTCGCATCTCGAGACGATTTGGGGTACACGGAGCATTCCTCGAGTTGCTGTGCTGAAGTTGGTGTTCCTCTAGACTTGGGACAGTGTTCTCGGGGCATCTCTGGAGTTGCCTGAAGGAAGTCGAGCCACCGGTCGTGTTGAATGGGGAACGGGGAATGGCTCTGGAGTCAATGCAGGGGAATCGGGCCTCATCTCGAGTTGATTTGGGGCACATGGAGCTGCTTTGCGTTGCTGGGGTGACCTCAGGGTCCGTCTAGACTGGTGACAGTGTTCTTGGGGACTGTCTCGAGATCCATTAAGCAAGTCGAAGCTCCTGACTTGTTTGAATGGGATCACGGAATAGCTCTGCATGCACTGCAGGGGAATGGGGCCTCATCTCGCCTCTAGGGGGAAGTCTCATGGTTTTTCTCGAGTTGCGGCGGGGACCTGGGGTATGTTCTCGACTTACGGCGGGGATGGCCCTTCAAAACACGAGTTTCTTCAGTGACGTCAGGACTCCTGTCTAGTAACGAGGGACACCTCAGGAATCTCTTCGAGGCTTGGCAGGGCCAAAGGGACGCTTCTCGAGGTGAGGCAGGGCACCCAAGGACCCTTTCCAGTAGCCACAGGGATTTTGGGATTCCTATCAGTATTCAAGAGGAGTCAGGCATCGTCACCTTTTGAAGCAATGAACTCCGCGTGCCTCTCGAGGTGTCAGCGGGATGTGAGGCATTCCGTCAAAATGAGGCAGGGACCTAGGGCTTTCTCTAAGGTCTCCACAGGGGATTCAGACATCCCTTCATGTTGTGAGATGAAAGACGAGCCTGTATTCAAGCCACTGCAAGGAAATCCGGCCTCCTTTCAAGTTAGGGCTTCTCGCTGTATATTCCCCTTGAGGCAGCAAACTCGGGGTCCCTCCCACATACCTATTGCTGAGAGAAGCCTCCTCCTGAGGTGCTTCTGGGAAGTTGGCATACGTCTTGAGCCTAAGCCAGGGAATCAGCTCGCATCTCGAGACGATTTGGGGTACACGGAGCATTCCTCGAGTTGCTGTGCTGAAGTTGGTGTTCCTCTAGACTTGGGACAGTGTTCTCGGGGCATCTCTGGAGTTGCCTGAAGGAAGTCGAGCCACCGGTCGTGTTGAATGGGGAACGGGGAATGGCTCTGGAGTCAATGCAGGGGAATCGGGCCTCATCTCGAGTTGATTTGGGGCACATGGAGCTGCTTTGCGTTGCTGGGGTGACCTCAGGGTCCGTCTAGACTGGTGACAGTGTTCTTGGGGACTGTCTCGAGATCCATTAAGCAAGTCGAAGCTCCTGACTTGTTTGAATGGGGTCACGGAATAGCTCTGCACGCACTGCAGGGGAATGGGGCCTCATCTCGCCTCTAGGGGGAAGTCTCATGGTTTTTCTCGAGTTGCGGCGGGGACCTGGGGTATGTTCTCGACTTACGGCGGGGATGGCCCTTCAAAACACGAGTTTCTTCAGTGACGTCAGGACTCCTGTCTAGTAACGAGGGACACCTCAGGAATCTCTTCGAGGCTTGGCAGGGCCAAAGGGACGCTTCTCGAGGTGAGGCAGGGCACCCAAGGACCCTTTCCAGTAGCCACAGGGATTTTGGGATTCCTATCAGTATTCAAGAGGAGTCAGGCATCGTCACCTTTTGAAGCAATGAACTCCGCGTGCCTCTCGAGGTGTCAGCGGGATGTGAGGCATTCCGTCAAAATGAGGCAGGGACCTAGGGCTTTCTCTAAGGTCTCCACAGGGGATTCAGACATCCCTTCATGTTGTGAGATGAAAGACGAGCCTGTATTCAAGCCACTGCAAGGAAATCCGGTCTCCTTTCAAGTTAGGGCTTCTCGCTGTATATTCCCCTTGAGGCAGCAAACTCGGGGTCCCTCCCACATACCTATTGCTGAGAGAAGCCTCCTCCTGAGGTGCTTCTGGGAAGTTGGCATACGTCTTGAGCCTAAGCCAGGGAATCAGCTCGCATCTCGAGACGATTTGGGGTACACGGAGCATTCCTCGAGTTGCTGTGCTGAAGTTGGTGTTCCTCTAGACTTGGGACAGTGTTCTCGGGGCATCTCTGGAGTTGCCTGAAGGAAGTCCAGCCACCGGTCGTGTTGAATGGAGAACGGGGAATGGCTCTGGAGTCAATGCAGGGGAATCGGACCTCATCTCGAGTTGATTTGGGGCACATGGAGCTGCTTTGCGTTGCTGGGGTGACCACAGGGTCCGTCTAGACTGGTGACAGTGTTCTTGGGGACTGTCTCGAGATCCATTAAGCAAGTCGAAGCTCCTGACTTGTTTGAATGGGGTCACGGAATAGCTCTGCACGCACTGCAGGGGAATGGGGCCTCATCTCGCCTCTAGGGGGAAGTCTCATGGTTTTTCTCGAGTTGCGGCGGGGACCTGGGGTATGTTCTCGACTTACGGCGGGGATGGCCCTTCAAAACACGAGTTTCTTCAGTGACGTCAGGACTCCTGTCTAGTAACGAGGGACACCTCAGGAATCTCTTCTAGGCTTGGCAGGGCCAAAGGGACGCTTCTCGAGGTGAGGCAGGGCACCCAAGGACCCTTTCCAGTAGCCACAGGGATTTTGGGATTCCTATCAGTATTCAAGAGGAGTCAGGCATCGTCACCTTTTGAAGCAATGAACTCCGCGTGCCTCTCGAGGTGTCAGCGGGATGTGAGGCATTCCGTCAAAATGAGGCAGGGACCTAGGGCTTTCTCTAAGGTCTCCACAGGGGATTCAGACATCCCTTCATGTTGTGAGATGAAAGACGAGCCTGTATTCAAGCCACTGCAAGGAAATCCGGCCTCCTTTCAAGTTAGGGCTTCTCGCTGTATATTCCCCTTGAGGCAGCAAACTCGGGGTCCCTCCCACATACCTATTGCTGAGAGAAGCCTCCTCCTGAGGTGCTTCTGGGAAGTTGGCATACGTCTTGAGCCTAAGCCAGGGAATCAGCTCGCATCTCGAGACGACTTGGGGTACACGGAGCATTCCTCGAGTTGCTGTGCTGAAGTTGGTGTTCCTCTAGACTTGGGACAGTGTTCTCGGGGCATCTCTGGAGTTGCCTGAAGGAAGTGGAGCCACCGGTCGTGTTGAATGGGGAACGGGGAATGGCTCTGGAGTCAATGCAGGGGAATCGGGCCTCATCTCGAGTTGATTTGGGGCACATGGAGCTGCTTTGCGTTGCTGGGGTGACCTCAGGGTCCGTCTAGACTGGTGACAGTGTTCTTGGGGACTGTCTCGAGATCCATTAAGCAAGTCGAAGCTCCTGACTTGTTTGAATGGGGTCACGGAATAGCTCTGCATGCACTGCAGGGGAATGGGGCCTCATCTCGCCTCTAGGGGGAAGTCTCATGGTTTTTCTCGAGTTGCGGCGGGGACCTGGGGTATGTTCTCGACTTACGGCGGGGATGGCCCTTCAAAACACGAGTTTCTTCAGTGACGTCAGGACTCCTGTCTAGTAACGAGGGACACCTCAGGAATCTCTTCGAGGCTTGGCAGGGCCAAAGGGATGCTTCTCGAGGTGAGGCAGGGCACCCAAGGACCCTTTCCAGTAGCCACAGGGATTTTGGGATTCCTATCAGTATTCAAGAGGAGTCAGGCATCGTCACCTTTTGAAGCAATGAACTCCGCGTGCCTCTCGAGGTGTCAGCGGGATGTGAGGCATTCCGTCAAAATGAGGCAGGGACCTAGGGCTTTCTCTAAGGTCTCCACAGGGGATTCAGACATCCCTTCATGTTGTGAGATGAAAGACGAGCCTGTATTCAAGCCACTGCAAGGAAATCCGGCCTCCTTTCAAGTTAGGGCTTCTCGCTGTATATTCCCCTTGAGGCAGCAAACTCGGGGTCCCTCCCACATACCTATTGCTGAGAGAAGCCTCCTCCTGAGGTGCTTCTCGGAAGTTGGCATACGTCTTGAGCCTAAGCCAGGGAATCAGCTCGCATCTCGAGACGATTTGGGGTACACGGAGCATTCCTCGAGTTGCTGTGCTGAAGTTGGTGTTCCTCTAGACTTGGGACAGTGTTCTCGGGGCATCTCTGGAGTTGCCTGAAGGAAGTCGAGCCACCGGTCGTGTTGAATGGGGAACGGGGAATGGCTCTGGAGTCAATGCAGGGGAATCGGGCCTCATCTCGAGTTGATTTGGGGCACATGGAGCTGCTTTGCGTTGCTGGGGTGACCTCAGGGTCCGTCTAGACTGGTGACAGTGTTCTTGGGGACTGTCTCGAGATCCATTAAGCAAGTCGAAGCTCCTGACTTGTTTGAATGGGGTCACGGAATAGCTCTGCATGCACTGCAGGGGAATGGGGCCTCATCTCGCCTCTAGGGGGAAGTCTCATGGTTTTTCTCGAGTTGCGGCGGGGACCTGGGGTATGTTCTCGACTTACGGCGGGGATGGCCCTTCAAAACACGAGTTTCTTCAGTGACGTCAGGACTCCTGTCTAGTAACGAGGGACACCTCAGGAATCTCTTCGAGGCTTGGCAGGGCAAAAGGGACGCTTCTCGAGGTGAGGCAGGGCACCCAAGGACCCTTTCCAGTAGCCACAGGGATTTTGGGATTCCTATCAGTATTCAAGAGGAGTCAGGCATCGTCACCTTTTGAAGCAATGAACTCCGCGTGCCTCTCGAGGTGTCAGCGGGATGTGAGGCATTCCGTCAAAATGAGGCAGGGACCTAGGGCTTTCTCTAAGGTCTCCACAGAGGATTCAGACATCCCTTCATGTTGTGAGATGAAAGACGAGCCTGTATTCAAGCCACTGCAAGGAAATCCGGCCTCCTTTCAAGTTAGGGCTTCTCGCTGTATATTCCCCTTGAGGCAGCAAACTCGGGGTCCCTCCCACATACCTATTGCTGAGAGAAGCCTCCTCCTGAGGTGCTTCTCGGAAGTTGGCATACGTCTTGAGCCTAAGCCAGGGAATCAGCTCGCATCTCGAGACGATTTGGGGTACACGGAGCATTCCTCGAGTTGCTGTGCTGAAGTTGGTGTTCCTCTAGACTTGGGACAGTGTTCTCGGGGCATCTCTGGAGTTGCCTGAAGGAAGTCGAGCCACCGGTCGTGTTGAATGGGGAACGGGGAATGGCTCTGGAGTCAATGCAGGGGAATCGGGCCTCATCTCGAGTTGATTTGGGGCACATGGAGCTGCTTTGCGTTGCTGGGGTGACCTCAGGGTCCGTCTAGACTGGTGACAGTGTTCTTGGGGACTGTCTCGAGATCCATTAAGCAAGTCGAAGCTCCTGACTTGTTTGAATGGGGTCACGGAATAGCTCTGCATGCACTGCAGGGGAATGGGGCCTCATCTCGCCTCTAGGGGGAAGTCTCATGGTTTTTCTCGAGTTGCGGCGGGGACCTGGGGTATGTTCTCGACTTACGGCGGGGATGGCCCTTCAAAACACGAGTTTCTTCAGTGACGTCAGGACTCCTGTCTAGTAACGAGGGACACCTCAGGAATCTCTTCGAGGCTTGGCAGGGCAAAAGGGACGCTTCTCGAGGTGAGGCAGGGCACCCAAGGACCCTTTCCAGTAGCCACAGGGATTTTGGGATTCCTATCAGTATTCAAGAGGAGTCAGGCATCGTCACCTTTTGAAGCAATGAACTCCGCGTGCCTCTCGAGGTGTCAGCGGGATGTGAGGCATTCCGTCAAAATGAGGCAGGGACCTAGGGCTTTCTCTAAGGTCTCCACAGAGGATTCAGACATCCCTTCATGTTGTGAGATGAAAGACGAGCCTGTATTCAAGCCACTGCAAGGAAATCCGGCCTCCTTTCAAGTTAGGGCTTCTCGCTGTATATTCCCCTTGAGGCAGCAAACTCGGGGTCCCTCCCACATACCTATTGCTGAGAGAAGCCTCCTCCTGAGGTGCTTCTGGGAAGTTGGCATACGTCTTGAGCCTAAGCCAGGGAATCAGCTCGCATCTCGAGACGATTTGGGGTACACGGAGCATTCCTCGAGTTGCTGTGCTGAAGTTGGTGTTCCTCTAGACTTGGGACAGTGTTCTCCGGGCATCTCTGGAGTTGCCTGAAGGAAGTCGAGCCACCGGTCGTGTTGAATGGGGAACGGGGAATGGCTCTGGAGTCAATGCAGGGGAATCGGGCCTCATCTCGAGTTGATTTGGGGCACATGGAGCTGCTTTGCGTTGCTGGGGTGACCTCAGGGTCCGTCTAGACTGGTGACAGTGTTCTTGGGGACTGTCTCGAGATCCATTAAGCAAGTCGAAGCTCCTGACTTGTTTGAATGGGGTCACGGAATAGCTCTGCATGCACTGCAGGGGAATGGGGCCTCATCTCGCCTCTAGGGGGAAGTCTCATGGTTTTTCTCGAGTTGCGGCGGGGACCTGGGGTATGTTCTCGACTTACGGCGGGGATGGCCCTTCAAAACACGAGTTTCTTCAGTGACGTCAGGACTCCTGTCTAGTAACGAGGGACACCTCAGGAATCTCTTCGAGGCTTGGCAGGGCCAAAGGGACGCTTCTCGAGGTGAGGCAGGGCACCCAAGGACCCTTTCCAGTAGCCACAGGGATTTTGGGATTCCTATCAGTATTCAAGAGGAGTCAGGCATCGTCACCTTTTGAAGCAATGAACTCCGCGTGCCTCTCCAGGTGTCAGCGGGATGTGAGGCATTCCGTCAAAATGAGGCAGGGACCTAGGGCTTTCTCTAAGGTCTCCACAGGGGATTCAGACATCCCTTAATGTTGTGAGATGAAAGACGAGCCTGTATTCAAGCCACTGCAAGGAAATCCGGCCTCCTTTCAAGTTAGGGCTTCTCGCTGTATATTCCCCTTGAGGCAGCAAACTCGGGGTCCCTCCCACATACCTACTGCTGAGAGAAGCCTCCTCCTGAGGTGCTTCTGGGAAGTTGGCATACGTCTTGAGCCTAAGCCAGGGAATCAGCTCGCATCTCGAGACGATTTGGGGTACACGGAGCATTCCTCGAGTTGCTGTGCTGAAGTTGGTGTTCCTCTAGACTTGGGACAGTGTTCTCGGGGCATCTCTGGAGTTGCCTGAAGGAAGTCGAGCCACCGGTCGTGTTGAATGGGGAACGGGGAATGGCTCTGGAGTCAATGCAGGGGAATCGGGCCTCATCTCGAGTTGATTTGGGGCACATGGAGCTGCTTTGCGTTGCTGGGGTGACCTCAGGCTCCGTCTAGTCTGGTGACAGTGTTCTTGGGGACTGTCTCGAGATCCATTAAGCAAGTCGAAGCTCCTGACTTGTTTGAATGGGATCAAGGAATAGCTCTGCATGCACTGCAGCGGAATGGGGCCTCATCTCGCCTCTAGGGGGAAGTCTCATGGTTTTTCTCGAGTTGCGGCGGGGACCTGGGGTATGTTCTCGACTTACGGCGGGGATGGCCCTTCAAAACACGAGTTTCTTCAGTGACGTCAGGACTCCTGTCTAGTAACGAGGGACACCTCAGGAATCTCTTCTAGGCTTGGCAGGGCCAAAGGGACGCTTCTCGAGGTGAGGCAGGGCACCCAAGGACCCTTTCCAGTAGCCACAGGGATTTTGGGATTCCTATCAGTATTCAAGAGGAGTCAGGCATCGTCACCTTTTGAAGCAATGAACTCCGCGTGCCTCTCGAGGTGTCAGCGGGATGTGAGGCATTCCGTCAAAATGAGGCAGGGACCTAGGGCTTTCTCTAAGGTCTCCACAGGGGATTCAGACATCCCTTCATGTTGTGAGATGAAAGACGAGCCTGTATTCAAGCCACTGCAAGGAAATCCGGCCTCCTTTCAAGTTAGGGCTTCTCGCTGTATATTCCCCTTGAGGCAGCAAACTCGGGGTCCCTCCCACATACCTATTGCTGAGAGAAGCCTCCTCCTGAGGTGCTTCTGGGAAGTTGGCATACGTCTTGAGCCTAAGCCAGGGAATCAGCTCGCATCTCGAGACGATTTGGGGTACACGGAGCATTCCTCGAGTTGCTGTGCTGAAGTTGGTGTTCCTCTAGACTTGGGACAGTGTTCTCGGGGCATCTCTGGAGTTGCCTGAAGGAAGTCGAGCCACCGGTCGTGTTGAATGGGGAACGGGGAATGGCTCTGGAGTCAATGCAGGGGAATCGGGCCTCATCTCGAGTTGATTTGGGGCACATGGAGCTGCTTTGCGTTGCTGGGGTGACCTCAGGGTCCGTCTAGACTGGTGACAGTGTTCTTGGGGACTGTCTCGAGATCCATTAAGCAAGTCGAAGCTCCTGACTTGTTTGAATGGGATCACGGAATAGCTCTGCATGCACTGCAGGGGAATGGGGCCTCATCTCGCCTCTAGGGGGAAGTCTCATGGTTTTTCTCGAGTTGCGGCGGGGACCTGGGGTATGTTCTCGACTTACGGCGGGGATGGCCCTTCAAAACACGAGTTTCTTCAGTGACGTCAGGACTCCTGTCTAGTAACGAGGGACACCTCAGGAATCTCTTCGAGGCTTGGCAGGGCCAAAGGGACGCTTCTCGAGGTGAGGCAGGGCACCCAAGGACCCTTTCCAGTAGCCACAGGGATTTTGGGATTCCTATCAGTATTCAAGAGGAGTCAGGCATCGTCACCTTTTGAAGCAATGAACTCCGCGTGCCTCTCCAGGTGTCAGCGGGATGTGAGGCATTCCGTCAAAATGAGGCAGGGACCTAGGGCTTTCTCTAAGGTCTCCACAGGGGATTCAGACATCCCTTCATGTTGTGAGATGAAAGACGAGCCTGTATTCAAGCCACTGCAAGGAAATCCGGCCTCCTTTCAAGTTAGGGCTTCTCGCTGTATATTCCCCTTGAGGCAGCAAACTCGGGGTCCCTCCCACATACCTATTGCTGAGAGAAGCCTCCTCCTGAGGTGCTTCTGGGAAGTTGGCATACGTCTTGAGCCTAAGCCAGGGAATCAGCTCGCATCTCGAGACGATTTGGGGTACACGGAGCATTCCTCGAGTTGCTGTGCTGAAGTTGGTGTTCCTCTAGACTTGGGACAGTGTTCTCGGGGCATCTCTGGAGTTGCCTGAAGGAAGTCGAGCCACCGGTCGTGTTGAATGGGGAACGGGGAATGGCTCTGGAGTCAATGCAGGGGAATCGGGCCTCATCTCGAGTTGATTTGGGGCACATGGAGCTGCTTTGCGTTGCTGGGGTGACCTCAGGGTCCGTCTAGACTGGTGACAGTGTTCTTGGGGACTGTCTCGAGATCCATTAAGCAAGTCGAAGCTCCTGACTTGTTTGAATGGGGTCACGGAATAGCTCTGCACGCACTGCAGGGGAATGGGGCCTCATCTCGCCTCTAGGGGGAAGTCTCATGGTTTTTCTCGAGTTGCGGCGGGGACCTGGGGTATGTTCTCGACTTACGGCGGGGATGGCCCTTCAAAACACGAGTTTCTTCAGTGACGTCAGGACTCCTGTCTAGTAACGAGGGACACCTCAGGAATCTCTTCGAGGCTTGGCAGGGCCAAAGGGACGCTTCTCGAGGTGAGGCAGGGCACCCAAGGACCCTTTCCAGTAGCCACAGGGATTTTGGGATTCCTATCAGTATTCAAGAGGAGTCAGGCATCGTCACCTTTTGAAGCAATGAACTCCGCGTGCCTCTCGAGGTGTCAGCGGGATGTGAGGCATTCCGTCAAAATGAGGCAGGGACCTAGGGCTTTCTCTAAGGTCTCCACAGGGGATTCAGACATCCCTTCATGTTGTGAGATGAAAGACGAGCCTGTATTCAAGCCACTGCAAGGAAATCCGGTCTCCTTTCAAGTTAGGGCTTCTCGCTGTATATTCCCCTTGAGGCAGCAAACTCGGGGTCCCTCCCACATACCTATTGCTGAGAGAAGCCTCCTCCTGAGGTGCTTCTGGGAAGTTGGCATACGTCTTGAGCCTAAGCCAGGGAATCAGCTCGCATCTCGAGACGATTTGGGGTACACGGAGCATTCCTCGAGTTGCTGTGCTGAAGTTGGTGTTCCTCTAGACTTGGGACAGTGTTCTCGGGGCATCTCTGGAGTTGCCTGAAGGAAGTCGAGCCACCGGTCGTGTTGAATGGGGAACGGGGAATGGCTCTGGAGTCAATGCAGGGGAATCGGGCCTCATCTCGAGTTGATTTGGGGCACATGGAGCTGCTTTGCGTTGCTGGGGTGACCTCAGGGTCCGTCTAGACTGGTGACAGTGTTCTTGGGGACTGTCTCGAGATCCATTAAGCAAGTCGAAGCTCCTGACTTGTTTGAATGGGATCACGGAATAGCTCTGCATGCACTGCAGGGGAATGGGGCCTCATCTCGCCTCTAGGGGGAAGTCTCATGGTTTTTCTCGAGTTGCGGCGGGGACCTGGGGTATGTTCTCGACTTACGGCGGGGATGGCCCTTCAAAACACGAGTTTCTTCAGTGACGTCAGGACTCCTGTCTAGTAACGAGGGACACCTCAGGAATCTCTTCGAGGCTTGGCAGGGCCAAAGGGACGCTTCTCGAGGTGAGGCAGGGCACCCAAGGACCCTTTCCAGTAGCCACAGGGATTTTGGGATTCCTATCAGTATTCAAGAGGAGTCAGGCATCGTCACCTTTTGAAGCAATGAACTCCGCGTGCCTCTCGAGGTGTCAGCGGGATGTGAGGCATTCCGTCAAAATGAGGCAGGGACCTAGGGCTTTCTCTAAGGTCTCCACAGGGGATTCAGACATCCCTTCATGTTGTGAGATGAAAGACGAGCCTGTATTCAAGCCACTGCAAGGAAATCCGGCCTCCTTTCAAGTTAGGGCTTCTCGCTGTATATTCCCCTTGAGGCAGCAAACTCGGGGTCCCTCCCACATACCTATTGCTGAGAGAAGCCTCCTCCTGAGGTGCTTCTGGGAAGTTGGCATACGTCTTGAGCCTAAGCCAGGGAATCAGCTCGCATCTCGAGACGATTTGGGGTACACGGAGCATTCCTCGAGTTGCTGTGCTGAAGTTGGTGTTCCTCTAGACTTGGGACAGTGTTCTCGGGGCATCTCTGGAGTTGCCTGAAGGAAGTCGAGCCACCGGTCGTGTTGAATGGGGAACGGGGAATGGCTCTGGAGTCAATGCAGGGGAATCGGGCCTCATCTCGAGTTGATTTGGGGCACATGGAGCTGCTTTGCGTTGCTGGGGTGACCTCAGGGTCCGTCTAGTCTGGTGACAGTGTTCTTGGGGACTGTCTCGAGATCCATTAAGCAAGTCGAAGCTCCTGACTTGTTTGAATGGGATCAAGGAATAGCTCTGCATGCACTGCAGGGGAATGGGGCCTCATCTCGCCTCTAGGGGGAAGTCTCATGGTTTTTCTCGAGTTGCGGCGGGGACCTGGGGTATGTTCTCGACTTACGGCGGGGATGGCCCTTCAAAACACGAGTTTCTTCAGTGACGTCAGGACTCCTGTCTAGTAACGAGGGACACCTCAGGAATCTCTTCTAGGCTTGGCAGGGCCAAAGGGACGCTTCTCGAGGTGAGGCAGGGCACCCAAGGACCCTTTCCAGTAGCCACAGGGATTTTGGGATTCCTATCAGTATTCAAGAGGAGTCAGGCATCGTCACCTTTTGAAGCAATGAACTCCGCGTGCCTCTCGAGGTGTCAGCGGGATGTGAGGCATTCCGTCAAAATGAGGCAGGGACCTAGGGCTTTCTCTAAGGTCTCCACAGGGGATTCAGACATCCCTTCATGTTGTGAGATGAAAGACGAGCCTGTATTCAAGCCACTGCAAGGAAATCCGGCCTCCTTTCAAGTTAGGGCTTCTCGCTGTATATTCCCCTTGAGGCAGCAAACTCGGGGTCCCTCCCACATACCTATTGCTGAGAGAAGCCTCCTCCTGAGGTGCTTCTGGGAAGTTGGCATACGTCTTGAGCCTAAGCCAGGGAATCAGCTCGCATCTCGAGACGATTTGGGGTACACGGAGCATTCCTCGAGTTGCTGTGCTGAAGTTGGTGTTCCTCTAGACTTGGGACAGTGTTCTCGGGGCATCTCTGGAGTTGCCTGAAGGAAGTCGAGCCACCGGTCGTGTTGAATGGGGAACGGGGAATGGCTCTGGAGTCAATGCAGGGGAATCGGGCCTCATCTCGAGTTGATTTGGGGCACATGGAGCTGCTTTGCGTTGCTGGGGTGACCTCAGGGTCCGTCTAGACTGGTGACAGTGTTCTTGGGGACTGTCTCGAGATCCATTAAGCAAGTCGAAGCTCCTGACTTGTTTGAATGGGATCACGGAATAGCTCTGCATGCACTGCAGGGGAATGGGGCCTCATCTCGCCTCTAGGGGGAAGTCTCATGGTTTTTCTCGAGTTGCGGCGGGGACCTGGGGTATGTTCTCGACTTACGGCGGGGATGGCCCTTCAAAACACGAGTTTCTTCAGTGACGTCAGGACTCCTGTCTAGTAACGAGGGACACCTCAGGAATCTCTTCGAGGCTTGGCAGGGCCAAAGGGACGCTTCTCGAGGTGAGGCAGGGCACCCAAGGACCCTTTCCAGTAGCCACAGGGATTTTGGGATTCCTATCAGTATTCAAGAGGAGTCAGGCATCGTCACCTTTTGAAGCAATGAACTCCGCGTGCCTCTCGAGGTGTCAGCGGGATGTGAGGCATTCCGTCAAAATGAGGCAGGGACCTAGGGCTTTCTCTAAGGTCTCCACAGGGGATTCAGACATCCCTTCATGTTGTGAGATGAAAGACGAGCCTGTATTCAAGCCACTGCAAGGAAATCCGGCCTCCTTTCAAGTTAGGGCTTCTCGCTGTATATTCCCCTTGAGGCAGCAAACTCGGGGTCCCTCCCACATACCTATTGCTGAGAGAAGCCTCCTCCTGAGGTGCTTCTGGGAAGTTGGCATACGTCTTGAGCCTAAGCCAGGGAATCAGCTCGCATCTCGAGACGATTTGGGGTACACGGAGCATTCCTCGAGTTGCTGTGCTGAAGTTGGTGTTCCTCTAGACTTGGGACAGTGTTCTCGGGGCATCTCTGGAGTTGCCTGAAGGAAGTCGAGCCACCGGTCGTGTTGAATGGGGAACGGGGAATGGCTCTGGAGTCAATGCAGGGGAATCGGGCCTCATCTCGAGTTGATTTGGGGCACATGGAGCTGCTTTGCGTTGCTGGGGTGACCTCAGGGTCCGTCTAGACTGGTGACAGTGTTCTTGGGGACTGTCTCGAGATCCATTAAGCAAGTCGAAGCTCCTGACTTGTTTGAATGGGGTCACGGAATAGCTCTGCACGCACTGCAGGGGAATGGGGCCTCATCTCGCCTCTAGGGGGAAGTCTCATGGTTTTTCTCGAGTTGCGGCGGGGACCTGGGGTATGTTCTCGACTTACGGCGGGGATGGCCCTTCAAAACACGAGTTTCTTCAGTGACGTCAGGACTCCTGTCTAGTAACGAGGGACACCTCAGGAATCTCTTCGAGGCTTGGCAGGGCCAAAGGGACGCTTCTCGAGGTGAGGCAGGGCACCCAAGGACCCTTTCCAGTAGCCACAGGGATTTTGGGATTCCTATCAGTATTCAAGAGGAGTCAGGCATCGTCACCTTTTGAAGCAATGAACTCCGCGTGCCTCTCGAGGTGTCAGCGGGATGTGAGGCATTCCGTCAAAATGAGGCAGGGACCTAGGGCTTTCTCTAAGGTCTCCACAGGGGATTCAGACATCCCTTCATGTTGTGAGATGAAAGACGAGCCTGTATTCAAGCCACTGCAAGGAAATCCGGTCTCCTTTCAAGTTAGGGCTTCTCGCTGTATATTCCCCTTGAGGCAGCAAACTCGGGGTCCCTCCCACATACCTATTGCTGAGAGAAGCCTCCTCCTGAGGTGCTTCTGGGAAGTTGGCATACGTCTTGAGCCTAAGCCAGGGAATCAGCTCGCATCTCGAGACGATTTGGGGTACACGGAGCATTCCTCGAGTTGCTGTGCTGAAGTTGGTGTTCCTCTAGACTTGGGACAGTGTTCTCGGGGCATCTCTGGAGTTGCCTGAAGGAAGTCCAGCCACCGGTCGTGTTGAATGGAGAACGGGGAATGGCTCTGGAGTCAATGCAGGGGAATCGGGCCTCATCTCGAGTTGATTTGGGGCACATGGAGCTGCTTTGCGTTGCTGGGGTGACCACAGGGTCCGTCTAGACTGGTGACAGTGTTCTTGGGGACTGTCTCGAGATCCATTAAGCAAGTCGAAGCTCCTGACTTGTTTGAATGGGGTCACGGAATAGCTCTGCACGCACTGCAGGGGAATGGGGCCTCATCTCGCCTCTAGGGGGAAGTCTCATGGTTTTTCTCGAGTTGCGGCGGGGACCTGGGGTATGTTCTCGACTTACGGCGGGGATGGCCCTTCAAAACACGAGTTTCTTCAGTGACGTCAGGACTCCTGTCTAGTAACGAGGGACACCTCAGGAATCTCTTCTAGGCTTGGCAGGGCCAAAGGGACGCTTCTCGAGGTGAGGCAGGGCACCCAAGGACCCTTTCCAGTAGCCACAGGGATTTTGGGATTCCTATCAGTATTCAAGAGGAGTCAGGCATCGTCACCTTTTGAAGCAATGAACTCCGCGTGCCTCTCGAGGTGTCAGCGGGATGTGAGGCATTCCGTCAAAATGAGGCAGGGACCTAGGGCTTTCTCTAAGGTCTCCACAGGGGATTCAGACATCCCTTCATGTTGTGAGATGAAAGACGAGCCTGTATTCAAGCCACTGCAAGGAAATCCGGCCTCCTTTCAAGTTAGGGCTTCTCGCTGTATATTCCCCTTGAGGCAGCAAACTCGGGGTCCCTCCCACATACCTATTGCTGAGAGAAGCCTCCTCCTGAGGTGCTTCTGGGAAGTTGGCATACGTCTTGAGCCTAAGCCAGGGAATCAGCTCGCATCTCGAGACGACTTGGGGTACACGGAGCATTCCTCGAGTTGCTGTGCTGAAGTTGGTGTTCCTCTAGACTTGGGACAGTGTTCTCGGGGCATCTCTGGAGTTGCCTGAAGGAAGTGGAGCCACCGGTCGTGTTGAATGGGGAACGGGGAATGGCTCTGGAGTCAATGCAGGGGAATCGGGCCTCATCTCGAGTTGATTTGGGGCACATGGAGCTGCTTTGCGTTGCTGGGGTGACCTCAGGGTCCGTCTAGACTGGTGACAGTGTTCTTGGGGACTGTCTCGAGATCCATTAAGCAAGTCGAAGCTCCTGACTTGTTTGAATGGGGTCACGGAATAGCTCTGCATGCACTGCAGGGGAATGGGGCCTCATCTCGCCTCTAGGGGGAAGTCTCATGGTTTTTCTCGAGTTGCGGCGGGGACCTGGGGTATGTTCTCGACTTACGGCGGGGATGGCCCTTCAAAACACGAGTTTCTTCAGTGACGTCAGGACTCCTGTCTAGTAACGAGGGACACCTCAGGAATCTCTTCGAGGCTTGGCAGGGCCAAAGGGACGCTTCTCGAGGTGAGGCAGGGCACCCAAGGACCCTTTCCAGTAGCCACAGGGATTTTGGGATTCCTATCAGTATTCAAGAGGAGTCAGGCATCGTCACCTTTTGAAGCAATGAACTCCGCGTGCCTCTCGAGGTGTCAGCGGGATGTGAGGCATTCCGTCAAAATGAGGCAGGGACCTAGGGCTTTCTCTAAGGTCTCCACAGGGGACTCAGACATCCCTTCATGTTGTGAGATGAAAGACGAGCCTGTATTCAAGCCACTGCAAGGAAATCCGGCCTCCTTTCAAGTTAGGGCTTCTCGCTGTATATTCCCCTTGAGGCAGCAAACTCGGGGTCCCTCCCACATACCTATTGCTGAGAGAAGCCTCCTCCTGAGGTGCTTCTGGGAAGTTGGCATACGTCTTGAGCCTAAGCCAGGGAATCAGCTCGCATCTCGAGACGATTTGGGGTACACGGAGCATTCCTCGAGTTGCTGTGCTGAAGTTGGTGTTCCTCTAGACTTGGGACAGTGTTCTCGGGGCATCTCTGGAGTTGCCTGAAGGAAGTCGAGCCACCGGTCGTGTTGAATGGGGAACGGGGAATGGCTCTGGAGTCAATGCAGGGGAATCGGGCCTCATCTCGAGTTGATTTGGGGCACATGGAGCTGCTTTGCGTTGCTGGGGTGACCTCAGGGTCCGTCTAGACTGGTGACAGTGTTCTTGGGGACTGTCTCGAGATCCATTAAGCAAGTCGAAGCTCCTGACTTGTTTGAATGGGGTCACGGAATAGCTCTGCATGCACTGCAGGGGAATGGGGCCTCATCTCGCCTCTAGGGGGAAGTCTCATGGTTTTTCTCGAGTTGCGGCGGGGACCTGGGGTATGTTCTCGACTTACGGCGGGGATGGCCCTTCAAAACACGAGTTTCTTCAGTGACGTCAGGACTCCTGTCTAGTAACGAGGGACACCTCAGGAATCTCTTCGAGGCTTGGCAGGGCCAAAGGGACGCTTCTCGAGGTGAGGCAGGGCACCCAAGGACCCTTTCCAGTAGCCACAGGGATTTTGGGATTCCTATCAGTATTCAAGAGGAGTCAGGCATCGTCACCTTTTGAAGCAATGAACTCCGCGTGCCTCTCCAGGTGTCAGCGGGATGTGAGGCATTCCGTCAAAATGAGGCAGGGACCTAGGGCTTTCTCTAAGGTCTCCACAGGGGATTCAGACATCCCTTAATGTTGTGAGATGAAAGACGAGCCTGTATTCAAGCCACTGCAAGGAAATCCGGCCTCCTTTCAAGTTAGGGCTTCTCGCTGTATATTCCCCTTGAGGCAGCAAACTCGGGGTCCCTCCCACATACCTACTGCTGAGAGAAGCCTCCTCCTGAGGTGCTTCTGGGAAGTTGGCATACGTCTTGAGCCTAAGCCAGGGAATCAGCTCGCATCTCGAGACGATTTGGGGTACACGGAGCATTCCTCGAGTTGCTGTGCTGAAGTTGGTGTTCCTCTAGACTTGGGACAGTGTTCTCGGGGCATCTCTGGAGTTGCCTGAAGGAAGTCGAGCCACCGGTCGTGTTGAATGGGGAACGGGGAATGGCTCTGGAGTCAATGCAGGGGAATCGGGCCTCATCTCGAGTTGATTTGGGGCACATGGAGCTGCTTTGCGTTGCTGGGGTGACCTCAGGCTCCGTCTAGTCTGGTGACAGTGTTCTTGGGGACTGTCTCGAGATCCATTAAGCAAGTCGAAGCTCCTGACTTGTTTGAATGGGATCAAGGAATAGCTCTGCATGCACTGCAGCGGAATGGGGCCTCATCTCGCCTCTAGGGGGAAGTCTCATGGTTTTTCTCGAGTTGCGGCGGGGACCTGGGGTATGTTCTCGACTTACGGCGGGGATGGCCCTTCAAAACACGAGTTTCTTCAGTGACGTCAGGACTCCTGTCTAGTAACGAGGGACACCTCAGGAATCTCTTCTAGGCTTGGCAGGGCCAAAGGGACGCTTCTCGAGGTGAGGCAGGGCACCCAAGGACCCTTTCCAGTAGCCACAGGGATTTTGGGATTCCTATCAGTATTCAAGAGGAGTCAGGCATCGTCACCTTTTGAAGCAATGAACTCCGCGTGCCTCTCGAGGTGTCAGCGGGATGTGAGGCATTCCGTCAAAATGAGGCAGGGACCTAGGGCTTTCTCTAAGGTCTCCACAGGGGATTCAGACATCCCTTCATGTTGTGAGATGAAAGACGAGCCTGTATTCAAGCCACTGCAAGGAAATCCGGCCTCCTTTCAAGTTAGGGCTTCTCGCTGTATATTCCCCTTGAGGCAGCAAACTCGGGGTCCCTCCCACATACCTATTGCTGAGAGAAGCCTCCTCCTGAGGTGCTTCTGGGAAGTTGGCATACGTCTTGAGCCTAAGCCAGGGAATCAGCTCGCATCTCGAGACGATTTGGGGTACACGGAGCATTCCTCGAGTTGCTGTGCTGAAGTTGGTGTTCCTCTAGACTTGGGACAGTGTTCTCGGGGCATCTCTGGAGTTGCCTGAAGGAAGTCGAGCCACCGGTCGTGTTGAATGGGGAACGGGGAATGGCTCTGGAGTCAATGCAGGGGAATCGGGCCTCATCTCGAGTTGATTTGGGGCACATGGAGCTGCTTTGCGTTGCTGGGGTGACCTCAGGGTCCGTCTAGACTGGTGACAGTGTTCTTGGGGACTGTCTCGAGATCCATTAAGCAAGTCGAAGCTCCTGACTTGTTTGAATGGGATCACGGAATAGCTCTGCATGCACTGCTGGGGAATGGGGCCTCATCTCGCCTCTAGGGGGAAGTCTCATGGTTTTTCTCGAGTTGCGGCGGGGACCTGGGGTATGTTCTCGACTTACGGCGGGGATGGCCCTTCAAAACACGAGTTTCTTCAGTGACGTCAGGACTCCTGTCTAGTAACGAGGGACACCTCAGGAATCTCTTCGAGGCTTGGCAGGGCCAAAGGGACGCTTCTCGAGGTGAGGCAGGGCACCCAAGGACCCTTTCCAGTAGCCACAGGGATTTTGGGATTCCTATCAGTATTCAAGAGGAGTCAGGCATCGTCACCTTTTGAAGCAATGAACTCCGCGTGCCTCTCCAGGTGTCAGCGGGATGTGAGGCATTCCGTCAAAATGAGGCAGGGACCTAGGGCTTTCTCTAAGGTCTCCACAGGGGATTCAGACATCCCTTCATGTTGTGAGATGAAAGACGAGCCTGTATTCAAGCCACTGCAAGGAAATCCGGCCTCCTTTCAAGTTAGGGCTTCTCGCTGTATATTCCCCTTGAGGCAGCAAACTCGGGGTCCCTCCCACATACCTATTGCTGAGAGAAGCCTCCTCCTGAGGTGCTTCTGGGAAGTTGGCATACGTCTTGAGCCTAAGCCAGGGAATCAGCTCGCATCTCGAGACGATTTGGGGTACACGGAGCATTCCTCGAGTTGCTGTGCTGAAGTTGGTGTTCCTCTAGACTTGGGACAGTGTTCTCGGGGCATCTCTGGAGTTGCCTGAAGGAAGTCGAGCCACCGGTCGTGTTGAATGGGGAACGGGGAATGGCTCTGGAGTCAATGCAGGGGAATCGGGCCTCATCTCGAGTTGATTTGGGGCACATGGAGCTGCTTTGCGTTGCTGGGGTGACCTCAGGGTCCGTCTAGACTGGTGACAGTGTTCTTGGGGACTGTCTCGAGATCCATTAAGCAAGTCGAAGCTCCTGACTTGTTTGAATGGGGTCACGGAATAGCTCTGCACGCACTGCAGGGGAATGGGGCCTCATCTCGCCTCTAGGGGGAAGTCTCATGGTTTTTCTCGAGTTGCGGCGGGGACCTGGGGTATGTTCTCGACTTACGGCGGGGATGGCCCTTCAAAACACGAGTTTCTTCAGTGACGTCAGGACTCCTGTCTAGTAACGAGGGACACCTCAGGAATCTCTTCGAGGCTTGGCAGGGCCAAAGGGACGCTTCTCGAGGTGAGGCAGGGCACCCAAGGACCCTTTCCAGTAGCCACAGGGATTTTGGGATTCCTATCAGTATTCAAGAGGAGTCAGGCATCGTCACCTTTTGAAGCAATGAACTCCGCGTGCCTCTCGAGGTGTCAGCGGGATGTGAGGCATTCCGTCAAAATGAGGCAGGGACCTAGGGCTTTCTCTAAGGTCTCCACAGGGGATTCAGACATCCCTTCATGTTGTGAGATGAAAGACGAGCCTGTATTCAAGCCACTGCAAGGAAATCCGGTCTCCTTTCAAGTTAGGGCTTCTCGCTGTATATTCCCCTTGAGGCAGCAAACTCGGGGTCCCTCCCACATACCTATTGCTGAGAGAAGCCTCCTCCTGAGGTGCTTCTGGGAAGTTGGCATACGTCTTGAGCCTAAGCCAGGGAATCAGCTCGCATCTCGAGACGATTTGGGGTACACGGAGCATTCCTCGAGTTGCTGTGCTGAAGTTGGTGTTCCTCTAGACTTGGGACAGTGTTCTCGGGGCATCTCTGGAGTTGCCTGAAGGAAGTCGAGCCACCGGTCGTGTTGAATGGGGAACGGGGAATGGCTCTGGAGTCAATGCAGGGGAATCGGGCCTCATCTCGAGTTGATTTGGGGCACATGGAGCTGCTTTGCGTTGCTGGGGTGACCTCAGGGTCCGTCTAGACTGGTGACAGTGTTCTTGGGGACTGTCTCGAGATCCATTAAGCAAGTCGAAGCTCCTGACTTGTTTGAATGGGATCACGGAATAGCTCTGCATGCACTGCAGGGGAATGGGGCCTCATCTCGCCTCTAGGGGGAAGTCTCATGGTTTTTCTCGAGTTGCGGCGGGGACCTGGGGTATGTTCTCGACTTACGGCGGGGATGGCCCTTCAAAACACGAGTTTCTTCAGTGACGTCAGGACTCCTGTCTAGTAACGAGGGACACCTCAGGAATCTCTTCGAGGCTTGGCAGGGCCAAAGGGACGCTTCTCGAGGTGAGGCAGGGCACCCAAGGACCCTTTCCAGTAGCCACAGGGATTTTGGGATTCCTATCAGTATTCAAGAGGAGTCAGGCATCGTCACCTTTTGAAGCAATGAACTCCGCGTGCCTCTCGAGGTGTCAGCGGGATGTGAGGCATTCCGTCAAAATGAGGCAGGGACCTAGGGCTTTCTCTAAGGTCTCCACAGGGGATTCAGACATCCCTTCATGTTGTCAGATCAAAGACGAGCCTGTATTCAAGCCACTGCAAGGAAATCCGGCCTCCTTTCAAGTTAGGGCTTCTCGCTGTATATTCCCCTTGAGGCAGCAAACTCGGGGTCCCTCCCACATACCTATTGCTGAGAGAAGCCTCCTCCTGAGGTGCTTCTGGGAAGTTGGCATACGTCTTGAGCCTAAGCCAGGGAATCAGCTCGCATCTCGAGACGATTTGGGGTACACGGAGCATTCCTCGAGTTGCTGTGCTGAAGTTGGTGTTCCTCTAGACTTGGGACAGTGTTCTCGGGGCATCTCTGGAGTTGCCTGAAGGAAGTCGAGCCACCGGTCGTGTTGAATGGGGAACGGGGAATGGCTCTGGAGTCAATGCAGGGGAATCGGGCCTCATCTCGAGTTGATTTGGGGCACATGGAGCTGCTTTGCGTTGCTGGGGTGACCTCAGGGTCCGTCTAGTCTGGTGACAGTGTTCTTGGGGACTGTCTCGAGATCCATTAAGCAAGTCGAAGCTCCTGACTTGTTTGAATGGGATCAAGGAATAGCTCTGCATGCACTGCAGGGGAATGGGGCCTCATCTCGCCTCTAGGGGGAAGTCTCATGGTTTTTCTCGAGTTGCGGCGGGGACCTGGGGTATGTTCTCGACTTACGGCGGGGATGGCCCTTCAAAACACGAGTTTCTTCAGTGACGTCAGGACTCCTGTCTAGTAACGAGGGACACCTCAGGAATCTCTTCGAGGCTTGGCAGGGCCAAAGGGACGCTTCTCGAGGTGAGGCAGGGCACCCAAGGACCCTTTCCAGTAGCCACAGGGATTTTGGGATTCCTATCAGTATTCAAGAGGAGTCAGGCATCGTCACCTTTTGAAGCAATGAACTCCGCGTGCCTCTCGAGGTGTCAGCGGGATGTGAGGCATTCCGTCAAAATGAGGCAGGGACCTAGGGCTTTCTCTAAGGTCTCCACAGGGGATTCAGACATCCCTTCATGTTGTGAGATGAAAGACGAGCCTGTATTCAAGCCACTGCAAGGAAATCCGGCCTCCTTTCAAGTTAGGGCTTCTCGCTGTATATTCCCCTTGAGGCAGCAAACTCGGGGTCCCTCCCACATACCTATTGCTGAGAGAAGCCTCCTCCTGAGGTGCTTCTGGGAAGTTGGCATACGTCTTGAGCCTAAGCCAGGGAATCAGCTCGCATCTCGAGACGATTTGGGGTACACGGAGCATTCCTCGAGTTGCTGTGCTGAAGTTGGTGTTCCTCTAGACTTGGGACAGTGTTCTCGGGGCATCTCTGGAGTTGCCTGAAGGAAGTCGAGCCACCGGTCGTGTTGAATGGGGAACGGGGAATGGCTCTGGAGTCAATGCAGGGGAATCGGGCCTCATCTCGAGTTGATTTGGGGCACATGGAGCTGCTTTGCGTTGCTGGGGTGACCTCAGGGTCCGTCTAGACTGGTGACAGTGTTCTTGGGGACTGTCTCGAGATCCATTAAGCAAGTCGAAGCTCCTGACTTGTTTGAATGGGATCACGGAATAGCTCTGCATGCACTGCAGGGGAATGGGGCCTCATCTCGCCTCTAGGGGGAAGTCTCATGGTTTTTCTCGAGTTGCGGCGGGGACCTGGGGTATGTTCTCGACTTACGGCGGGGATGGCCCTTCAAAACACGAGTTTCTTCAGTGACGTCAGGACTCCTGTCTAGTAACGAGGGACACCTCAGGAATGTCTTCGAGGCTTGGCAGGGCCAAAGGGACGCTTCTCGAGGTGAGGCAGGGCACCCAAGGACCCTTTCCAGTAGCCACAGGGATTTTGGGATTCCAATCACTATTCAAGAGGAGTCAGGCATCGTCACCTTTTGAAGCAATGAACTCCGCGTGCCTCTCCAGGTGTCAGCGGGATGTGAGGCATTCCGTCAAAATGAGGCAGGGACCTAGGGCTTTCTCTAAGGTCTCCACAGGGGATTCAGACATCCCTTCATGTTGTGAGATGAAAGACGAGCCTGTATTCAAGCCACTGCAAGGAAATCCGGCCTCCTTTCAAGTTAGGGCTTCTCGCTGTATATTCCCCTTGAGGCAGCAAACTCGGGGTCCCTCCCACATACCTATTGCTGAGAGAAGCCTCCTCCTGAGGTGCTTCTGGGAAGTTGGCATACGTCTTGAGCCTAAGCCAGGGAATCAGCTCGCATCTCGAGACGATTTGGGGTACACGGAGCATTCCTCGAGTTGCTGTGCTGAAGTTGGTGTTCCTCTAGACTTGGGACAGTGTTCTCGGGGCATCTCTGGAGTTGCCTGAAGGAAGTCGAGCCACCGGTCGTGTTGAATGGGGAACGGGGAATGGCTCTGGAGTCAATGCAGGGGAATCGGGCCTCATCTCGAGTTGATTTGGGGCACATGGAGCTGCTTTGCGTTGCTGGGGTGACCTCAGGGTCCGTCTAGTCTGGTGACAGTGTTCTTGGGGACTGTCTCGAGATCCATTAAGCAAGTCGAAGCTCCTGACTTGTTTGAATGGGATCAAGGAATAGCTCTGCATGCACTGCAGGGGAATGGGGCCTCATCTCGCCTCTAGGGGGAAGTCTCATGGTTTTTCTCGAGTTGCGGCGGGGACCTGGGGTATGTTCTCGACTTACGGCGGGGATGGCCCTTCAAAACACGAGTTTCTTCAGTGACGTCAGGACTCCTGTCTAGTAACGAGGGACACCTCAGGAATCTCTTCGAGGCTTGGCAGGGCCAAAGGGACGCTTCTCGAGGTGAGGCAGGGCACCCAAGGACCCTTTCCAGTAGCCACAGGGATTTTGGGATTCCTATCAGTATTCAAGAGGAGTCAGGCATCGTCACCTTTTGAAGCAATGAACTCCGCGTGCCTCTCGAGGTGTCAGCGGGATGTGAGGCATTCCGTCAAAATGAGGCAGGGACCTAGGGCTTTCTCTAAGGTCTCCACAGGGGATTCAGACATCCCTTCATGTTGTGAGATGAAAGACGAGCCTGTATTCAAGCCACTGCAAGGAAATCCGGCCTCCTTTCAAGTTAGGGCTTCTCGCTGTATATTCCCCTTGAGGCAGCAAACTCGGGGTCCCTCCCACATACCTATTGCTGAGAGAAGCCTCCTCCTGAGGTGCTTCTGGGAAGTTGGCATACGTCTTGAGCCTAAGCCAGGGAATCAGCTCGCATCTCGAGACGATTTGGGGTACACGGAGCATTCCTCGAGTTGCTGTGCTGAAGTTGGTGTTCCTCTAGACTTGGGACAGTGTTCTCGGGGCATCTCTGGAGTTGCCTGAAGGAAGTCGAGCCACCGGTCGTGTTGAATGGGGAACGGGGAATGGCTCTGGAGTCAATGCAGGGGAATCGGGCCTCATCTCGAGTTGATTTGGGGCACATGGAGCTGCTTTGCGTTGCTGGGGTGACCTCAGGGTCCGTCTAGACTGGTGACAGTGTTCTTGGGGACTGTCTCGAGATCCATTAAGCAAGTCGAAGCTCCTGACTTGTTTGAATGGGATCACGGAATAGCTCTGCATGCACTGCAGGGGAATGGGGCCTCATCTCGCCTCTAGGGGGAAGTCTCATGGTTTTTCTCGAGTTGCGGCGGGGACCTGGGGTATGTTCTCGACTTACGGCGGGGATGGCCCTTCAAAACACGAGTTTCTTCAGTGACGTCAGGACTCCTGTCTAGTAACGAGGGACACCTCAGGAATGTCTTCGAGGCTTGGCAGGGCCAAAGGGACGCTTCTCGAGGTGAGGCAGGGCACCCAAGGACCCTTTCCAGTAGCCACAGGGATTTTGGGATTCCTATCAGTATTCAAGAGGAGTCAGGCATCGTCACCTTTTGAAGCAATGAACTCCGCGTGCCTCTCCAGGTGTCAGCGGGATGTGAGGCATTCCGTCAAAATGAGGCAGGGACCTAGGGCTTTCTCTAAGGTCTCCACAGGGGATTCAGACATCCCTTCATGTTGTGAGATGAAAGACGAGCCTGTATTCAAGCCACTGCAAGGAAATCCGGCCTCCTTTCAAGTTAGGGCTTCTCGCTGTATATTCCCCTTGAGGCAGCAAACTCGGGGTCCCTCCCACATACCTATTGCTGAGAGAAGCCTCCTCCTGAGGTGCTTCTGGGAAGTTGGCATACGTCTTGAGCCTAAGCCAGGGAATCAGCTCGCATCTCGAGACGATTTGGGGTACACGGAGCATTCCTCGAGTTGCTGTGCTGAAGTTGGTGTTCCTCTAGACTTGGGACAGTGTTCTCGGGGCATCTCTGGAGTTGCCTGAAGGAAGTCGAGCCACCGGTCGTGTTGAATGGGGAACGGGGAATGGCTCTGGAGTCAATGCAGGGGAATCGGGCCTCATCTCGAGTTGATTTGGGGCACATGGAGCTGCTTTGCGTTGCTGGGGTGACCTCAGGGTCCGTCTAGACTGGTGACAGTGTTCTTGGGGACTGTCTCGAGATCCATTAAGCAAGTCGAAGCTCCTGACTTGTTTGAATGGGGTCACGGAATAGCTCTGCACGCACTGCAGGGGAATGGGGCCTCATCTCGCCTCTAGGGGGAAGTCTCATGGTTTTTCTCGAGTTGCGGCGGGGACCTGGGGTATGTTCTCGACTTACGGCGGGGATGGCCCTTCAAAACACGAGTTTCTTCAGTGACGTCAGGACTCCTGTCTAGTAACGAGGGACACCTCAGGAATCTCTTCGAGGCTTGGCAGGGCCAAAGGGACGCTTCTCGAGGTGAGGCAGGGCACCCAAGGACCCTTTCCAGTAGCCACAGGGATTTTGGGATTCCTATCAGTATTCAAGAGGAGTCAGGCATCGTCACCTTTTGAAGCAATGAACTCCGCGTGCCTCTCGAGGTGTCAGCGGGATGTGAGGCATTCCGTCAAAATGAGGCAGGGACCTAGGGCTTTCTCTAAGGTCTCCACAGGGGATTCAGGCATCCCTTCATGTTGTGAGATGAAAGACGAGCCTGTATTCAAGCCACTGCAAGGAAATCCGGCCTCCTTTCAAGTTAGGGCTTCTCGCTGTATATTCCCCTTGAGGCAGCAAACTCGGGGTCCCTCCCACATACCTATTGCTGAGAGAAGCCTCCTCCTGAGGTGCTTCTGGGAAGTTGGCATACGTCTTGAGCCTAAGCCAGGGAATCAGCTCGCATCTCGAGACGATTTGGGGTACACGGAGCATTCCTCGAGTTGCTGTGCTGAAGTTGGTGTTCCTCTAGACTTGGGACAGTGTTCTCGGGGCATCTCTGGAGTTGCCTGAAGGAAGTCGAGCCACCGGTCGTGTTGAATGGGGAACGGGGAATGGCTCTGGAGTCAATGCAGGGGAATCGGGCCTCATCTCGAGTTGATTTGGGGCACATGGAGCTGCTTTGCGTTGCTGGGGTGACCTCAGGGTCCGTCTAGACTGGTGACAGTGTTCTTGGGGACTGTCTCGAGATCCATTAAGCAAGTCGAAGCTCCTGACTTGTTTGAATGGGATCACGGAATAGCTCTGCATGCACTGCAGGGGAATGGGGCCTCATCTCGCCTCTAGGGGGAAGTCTCATGGTTTTTCTCGAGTTGCGGCGGGGACCTGGGGTATGTTCTCGACTTACGGCGGGGATGGCCCTTCAAAACACGAGTTTCTTCAGTGACGTCAGGACTCCTGTCTAGTAACGAGGGACACCTCAGGAATCTCTTCGAGGCTTGGCAGGGCCAAAGGGACGCTTCTCGAGGTGAGGCAGGGCACCCAAGGACCCTTTCCAGTAGCCACAGGGATTTTGGGATTCCTATCAGTATTCAAGAGGAGTCAGGCATCGTCACCTTTTGAAGCAATGAACTCCGCGTGCCTCTCCAGGTGTCAGCGGGATGTGAGGCATTCCGTCAAAATGAGGCAGGGACCTAGGGCTTTCTCTAAGGTCTCCACAGGGGATTCAGACATCCCTTCATGTTGTGAGATGAAAGACGAGCCTGTATTCAAGCCACTGCAAGGAAATCCGGCCTCCTTTCAAGTTAGGGCTTCTCGCTGTATATTCCCCTTGAGGCAGCAAACTCGGGGTCCCTCCCACATACCTATTGCTGAGAGAAGCCTCCTCCTGAGGTGCTTCTGGGAAGTTGGCATACGTCTTGAGCCTAAGCCAGGGAATCAGCTCGCATCTCGAGACGATTTGGGGTACACGGAGCATTCCTCGAGTTGCTGTGCTGAAGTTGGTGTTCCTCTAGACTTGGGACAGTGTTCTCGGGGCATCTCTGGAGTTGCCTGAAGGAAGTCGAGCCACCGGTCGTGTTGAATGGGGAACGGGGAATGGCTCTGGAGTCAATGCAGGGGAATCGGGCCTCATCTCGAGTTGATTTGGGGCACATGGAGCTGCTTTGCGTTGCTGGGGTGACCTCAGGGTCCGTCTAGACTGGTGACAGTGTTCTTGGGGACTGTCTCGAGATCCATTAAGCAAGTCGAAGCTCCTGACTTGTTTGAATGGGATCACGGAATAGCTCTGCATGCACTGCAGGGGAATGGGGCCTCATCTCGCCTCTAGGGGGAAATCTCATGGTTTTTCTCGAGTTGCGGCGGGGACCTGGGATATGTTCTCGACTTACAGCGGGGATGGCCCTTCAAAACACGAGTTTCTTCAGTGACGTCAGGACTCCTGTCTAGTAACGAGGGACACCTCAGGAATCTCTTCGAGGCTTGGCAGGGCCAAAGGGACGCTTCTCGAGGTGAGGCAGGGCACCCAAGGACCCTTTCCAGTAGCCACAGGGATTTTGGGATTCCTATCAGTATTCAAGAGGAGTCAGGCATCGTCACCTTTTGAAGCAATGAACTCCGCGTGCCTCTCGAGGTGTCAGCGGGATGTGAGGCATTCCGTCAAAATGAGGCAGGGACCTAGGGCTTTCTCTAAGGTCTCCACAGGGGATTCAGACATCCCTTCATGTTGTGAGATGAAAGACGAGCCTGTATTCAAGCCACTGCAAGGAAATCCGGCCTCCTTTCAAGTTAGGGCTTCTCGCTGTATATTCCCCTTGAGGCAGCAAACTCGGGGTCCCTCCCACATACCTATTGCTGAGAGAAGCCTCCTCCTGAGGTGCTTCTGGGAAGTTGGCATACGACTTGAGCCTAAGCCAGGGAATCAGCTCGCATCTCGAGACGATTTGGGGTACACGGAGCATTCCTCGAGTTGCTGTGCTGAAGTTGGTGTTCCTCTAGACTTGGGACAGTGTTCTCGGGGCATCTCTGGAGTTGCCTGAAGGAAGTCGAGCCACCGGTCGTGTTGAATGGAGAACGGGGAATGGCTCTGGAGTCAATGCAGGGGAATCGGGCCTCATCTCGAGTTGATTTGGGGCACATGGAGCTGCTTTGCGTTGCTGGGGTGACCTCAGGGTCCGTCTAGACTGGTGACAGTGTTCTTGGGGACTGTCTCGAGATCCATTAAGCAAGTCGAAGCTCCTGACTTGTTTGAATGGGGTCACGGAATAGCTCTGCACGCACTGCAGGGGAATGGGGCCTCATCTCGCCTCTAGGGTGAAGTCTCATGGTTTTTCTCGAGTTGCGGCGGGGACCTGGGGTATGTTCTCGACTTACGGCGGGGATGGCCCTTCAAAACACGAGTTTCTTCAGTGACGTCAGGACTCCTGTCTAGTAACGAGGGACACCTCAGGAATCTCTTCGAGGCTTGGCAGGGCAAAAGGGACGCTTCTCGAGGTGAGGCAGGGCACCCAAGGACCCTTTCCAGTAGCCACAGGGATTTTGGGATTCCTATCAGTATTCAAGAGGAGTCAGGCATCGTCACCTTTTGAAGCAATGAACTCCGCGTGCCTCTCGAGGTGTCAGCGGGATGTGAGGCATTCCGTCAAAATGAGGCAGGGACCTAGGGCTTTCTCTAAGGTCTCCACAGGGGATTCAGACATCCCTTCATGTTGTGAGATGAAAGACGAGCCTGTATTCAAGCCACTGCAAGGAAATCCGGTCTCCTTTCAAGTTAGGGCTTCTCGCTGTATATTCCCCTTGAGGCAGCAAACTCGGGGTCCCTCCCACATACCTATTGCTGAGAGAAGCCTCCTCCTGAGGTGCTTCTGGGAAGTTGGCATACGTCTTGAGCCTAAGCCAGGGAATCAGCTCGCATCTCGAGACGATTTGGGGTACACGGAGCATTCCTCGAGTTGCTGTGCTGAAGTTGGTGTTCCTCTAGACTTGGGACAGTGTTCTCGGGGCATCTCTGGAGTTGCCTGAAGGAAGTCGAGCCACCGGTCGTGTTGAATGGGGAACGGGGAATGGCTCTGGAGTCAATGCAGGGGAATCGGGCCTCATCTCGAGTTGATTTGGGGCACATGGAGCTGCTTTGCGTTGCTGGGGTGACCTCAGGGTCCGTCTAGACTGGTGACAGTGTTCTTGGGGACTGTCTCGAGATCCATTAAGCAAGTCGAAGCTCCTGACTTGTTTGAATGGGATCACGGAATAGCTCTGCATGCACTGCAGGGGAATGGGGCCTCATCTCGCCTCTAGGGGGAAGTCTCATGGTTTTTCTCGAGTTGCGGCGGGGACCTGGGGTATGTTCTCGACTTACGGCGGGGATGGCCCTTCAAAACACGAGTTTCTTCAGTGACGTCAGGACTCCTGTCTAGTAACGAGGGACACCTCAGGAATCTCTTCGAGGCTTGGCAGGGCCAAAGGGACGCTTCTCGAGGTGAGGCAGGGCACCCAAGGACCCTTTCCAGTAGCCACAGGGATTTTGGGATTCCTATCAGTATTCAAGAGGAGTCAGGCATCGTCACCTTTTGAAGCAATGAACTCCGCGTGCCTCTCGAGGTGTCAGCGGGATGTGAGGCATTCCGTCAAAATGAGGCAGGGACCTAGGGCTTTCTCTAAGGTCTCCACAGGGGATTCAGACATCCCTTCATGTTGTGAGATGAAAGACGAGCCTGTATTCAAGCCACTGCAAGGAAATCCGGCCTCCTTTCAAGTTAGGGCTTCTCGCTGTATATTCCCCTTGAGGCAGCAAACTCGGGGTCCCTCCCACATACCTATTGCTGAGAGAAGCCTCCTCCTGAGGTGCTTCTGGGAAGTTGGCATACGTCTTGAGCCTAAGCCAGGGAATCAGCTCGCATCTCGAGACGATTTGGGGTACACGGAGCATTCCTCGAGTTGCTGTGCTGAAGTTGGTGTTCCTCTAGACTTGGGACAGTGTTCTCGGGGCATCTCTGGAGTTGCCTGAAGGAAGTCGAGCCACCGGTCGTGTTGAATGGGGAACGGGGAATGGCTCTGGAGTCAATGCAGGGGAATCGGGCCTCATCTCGAGTTGATTTGGGGCACATGGAGCTGCTTTGCGTTGCTGGGGTGACCTCAGGGTCCGTCTAGACTGGTGACAGTGTTCTTGGGGACTGTCTCGAGATCCATTAAGCAAGTCGAAGCTCCTGACTTGTTTGAATGGGATCACGGAATAGCTCTGCATGCACTGCAGGGGAATGGGGCCTCATCTCGCCTCTAGGGGGAAATCTCATGGTTTTTCTCGAGTTGCGGCGGGGACCTGGGATATGTTCTCGACTTACGGCGGGGATGGCCCTTCAAAACACGAGTTTCTTCAGTGACGTCAGGACTCCTGTCTAGTAACGAGGGACACCTCAGGAATCTCTTCGAGGCTTGGCAGGGCCAAACGGACGCTTCTCGAGGTGAGGCAGGGCACCCAAGGACCCTTTCCAGTAGCCACAGGGATTTTGGGATTCCTATCAGTATTCAAGAGGAGTCAGGCATCGTCACCTTTTGAAGCAATGAACTCCGCGTGCCTCTCGAGGTGTCAGCGGGATGTGAGGCATTCCGTCAAAATGAGGCAGGGACCTAGGGCTTTCTCTAAGGTCTCCACAGGGGATTCAGACATCCCTTCATGTTGTGAGATGAAAGACGAGCCTGTATTCGAGCCACTGCAAGGAAATCCGGCCTCCTTTCAAGTTAGGGCTTCTCGCTGTATATTCCCCTTGAGGCAGCAAACTCGGGGTCCCTCCCACATACCTATTGCTGAGAGAAGCCTCCTCCTGAGGTGCTTCTGGGAAGTTGGCATACGACTTGAGCCTAAGCCAGGGAATCAGCTCGCATCTCGAGACGATTTGGGGTACACGGAGCATTCCTCGAGTTGCTGTGCTGAAGTTGGTGTTCCTCTAGACTTGGGACAGTGTTCTCGGGGCATCTCTGGAGTTGCCTGAAGGAAGTCGAGCCACCGGTCGTGTTGAATGGAGAACGGGGAATGGCTCTGGAGTCAATGCAGGGGAATCGGGCCTCATCTCGAGTTGATTTGGGGCACATGGAGCTGCTTTGCGTTGCTGGGGTGACCTCAGGGTCCGTCTAGACTGGTGACAGTGTTCTTGGGGACTGTCTCGAGATCCATTAAGCAAGTCGAAGCTCCTGACTTGTTTGAATGGGGTCACGGAATAGCTCTGCACGCGCTGCAGGGGAATGGGGCCTCATCTCGCCTCTAGGGGGAAGTCTCATGGTTTTTCTCGAGTTGCGGCGGGGACCTGGGGTATGTTCTCGACTTACGGCGGGGATGGCCCTTCAAAACACGAGTTTCTTCAGTGACGTCAGGACTCCTGTCTAGTAACGAGGGACACCTCAGGAATCTCTTCGAGGCTTGGCAGGGCCAAAGGGACGCTTCTCGAGGTGAGGCAGGGCACCCAAGGACCCTTTCCAGTAGCCACAGGGATTTTGGGATTCCTATCAGTATTCAAGAGGAGTCAGGCATCGTCACCTTTTGAAGCAATGAACTCCGCGTGCCTCTCGAGGTGTCAGCGGGATGTGAGGCATTCCGTCAAAATGAGGCAGGGATCTAGGGCTTTCTCTAAGGTCTCCACAGGGGATTCAGACATCCCTTCATGTTGTGAGATGAAAGACGAGCCTGTATTCAAGCCACTGCAAGGAAATCCGGTCTCCTTTCAAGTTAGGGCTTCTCGCTGTATATTCCCCTTGAGGCAGCAAACTCGGGGTCCCTCCCACATACCTATTGCTGAGAGAAGCCTCCTCCTGAGGTGCTTCTGGGAAGTTGGCATACGTCTTGAGCCTAAGCCAGGGAATCAGCTCGCATCTCGAGACGATTTGGGGTACACGGAGCATTCCTCGAGTTGCTGTGCTGAAGTTGGTGTTCCTCTAGACTTGGGACAGTGTTCTCGGGGCATCTCTGGAGTTGCCTGAAGGAAGTCGAGCCACCGGTCGTGTTGAATGGGGAACGGGGAATGGCTCTGGAGTCAATGCAGGGGAATAGGGCCTCATCTCGAGTTGATTTGGGGCACATGGAGCTGCTTTGCGTTGCTGGGGTGACCTCAGGGTCCGTCTAGACTGGTGACAGTGTTCTTGGGGACTGTCTCGAGATCCATTAAGCAAGTCGAAGCTCCTGACTTGTTTGAATGGGATCACGGAATAGCTCTGCATGCACTGCAGGGGAATGGGGCCTCATCTCGCCTCTAGGGGGAAATCTCATGGTTTTTCTCGAGTTGCGGCGGGGACCTGGGATATGTTCTCGACTTACGGCGGGGATGGCCCTTCAAAACACGAGTTTCTTCAGTGACGTCAGGACTCCTGTCTAGTAACGAGGGACACCTCAGGAATCTCTTCGAGGCTTGGCAGGGCAAAAGGGACGCTTCTCGAGGTGAGGCAGGGCACCCAAGGACCCTTTCCAGTAGCCACAGGGATTTTGGGATTCCTATCAGTATTCAAGAGGAGTCAGGCATCGTCACCTTTTGAAGCAATGAACTCCGCGTGCCTCTCGAGGTGTCAGCGGGATGTGAGGCATTCCGTCAAAATGAGGCAGGGACCTAGGGCTTTCTCTAAGGTCTCCACAGGGGATTCAGACATCCCTTCATGTTGTGAGATGAAAGACGAGCCTGTATTCGAGCCACTGCAAGGAAATCCGGCCTCCTTTCAAGTTAGGGCTTCTCGCTGTATATTCCCCTTGAGGCAGCAAACTCGGGGTCCCTCCCACATACCTATTGCTGAGAGAAGCCTCCTCCTGAGGTGCTTCTGGGAAGTTGGCATACGACTTGAGCCTAAGCCAGGGAATCAGCTCGCATCTCGAGACGATTTGGGGTACACGGAGCATTCCTCGAGTTGCTGTGCTGAAGTTGGTGTTCCTCTAGACTTGGGACAGTGTTCTCGGGGCATCTCTGGAGTTGCCTGAAGGAAGTCGAGCCACCGGTCGTGTTGAATGGAGAACGGGGAATGGCTCTGGAGTCAATGCAGGGGAATCGGGCCTCATCTCGAGTTGATTTGGGGCACATGGAGCTGCTTTGCGTTGCTGGGGTGACCTCAGGGTCCGTCTAGACTGGTGACAGTGTTCTTGGGGACTGTCTCGAGATCCATTAAGCAAGTCGAAGCTCCTGACTTGTTTGAATGGGGTCACGGAATAGCTCTGCACGCGCTGCAGGGGAATGGGGCCTCATCTCGCCTCTAGGGGGAAGTCTCATGGTTTTTCTCGAGTTGCGGCGGGGACCTGGGGTATGTTCTCGACTTACGGCGGGGATGGCCCTTCAAAACACGAGTTTCTTCAGTGACGTCAGGACTCCTGTCTAGTAACGAGGGACACCTCAGGAATCTCTTCGAGGCTTGGCAGGGCCAAAGGGACGCTTCTCGAGGTGAGGCAGGGCACCCAAGGACCCTTTCCAGTAGCCACAGGGATTTTGGGATTCCTATCAGTATTCAAGAGGAGTCAGGCATCGTCACCTTTTGAAGCAATGAACTCCGCGTGCCTCTCGAGGTGTCAGCGGGATGTGAGGCATTCCGTCAAAATGAGGCAGGGACCTAGGGCTTTCTCTAAGGTCTCCACAGGGGATTCAGACATCCCTTCATGTTGTGAGATGAAAGACGAGCCTGTATTCAAGCCACTGCAAGGAAATCCGGTCTCCTTTCAAGTTAGGGCTTCTCGCTGTATATTCCCCTTGAGGCAGCAAACTCGGGGTCCCTCCCACATACCTATTGCTGAGAGAAGCCTCCTCCTGAGGTGCTTCTGGGAAGTTGGCATACGTCTTGAGCCTAAGCCGGGGAATCAGCTCGCATCTCGAGACGATTTGGGGTACACGGAGCATTCCTCGAGTTGCTGTGCTGAAGTTGGTGTTCCTCTAGACTTGGGACAGTGTTCTCGGGGCATCTCTGGAGTTGCCTGAAGGAAGTCGAGCCACCGGTCGTGTTGAATGGGGAACGGGGAATGGCTCTGGAGTCAATGCAGGGGAATCGGGCCTCATCTCGAGTTGATTTGGGGCACATGGAGCTGCTTTGCGTTGCTGGGGTGACCTCAGGGTCCGTCTAGACTGGTGACAGTGTTCTTGGGGACTGTCTCGAGATCCATTAAGCAAGTCGAAGCTCCTGACTTGTTTGAATGGGATCACGGAATAGCTCTGCATGCACTGCAGGGGAATGGGGCCTCATCTCGCCTCTAGGGGGAAGTCTCATGGTTTTTCTCGAGTTGCGGCGGGGACCTGGGGTATGTTCTCGACTTACGGCGGGGATGGCCCTTCAAAACACGAGTTTCTTCAGTGACGTCAGGACTCCTGTCTAGTAACGAGGGACACCTCAGGAATCTCTTCGAGGCTTGGCAGGGCCAAAGGGACGCTTCTCGAGGTGAGGCAGGGCACCCAAGGACCCTTTCCAGTAGCCACAGGGATTTTGGGATTCCTATCAGTATTCAAGAGGAGTCAGGCATCGTCACCTTTTGAAGCAATGAACTCCGCGTGCCTCTCGAGGTGTCAGCGGGATGTGAGGCATTCCGTCAAAATGAGGCAGGGACCTAGGGCTTTCTCTAAGGTCTCCACAGGGGATTCAGACATCCCTTCATGTTGTGAGATGAAAGACGAGCCTGTATTCAAGCCACTGCAAGGAAATCCGGCCTCCTTTCAAGTTAGGGCTTCTCGCTGTATATTCCCCTTGAGGCAGCAAACTCGGGGTCCCTCCCACATACCTATTGCTGAGAGAAGCCTCCTCCTGAGGTGCTTCTGGGAAGTTGGCATACGTCTTGAGCCTAAGCCAGGGAATCAGCTCGCATCTCGAGACGATTTGGGGTACACGGAGCATTCCTCGAGTTGCTGTGCTGAAGTTGGTGTTCCTCTAGACTTGGGACAGTGTTCTCGGGGCATCTCTGGAGTTGCCTGAAGGAAGTCGAGCCACCGGTCGTGTTGAATGGGGAACGGGGAATGGCTCTGGAGTCAATGCAGAGGAATCGGGCCTCATCTCGAGTTGATTTGGGGCACATGGAGCTGCTTTGCGTTGCTGGGGTGACCTCAGGGTCCGTCTAGACTGGTGACAGTGTTCTTGGGGACTGTCTCGAGATCCATTAAGCAAGTCGAAGCTCCTGACTTGTTTGAATGGGATCACGGAATAGCTCTGCATGCACTGCAGGGGAATGGGGCCTCATCTCGCCTCTAGGGGGAAGTCTCATGGTTTTTCTCGAGTTGCGGCGGGGACCTGGCGTATGTTCTCGACTTTCGGCGGGGATGGCCCTTCAAAACACGAGTTTCTTCAGTGACGTCAGGACTCCTGTCTAGTAACGAGGGACACCTCAGGAATCTCTTCGAGGCTTGGCAGGGCCAAAGGGACGCTTCTCGAGGTGAGGCAGGGCACCCAAGGACCCTTTCCAGTAGCCACAGGGATTTTGGGATTCCTATCAGTATTCAAGAGGAGTCAGGCATCGTCACCTTTTGAAGCAATGAACTCCGCGTGCCTCTCGAGGTGTCAGCGGGATGTGAGGCATTCCGTCAAAATGAGGCAGGGACCTAGGGCTTTCTCTAAGGTCTCCACAGGGGATTCAGACATCCCTTCATGTTGTGAGATGAAAGACGAGCCTGTATTCGAGCCACTGCAAGGAAATCCGGCCTCCTTTCAAGTTAGGGCTTCTCGCTGTATATTCCCCTTGAGGCAGCAAACTCGGGGTCCCTCCCACATACCTATTGCTGAGAGAAGCCTCCTCCTGAGGTGCTTCTGGGAAGTTGGCATACGTCTTGAGCCTAAGCCAGGGAATCAGCTCGCATCTCGAGACGATTTGTGGTACACGGAGCATTCCTCGAGTTGCTGTGCTGAAGTTGGTGTTCCTCTAGACTTGGGACAGTGTTCTCGGGGCATCTCTGGAGTTGCCTGAAGGAAGTCGAGCCACCGGTCGTGTTGAATGGGGAACGGGGAATGGCTCTGGAGTCAATGCAGGGGAATCGGGCCTCATCTCGAGTTGATTTGGGGCACATGGAGCTGCTTTGCGTTGCTGGGGTGACCTCAGGGTCCGTCTAGACTGGTGACAGTGTTCTTGGGGACTGTCTCGAGATCCATTAAGCAAGTCGAAGCTCCTGACTTGTTTGAATGGGATCACGGAATAGCTCTGCATGCACTGCAGGGGAATGGGGCCTCATCTCGCCTCTAGGGGGAAGTCTCATGGTTTTTCTCGAGTTGCGGCGGGGACCTGGGGTATGTTCTCGACTTACGGCGGGGATGGCCCTTAAAAACACGAGTTTCTTCAGTGACGTCAGGACTCCTGTCTAGTAACGAGGGACACCTCAGGAATCTCTTCGAGGCTTGGCAGGGCCAAAGGGACGCTTCTCGAGGTGAGGCAGGGCACCCAAGGACCCTTTCCAGTAGCCACAGGGATTTTGGGATTCCTATCAGTATTCAAGAGGAGTCAGGCATCGTCACCTTTTGAAGCAATGAACTCCGCGTGCCTCTCGAGGTGTCAACGGGATGTGAGGCATTCCGTCAAAATGAGGCAGGGACCTAGGGCTTTCTCTAAGGTCTCCACAGGGGATTCAGACATCCCTTCATGTTGTGAGATGAAAGACGAGCCTGTATTCAAGCCACTGCAAGGAAATCCGGCCTCCTTTCAAGTTAGGGCTTCTCGCTGTATATTCCCCTTGAGGCAGCAAACTCGGGGTCCCTCCCACATACCTATTGCTGAGAGAAGCCTCCTCCTGATGTGCTTCTGGGAAGTTGGCATACGTCTTGAGCCTAAGCCAGGGAATCAGCTCGCATCTCGAGACGATTTGGGGTACACGGAGCATTCCTCGAGTTGCTGTGCTGAAGTTGGTGTTCCTCTAGACTTGGGACAGTGTTCTCGGGGTATCTCTGGAGTTGCCTGAAGGAAGTCGAGCCACCGGTCGTGTTGAATGGGGAACGGGGAATGGCTCTGGAGTCAATGCAGGGGAATCGGGCCTCATCTCGAGTTGATTTGGGGCACATGGAGCTGCTTTGCGTTGCTGGGGTGACCTCAGGGTCCGTCTAGACTGGTGACAGTGTTCTTGGGGACTGTCTCGAGATCCATTAAGCAAGTCGAAGCTCCTGACTTGTTTGAATGGGATCACGGAATAGCTCTGCATGCACTGCAGGGGAATGGGGCCTCATCTCGCCTCTAGGGGGAAGTCTCATGGTTTTTCTCGAGTTGCGGCGGGGACCTGGGGTATGTTCTCGACTTACGGCGGGGATGGCCCTTCAAAACACGAGTTTCTTCAGTGACGTCAGGACTCCTGTCTAGTAACGAGGGACACCTCAGGAATCTCTTCGAGGCTTGGCAGGGCCAAAGGGACGCTTCTCGAGGTGAGGCAGGGCACCCAAGGACCCTTTCCAGTAGCCACAGGAATTTTGGGATTCCTATCAGTATTCAAGAGGAGTCAGGCATCGTCACCTTTTGAAGCAATGAACTCCGCGTGCCTCTCGAGGTGTCAGCGGGATGTGAGGCATTCCGTCAAAATGAGGCAGGGACCTAGGGCTTTCTCTAAGGTCTCCACAGGGGATTCAGACATCCCTTCATGTTGTGAGATGAAAGACGAGCCTGTATTCAAGCCACTGCAAGGAAATCCGGCCTCCTTTCAAGTTAGGGCTTCTCGCTGTATATTCCCCTTGAGGCAGCAAACTCGGGGTCCCTCCCACATACCTATTGCTGAGAGAAGCCTCCTCCTGAGGTGCTTCTGGGAAGTTGGCATACGTCTTGAGCCTAAGCCAGGGAATCAGCTCGCATCTCGAGACGATTTGGGGTACACGGAGCATTCCTCGAGTTGCTGTGCTGAAGTTGGTGTTCCTCTAGACTTGGGACAGTGTTCTCGGGGCATCTCTGGAGTTGCCTGAAGGAAGTCGAGCCACCGGTCGTGTTGAATGGGGAACGGGGAATGGCTCTGGAGTCAATGCAGGGGAATCGGGCCTCATCTCGAGTTGATTTGGGGCACATGGAGCTGCTTTGCGTTGCTGGGGTGACCTCAGGGTCCGTCTAGACTGGTGACAGTGTTCTTGGGGACTGTCTCGAGATCCATTAAGCAAGTCGAAGCTCCTGACTTGTTTGAATGGGATCACGGAATAGCTCTGCATGCACTGCAGGGGAATGGGGCCTCATCTCGCCTCTAGGGGGAAGTCTCATGGTTTTTCTCGAGTTGCGGCGGGGACCTGGCGTATGTTCTCGACTTTCGGCGGGGATGGCCCTTCAAAACACGAGTTTCTTCAGTGACGTCAGGACTCCTGTCTAGTAACGAGGGACACCTCAGGAATCTCTTCGAGGCTTGGCAGGGCCAAAGGGACGCTTCTCGAGGTGAGGCAGGGCACCCAAGGACCCTTTCCAGTAGCCACAGGGATTTTGGGATTCCTATCAGTATTCAAGAGGAGTCAGGCATCGTCACCTTTTGAAGCAATGAACTCCGCGTGCCTCTCGAGGTGTCAGCGGGATGTGAGGCATTCCGTCAAAATGAGGCAGGGACCTAGGGCTTTCTCTAAGGTCTCCACAGGGGATTCAGACATCCCTTCATGTTGTGAGATGAAAGACGAGCCTGTATTCGAGCCACTGCAAGGAAATCCGGCCTCCTTTCAAGTTAGGGCTTCTCGCTGTATATTCCCCTTGAGGCAGCAAACTCGGGGTCCCTCCCACATACCTATTGCTGAGAGAAGCCTCCTCCTGAGGTGCTTCTGGGAAGTTGGCATACGTCTTGAGCCTAAGCCAGGGAATCAGCTCGCATCTCGAGACGATTTGTGGTACACGGAGCATTCCTCGAGTTGCTGTGCTGAAGTTGGTGTTCCTCTAGACTTGGGACAGTGTTCTCGGGGCATCTCTGGAGTTGCCTGAAGGAAGTCGAGCCACCGGTCGTGTTGAATGGGGAACGGGGAATGGCTCTGGAGTCAATGCAGGGGAATCGGGCCTCATCTCGAGTTGATTTGGGGCACATGGAGCTGCTTTGCGTTGCTGGGGTGACCTCAGGGTCCGTCTAGACTGGTGACAGTGTTCTTGGGGACTGTCTCGAGATCCATTAAGCAAGTCGAAGCTCCTGACTTGTTTGAATGGGATCACGGAATAGCTCTGCATGCACTGCAGGGGAATGGGGCCTCATCTCGCCTCTAGGGGGAAGTCTCATGGTTTTTCTCGAGTTGCGGCGGGGACCTGGGGTATGTTCTCGACTTACGGCGGGGATGGCCCTTCAAAACACGAGTTTCTTCAGTGACGTCAGGACTCCTGTCTAGTAACGAGGGACACCTCAGGAATCTCTTCGAGGCTTGGCAGGGCCAAAGGGACGCTTCTCGAGGTGAGGCAGGGCACCCAAGGACCCTTTCCAGTAGCCACAGGGATTTTGGGATTCCTATCAGTATTCAAGAGGAGTCAGGCATCGTCACCTTTTGAAGCAATGAACTCCGCGTGCCTCTCGAGGTGTCAACGGGATGTGAGGCATTCCGTCAAAATGAGGCAGGGACCTAGGGCTTTCTCTAAGGTCTCCACAGGGGATTCAGACATCCCTTCATGTTGTGAGATGAAAGACGAGCCTGTATTCAAGCCACTGCAAGGAAATCCGGCCTCCTTTCAAGTTAGGGCTTCTCGCTGTATATTCCCCTTGAGGCAGCAAACTCGGGGTCCCTCCCACATACCTATTGCTGAGAGAAGCCTCCTCCTGATGTGCTTCTGGGAAGTTGGCATACGTCTTGAGCCTAAGCCAGGGAATCAGCTCGCATCTCGAGACGATTTGGGGTACACGGAGCATTCCTCGAGTTGCTGTGCTGAAGTTGGTGTTCCTCTAGACTTGGGACAGTGTTCTCGGGGTATCTCTGGAGTTGCCTGAAGGAAGTCGAGCCACCGGTCGTGTTGAATGGGGAACGGGGAATGGCTCTGGAGTCAATGCAGGGGAATCGGGCCTCATCTCGAGTTGATTTGGGGCACATGGAGCTGCTTTGCGTTGCTGGGGTGACCTCAGGGTCCGTCTAGACTGGTGACAGTGTTCTTGGGGACTGTCTCGAGATCCATTAAGCAAGTCGAAGCTCCTGACTTGTTTGAATGGGATCACGGAATAGCTCTGCATGCACTGCAGGGGAATGGGGCCTCATCTCGCCTCTAGGGGGAAGTCTCATGGTTTTTCTCGAGTTGCGGCGGGGACCTGGGGTATGTTCTCGACTTACGGCGGGGATGGCCCTTCAAAACACGAGTTTCTTCAGTGACGTCAGGACTCCTGTCTAGTAACGAGGGACACCTCAGGAAACTCTTCGAGGCTTGGCAGGGCCAAAGGGACGCTTCTCGAGGTGAGGCAGGGCACCCAAGGACCCTTTCCAGTAGCCACAGGAATTTTGGGATTCCTATCAGTATTCAAGAGGAGTCAGGCATCGTCACCTTTTGAAGCCATGAACTCCGCGTGCCTCTCGAGGTGTCAGCGGGATGTGAGGCATTCCGTCAAAATGAGGCAGGGACCTAGGGCTTTCTCTAAGGTCTCCACAGGGGATTCAGACATCCCTTCATGTTGTGAGATGAAAGACGAGCCTGTATTCAAGCCACTGCAAGGAAATCCGGCCTCCTTTCAAGTTAGGGCTTCTCGCTGTATATTCCCCTTGAGGCAGCAAACTCGGGGTCCCTCCCACATACCTATTGCTGAGAGAAGCCTCCTCCTGAGGTGCTTCTGGGAAGTTGGCATACGTCTTGAGCCTAAGCCAGGGAATCAGCTCGCATCTCGAGACGATTTGGGGTACACGGAGCATTCCTCGAGTTGCTGTGCTGAAGTTGGTGTTCCTCTAGACTTGGGACAGTGTTCTCGGGGCATCTCTGGAGTTGCCTGAAGGAAGTCGAGCCACCGGTCGTGTTGAATGGGGAACGGGGAATGGCTCTGGAGTCAATGCAGGGGAATCGGGCCTCATCCCGAGTTGATTTGGGGCACATGGAGCTGCTTTGCGTTGCTGGGGTGACCTCAGGGTCCGTCTAGACTGGTGACAGTGTTCTTGGGGACTGTCTCGAGATCCATTAAGCAAGTCGAAGCTCCTGACTTGTTTGAATGGGATCACGGAATAGCTCTGCATGCACTGCAGGGGAATGGGGCCTCATCTCGCCTCTAGGGGGAAGTCTCATGGTTTTTCTCGAGTTGCGGCGGGGACCTGGGGTATGTTCTCGACTTACGGCGGGGATGGCCCTTCAAAACACGAGTTTCTTCAGTGACGTCAGGACTCCTGTCTAGTAACGAGGGACACCTCAGGAATCTCTTCGAGGCTTGGCAGGGCCAAAGGGACGCTTCTCGAGGTGAGGCAGGGCACCCAAGGACCCTTTCCAGTAGCCACAGGGATTTTGGGATTCCTATCAGTATTCAAGAGGAGTCAGGCATCGTCACCTTTTGAAGCAATGAACTCCGCGTGCCTCTCGAGGTGTCAGCGGGATGTGAGGCATTCCGTCAAAATGAGGCAGGGACCTAGGGCTTTCTCTAAGGTCTCCACAGGGGATTCAGACATCCCTTCATGTTGTGAGATGAAAGACGAGCCTGTATTCAAGCCACTGCAAGGAAATCCGGCCTCCTTTCAAGTTAGGGCTTCTCGCTGTATATTCCCCTTGAGGCAGCAAACTCGGGGTCCCTCCCACATACCTATTGCTGAGAGAAGCCTCCTCCGGAGGTGCTTCTGGGAAGTTGGCATACGTCTTGAGCCTAAGCCAGGGAATCAGCTCGCATCTCGAGACGATTTGGGGTACACGGAGCATTCCTCGAGTTGCTGTGCTGAAGTTGGTGTTCCTCTAGACTTGGGACAGTGTTCTCGGGGCATCTCTGGAGTTGCCTGAAGGAAGTCGAGCCACCGGTCGTGTTGAATGGGGAACGGGGAATGGCTCTGGAGTCAATGCAGGGGAATCGGGCCTCATCTCGAGTTGATTTGGGGCACATGGAGCTGCTTTGCATTGCTGGGGTGACCTCAGGGTCCGTCTAGACTGGTGACAGTGTTCTTGGGGACTGTCTCGAGATCCATTAAGCAAGTCGAAGCTCCTGACTTGTTTGAATGGGATCACGGAATAGCTCTGCATGCACTGCAGGGGAATGGGGCCTCATCTCGCCTCTAGGGGGAAGTCTCATGGTTTTTCTTGAGTTGCGGCGGGGACCTGGGGTATGTTCTCGACTTACGGCGGGGATGGCCCTTCAAAACACGAGTTTCTTCAGTGACGTCAGGACTCCTGTCTAGTAACGAGGGACACCTCAGGAATCTCTTCGAGGCTTGGCAGGGCAAAAGGGACGCTTCTCGAGGTGAGGCAGGGCACCCAAGGACCCTTTCCAGTAGCCACAGGGATTTTGGGATTCCTATCAGTATTCAAGAGGAGTCAGGAATCGTCACATTTTGAAGCAATGAACTCCGCGTGCCTCTCGAGGTGTCAGCGGGATGTGAGGCATTCCGTCAAAATGAGGCAGGGACCTAGGGCTTTCTCTAAGGTCTCCACAGGGGATTCAGACATCCCTTCATGTTGTGAGATGAAAGACGAGCCTGTATTCAAGCCACTGCAAGGAAATCCGGCCTCCTTTCAAGTTAGGGCTTCTTGCTGTATATTCCCCTTGAGGCAGCAAACTCGGGGTCCCTCCCACATACCTATTGCTGAGAGAAGCCTCCTCCTGAGGTGCTTCTGGGAAGTTGGCATATGTCTTGAGCCTAAGCCAGGGAATCAGCTCGCATCTCGAGACGATTTGGGGTACACGGAGCATTCCTCGAGTTGCTGTGCTGAAGTTGGTGTTCCTCTAGACTTGGGACAGTGTTCTCGGGGCATCTCTGGAGTTGCCTGAAGGAAGTCGAGCCACCGGTCGTGTTGAATGGGGAACGGGGAATGGCTCTGGAGTCAATGCAGAGGAATCGGGCCTCATCTCGAGTTGATTTTGGGCACATGGATCTGCTTTGCGTTGCTGGGGTGACCTCCTGGGTCCGTCTAGACTGGTGACAGTGTTCTTGGGGACTGTCTCGAGATCCATTAAGCAAGTCGAAGCTCCTGACTTGTTTGAATGGGATCACGGAATAGCTCTGCATGCACTGCAGGGGAATGGGGCCTCATCTCGCCTCTAGGGGGAAGTCTCATGGTTTTTCTCGAGTTGCGGCGGGGACCTGGGGTATGTTCTCGACTTACGGCGGGGATGGCCCTTCAAAACACGAGTTTCTTCAGTGACGTCAGGACTCCTGTCTAGTAACGAGGGACACCTCAGGAATCTCTTCGAGGCTTGGCAGGGCAAAAGGGACGCTTCTCGAGGTGAGGCAGGGCACCCAAGGACCCTTTCCAGTAGCCACAGGGATTTTGGGATTCCTATCAGTATTCAAGAGGAGTCAGGCATCGTCACCTTTTGAAGCAATGAACTCCGCGTGCCTCTCGAGGTGTCAGCGGGATGTGAGGCATTCCGTCAAAATGAGGCAGGGACCTAGGGCTTTCTCTAAGGTCTCCACAGGGGATTCAGACATCCCTTCATGTTGTGAGATGAAAGACGAGCCTGTATTCAAGCCACTGCAAGGAAATCCGGCCTCCTTTCAAGTTAGGGCTTCTCGCTGTATATTCCCCTTGAGGCAGCAAACTCGGGGTCCCTCCCACATACCTATTGCTGAGAGAAGCCTCCTCCTGAGGTGCTTCTGGGAAGTTGGCATACGTCTTGAGCCTAAGCCAGGGTATCAGCTCGCATCTCGAGACGATTTGGGGTACACGGAGCATTCCTCGAGTTGCTGTGCTGAAGTTGGTGTTCCTCTAGACTTGGGACAGTGTTCTCGGGGCATCTTTGGAGTTGCCTGAAGGAAGTCGAGCCACCGGTCGTGTTGAATGGGGAACGGGGAATGGCTCTGGAGTCAATGCAGGGGAATCGGGCCTCATCCCGAGTTGATTTGGGGCACATGGAGCTGCTTTGCGTTGCTGGGGTGACCTCAGGGTCCGTCTAGACTGGTGACAGTGTTCTTGGGGACTGTCTCGAGATCCATTAAGCAAGTCGAAGCTCCTGACTTGTTTGAATGGGATCACGGAATAGCTCTGCATGCACTGCAGGGGAATGGGGCCTCATCTCGCCTCTAGGGGGAAGTCTCATGGTTTTTCTCGAGTTGCGGCGGGGACCTGGGGTATGTTCTCGACTTTCGGCGGGGATGGCCCTTCAAAACACGAGTTTCTTCAGTGACGTCAGGACTCCTGTCTAGTAACGAGGGACACCTCAGGAATCTCTTCGAGGCATGGCAGGGCCAAAGGGACGCTTCTCGGGGTGAGGCAGGGCACCCAAGGACCCTTTCCAGTAGCCACAGGGATTTTGGGATTCCTATCAGTATTCAAGAGGAGTCAGGCATCGTCACCTTTTGAAGCAATGAACTCCGCGTGCCTCTCGAGGTGTCATTGGGATGTGAGGCATTCCGTCAAAATGAGGCAGGGACCTAGGGCTTTCTCTAAGGTCTCCACAGGGGATTCAGACATCCCTTCATGTTGTGAGATGAAAGACGAGCCTGTATTCAAGCCACTGCAAGGAAATCAGGCCTCCTTTCAAGTTAGGGCTTCTCGCTGTATATTCCCCTTGAGGCAGCAAACTCGGGGTCTCTCCCACATACCTATTGCTGAGAGAAGCCTCCTCCGGAGGTGCTTCTGGGAAGTTGGCATATGTCTTGAGCCTAAGCCAGGGAATCAGCTCGCATCTCGAGACGATTTGGGGTACACGGAGCATTCCTCGAGTTGCTGTGCTGAAGTTGGTGTTCCTCTAGACTTGGGACAGTGTTCTCGGGGCATCTCTGGAGTTGCCTGAAGGAAGTCGAGCCACCGGTCGTGTTGAATGGGGAACGGGGAATGGCTCTGGAGTCAATGCAGGGGAATCGGGCCTCATCTCGAGTTGATTTGGGGCACATGGAGCTGCTTTGCATTGCTGGGGTGACCTCAGGGTCCGTCTAGACTGGTGACAGTGTTCTTGGGGACTGTCTCGAGATCCATTAAGCAAGTCGAAGCTCCTGACTTGTTTGAATGGGATCACGGAATAGCTCTGCATGCACTGCAGGGGAATGGGGCCTCATCTCGCCTCTAGGGGGAAGTCTCATGGTTTTTCTCGAGTTGCGGCGGGGACCTGGGGTATGTTCTCGACTTACGGCGGGGATGGCCCTTCAAAACACGAGTTTCTTCAGTGACGTCAGGACTCCTGTCTAGTAACGAGGGACACCTCAGGAATCTCTTCGAGGCTTGGCAGGGCAAAAGGGACGCTTCTCGAGGTGAGGCAGGGCACCCAAGGACCCTTTCCAGTAGCCACAGGGATTTTGGGATTCCTATCAGTATTCAAGAGGAGTCAGGAATCGTCACCTTTTGAAGCAATGAACTCCGCGTGCCTCTCGAGGTGTCAGCGGGATGTGAGGCATTCCGTCAAAATGAGGCAGGGACCTAGGGCTTTCTCTAAGGTCTCCACAGGGGATTCAGACATCCCTTCATGTTGTGAGATGAAAGACGAGCCTGTATTCAAGCCACTGCAAGGAAATCCGGCCTCCTTTCAAGTTAGGGCTTCTCGCTGTATATTCCCCTTGAGGCAGCAAACTCGGGGTCCCTCCCACATACCTATTGCTGAGAGAAGCCTCCTCCTGAGGTGCTTCTGGGAAGTTGGCATACGTCTTGAGCCTAAGCCAGGGAATCAGCTCGCATCTCGAGACGATTTGGGGTACACGGAGCATTCCTCGAGTTGCTGTGCTGAAGTTGGTGTTCCTCTAGACTTGGGACAGTGTTCTCGGGGCATCTCTGGAGTTGCCTGAAGGAAGTCGAGCCACCGGTCGTGTTGAATGGGGAACGGGGAATGGCTCTGGAGTCAATGCAGAGGAATCGGGCCTCATCTCGAGTTGATTTTGGGCACATGGATCTGCTTTGCGTTGCTGGGGTGACCTCAGGGTCCGTCTAGACTGGTGACAGTGTTCTTGGGGACTGTCTCGAGATCCATTAAGCAAGTCGAAGCTCCTGACTTGTTTGAATGGGATCACGGAATAGCTCTGCATGCACTGCAGGGGAATGGGGCCTCATCTCGCCTCTAGGAGGAAGTCTCATGGTTTTTCTCGAGTTGCGGCGGGGACCTGGGGTATGTTCTCGACTTACGGCGGGGATGGCCCTTCAAAACACGAGTTTCTTCAGTGACGTCAGGACTCCTGTCTAGTAACGAGGGACACCTCAGGAATCTCTTCGAGGCTTGGCAGGGCCAAAGGGACGCTTCTCGAGGTGAGGCAGGGCACCCAAGGACCCTTTCCAGTAGCCACAGGGATTTTGGGATTCCTATCAGTATTCAAGAGGAGTCAGGCATCGTCACCTTTTGAAGCAATGAACTCCGCGTGCCTCTCGAGGTGTCATTGGGATGTGAGGCATTCCGTCAAAATGAGGCAGGGACCTAGGGCTTTCTCTAAGGTCTCCACAGGGGATTCAGACATCCCTTCATGTTGTGAGATGAAAGACGAGCCTGTATTCAAGCCACTGCAAGGAAATCAGGCCTCCTTTCAAGTTAGGGCTTCTCGCTGTATATTCCCCTTGAGGCAGCAAACTCGGGGTCTCTCCCACATACCTATTGCTGAGAGAAGCCTCCTCCGGAGGTGCTTCTGGGAAGTTGGCATATGTCTTGAGCCTAAGCCAGGGAATCAGCTCGCATCTCGAGACGATTTGGGGTACACGGAGCATTCCTCGAGTTGCTGTGCTGAAGTTGGTGTTCCTCTAGACTTGGGACAGTGTTCTCGGGGCATCTCTGGAGTTGCCTGAAGGAAGTCGAGCCACCGGTCGTGTTGAATGGGGAACGGGGAATGGCTCTGGAGTCAATGCAGGGGAATCGGGCCTCATCTCGAGTTGATTTGGGGCACATGGAGCTGCTTTGCATTGCTGGGGTGACCTCAGGGTCCGTCTAGACTGGTGACAGTGTTCTTGGGGACTGTCTCGAGATCCATTAAGCAAGTCGAAGCTCCTGACTTGTTTGAATGGGATCACGGAATAGCTCTGCATGCACTGCAGGGGAATGGGGCCTCATCTCGCCTCTAGGGGGAAGTCTCATGGTTTTTCTCGAGTTGCGGCGGGGACCTGGGGTATGTTCTCGACTTACGGCGGGGATGGCCCTTCAAAACACGAGTTTCTTCAGTGACGTCAGGACTCCTGTCTAGTAACGAGGGACACCTCAGGAATCTCTTCGAGGCTTGGCAGGGCAAAAGGGACGCTTCTCGAGGTGAGGCAGGGCACCCAAGGACCCTTTCCAGTAGCCACAGGGATTTTGGGATTCCTATCAGTATTCAAGAGGAGTCAGGAATCGTCACCTTTTGAAGCAATGAACTCCGCGTGCCTCTCGAGGTGTCAGCGGGATGTGAGGCATTCCGTCAAAATGAGGCAGGGACCTAGGGCTTTCTCTAAGGTCTCCACAGGGGATTCAGACATCCCTTCATGTTGTGAGATGAAAGACGAGCCTGTATTCAAGCCACTGCAAGGAAATCCGGCCTCCTTTCAAGTTAGGGCTTCTCGCTGTATATTCCCCTTGAGGCAGCAAACTCGGGGTCCCTCCCACATACCTATTGCTGAGAGAAGCCTCCTCCTGAGGTGCTTCTGGGAAGTTGGCATACGTCTTGAGCCTAAGCCAGGGAATCAGCTCGCATCTCGAGACGATTTGGGGTACACGGAGCATTCCTCGAGTTGCTGTGCTGAAGTTGGTGTTCCTCTAGACTTGGGACAGTGTTCTCGGGGCATCTCTGGAGTTGCCTGAAGGAAGTCGAGCCACCGGTCGTGTTGAATGGGGAACGGGGAATGGCTCTGGAGTCAATGCAGAGGAATCGGGCCTCATCTCGAGTTGATTTTGGGCACATGGATCTGCTTTGCGTTGCTGGGGTGACCTCAGGGTCCGTCTAGACTGGTGACAGTGTTCTTGGGGACTGTCTCGAGATCCATTAAGCAAGTCGAAGCTCCTGACTTGTTTGAATGGGATCACGGAATAGCTCTGCATGCACTGCAGGGGAATGGGGCCTCATCTCGCCTCTAGGAGGAAGTCTCATGGTTTTTCTCGAGTTGCGGCGGGGACCTGGGGTATGTTCTCGACTTACGGCGGGGATGGCCCTTCAAAACACGAGTTTCTTCAGTGACGTCAGGACTCCTGTCTAGTAACGAGGGACACCTCAGGAATCTCTTCGAGGCTTGGCAGGGCCAAAGGGACGCTTCTCGAGGTGAGGCAGGGCACCCAAGGACCCTTTCCAGTAGCCACAGGGATTTTGGGATTCCTATCAGTATTCAAGAGGAGTCAGGCATCGTCACCTTTTGAAGCAATGAACTCCGCGTGCCTCTCGAGGTGTCAGCGGGATGTGAGGCATTCCGTCAAAATGAGGCAGGGACCTAGGGCTTTCTCTAAGGTCTCCACAGGGGATTCAGACATCCCTTCATGTTGTGAGATGAAAGACGAGCCTGTATTCAAGCCACTGCAAGGAAATCCGGCCTCCTTTCAAGTTAGGGCTTCTCGCTGTATATTCCCCTTGAGGCAGCAAACTCGGGGTCCCTCCCACATACCTACTGCTGAGAGAAGCCTCCTCCTGAGGTGCTTCTGGGAAGTTGGCATACGTCTTGAGCCTAAGCCAGGGAATCAGCTCGCATCTCGAGACGATTTGGGGTACACGGAGCATTCCTCGAGTTGCTGTGCTGAAGTTGGTGTTCCTCTAGACTTGGGACAGTGTTCTCGGGGCATCTCTGGAGTTGCCTGAAGGAAGTCGAGCCACCGGTCGTGTTGAATGGGGAACGGGGAATGGCTCTGGAGTCAATGCAGGGGAATCGGGCCTCATCTCGAGTTGATTTGGGGCACATGGAGCTGCTTTGCGTTGCTGGGGTGACCTCAGGGTCCGTCTAGACTGGTGACAGTGTTCTTGGGGACTGTCTCGAGATCCATTAAGCAAGTCGAAGCTCCTGACTTTTTTGAATGGGATCACGGAATAGCTCTGCATGCACTGCAGGGGAATGGGGCCTCATCTCGCCTCTAGGGGGAAGTCTCATGGTTTTTCTCGAGTTGCGGCGGGGACCTGGGGTATGTTCTCGACTTACGGCGGGGATGGCCCTTCAAAACACGAGTTTCTTCAGTGACGTCAGGACTCCGGTCTAGTAACGAGAGACACTTCAGGAATCTCTTCGAGGCTTGGCAGGGCAAAAGGGACGCTTCTCGAGGTGAGGCAGGGCACCCAAGGACCCTTTCCAGTAGCCACAGGGATTTTGGGATTCCTATCAGTATTCAAGAGGAGTCAGGCATCGTCACCTTTTGAAGCAATGAACTCCGCGTGCCTCTCGAGGTGTCAGCGGGATGTGAGGCATTCCGTCAAAATGAGGCAGGGACCTAGGGCTTTCTCTAAGGTCTCCACAGGGGATTCAGACATCCCTTCATGTTGTGAGATGAAAGACGAGCCTGTATTCGAGCCACTGCAAGGAAATCCGGCCTCCTTTCAAGTTAGGGCTTCTCGCTGTATATTCCCCTTGAGGCAGCAAACTCGGGGTCCCTCCCACATACCTACTGCTGAGAGAAGCCTAATCCTGAGGTGCTTCTGGGAAGTTGGCATACGTCTTGAGCCTAAGCCAGGGAATCAGCTCGCATCTCGAGACGATTTGGGGTACACGGAGCATTCCTCGAGTTGCTGTGCTGAAGTTGGTGTTCCTCTAGACTTGGGACAGTGTTCTCGGGGCATCTCTGGAGTTGCCTGAAGGAAGTCGAGCCACCGGTCGTGTTGAATGGGGAACGGGGAATGGCTCTGGAGTCAATGCAGGGGAATCGGGCCTCATCTCGAGTTGATTTGGGGCACATGGAGCTGCTTTGCGTTGCTGGGTTGACCTCAGGGTCCGTCTAGACTGGTGACAGTGTTCTTGGGGACTGTCTCGAGATCCATTAAGCAAGTCGAAGCTCCTGACTTGTTTGAATGGGATCACGGAATAGCTCTGCATGCACTGCAGGGGAATGGGGCCTCATCTCGCCTCTAGGGGGAAGTCTCATGGTTTTTCTCGAGTTGCGGCGGGGACCTGGGGTATGTTCTCGACTTACGGCGGGGATGGCCCTTCAAAACACGTGTTTCTTCAGTGACGTCAGGACTCCTGTCTAGTAACGAGGGACACCTCAGCAATCTCTTCGAGGCTTGGCAGGGCAAAAGGGACGCTTCTCGAGGTGAGGCAGGGCACCCAAGGACCCTTTCCAGTAGCCACAGGGATTTTGGGATTCCTATCAGTATTCAAGAGGAGTCAGGCATCGTCACCTTTTGAAGCAATGAACTCCGCGTGCCTCTCGAGGTGTCAGCGGGATGTGAGGCATTCCGTCAAAATGAGGCAGGGACCTAGGGCTTTCTCTAAGGTCTCCACAGGGGATTCAGACATCCCTTCATGTTGTGAGATGAAAGCCGAGCCTGTATTCAAGCCACTGCAAGGAAATCCGGCCTCCTTTCAAGTTAGGGCTTCTCGCTGTATATTCCCCTTGAGGCAGCAAACTCGGGGTCCCTCCCACATACCTACTGCTGAGAGAAGCCTCCTCCTGAGGTGCTTCTGGGAAGTTGGCATACGTCTTGAGCCTAAGCCAGGGAATCAGCTCGCATCTCGAGACGATTTGGGGTACACGGAGCATTCCTCGAGTTGCTGTGCTGAAGTTGGTGTTCCTCTAGACTTGGGACAGTGTTCTCGGGGCATCTCTGGAGTTGCCTGAAGGAAGTCGAGCCACCGGTCGTGTTGAATGGGGAACGGGGAATGGCTCTGGAGTCAATGCAGGGGAATCGGGCCTCATCTCGAGTTGATTTGGGGCACATGGAGCTGCTTTGCGTTGCTGGGGTGACCTCAGGGTCCGTCTAGACTGGTGACAGTGTTCTTGGGGACTGTCTCGAGATCGATTAAGCAAGTCGAAGCTCCTGACTTGTTTGAATGGGATCACGGAATAGCTCTGCATGCACTGCAGGGGAACGGGGCCTCATCTCGCCTCTAGGGGGAAGTCTCATGGTTTTTCTCGAGTTGCGGCGGGGACCTGGGGTATGTTCTCGACTTACGGCGGGGATGGCCCTTCAAAACACGAGTTTCTTCAGTGACGTCAGGACTCCTGTCTAGTAACGAGGGACACCTCAGGAATCTCTTCGAGGCTTGGCAGGGCAAAAGGGACGCTTCTCGAGGTGAGGCAGGGCACCCAAGGACCCTTTCCAGTAGCCACAGGGATTTTGGGATTCCTATCAGTATTCAAGAGGAGTCAGGCATCGTCACCTTTTGAAGCAATGAACTCTGTGTGCCTCTCGAGGTGTCAGCGGGATGTGAGGCATTCCGTCAAAATGAGGCAGGGACCTAGGGCTTTCTCTAAGGTCTCCACAGGGGATTCAGACATCCCTTCATGTTGTGAGATGAAAGACGAGCCTGTATTCAAGCCACTGCAAGGAAATCCGGCCTCCTTTCAAGTTAGGGCTTCTCGCTGTATATTCCCCTTGAGGCAGCAAACTCGGGGTCCCTCCCACATACCTACTGCTGAGAGAAGCCTCCTCCTGAGGTGCTTCTGGGAAGTTGGCATACGTCTTGAGCCTAAGCCAGGGAATCAGCTCGCATCTCGAGACGATTTGGGGTACACGGAGCATTCCTCGAGTTGCTGTGCTGAAGTTGGTGTTCCTCTAGACTTGGGACAGTGTTCTCGGGGCATCTCTGGAGTTGCCTGAAGGAAGTCGAGCCACCGGTCGTGTTGAATGGGGAACGGGGAATGGCTCTGGAGTCAATGCAGGGGAATCGGGCCTCATCTCGAGTTGATTTGGGGCACATGGACCGGCTTTGCGTTGCTGGGGTGACCTCAGTGTCCGTCTAGACTGGTGACAGTGTTCTTGGGGACTGTCTCGAGATCCATTAAGCAAGTCGAAGCTCCTGACTTGTTTGAATGGGATCACGGAATAGCTCTGCATGCACTGCAGGGGAATGGGGCCTCATCTCGCCTCTAGGGGGAAGTCTCATGGTTTTTCTCGAGTTGCGGCGGGGACCTGGGGTATGTTCTCGACTTACGGCGGGGATGGCCCTTCAAAACACGAGTTTCTTCAGTGACGTCAGGACTCCTGTCTAGTAACGAGGGACACCTCAGGAATCTCTTCGAGGCTTGGCAGGGCAAAAGGGACGCTTCTCGAGGTGAGGCAGGGCACCCAAGGACCCTTTCCAGTAGCCACAGGGATTTTGGGATTCCTATCAGTATTCAAGAGGAGTCAGGCATCGTCACCTTTTGAAGCAATGAACTCCGCGTGCCTCTCGAAGTGTCAGCGGGATGTGAGGCATTCCGTCAAAATGAGGCAGGGACCTAGGGCTTTCTCTAAGGTCTCCACAGGGGATTCAGACATCCCTTCATGTTGTGAGATGAAAGACGAGCCTGTATTCGAGCCACTGCAAGGAAATTCGGCCTCCTTTCAAGTTAGGGCTTCTCGCTGTATATTCCCCTTGAGGCAGCAAACTCGGGGTCCCTCCCACATACCTACTGCTGAGAGAAGCCTCCTCCTGAGGTGCTTCTGGGAAGTTGGCATACGTCTTGAGCCTAAGCCAGGGAATCAGCTCGCATCTCGAGACGATTTGGGGTACACGGAGCATTCCTCGAGTTGCTGTGCTGAAGTTGGTGTTCCTCTAGACTTGGGACAGTGTTCTCGGGGCATCTCTGGAGTTGCCTGAAGGAAGTCGAGCCACCGGTCGTGTTGAATGGGGAACGGGGAATGGCTCTGGAGTCAATGCAGGGGAATCGGGCCTCATCTCGAGTTGATTTGGGGCACATGGAGCTGCTTTGCGTTGCTGGGGTGACCTCAGGGTCCGTCTAGACTGGTGACAGTGTTCTTGGGGACTGTCTCGAGATCCATTAAGCAAGTCGAAGCTCCTGACTTGTTTGAATGGGATCACGGAATAGCTCTGCATGCACTGCAGGGGAATGGGGCCTCATCTCGCCTCTAGGGGGAAGTCTCATGGTTTTTCTCGAGTTGCGGCGGGGACCTGGGGTATGTTCTCGACTTACGGCGGGGATGGCCCTTCAAAACACGAGTTTCTTCAGTGACGTCAGGACTCCTGTCTAGTAACGAGGGACACCTCAGGAATCTCTTCGAGGCTTGGCAGGGCAAAAGGGACGCTTCTCGAGGTGAGGCAGGGCACCCAAGGACCCTTTCCAGTAGCCACAGGGATTTTGGGATTCCTATCAGTATTCAAGAGGAGTCAGGCATCGTCACCTTTTGAAGCAATGAACTCTGCGTGCCTCTCGAGGTGTCAGCGGGATGTGAGGCATTCCGTCAAAATGAGGCAGGGACCTAGGGCTTTCTCTAAGGTCTCCACAGGGGATTCAGACATCCCTTCATGTTGTGAGATGAAAGATGAGCCTGTATTCGAGCCACTGCAAGGAAATCCGGCCTCCTTTCAAGTTAGGGCTTCTCGCTGTATATTCCCCTTGAGGCAGCAAACTCGGGGTCCCTCCCACATACCTACTGCTGAGAGAAGCCTCCTCCTGAGGTGCTTCTGGGAAGTTGGCATACGTCTTGAGCCTAAGCCAGGGAATCAGCTCGCATCTCGAGACGATTTGGGGTACACGGAGCATTCCTCGAGTTGCTGTGCTGAAGTTGGTGTTCCTCTAGACTTGGGACAGTGTTCTCGGGGCATCTCTGGAGTTGCCTGAAGGAAGTCGAGCCACCGGTCGTGTTGAATGGGGAACGGGGAATGGCTCTGGAGTCAATGCAGGGGAATCGGGCCTCATCTCGAGTTGATTTGGGGCACATGGAGCTGCTTTGCGTTGCTGGGGTGACCTCAGGGTCCGTCTAGACTGGTGACAGTGTTCTTGGGGACTGTCTCGAGATCCATTAAGCAAGTCGAAGCTCCTGACTTGTTTGAATGGGATCACGGAATAGCTCTGCATGCACTGCAGGGGAATGGGGCCTCATCTCGCCTCTAGGGGGAAGTCTCATGGTTTTTCTCGAGTTGCGGCGGGGACCTGGGGTATGTTCTCGACTTACGGCGGGGATGGCCCTTCAAAACACGAGTTTCTTCAGTGACGTCAGGACTCCTGTCTAGTAACGAGGGACACCTCAGGAATCTCTTCGAGGCTTGGCAGGGCAAAAGGGACGCTTCTCGAGGTGAGGCAGGGCACCCAAGGACCCTTTCCAGTAGCCACAGGGATTTTGGGATTCCTATCAGTATTCAAGAGGAGTCAGGCATCGTCACCTTTTGAAGCAATGAACTCCGCGTGCCTCTCGAGGTGTCAGCGGGATGTGAGGCATTCCGTCAAAATGAGGCAGGGACCTAGGGCTTTCTTTAAGGTCTCCACAGGGGATTCAGACATCCCTTCATGTTGTGAGATGAAAGACGAGCCTGTATTCAAGCCACTGCAAGGAAATCCGGCCTCCTTTCAAGTTAGGGCTTCTCGCTGTATATTCCCCTTGAGGCAGCAAACTCGGGGTCCCTCCCACATACCTACTGCTGAGAGAAGCCTCCTCCTGAGGTGCTTCTGGGAAGTTGGCATACGTCTTGAGCCTAAGCCAGGGAATCAGCTCGCATCTCGAGACGATTTGGGGTACACGGAGCATTCCTCGAGTTGCTGTGCTGAAGTTGGTGTTCCTCTAGACTTGGGACAGTGTTCTCGGGGCATCTCTGGAGTTGCCTGAAGGAAGTCGAGCCACCCGTCTTGTTGAATGGGGAACGGGGAATGGCTCTGGAGTCAATGCAGGGGAATCGGGCCTCATCTCGAGTTGATTTGCGGCACATGGAGCTGCTTTGCGTTGCTGGGGTGACCTCAGGGTCCGTCTAGACTGGTGACAGTGTTCTTGGGGACTGTCTCGAGATCCATTAAGCAAGTCGAAGCTCCTGACTTGTTTGAATGGGATCACGGAATAGCTCTGCATGCACTGCAGGGGAATGGGGCCTCATCTCGCCTCTAGGGGGAAGTCTCATGGTTTTTCTCGAGTTGCGGCGGGGACCTGGGGTATGTTCTCGACTTACGGCGGGGATGGCCCTTCAAAACACGAGTTTCTTCAGTGACGTCAGGACTCCTGTCTAGTAACGAGGGACACCTCAGGAATCTCTTCGAGGCTTGGCAGGGCAAAAGGGACGCTTCTCGAGGTGAGGCAGGGCACCCAAGGACCCTTTCCAGTAGCCACAGGGATTTTGGGATTCCTATCAGTATTCAAGAGGAGTCAGGCATCGTCACCTTTTGAAGCAATGAACTCCGCGTGCCTCTCGAGGTGTCAGCGGGATGTGAGGCATTCCGTCAAAATGAGGCAGGGACCTAGGGCTTTCTCTAAGGTCTCCACAGGGGATTCAGACATCCCTTCATGTTGTGAGATGAAAGACGAGCCTGTATTCGAGCCACTGCAAGGAAATCCGGCCTCCTTTCAAGTTAGGGCTTCTCGCTGTATATTCCCCTTGAGGCAGCAAACTCGGGGTCCCTCCCACATACCTACTGCTGAGAGAAGCCTCCTCCTGAGGTGCTTCTGGGAAGTTGGCATACGTCTTGAGCCTAAGCCAGGGAATCAGCTCGCATCTCGAGACGATTTGGGGTACACGGAGCATTCCTCGAGTTGCTGTGCTGAAGTTGGTGTTCCTCTAGACTTGGGACAGTGTTCTCGGGGCATCTCTGGAGTTGCCTGAAGGAAGTCGAGCCACCGGTCGTGTTGAATGGGGAACGGGGAATGGCTCTGGAGTCAATGCAGGGGAATCGGGCCTCATCTCGAGTTGATTTGGGGCACATGGAGCTGCTTTGCGTTGCTGGGGTGACCTCAGGGTCCGTCTAGACTGGTGACAGTGTTCTTGGGGACTGTCTCGAGATCCATTAAGCAAGTCGAAGCTCCTGACTTGTTTGAATGGGATCACGGAATAGCTCTGCATGCACTGCAGGGGAATGGGGCCTCATCTCGCCTCTAGGGGGAAGTCTCATGGTTTTTCTCGAGTTGCGGCGGGGACCTGGGGTATGTTCTCGACTTACGGCGGGGATGGCCCTTCAAAACACGAGTTTCTTCAGTGACGTCAGGACTCCTGTCTAGTAACGAGGGACACCTCAGGAATCTCTTCGAGGCTTGGCAGGGCAAAAGGGACGCTTCTCGAGGTGAGGCAGGGCACCCAAGGACCCTTTCCAGTAGCCACAGGGATTTTGGGATTCCTATCAGTATTCAAGAGGAGTCAGGCATCGTCACCTTTTGAAGCAATGAACTCTGTGTGCCTCTCGAGGTGTCAGCGGGATGTGAGGCATTCCGTCAAAATGAGGCAGGGACCTAGGGCTTTCTCTAAGGTCTCCACAGGGGATTCAGACATCCCTTCATGTTGTGAGATGAAAGACGAGCCTGTATTCGAGCCACTGCAAGGAAATCCGGCCTCCTTTCAAGTTAGGGCTTCTCGCTGTATATTCCCCTTGAGGCAGCAAACTCGGGGTCCCTCCCACATACCTACTGCTGAGAGAAGCCTCCTCCTGAGGTGCTTCTGGGAAGTTGGCATACGTCTTGAGCCTAAGCCAGGGAATCAGCTCGCATCTCGAGACGATTTGGGGTACACGGAGCATTCCTCGAGTTGCTGTGCTGAAGTTGGTGTTCCTCTAGACTTGGGACAGTGTTCTCGGGGCATCTCTGGAGTTGCCTGAAGGAAGTCGAGCCACCGGTCGTGTTGAATGGGGAACGGGGAATGGCTCTGGAGTCAATGCAGGGGAATCGGGCCTCATCTCGAGTTGATTTGGGGCACATGGACCGGCTTTGCGTTGCTGGGGTGACCTCAGTGTCCGTCTAGACTGGTGACAGTGTTCTTGGGGACTGTCTCGAGATCCATTAAGCAAGTCGAAGCTCCTGACTTGTTTGAATGGGATCACGGAATAGCTCTGCATGCACTGCAGGGGAATGGGGCCTCATCTCGCCTCTAGGGGGAAGTCTCATGGTTTTTCTCGAGTTGCGGCGGGGACCTGGGGTATGTTCTCGACTTACGGCGGGGATGGCCCTTCAAAACACGAGTTTCTTCAGTGACGTCAGGACTCCTGTCTAGTAACGAGGGACACCTCAGGAATCTCTTCGAGGCTTGGCAGGGCAAAAGGGACGCTTCTCGAGGTGAGGCAGGGCACCCAAGGACCCTTTCCAGTAGCCACAGGGATTTTGGGATTCCTATCAGTATTCAAGAGGAGTCAGGCATCGTCACCTTTTGAAGCAATGAACTCCGCGTGCCTCTCGAAGTGTCAGCGGGATGTGAGGCATTCCGTCAAAATGAGGCAGGGACCTAGGGCTTTCTCTAAGGTCTCCACAGGGGATTCAGACATCCCTTCATGTTGTGAGATGAAAGACGAGCCTGTATTCGAGCCACTGCAAGGAAATTCGGCCTCCTTTCAAGTTAGGGCTTCTCGCTGTATATTCCCCTTGAGGCAGCAAACTCGGGGTCCCTCCCACATACCTACTGCTGAGAGAAGCCTCCTCCTGAGGTGCTTCTGGGAAGTTGGCATACGTCTTGAGCCTAAGCCAGGGAATCAGCTCGCATCTCGAGACGATTTGGGGTACACGGAGCATTCCTCGAGTTGCTGTGCTGAAGTTGGTGTTCCTCTAGACTTGGGACAGTGTTCTCGGGGCATCTCTGGAGTTGCCTGAAGGAAGTCGAGCCACCCGTCTTGTTGAATGGGGAACGGGGAATGGCTCTGGAGTCAATGCAGGGGAATCGGGCCTCATCTCGAGTTGATTTGCGGCACATGGAGCTGCTTTGCGTTGCTGGGGTGACCTCAGGGTCCGTCTAGACTGGTGACAGTGTTCTTGGGGACTGTCTCGAGATCCATTAAGCAAGTCGAAGCTCCTGACTTGTTTGAATGGGATCACGGAATAGCTCTGCATGCACTGCAGGGGAATGGGGCCTCATCTCGCCTCTAGGGGGAAGTCTCATGGTTTTTCTCGAGTTGCGGCGGGGACCTGGGGTATGTTCTCGACTTACGGCGGGGATGGCCCTTCAAAACACGAGTTTCTTCAGTGACGTCAGGACTCCTGTCTAGTAACGAGGGACACCTCAGGAATCTCTTCGAGGCTTGGCAGGGCAAAAGGGACGCTTCTCGAGGTGAGGCAGGGCACCCAAGGACCCTTTCCAGTAGCCACAGGGATTTTGGGATTCCTATCAGTATTCAAGAGGAGTCAGGCATCGTCACCTTTTGAAGCAATGAACTCTGCGTGCCTCTCGAGGTGTCAGCGGGATGTGAGGCATTCCGTCAAAATGAGGCAGGGACCTAGGGCTTTCTCTAAGGTCTCCACAGGGGATTCAGACATCCCTTCATGTTGTGAGATGAAAGATGAGCCTGTATTCGAGCCACTGCAAGGAAATCCGGCCTCCTTTCAAGTTAGGGCTTCTCGCTGTATATTCCCCTTGAGGCAGCAAACTCGGGGTCCCTCCCACATACCTACTGCTGAGAGAAGCCTCCTCCTGAGGTGCTTCTGGGAAGTTGGCATACGTCTTGAGCCTAAGCCAGGGAATCAGCTCGCATCTCGAGACGATTTGGGGTACACGGAGCATTCCTCGAGTTGCTGTGCTGAAGTTGGTGTTCCTCTAGACTTGGGACAGTGTTCTCGGGGCATCTCTGGAGTTGCCTGAAGGAAGTCGAGCCACCGGTCGTGTTGAATGGGGAACGGGGAATGGCTCTGGAGTCAATGCAGGGGAATCGGGCCTCATCTCGAGTTGATTTGGGGCACATGGAGCTGCTTTGCGTTGCTGGGGTGACCTCAGGGTCCGTCTAGACTGGTGACAGTGTTCTTGGGGACTGTCTCGAGATCCATTAAGCAAGTCGAAGCTCCTGACTTGTTTGAATGGGATCACGGAATAGCTCTGCATGCACTGCAGGGGAATGGGGCCTCATCTCGAATCTAGGGGGAAGTCTCATGGTTTTTCTCGAGTTGCGGCGGGGACCTGGGGTATGTTCTCGACTTACGGCGGGGATGGCCCTTCAAAACACGAGTTTCTTCAGTGACGTCAGGACTCCTGTCTAGTAACGAGGGACACCTCAGGAATCTCTTCGAGGCTTGGCAGGGCAAAAGGGACGCTTCTCGAGGTGAGGCAGGGCACCCAAGGACCCTTTCCAGTAGCCACAGGGATTTTGGGATTCCTATCAGTATTCAAGAGGAGTCAGGCATCGTCACCTTTTGAAGCAATGAACTCCGCGTGCCTCTCGAGGTGTCAGCGGGATGTGAGGCATTCCGTCAAAATGAGGCAGGGACCTAGGGCTTTCTTTAAGGTCTCCACAGGGGATTCAGACATCCCTTCATGTTGTGAGATGAAAGACGAGCCTGTATTCAAGCCACTGCAAGGAAATCCGGCCTCCTTTCAAGTTAGGGCTTCTCGCTGTATATTCCCCTTGAGGCAGCAAACTCGGGGTCCCTCCCACATACCTACTGCTGAGAGAAGCCTCCTCCTGAGGTGCTTCTGGGAAGTTGGCATACGTCTTGAGCCTAAGCCAGGGAATCAGCTCGCATCTCGAGACGATTTGGGGTACACGGAGCATTCCTCGAGTTGCTGTGCTGAAGTTGGTGTTCCTCTAGACTTGGGACAGTGTTCTCGGGGCATCTCTGGAGTTGCCTGAAGGAAGTCGAGCCACCCGTCTTGTTGAATGGGGAACGGGGAATGGCTCTGGAGTCAATGCAGGGGAATCGGGCCTCATCTCGAGTTGATTTGCGGCACATGGAGCTGCTTTGCGTTGCTGGGGTGACCTCAGGGTCCGTCTAGACTGGTGACAGTGTTCTTGGGGACTGTCTCGAGATCCATTAAGCAAGTCGAAGCTCCTGACTTGTTTGAATGGGATCACGGAATAGCTCTGCATGCACTGCAGGGGAATGGGGCCTCATCTCGCCTCTAGGGGGAAGTCTCATGGTTTTTCTCGAGTTGCGGCGGGGACCTGGGGTATGTTCTCGACTTACGGCGGGGATGGCCCTTCAAAACACGAGTTTCTTCAGTGACGTCAGGACTCCTGTCTAGTAACGAGGGACACCTCAGGAATCTCTTCGAGGCTTGGCAGGGCAAAAGGGACGCTTCTCGAGGTGAGGCAGGGCACCCAAGGACCCTTTCCAGTAGCCACAGGGATTTTGGGATTCCTATCAGTATTCAAGAGGAGTCAGGCATCGTCACCTTTTGAAGCAATGAACTCTGTGTGCCTCTCGAGGTGTCAGCGGGATGTGAGGCATTCCGTCAAAATGAGGCAGGGACCTAGGGCTTTCTCTAAGGTCTCCACAGGGGATTCAGACATCCCTTCATGTTGTGAGATGAAAGACGAGCCTGTATTCGAGCCACTGCAAGGAAATCCGGCCTCCTTTCAAGTTAGGGCTTCTCGCTGTATATTCCCCTTGAGGCAGCAAACTCGGGGTCCCTCCCACATACCTACTGCTGAGAGAAGCCTCCTCCTGAGGTGCTTCTGGGAAGTTGGCATACGTCTTGAGCCTAAGCCAGGGAATCAGCTCGCATCTCGAGACGATTTGGGGTACACGGAGCATTCCTCGAGTTGCTGTGCTGAAGTTGGTGTTCCTCTAGACTTGGGACAGTGTTCTCGGGGCATCTCTGGAGTTGCCTGAAGGAAGTCGAGCCACCGGTCGTGTTGAATGGGGAACGGGGAATGGCTCTGGAGTCAATGCAGGGGAATCGGGCCTCATCTCGAGTTGATTTGGGGCACATGGACCGGCTTTGCGTTGCTGGGGTGACCTCAGTGTCCGTCTAGACTGGTGACAGTGTTCTTGGGGACTGTCTCGAGATCCATTAAGCAAGTCGAAGCTCCTGACTTGTTTGAATGGGATCACGGAATAGCTCTGCATGCACTGCAGGGGAATGGGGCCTCATCTCGCCTCTAGGGGGAAGTCTCATGGTTTTTCTCGAGTTGCGGCGGGGACCTGGGGTATGTTCTCGACTTACGGCGGGGATGGCCCTTCAAAACACGAGTTTCTTCAGTGACGTCAGGACTCCTGTCTAGTAACGAGGGACACCTCAGGAATCTCTTCGAGGCTTGGCAGGGCAAAAGGGACGCTTCTCGAGGTGAGGCAGGGCACCCAAGGACCCTTTCCAGTAGCCACAGGGATTTTGGGATTCCTATCAGTATTCAAGAGGAGTCAGGCATCGTCACCTTTTGAAGCAATGAACTCCGCGTGCCTCTCGAAGTGTCAGCGGGATGTGAGGCATTCCGTCAAAATGAGGCAGGGACCTAGGGCTTTCTCTAAGGTCTCCACAGGGGATTCAGACATCCCTTCATGTTGTGAGATGAAAGACGAGCCTGTATTCGAGCCACTGCAAGGAAATTCGGCCTCCTTTCAAGTTAGGGCTTCTCGCTGTATATTCCCCTTGAGGCAGCAAACTCGGGGTCCCTCCCACATACCTACTGCTGAGAGAAGCCTCCTCCTGAGGTGCTTCTGGGAAGTTGGCATACGTCTTGAGCCTAAGCCAGGGAATCAGCTCGCATCTCGAGACGATTTGGGGTACACGGAGCATTCCTCGAGTTGCTGTGCTGAAGTTGGTGTTCCTCTAGACTTGGGACAGTGTTCTCGGGGCATCTCTGGAGTTGCCTGAAGGAAGTCGAGCCACCCGTCTTGTTGAATGGGGAACGGGGAATGGCTCTGGAGTCAATGCAGGGGAATCGGGCCTCATCTCGAGTTGATTTGCGGCACATGGAGCTGCTTTGCGTTGCTGGGGTGACCTCAGGGTCCGTCTAGACTGGTGACAGTGTTCTTGGGGACTGTCTCGAGATCCATTAAGCAAGTCGAAGCTCCTGACTTGTTTGAATGGGATCACGGAATAGCTCTGCATGCACTGCAGGGGAATGGGGCCTCATCTCGCCTCTAGGGGGAAGTCTCATGGTTTTTCTCGAGTTGCGGCGGGGACCTGGGGTATGTTCTCGACTTACGGCGGGGATGGCCCTTCAAAACACGAGTTTCTTCAGTGACGTCAGGACTCCTGTCTAGTAACGAGGGACACCTCAGGAATCTCTTCGAGGCTTGGCAGGGCAAAAGGGACGCTTCTCGAGGTGAGGCAGGGCACCCAAGGACCCTTTCCAGTAGCCACAGGGATTTTGGGATTCCTATCAGTATTCAAGAGGAGTCAGGCATCGTCACCTTTTGAAGCAATGAACTCTGCGTGCCTCTCGAGGTGTCAGCGGGATGTGAGGCATTCCGTCAAAATGAGGCAGGGACCTAGGGCTTTCTCTAAGGTCTCCACAGGGGATTCAGACATCCCTTCATGTTGTGAGATGAAAGATGAGCCTGTATTCGAGCCACTGCAAGGAAATCCGGCCTCCTTTCAAGTTAGGGCTTCTCGCTGTATATTCCCCTTGAGGCAGCAAACTCGGGGTCCCTCCCACATACCTACTGCTGAGAGAAGCCTCCTCCTGAGGTGCTTCTGGGAAGTTGGCATACGTCTTGAGCCTAAGCCAGGGAATCAGCTCGCATCTCGAGACGATTTGGGGTACACGGAGCATTCCTCGAGTTGCTGTGCTGAAGTTGGTGTTCCTCTAGACTTGGGACAGTGTTCTCGGGGCATCTCTGGAGTTGCCTGAAGGAAGTCGAGCCACCGGTCGTGTTGAATGGGGAACGGGGAATGGCTCTGGAGTCAATGCAGGGGAATCGGGCCTCATCTCGAGTTGATTTGGGGCACATGGAGCTGCTTTGCGTTGCTGGGGTGACCTCAGGGTCCGTCTAGACTGGTGACAGTGTTCTTGGGGACTGTCTCGAGATCCATTAAGCAAGTCGAAGCTCCTGACTTGTTTGAATGGGATCACGGAATAGCTCTGCATGCACTGCAGGGGAATGGGGCCTCATCTCGAATCTAGGGGGAAGTCTCATGGTTTTTCTCGAGTTGCGGCGGGGACCTGGGGTATGTTCTCGACTTACGGCGGGGATGGCCCTTCAAAACACGAGTTTCTTCAGTGACGTCAGGACTCCTGTCTAGTAACGAGGGACACCTCAGGAATCTCTTCGAGGCTTGGCAGGGCAAAAGGGACGCTTCTCGAGGTGAGGCAGGGCACCCAAGGACCCTTTCCAGTAGCCACAGGGATTTTGGGATTCCTATCAGTATTCAAGAGGAGTCAGGCATCGTCACCTTTTGAAGCAATGAACTCCGCGTGCCTCTCGAGGTGTCAGCGGGATGTGAGGCATTCCGTCAAAATGAGGCAGGGACCTAGGGCTTTCTTTAAGGTCTCCACAGGGGATTCAGACATCCCTTCATGTTGTGAGATGAAAGACGAGCCTGTATTCAAGCCACTGCAAGGAAATCCGGCCTCCTTTCAAGTTAGGGCTTCTCGCTGTATATTCCCCTTGAGGCAGCAAACTCGGGGTCCCTCCCACATACCTACTGCTGAGAGAAGCCTCCTCCTGAGGTGCTTCTGGGAAGTTGGCATACGTCTTGAGCCTAAGCCAGGGAATCAGCTCGCATCTCGAGACGATTTGGGGTACACGGAGCATTCCTCGAGTTGCTGTGCTGAAGTTGGTGTTCCTCTAGACTTGGGACAGTGTTCTCGGGGCATCTCTGGAGTTGCCTGAAGGAAGTCGAGCCACCCGTCTTGTTGAATGGGGAACGGGGAATGGCTCTGGAGTCAATGCAGGGGAATCGGGCCTCATCTCGAGTTGATTTGCGGCACATGGAGCTGCTTTGCGTTGCTGGGGTGACCTCAGGGTCCGTCTAGACTGGTGACAGTGTTCTTGGGGACTGTCTCGAGATCCATTAAGCAAGTCGAAGCTCCTGACTTGTTTGAATGGGATCACGGAATAGCTCTGCATGCACTGCAGGGGAATGGGGCCTCATCTCGCCTCTAGGGGGAAGTCTCATGGTTTTTCTCGAGTTGCGGCGGGGACCTGGGGTATGTTCTCGACTTACGGCGGGGATGGCCCTTCAAAACACGAGTTTCTTCAGTGACGTCAGGACTCCTGTCTAGTAACGAGGGACACCTCAGGAATCTCTTCGAGGCTTGGCAGGGCAAAAGGGACGCTTCTCGAGGTGAGGCAGGGCACCCAAGGACCCTTTCCAGTAGCCACAGGGATTTTGGGATTCCTATCAGTATTCAAGAGGAGTCAGGCATCGTCACCTTTTGAAGCTATGAACTCCGCGTGCCTCTCGAGGTGTCAGCGGGATGTGAGGCATTCCGTCAAAATGAGGCAGGGACCTAGGGCTTTCTCTAAGGTCTCCACAGGGGATTCAGACATCCCTTCATGTTGTGAGATGAAAGACGAGCCTGTATTCGAGCCACTGCAAGGAAATCCGGCCTCCTTTCAAGTTAGGGCTTCTCGCTGTATATTCCCCTTGAGGCAGCAAACTCGGGGTCCCTCCCACATACCTACTGCTGAGAGAAGCCTCCTCCTGAGGTGCTTCTGGGAAGTTGGCATACGTCTTGAGCCTAAGCCAGGGAATCAGCTCGCATCTCGAGACGATTTGGGGTACACGGAGCATTCCTCGAGTTGCTGTGCTGAAGTTGGTGTTCCTCTAGACTTGGGACAGTGTTCTCGGGGCATCTCTGGAGTTGCCTGAAGGAAGTCGAGCCACCGGTCGTGTTGAATGGGGAACGGGGAATGGCTCTGGAGTCAATGCAGGGGAATCGGGCCTCATCTCGAGTTGATTTGGGGCACATGGAGCTGCTTTGCGTTGCTGGGGTGACCTCAGGGTCCGTCTAGACTGGTGACAGTGTTCTTGGGGACTGTCTCGAGATCCATTAAGCAAGTCGAAGCTCCTGACTTGTTTGAATGGGATCACGGAATAGCTCTGCATGCACTGCAGGGGAATGGGGCCTCATCTCGCCTCTAGGGGGAAGTCTCATGGTTTTTCTCGAGTTGCGGCGGGGACCTGGGGTATGTTCTCGACTTACGGCGGGGATGGCCCTTCAAAACACGAGTTTCTTCAGTGACGTCAGGACTCCTGTCTAGTAACGAGGGACACCTCAGGAATCTCTTCGAGGCTTGGCAGGGCAAAAGGGACGCTTCTCGAGGTGAGGCAGGGCACCCAAGGACCCTTTCCAGTAGCCACAGGGATTTTGGGATTCCTATCAGTATTCAAGAGGAGTCAGGCATCGTCACCTTTTGAAGCAATGAACTCCGCGTGCCTCTCGAGGTGTCAGCGGGATGTGAGGCATTCCGTCAAAATGAGGCAGGGACCTAGGGCTTTCTCTAAGGTCTCCACAGGGGATTCAGACATCCCTTCATGTTGTGAGATGAAAGATGAGCCTGTATTCGAGCCACTGCAAGGAAATCCGGCCTCCTTTCAAGTTAGGTCTTCTCGCTGTATATTCCCCTTGAGGCAGCAAACTCGGGGTCCCTCCCACATACCTATTGCTGAGAGAATCCTCCTCCTGAGGTGCTTCTGGGAAGTTGGCATACGTCTTTAGCCTAATCCAGGGCATCAGCTCGCATCTCGAGACGATTTGGGGTTCACGGAGCATTCCTCGAGTTGCTGTGCTGAAGTTGGTGTTCCTCTAGACTTGGGACAGTGTTCTCGGGGCATCTCTGGAGTTGCCTGAAGGAAGTTGAGCCACCGGTCGTGTTGAATGGGGAACGGGGAATGGCTCTGGAGTCAATGCAGGGGAATCGGGCCTCATCTCGAGTTGATTTGGGGCACATGGAGCTGCTTTGCGTTGCTGGGGTGACCTCAGGGTCCGTCTAGACTGGTGACAGTGTTCTTGGGGACTGTCTCGAAATCCATTAAGCAAGTCGAAGCTCCTGACTTGTTTGAATGGGATCACGGAATAGCTCTGCATGCACTGCAGGGGAATGGGGCCTCATCTCGCCTCTAGGGGGAAGTCTCATGGTTTTTCTCGAGTTGCGGCGGGGACCTGGGGTATGTTCTCGACTTACGGCGGGGATGGCCCTTCAAAACACGAGTTTCTTCAGTGACGTCAGGACTCCTGTCTAGTAACGAGGGACACCTCAGGAATCTCTTCGAGGCTTGGCAGGGCAAAAGGGACGCTTCTCGAGGTGAGGCAGGGCACCCAAGGACCCTTTCCAGTAGCCACAGGGATTTTGGGATTCCTATCAGTATTCAAGAGGAGTCAGGCATCGTCACCTTTTGAAGCAATGAACTCCGCGTGCCTCTCGAGGTGTCAGCGGGATGTGAGGCATTCCGTCAAAATGAGGCAGGGACCTAGGGCTTTCTCTAAGGTCTCCACAGGGGATTCAGACATCCCTTCATGTTGTGAGATGAAAGACGAGCCTGTATTCGAGCCACTGCAAGGAAATCCGGCCTCCTTTCAAGTTAGGGCTTCTCGCTGTATATTCCCCTTGAGGCAGCAAACTCGGGGTCCCTCCCACATACCTACTGCTGAGAGAAGCCTCCTCCTGAGGTGCTTCTGGGAAGTTGGCATACGTCTTGAGCCTAAGCCAGGGAATCAGCTCGCATCTCGAGACGATTTGGGGTACACGGAGCATTCCTCGAGTTGCTGTGCTGAAGTTGGTGTTCCTCTAGACTTGGGACAGTGTTCTCGGGGCATCTCTGGAGTTGCCTGAAGGAAGTCGAGCCACCGGTCGTGTTGAATGGGGAACGGGGAATGGCTCTGGAGTCAATGCAGGGGAATCGGGCCTCATCTCGAGTTGATTTGGGGCACATGGAGCTGCTTTGCGTTGCTGGGGTGACCTCAGGGTCCGTCTAGACTGGTGACAGTGTTCTTGGGGACTGTCTCGAGATCCATTAAGCAAGTCGAAGCTCCTGACTTGTTTGAATGGGATCACGGAATAGCTCTGCATGCACTGCAGGGGAATGGGGCCTCATCTCGCCTCTAGGGGGAAGTCTCATGGTTTTTCTCGAGTTGCGGCGGGGACCTGGGGTATGTTCTCGACTTACGGCGGGGATGGCCCTTCAAAACACGAGTTTCTTCAGTGACGTCAGGACTCCTGTCTAGTAACGAGGGACACCTCAGGAATCTCTTCGAGGCTTGGCAGGGCAAAAGGGACGCTTCTCGAGGTGAGGCAGGGCACCCAAGGACCCTTTCCAGTAGCCACAGGGATTTTGGGATTCCTATCAGTATTCAAGAGGAGTCAGGCATCGTCACCTTTTGAAGCAATGAACTCCGCGTGCCTCTCGAGGTGTCAGCGGGATGTGAGGCATTCCGTCAAAATGAGGCAGGGACCTAGGGCTTTCTCTAAGGTCTCCACAGGGGATTCAGACATCCCTTCATGTTGTGAGATGAAAGATGAGCCTGTATTCGAGCCACTGCAAGGAAATCCGGCCTCCTTTCAAGTTAGGTCTTCTCGCTGTATATTCCCCTTGAGGCAGCAAACTCGGGGTCCCTCCCACATACCTATTGCTGAGAGAAGCCTCCTCCTGAGGTGCTTCTGGGAAGTTGGCATACGTCTTTAGCCTAATCCAGGGCATCAGCTCGCATCTCGAGACGATTTGGGGTTCACGGAGCATTCCTCGAGTTGCTGTGCTGAAGTTGGTGTTCCTCTAGACTTGGGACAGTGTTCTCGGGGCATCTCTGGAGTTGCCTGAAGGAAGTTGAGCCACCGGTCGTGTTGAATGGGGAACGGGGAATGGCTCTGGAGTCAATGCAGGGGAATCGGGCCTCATCTCGAGTTGATTTGGGGCACATGGAGCTGCTTTGCGTTGCTGGGGTGACCTCAGGGTCCGTCTAGACTGGTGACAGTGTTCTTGGGGACTGTCTCGAAATCCATTAAGCAAGTCGAAGCTCCTGACTTGTTTGAATGGGATCACGGAATAGCTCTGCATGCACTGCAGGGGAATGGGGCCTCATCTCGCCTCTAGGGGGAAGTCTCATGGTTTTTCTCGAGTTGCGGCGGGGACCTGGGGTATGTTCTCGACTTACGGCGGGGATGGCCCTTCAAAACACGAGTTTCTTCAGTGACGTCAGGACTCCTGTCTAGTAACGAGGGACACCTCAGGAATCTCTTCGAGGCTTGGCAGGGCAAAAGGGACGCTTCTCGAGGTGAGGCAGGGCACCCAAGGACCCTTTCCAGTAGCCACAGGGATTTTGGGATTCCTATCAGTATTCAAGAGGAGTCAGGCATCGTCACCTTTTGAAGCAATGAACTCCGCGTGCCTCTCGAGGTGTCAGCGGGATGTGAGGCATTCCGTCAAAATGAGGCAGGGACCTAGGGCTTTCTTTAAGGTCTCCACAGGGGATTCAGACATCCCTTCATGTTGTGAGATGAAAGACGAGCCTGTATTCAAGCCACTGCAAGGAAATCCGGCCTCCTTTCAAGTTAGGGCTTCTCGCTGTATATTCCCCTTGAGGCAGCAAACTAGGGGTCCCTCCCACATACCTACTGCTGAGAGAAGCCTCCTCCTGAGGTGCTTCTGGGAAGTTGGCATACGTCTTGAGCCTAAGCCAGGGAATCAGCTCGCATCTCGAGACGATTTGGGGTACACGGAGCATTCCTCGAGTTGCTGTGCTGAAGTTGGTGTTCCTCTAGACTTGGGACAGTGTTCTCGGGGCATCTCTGGAGTTGCCTGAAGGAAGTCGAGCCACCCGTCTTGTTGAATGGGGAACGGGGAATGGCTCTGGAGTCAATGCAGGGGAATCGGGCCTCATCTCGAGTTGATTTGCGGCACATGGAGCTGCTTTGCGTTGCTGGGGTGACCTCAGGGTCCGTCTAGACTGGTGACAGTGTTCTTGGGGACTGTCTCGAGATCCATTAAGCAAGTCGAAGCTCCTGACTTGTTTGAATGGGATCACGGAATAGCTCTGCATGCACTGCAGGGGAATGGGGCCTCATCTCGCCTCTAGGGGGAAGTCTCATGGTTTTTCTCGAGTTGCGGCGGGGACCTGGGGTATGTTCTCGACTTAAGGCGGGGATGGCCCTTCAAAACACGAGTTTCTTCAGTGACGTCAGGACTCCTGTCTAGTAACGAGGGACACCTCAGGAATCTCTTCGAGGCTTGGCAGGGCAAAAGGGACGCTTCTCGAGGTGAGGCAGGGCACCCAAGGACCCTTTCCAGTAGCCACAGGGATTTTGGGATTCCTATCAGTATTCAAGAGGAGTCAGGCATCGTCACCTTTTGAAGCAATGAACTCCGCGTGCCTCTCGAGGTGTCAGCGGGATGTGAGGCATTCCGTCAAAATGAGGCAGGGACCTAGGGCTTTCTCTAAGGTCTCCACAGGGGATTCAGACATCCCTTCATGTTGTGAGATGAAAGACGAGCCTGTATTCGAGCCACTGCAAGGAAATCCGGCCTCCTTTCAAGTTAGGGCTTCTCGCTGTATATTCCCCTTGAGGCAGCAAACTCGGGGTCCCTCCCACATACCTACTGCTGAGAGAAGCCTCCTCCTGAGGTGCTTCTGGGAAGTTGGCATACGTCTTGAGCCTAAGCCAGGGAATCAGCTCGTATCTCGAGACGATTTGGGGTACACGGAGCATTCCTCGAGTTGCTGTGCTGAAGTTGGTGTTCCTCTAGACTTGGGACAGTGTTCTCGGGGCATCTCTGGAGTTGCCTGAAGGAAGTCGAGCCACCGGTCGTGTTGAATGGGGAACGGGGAATGGCTCTGGAGTCAATGCAGGGGAATCGGGCCTCATCTCGAGTTGATTTGGGGCACATGGAGCTGCTTTGCGTTGCTGGGGTGACCTCAGGGTCCGTCTAGACTGGTGACAGTGTTCTTGGGGACTGTCTCGAGATCCATTAAGCAAGTCGAAGCTCCTGACTTGTTTGAATGGGATCACGGAATAGCTCTGCATGCACTGCAGGGGAATGGGGCCTCATCTCGCCTCTAGGGGGAAGTCTCATGGTTTTTCTCGAGTTGCGGCGGGGACCTGGGGTATGTTCTCGACTTACGGCGGGGATGGCCCTTCAAAACACGAGTTTCTTCAGTGACGTCAGGACTCCTGTCTAGTAACGAGGGACACCTCAGGAATCTCTTCGAGGCTTGGCAGGGCAAAAGGGACGCTTCTCGAGGTGAGGCAGGGCACCCAAGGACCCTTTCCAGTAGCCACAGGGATTTTGGGATTCCTATCAGTATTCAAGAGGAGTCAGGCATCGTCACCTTTTGAAGCAATGAACTCCGCGTGCCTCTCGAGGTGTCAGCGGGATGTGAGGCATTCCGTCAAAATGAGGCAGGGACCTAGGGCTTTCTCTAAGGTCTCCACAGGGGATTCAGACATCCCTTCATGTTGTGAGATGAAAGATGAGCCTGTATTCGAGCCACTGCAAGGAAATCCGGCCTCCTTTCAAGTTAGGTCTTCTCGCTGTATATTCCCCTTGAGGCAGCAAACTCGGGGTCCCTCCCACATACCTATTGCTGAGAGAAGCCTCCTCCTGAGGTGCTTCTGGGAAGTTGGCATACGTCTTTAGCCTAATCCAGGGCATCAGCTCGCATCTCGAGACGATTTGGGGTACACGGAGCATTCCTCGAGTTGCTGTGCTGAAGTTGGTGTTCCTCTAGACTTGGGACAGTGTTCTCGGGGCATCTCTGGAGTTGCCTGAAGGAAGTCGAGCCACCGGTCGTGTTGAATGGGGAACGGGGAATGGCTCTGGAGTCAATGCAGGGGAATCGGGCCTCATCTCGAGTTGATTTGGGGCACATGGAGCTGCTTTGCGTTGCTGGGGTGACCTCAGGGTCCGTCTAGACTGGTGACAGTGTTCTTGGGGACTGTCTCGAGATCCATTAAGCAAGTCGAAGCTCCTGACTTGTTTGAATGGGATCACGGAATAGCTCTGCATGCACTGCAGGGGAATGGGGCCTCATCTCGCCTCTAGGGGGAAGTCTCATGGTTTTTCTCGAGTTGCGGCGGGGACCTGGGGTATGTTCTCGACTTACGGCGGGGATGGCCCTTCAAAACACGAGTTTCTTCAGTGACGTCAGGACTCCTGTCTAGTAACGAGGGACACCTCAGGAATCTCTTCGAGGCTTGGCAGGGCAAAAGGGACGCTTCTCGAGGTGAGGCAGGGCACCCAAGGACCCTTTCCAGTAGCCACAGGGATTTTGGGATTCCTATCAGTATTCAAGAGGAGTCAGGCATCGTCACCTTTTGAAGCAATGAACTCCGCGTGCCTCTCGAGGTGTCAGCGGGATGTGAGGCATTCCGTCAAAATGAGGCAGGGACCTAGGGCTTTCTTTAAGGTCTCCACAGGGGATTCAGACATCCCTTCATGTTGTGAGATGAAAGACGAGCCTGTATTCAAGCCACTGCAAGGAAATCCGGCCTCCTTTCAAGTTAGGGCTTCTCGCTGTATATTCCCCTTGAGGCAGCAAACTCGGGGTCCCTCCCACATACCTACTGCTGAGAGAAGCCTCCTCCTGAGGTGCTTCTGGAAAGTTGGCATACGTCTTGAGCCTAAGACAGGGAATCAGCTCGCATCTCGAGACGATTTGGGGTACACGGAGCATTCCTCGAGTTACTGTGCTGAAGTTGGTGTTCCTCTAGACTTGGGACAGTGTTCTCGGGGCATCTCTGGAGTTGCCTGAAGGAAGTCGAGCCACCCGTCGTGTTGAATGGGGAACGGGGAATGGCTCTGGAGTCAATGCAGGGGAATCGGGCCTCATCTCGAGTTGATTTGGGGCACATGGACCTGCTTTGCGTTGCTGGGGTGACCTCAGGGTCCGTCTAGACTGGTGACAGTGTTCTTGGGGACTGTCTCGAGATCCATTAAGCAAGTCGAAGCTCCTGACTTGTTTGAATGGGATCACGGAATAGCTCTGCATGCACTGCAGGGGAATGGGGCCTCATCTCGCCTCTAGGGGGAAGTCTCATGGTTTTTCTCGAGTTGCGGCGGGGACCTGGGGTATGTTCTCGACTTACGGCGGGGATGGCCCTTCAAAACACGAGTTTCTTCCGTGACGTCAGGACTCCTGTCTAGTAACGAGGGACACCTCAGGAATCTCTTCGAGGCTTGGCAGGGCAAAAGGGACGCTTCTCGAGGTGAGGCAGGGCACCCAAGGACCCTTTCCAGTAGCCACAGGGATTTTGGGATTCCTATCAGTATTCAAGAGGAGTCAGGCATCGTCACCTTTTGAAGCAATGAACTCCGCGTGCCTCTCGAGGTGTCAGCGGGATGTGAGGCATTCCGTCAAAATGAGGCAGGGACCTAGGGCTTTCTCTAAGGTCTCCACAGGGGATTCAGACATCCCTTCATGTTGTGAGATGAAAGACGAGCCTGTATTCAAGCCACTGCAAGGAAATCCGGCCTCCTTTCAAGTTAGGGCTTCTCGCTGTATATTCCCCTTGAGGCAGCAAACTCGGGGTCCCTCCCACATACCTACTGCTGAGAGAAGCCTCCTCCTGAGGTGCTTCTGGGAAGTTGGCATACGTCTTGAGCCTAAGCCAGGGAATCAGCTCGCATCTCGAGACGATTTGGGGTACACGGAGCATTCCTCGAGTTGCTGTGCTGAAGTTGGTGTTCCTCTAGACTTGGGACAGTGTTCTCGGGGCATCTCTGGAGTTGCCTGAAGGAAGTCGAGCCACCCGTCGTGTTGAATGGGGAACGGGGAATGGCTCTGGAGTCAATGCAGGGGAATCGGGCCTCATCTCGAGTTGATTTGGGGCACATGGAGCTGCTTTGCGTTGCTGGGGTGACCTCAGGGTCCGTCTAGACTGGTGACAGTGTTCTTGGGGACTGTCTCGAGATCCATTAAGCAAGTCGAAGCTCCTGACTTGTTTGAATGGGATCACGGAATAGCTCTGCATGCACTGCAGGGGAATGGGGCCTCATCTCGCCTCTAGGGGGAAGTCTCATGGTTTTTCTCGAGTTGCGGCGGGGACCTGGGGTATGTTCTCGACTTACGGCGGGGATGGCCCTTCAAAACACGAGTTTCTTCAGTGACGTCAGGACTCCTGTCTAGTAACGAGGGACACCTCAGGAATCTCTTCGAGGCTTGGCAGGGCAAAAGGGACGCTTCTCGAGGTGAGGCAGGGCACCCAAGGACCCTTTCCAGTAGCCACAGGGATTTTGGGATTCCTATCAGTATTCAAGAGGAGTCAGGTATCGTCACCTTTTGAAGCAATGAACTCCGCGTACCTCTCAAGGTGTCAGCGGGATGTGAGGCATTCCGTCAAAATGAGGCAGGGACCTAGGGCTTTCTCTAAGGTCTCCACAGGGGATTCAGACATCCCTTCATGTTGTGAGATGAAAGATGAGCCTGAATTCGAGCCACTGCAAGGAAATCCGGCCTCCTTTCAAGTTAGGGCTTCTCGCTGTATATTCCCCTTGAGGCAGCAAACTCGGGGTCCCTCCCACATACTTATTGCTGAGAGAAGCCTCCTCCTGAGGTGCTTCTGGGAAGTTGGCATACGTCTTGAGCCTAAGCCAGGGAATCAGCTCGCATCTCGAGACGATTTGGGGTACACGGAGAATTCCTCGAGTTGCTGTGCTGAAGTTGGTGTTCCTCTAGACTTGGGACAGTGTTCTCGGGGCATCTCTGGAGTTGCCTGAAGGAAGTCGAGCCACCGGTCGTGTTGAATGGGGAACGGGGAATGGCTCTGGAGTCAATGCAGGGGAATCGGGCCTCATCTCGAGTTGATTTGGGGCACATGGAGCTGCTTTGCGTTGCTGGGGTGACCTCAGGGTCCGTCTAGACTGGTGACAGTGTTCTTGGGGACTGTCTCGAGATCCATTAAGCAAGTCGAAGCTCCTGACTTGTTTGAATGGGATCACGGAATAGCTCTGCATGCACTGCAGGGGAATGGGGCCTCATCTCGCCTCTAGGGGGAAGTCTCATGGTTTTTCTCGAGTTGCGGCGGGGACCTGGGGTATGTTCTCGACTTACGGCGGGGATGGCCCTTCAAAACACGAGTTTCTTCAGTGACGTCAGGACTCCTGTCTAGTAACGAGGGACACCTCAGGAATCTCTTCGAGGCTTGGCAGGGCAAAAGGGACGCTTCTCGAGGTGAGGCAGGGCACCCAAGGACCCTTTCCAGTAGCCACAGGGATTTTGGGATTCCTATCAGTATTCAAGAGGAGTCAGGCATCGTCACCTTTTGAAGCAATGAACTCCGCGTGCCTCTCGAGGTGTCAGCGGGATGTGAGGCATTCCGTCAAAATGAGGCAGGGACCTAGGGCTTTCTCTAAGGTCTCCACAGGGGATTCAGACATCCCTTCATGTTGTGAGATGAAAGACGAGCCTGTATTCAAGCCACTGCAAGGAAATCCGGCCTCCTTTCAAGTTAGGGCTTCTCGCTGTATATTCCCCTTGAGGCAGCAAACTCGGGGTCCCTCCCACATACCTACTGCTGAGAGAAGCCTCCTCCTGAGGTGCTTCTGGGAAGTTGGCATACATCTTGAGCCTAAGCCAGGGAATCAGCTCGCATCTCCAGACGATTTGGGGTACACGGAGCATTCCTCGAGTTGCTGTGCTGAAGTTGGTGTTCCTCTAGACTTGGGACAGTGTTCTCGGGGCATCTCTGGAGTTGCCTGAAGGAAGTCGAGCCACCGGTCGTGTTGAATGGGGAACGGGGAATGGCTCTGGAGTCAATGCAGGGGAATCGGGCCTCATCTCGAGTTGATTTGGGGCACATGGAGCTGCTTTGCGTTGCTGGGGTGACCTCAGGGTCCGTCTAGACTGGTGACAGTGTTCTTGGGGACTGTCTCGAGATCCATTAAGCAAGTCGAAGCTCCTGACTTGTTTGAATGGGATCACGGAATAGCTCTGCATGCACTGCAGGGGAATGGGGCCTCATCTCGCCTCTAGGGGGAAGTCTCATGGTTTTTCTCGAGTTGCGGCGGGGACCTGGGGTATGTTCTCGACTTACGGCGGGGATGGCCCTTCAAAACACTAGTTTCTTCAGTGACGTCAGGACTCCTGTCTAGTAACGAGGGACACCTCAGGAATCTCTTCGAGGCTTGGCAGGGCAAAAGGGACGCTTCTCGAGGTGAGGCAGGGCACCCAAGGACCCTTTCCAGTAGCCACAGGGGTTTTGGGATTCCTATCAGTATTCAAGAAGAGTCAGGCATCGTCACCTTTTGAAGCAATGAACTCCGCGTGCCTCTCGAGGTGTCAGCGGGATGTGAGGCATTCCGTCAAAATGAGGCAGGGACCTAGGGCTTTCTCTAAGGTCTCCACAGGGGATTCAGACATCCCTTCATGTTGTGAGATGAAAGACGAGCCTGTATTCGAGCCACTGCAAGGAAATCCGGCCTCCTTTCAAGTTAGGGCTTCTCGCTGTATATTCCCCTTGAGGCAGCAAACTCGGGGTCCCTCCCACATACCTACTGCTGAGAGAAGCCTCCTCCTGAGGTGCTTCTGGGAAGTTGGCATACGTCTTGAGCCTAAGCCAGGGAATCAGCTCGCATCTCGAGACGATTTGGGGTACACGGAGCATTCCTCGAGTTGCTGTGCTGAAGTTGGTGTTCCTCTAGACTTGGGACAGTGTTCTCGGGGCATCTCTGGAGTTGCCTGAAGGAAGTCGAGCCACCCGTCGTGTTGAATGGGGAACGGGGAATGGCTCTGGAGTCAAAGCAGGGGAATCGGGCCTCATCTCGAGTTGATTTGGGGCACATGGAGCTGCTTTGCGTTGCTGGGGTGACCTCAGGGTCCGTCTAGACTGGTGACAGTGTTCTTGGGGACTGTCTCGAGATCCATTAAGCAAGTCGAAGCTCCTGACTTGTTTGAATGGGATCACGGAATAGCTCTGCATGCACTGCAGGGGAATGGGGCCTCATCTCGCCTCTAGGGGGAAGTCTCATGGTTTTTCTCGAGTTGCGGCGGGGACCTGGGGTATGTTCTCGACTTACGGCGGGGATGGCCCTTCAAAACACGAGTTTCTTCAGTGACGTCAGGACTCCTGTCTAGTAACGAGGGACACCTCAGGAATCTCTTCGAGGCTTGGCAGGGCCAAAGGGACGCTTCTCGAGGTGAGGCAGGGCACCCAAGGACCCTTTCCAGTAGCCACAGGGATTTTGGGATTCCTATCAGTATTCAAGAGGAGTCAGGCATCGTCACCTTTTGAAGCAATGAACTCCGCGTGCCTCTCGAGGTGTCAGCGGGATGTGAGGCATTCCGTCAAAATGAGGCAGGGACCTAGGGCTTTCTCTAAGGTCTCCACAGGGGATTCAGACATCCCTTCATGTTGTGAGATGAAAGATGAGCCTGTATTCGAGCCACTGCAAGGAAATCCGGCCTCCTTTCAAGTTAGGACTTCCCGCTGTATATTCCCCTTGAGGCAGCAAACTCGGGGTCCCTCCCACATACCTACTGCTGAGAGAAGCCTCCTCCTGAGGTGCTTCTGGGAAGTTGGCATACGTCTTGAGCCTAAGCCAGGGAATCAGCTCGCATCTCGAGACGATTTGGGGTACACGGAGCATTCCTCGAGTTGCTGTGCTGAAGTTGGTGTTCCTCTAGACTTGGGACAGTGTTCTCGGGGCATCTCTGGAGTTGCCTGAAGGAAGTCGAGCCACCCGTCGTGTTGAATGGGGAACGGGGAATGGCTCTGGAGTCAATGCAGGGGAATCGGGCCTCATCTCGAGTTGATTTGGGGCACATGGAGCTGCTTTGCGTTGCTGGGGTGACCTCAGGGTCCGTCTAGACTGGTGACAGTGTTCTTGGGGACTGTCTCGAGATCCATTAAGCAAGTCGAAGCTCCTGACTTGTTTGAATGGGATCACGGAATAGCTCTGCATGCACTGCAGGGGAATGGGGCCTCATCTCGCCTCTAGGGGGAAGTCTCATGGTTTTTCTCGAGTTGCGGCGGGGACCTGGGGTATGTTCTCGACTTACGGCGGGGATGGCCCTTCAAAACACGAGTTTCTTCAGTGACGTCAGGACTCCTGTCTAGTAACGAGGGACACCTCAGGAATCTCTTCGAGGCTTGGCAGGGCAAAAGGGACGCTTCTGGAGGTGAGGCAGGGCACCCAAGGACTCTTTCCAGTAGCCACAGGGATTTTGGGATTCCAATCACTATTCAAGAGGAGTCAGGCATCGTCACCTTTTGAAGCAATGAACTCCGCGTGCCTCTCGAGGTGTCAGCGGGATGTGAGGCATTCCGTCAAAATGAGGCAGGGACCTAGGGCTTTCTCTAAGGTCTCCACAGGGGATTCAGACATCCCTTCATGTTGTGAGATGAAAGACGAGCCTGTATTCAAGCCACTGCAAGGAAATCCGGCCTCCTTTCAAGTTAGGGCTTCTCGCTGTATATTCCCCTTGAGGCAGCAAACTCGGGGTCCCTCCCACATACCTACTGCTGAGAGAAGCCTCCTCCTGAGGTGCTTCTGGGAAGTTGGCATACGTCTTGAGCCTAAGCCAGGGAATCAGCTCGCATCTCGAGACGATTTGGGGTACACAGAGCATTCCTCGAGTTGCTGTGCTGAAGTTGGTGTTCCTCTAGACTTGGGACAGTGTTCTCGGGGCATCTCTGGAGTTGCCTGAAGGAAGTCGAGCCACCCGTCGTGTTGAATGGGGAACGGGGAATGGCTCTGGAGTCAATGCAGGGGAATCGGGCCTCATCTCGAGTTGATTTGGGGCACATGGAGCTGCTTTACGTTGCTGGGGTGACCTCAGGGTCCGTCTAGACTGGTGACAGTGTTCTTGGGGACTGTCTCGAGATCCATTAAGCAAGTCGAAGCTCCTGACTTGTTTGAATGGGATCACGGAATAGCTCTGCATGCACTGCAGGGGAATGGGGCCTCATCTCGCCTCTAGGGGGAAGTCTCATGGTTTTTCTCGAGTTGCGGCGGGGACCTGGGGTATGTTCTCGACTTACGGCGGGGATGGCCCTTCAAAACACGAGTTTCTTCAGTGACGTCAGGACTCCTGTCTAGTAACGAGGGACACCTCAGGAATCTCTTCGAGGCTTGGCAGGGCAAAAGGGACGCTTCTCGAGGTGAGGCAGGGCACCCAAGGACCCTTTCCAGTAGCCACAGGGATTTTGGGATTCCAATCAGTATTCAAGAGGAGTCAGGCATCGTCACCTTTTGAAGCAATGAACTCCGCGTGCCTCTCGAGGTGTCAGCGGGATGTGAGGCATTCCGTCAAAATGAGGCAGGGACCTAGGGCTTTCTCTAAGGTCTCCACAGGGGATTCAGACATCCCTTCATTTTGTGAGATGAAAGACGAGCCTGTATTCGAGCCACTGCAAGGAAATCCGGCCTCCTTTCAAGTTAGGGCTTCTCGCTGTATATTCCCCTTGAGGCAGCAAACTCGGGGTCCCTCCCACATACCTACTGCTGAGAGAAGCCTCCTCCTGAGGTGCTTCTGGGAAGTTGGCATACGTCTTGAGCCTAAGCCAGGGAATCAGCTCGCATCTCGAGACGATTTGGGGTACACGGAGCATTCCTCGAGTTGCTGTGCTGAAGTTGGTGTTCCTCTAGACTTGGGACAGTGTTCTCGGGGCATCTCTGGAGTTGCCTGAAGGAAGTCGAGCCACCGGTCGTGTTGAATGGGGAACGGGGAATGGCTCTGGAGTCAATGCAGGGGAATCGGGCCTCATCTCGAGTTGATTTGGGGCACATGGAGCTGCTTTGCGTTGCTGGGGTGACCTCAGGGTCCGTCTAGACTGGTGACAGTGTTCTTGGGGACTGTCTCGAGATCCATTAAGCAAGTCGAAGCTCCTGACTTGTTTGAATGGGATCACGGAATAGCTCTGCATGCACTGCAGGGGAATGGGGCCTCATCTCGCCTCTAGGGGGAAGTCTCATGGTTTTTCTTGAGTTGCGGCGGGGACCTGGGGTATGTTCTCGACTTACGGCGGGGATGGCCCTTCAAAACACGAGTTTCTTCAGTGACGTCAGGACTCCTGTCTAGTAACGAGGGACACCTCAGGAATCTCTTCGAGGCTTGGCAGGGCAAAAGGGACGCTTCTCGAGGTGAGGCAGGGCACCCAAGGACCCTTTCCAGTAGCCACAGGGATTTTGGGATTCCTATCAGTATTCAAGAGGAGTCAGGCATCGTCACCTTTTGAAGCAATGAAGTCCGCGTGCCTCTCGAGGTGTCAGCGGGATGTGAGGCATTCCGTCAAAATGAGGCAGGGACCTAGGGCTTTCTCTAAGGTCTCCACAGGGGATTCAGACATCCCTTCATGTTGTGAGATGAAAGATGAGCCTGTATTCAAGCCACTGCAAGGAAATCCGGCCTCCTTTCAAGTTAGGGCTTCTCGCTGTATATTCCCCTTGAGGCAGCAAACTCGGGGTCCCTCCCACATACCTATTGCTGAGAGAAGCCTCCTCCTGAGGTGCTTCTGGGAAGTGGGCATACGTCTTGAGCCTAAGCCAGGGAATCAGCTCGCATCTCGAGACGATTTGGGGTACACGGAGCATTCCTCGAGTTCCTGTGCTGAAGTTGGTGTTCCTCTAGACTTGGGACAGTGTTCTCGGGGCATCTCTGGAGTTGCCTGAAGGAAGTTGAGCCACCGGTCGTGTTGAATGGGGAACGGGGAATGGCTCTGGAGTCAATGCAGGGGAATCGGGCCTCATCTCGAGTTGATTTGGGGCACATGGAGCTGCTTTGCGTTGCTGGGGTGACCTCAGGGTCCGTCTAGACTGGTGACAGTGTTCTTGGGGACTGTCTCGAGATCCATTAAGCAAGTCGAAGCTCCTGACTTGTTTGAATGGGATCACGGAATAGCTCTGCATGCACTGCAGGGGAATGGGGCCTCATCTCGCCTCTAGGGGGAGGTCTCATGGTTTTTCTCGAGTTGCGGCGGGGACCTGGGGTATGTTCTCGACTTACGGCGGGGATGGCCCTTCAAAACACGAGTTTCTTCAGTGACGTCAGGACTCCTGTCTAGTAACGAGGGACACCTCAGGAATCTCTTCGAGGCTTGGCAGGGCCAAAGGGACGCTTCTCGAGGTGAGGCAGGGCACCCAAGGACCTTTCCAGTAGCCACAGGGATTTTGGGATTCCTATCAGTATTCAAGAGGAGTCAGGCATCGTCACCTTTTGAAGCAATGAACTCCGCGTGCCTCTCGAGGTGTCAGCGGGATGTGAGGCATTCCGTCAAAATGAGGCAGGGACCTAGGGCTTTCTCTAAGGTCTCCACAGGGGATTCAGACATCCCTTCATGTTGTGAGATGAAAGACGAGCCTGTATTCGAGCCACTGCAAGGAAATCCGGCCTCCTTTCAAGTTAGGGCTTCTCGCTGTATATTCCCCTTGAGGCAGCAAACTCGGGGTCCCTCCCACATACCTACTGCTGAGAGAAGCCTCCTCCTGAGGTGCTTCTGGGAAGTTGGCATACGTCTTGAGCCTAAGCCAGGGAATCAGCTCGCATCTCGAGACGATTTGGGGTACACGGAGCATTCCTCGAGTTGCTGTGCTGAAGTTGGTGTTCCTCTAGACTTGGGACAGTGTTCTCGGGGCATCTCTGGAGTTGCCTGAAGGAAGTCGAGCCACCGGTCGTGTTGAATGGGGAACGGGGAATGGCTCTGGAGTCAATGCAGGGGAATCGGGCCTCATCTCGAGTTGATTTGGGGCACATGGAGCTGCTTTGCGTTGCTGGGGTGACCTCAGGGTCCGTCTAGACTGGTGACAGTGTTCTTGGGGACTGTCTCGAGATCCATTAAGCAAGTCGAAGCTCCTGACTTGTTTGAATGGGATCACGGAATAGCTCTGCATGCACTGCAGGGGAACGGGGCCTCATCTCGCCTCTAGGGGGAAGTCTCATGGTTTTTCTCGAGTTGCGGCGGGGACCTGGGGTATGTTCTCGACTTACGGCGGGGATGGCCCTTCAAAACACGAGTTTCTTCAGTGACGTCAGGACTCCTGTCTAGTAACGAGGGACACCTCAGGAATCTCTTCGAGGCTTGGCAGGGCAAAAGGGACGCTTCTCGAGGTGAGGCAGGGCACCCAAGGACCCTTTCCAGTAGCCACAGGGATTTTGGGATTCCTATCAGTATTCAAGAGGAGTCAGGCATCGTCACCTTTTGAAGCAATGAAGTCCGCGTGCCTCTCGAGGTGTCAGCGGGATGTGAGGCATTCCGTCAAAATGAGGCAGGGACCTAGGGCTTTCTCTAAGGTCTCCACAGGGGATTCAGACATCCCTTCATGTTGTGAGGTGAAAGATGAGCCTGTATTCAAGCCACTGCAAGGAAATCCGGCCTCCTTTCAAGTTAGGGCTTCTCGCTGTATATTCCCCTTGAGGCAGCAAACTCGGGGTCCCTCCCACATACCTATTGCTGAGAGAAGCCTCCTCCTGAGGTGCTTCTGGGAAGTGGGCATACGTCTTGAGCCTAAGCCAGGGAATCAGCTCGCATCTCGAGACGATTTGGGGTACACGGAGCATTCCTCGAGTTCCTGTGCTGAAGTTGGTGTTCCTCTAGACTTGGGACAGTGTTCTCGGGGCATCTCTGGAGTTGCCTGAAGGAAGTTGAGCCACCGGTCGTGTTGAATGGGGAACGGGGAATGGCTCTGGAGTCAATGCAGGGGAATCGGGCCTCATCTCGAGTTGATTTGGGGCACATGGAGCTGCTTTGCGTTGCTGGGGTGACCTCAGGGTCCGTCTAGACTGGTGACAGTGTTCTTGGGGACTGTCTCGAGATCCATTAAGCAAGTCGAAGCTCCTGACTTGTTTGAATGGGATCACGGAATAGCTCTGCATGCACTGCAGGGGAATGGGGCCTCATCTCGCCTCTAGGGGGAGGTCTCATGGTTTTTCTCGAGTTGCGGCGGGGACCTGGGGTATGTTCTCGACTTACGGCGGGGATGGCCCTTCAAAACACGAGTTTCTTCAGTGACGTCAGGACTCCTGTCTAGTAACGAGGGACACCTCAGGAATCTCTTCGAGGCTTGGCAGGGCCAAAGGGACGCTTCTCGAGGTGAGGCAGGGCACCCAAGGACCCTTTCCAGTAGCCACAGGGATTTTGGGATTCCTATCAGTATTCAAGAGGAGTCAGGCATCGTCACCTTTTGAAGCAATGAACTCCGCGTGCCTCTCGAGGTGTCAGCGGGATGTGAGGCATTCCGTCAAAATGAGGCAGGGACCTAGGGCTTTCTCTAAGGTCTCCACAGGGGATTCAGACATCCCTTCATGTTGTGAGATGAAAGACGAGCCTGTATTCGAGCCACTGCAAGGAAATCCGGCCTCCTTTCAAGTTAGGGCTTCTCGCTGTATATTCCCCTTGAGGCAGCAAACTCGGGGTCCCTCCCACATACCTACTGCTGAGAGAAGCCTCCTCCTGAGGTGCTTCTGGGAAGTTGGCATACGTCTTGAGCCTAAGCCAGGGAATCAGCTCGCATCTCGAGACGATTTGGGGTACACGGAGCATTCCTCGAGTTGCTGTGCTGAAGTTGGTGTTCCTCTAGACTTGGGACAGTGTTCTCGGGGCATCTCTGGAGTTGCCTGAAGGAAGTCGAGCCACCGGTCGTGTTGAATGGGGAACGGGGAATGGCTCTGGAGTCAATGCAGGGGAATCGGGCCTCATCTCGAGTTGATTTGGGGCACATGGAGCTGCTTTGCGTTGCTGGGGTGACCTCAGGGTCCGTCTAGACTGGTGACAGTGTTCTTGGGGACTGTCTCGAGATCCATTAAGCAAGTCGAAGCTCCTGACTTGTTTGAATGGGATCACGGAATAGCTCTGCATGCACTGCAGGGGAATGGGGCCTCATCTCGCCTCTAGGGGGAAGTCTCATGGTTTTTCTCGAGTTGCGGCGGGGACCTGGGGTATGTTCTCGACTTACGGCGGGGATGGCCCTTCAAAACACGAGTTTCTTCAGTGACGTCAGGACTCCTGTCTAGTAACGAGGGACACCTCAGGAATCTCTTCGAGGCTTGGCAGGGCAAAAGGGACGCTTCTCGAGGTGAGGCAGGGCACCCAAGGACCCTTTCCAGTAGCCACAGGGATTTTGGGATTCCTATCAGTATTCAAGAGGAGTCAGGCATCGTCACCTTTTGAAGCAATGAACTCCGCGTGCCTCTCGAGGTGTCAGCGGGATGTGAGGCATTCCGTCAAAATGAGGCAGGGACCTAGGGCTTTCTCTAAGGTCTCCACAGGGGATTCAGACATCCCTTCATGTTGTGAGATGAAAGACGAGCCTGTATTCGAGCCACTGCAAGGAAATCCGGCCTCCTTTCAAGTTAGGGCTTCTCGCTGTATATTCCCCTTGAGGCAGCAAACTCGGGGTCCCTCCCACATACCTACTGCTGAGAGAAGCCTCCTCCTGAGGTGCTTCTGGGAAGTTGGCATACGTCTTGAGCCTAAGCCAGGGAATCAGCTCGCATCTCGAGACGATTTGGGGTACATGGAGCATTCCTCGAGTTGCTGTGCTGAAGTTGGTGTTCCTCTAGACTTGGGACAGTGTTCTCGGGGCATCTCTGGAGTTGCCTGAAGGAAGTCGAGCCACCGGTCGTGATGAATGGGGAACTGGGAATGGCTCTGGAGTCAATGCAGGGGAATCGGGCCTCATCTCGAGTTGATTTGGGGCACATGGAGCTGCTTTGCGTTGCTGGGGTGACCTCAGGGTCCGTCTAGACTGGTGACAGTGTTCTTGGGGACTGTCTCGAGATCCATTAAGCAAGTCGAAGCTCCTGACTTGTTTGAATGGGATCACGGAATAGCTCTGCATGCACTGCAGGGGAATGGGGCCTCATCTCGCCTCTAGGGGGAAGTCTCATGGTTTTTCTCGAGTTGCGGCGGGGACCTGGGGTATGTTCTCGACTTACCGCGGGGATGGCCCTTCAAAACACGAGTTTCTTCAGTGACGTCAGGACTCCTGTCTAGTAACGAGGGACACCTCAGGAATCTCTTCGAGGCTTGGCAGGGCCAAAGGGACGCTTCTCGAGGTGAGGCAGGGCACCCAAGGACCCTTTCCAGTAGCCACAGGGATTTTGGGATTCCTATCAGTATTCAAGAGGAGTCAGGCATCGTCACCTTTTGAAGCAATGAACTCCGCGTGCCTCTCGAGGTGTCAGCGGGATGTGAGGCATTCCGTCAAAATGAGGCAGGGACCTAGGGCTTTCTCTAAGGTCTCCACAGGGGATTCAGACATCCCTTCATGTTGTGAGATGAAAGACGAGCCTGTATTCGAGCCACTGCAAGGAAATCCGGCCTCCTTTCAAGTTAGGGCTTCTCGCTGTATATTCCCCTTGAGGCAGCAAACTCGGGGTCCCTCCCACATACCTACTGCTGAGAGAAGCCTCCTCCTGAGGTGCTTCTGGGAAGTTGGCATACGTCTTGAGCCTAAGCCAGGGAATCAGCTCGCATCTCGAGACGATTTGGGGTACACGGAGCATTCCTCGAGTTGCTGTGCTGAAGTTGGTGTTCCTCTAGACTTGGGACAGTGTTCTCGGGGCATCTCTGGAGTTGCCTGAAGGAAGTCGAGCCACCGGTTGTGTTGAATGGGGAACGGGGAATGGCTCTGGAGTCAATGCAGGGGAATCGGGCCTCATCTCGAGTTGATTTGGGGCACATGGAGCTGCTTTGCGTTGCTGGGGTGACCTCAGGGTCCGTCTAGACTGGTGACAGTGTTCTTGGGGACTGTCTCGAGATCCATTAAGCAAGTCGAAGCTCCTGACTTGTTTGAATGGGATCACGGAATAGCTCTGCATGCACTGCAGGGGAATGGGGCCTCATCTCGCCTCTAGGGGGAAGTCTCATGGTTTTTCTCGAGTTGCGGCGGGGACCTGGGGTATGTTCTCGACTTACGGCGGGGATGGCCCTTCAAAACACGAGTTTCTTCAGTGACGTCAGGACTCCTGTCTAGTAACGAGGGACACCTCAGGAATCTCTTCGAGGCTTGGCAGGGCAAAAGGGACGCTTCTCGAGGTGAGGCAGGGCACCCAAGGACCCTTTCCAGTAGCCACAGGGATTTTGGGATTCCTATCAGTATTCAAGAGGAGTCAGGCATCGTCACCTTTTGAAGCAATGAACTCCGCGTGCCTCTCGAGGTGTCAGCGGGATGTGAGGCATTCCGTCAAAATGAGGCAGGGACCTAGGGCTTTCTCTAAGGTCTCCACAGGGGATTCAGACATCCCTTCATGTTGTGAGATGAAAGACGAGCCTGTATTCGAGCCACTGCAAGGAAATCCGGCCTCCTTTCAAGTTAGGGCTTCTCGCTGTATATTCCCCTTGAGGCAGCAAACTCGGGGTCCCTCCCACATACCTACTGCTGAGAGAAGCCTCCTCCTGAGGTGCTTCTGGGAAGTTGGCATACGTCTTGAGCCTAAGCCAGGGAATCAGCTCGCATCTCGAGACGATTTGGGGTACATGGAGCATTCCTCGAGTTGCTGTGCTGAAGTTGGTGTTCCTCTAGACTTGGGACAGTGTTCTCGGGGCATCTCTGGAGTTGCCTGAAGGAAGTCGAGCCACCGGTCGTGATGAATGGGGAACTGGGAATGGCTCTGGAGTCAATGCAGGGGAATCGGGCCTCATCTCGAGTTGATTTGGGGCACATGGAGCTGCTTTGCGTTGCTGGGGTGACCTCAGGGTCCGTCTAGACTGGTGACAGTGTTCTTGGGGACTGTCTCGAGATCCATTAAGCAAGTCGAAGCTCCTGACTTGTTTGAATGGGATCACGGAATAGCTCTGCATGCACTGCAGGGGAATGGGGCCTCATCTCGCCTCTAGGGGGAAGTCTCATGGTTTTTCTCGAGTTGCGGCGGGGACCTGGGGTATGTTCTCGACTTACCGCGGGGATGGCCCTTCAAAACACGAGTTTCTTCAGTGACGTCAGGACTCCTGTCTAGTAACGAGGGACACCTCAGGAATCTCTTCGAGGCTTGGCAGGGCCAAAGGGACGCTTCTCGAGGTGAGGCAGGGCACCCAAGGACCCTTTCCAGTAGCCACAGGGATTTTGGGATTCCTATCAGTATTCAAGAGGAGTCAGGCATCGTCACCTTTTGAAGCAATGAACTCCGCGTGCCTCTCGAGGTGTCAGCGGGATGTGAGGCATTCCGTCAAAATGAGGCAGGGACCTAGGGCTTTCTCTAAGGTCTCCACAGGGGATTCAGACATCCCTTCATGTTGTGAGATGAAAGACGAGCCTGTATTCGAGCCACTGCAAGGAAATCCGGCCTCCTTTCAAGTTAGGGCTTCTCGCTGTATATTCCCCTTGAGGCAGCAAACTCGGGGTCCCTCCCACATACCTACTGCTGAGAGAAGCCTCCTCCTGAGGTGCTTCTGGGAAGTTGGCATACGTCTTGAGCCTAAGCCAGGGAATCAGCTCGCATCTCGAGACGATTTGGGGTACACGGAGCATTCCTCGAGTTGCTGTGCTGAAGTTGGTGTTCCTCTAGACTTGGGACAGTGTTCTCGGGGCATCTCTGGAGTTGCCTGAAGGAAGTCGAGCCACCGGTCGTGTTGAATGGGGAACGGGGAATGGCTCTGGAGTCAATGCAGGGGAATCGGGCCTCATCTCGAGTTGATTTGGGGCACATGGAGCTGCTTTGCGTTGCTGGGGTGACCTCAGGGTCCGTCTAGACTGGTGACAGTGTTCTTGGGGACTGTCTCGAGATCCATTAAGCAAGTCGAAGCTCCTGACTTGTTTGAATGGGATCACGGAATAGCTCTGCATGCACTGCAGGGGAATGGGGCCTCATCTCGCCTCTAGGGGGAAGTCTCATGGTTTTTCTTGAGTTGCGGCGGGGACCTGGGGTATGTTCTCGACTTACGGCGGGGATGGCCCTTCAAAACACGAGTTTCTTCAGTGACGTCAGGACTCCTGTCTAGTAACGAGGGACACCTCAGGAATCTCTTCGAGGCTTGGCAGGGCAAAAGGGACGCTTCTCGAGGTGAGGCAGGGCACCCAAGGACCCTTTCCAGTAGCCACAGGGATTTTGGGATTCCTATCAGTATTCAAGAGGAGTCAGGCCTCGTCACTTTTTGAAGGAATGAACTCTGCGTGCCTCTCGAGGTGTCAGCGGGATGTGAGGCATTCCGTCAAAATGAGGCAGGGACCTAGGGCTTTCTCTAAGGTCTCCACAGGGGATTCAGACATCCCTTCATGTTGTGAGATGAAAGACGAGCCTGTATTCAAGCCACTGCAAGGAAATCCGGCCTCCTTTCAAGTTAGGGCTTCTCGCTGTATATTCCCCTTGAGGCAGCAAACTCGGGGTCCCTCCCACATACCTACTGCTGAGAGAAGCCTCCTCCTGAGGTGCTTCTGGGAAGTTGGCATACGTCTTGAGCCTAAGCCAGGGAATCAGCTCGCATCTCGAGACGATTTGGGGTACACGGAGCATTCCTCGAGTTGCTGTGCTGAAGTTGGTGTTCCTCTAGACTTGGGACAGTGTTCTCGGGGCATCTCTGGAGTTGCCTGAAGGAAGTCGAGCCACCGGTCGTGTTGAATGGGGAACGGGGAATGGCTCTGGAGTCAATGCAGGGGAATCGGACCTCATCTCGAGTTGATTTGGGGCACATGGACCTGCTTTGCGTTGCTGGGGTGACCTCAGGGTCCGTCTAGACTGGTGACAGTGTTCTTGGGGACTGTCTCGAGATCCATTAAGCAAGTCGAAGCTCCTGACTTGTTTGAATGGGATCACGGAATAGCTCTGCATGCACTGCAGGGGAATGTGGCCTCATCTCGCCTCTAGGGGGAAGTCTCATGGTTTTTCTTGAGTTGCGGCGGGGACCTGGGGTATGTTCTCGACTTACGGCGGGGATGGCCCTTCAAAACACGAGTTTCTTCAGTGACGTCAGGACTCCTGTCTAGTAACGAGGGACACCTCAGGAATCTCTTCGAGGCTTGGCAGGGCAAAAGGGACGCTTCTCGAGGTGAGGCAGGGCACCCAAGGACCCTTTCCAGTAGCCACAGGGATTTTGGGATTCCTATCAGTATTCAAGAGGAGTCAGGCATCGTCACCTTTTGAAGCAATGAACTCCGCGTGCCTCTCGAGGTGTCAGCGGGATGTGAGGCATTCCGTCAAAATGAGGCAGGGACCTAGGGCTTTCTCTAAGGTCTCCACAGGGGATTCAGACATCCCTTCATGTTGTGAGATGAAAGACGAGCCTGTATTCAAGCCACTGCAAGGAAATCCGGCCTCCTTTCAAGTTAGGGCTTCTCGCTGTATATTCCCCTTGAGGCAGCAAACTCGGGGTCCCTCCCACATACCTACTGCTGAGAGAAGCCTCCTCCTGAGGTGCTTCTGGGAAGTTGGCATACGTCTTGAGCCTAAGCCAGGGAATCAGCTCGCATCTCGAGACGATTTGGGGTAGACGGAGCATTCCTCGAGTTGCTGTGCTGAAGTTGGTGTTCCTCTAGACTTGGGACAGTGTTCTCGGGGCATCTCTGGAGTTGCCTGAAGGAAGTCGAGCCACCGGTCGTGTTGAATGGGGAACGGGGAATGGCTCTGGAGTCAATGCAGGGGAATCGGGCCTCATCTCGAGTTGATTTGTTGCACATGGAGCTGCTTTGCGTTGCTGGGGTGACCTCAGGGTCCGTCTAGACTGGTGACAGTGTTCTTGGGGACTGTCGCGAGATCCATTAAGCAAGTCAAAGCTCCTGACTTGTTTGAATGGGATCACGGAATAGCTCTGCATGCACTGCAGGGGAATGGGGCCTCATCTCGCCTCTAGGGGGAAGTCTCATGGTTTTTCTCGAGTTGCGGCGGGGACCTGGGGTATGTTCTCGACTTACGGCGGGGATGGCCCTTCAAAACACGAGTTTCTTCAGTGACGTCAGGACTCCTGTCTAGTAACGAGGGACACCTCAGGAATCTCTTCGAGGCTTGGCAGGGCAAAAGGGACGCTTCTCGAGGTGAGGCAGGGCACCCAAGGACCCTTTCCAGTAGCCACAGGGATTTTGGGATTCCTATCAGTATTCAAGAGGAGTCAGGCCTCGTCACTTTTTGAAGGAATGAACTCTGCGTGCCTCTCGAGGTGTCAGCGGGATGTGAGGCATTCCGTCAAAATGAGGCAGGGACCTAGGGCTTTCTCTAAGGTCTCCACAGGGGATTCAGACATCCCTTCATGTTGTGAGATGAAAGACGAGCCTGTATTCAAGCCACTGCAAGGAAATCCGGCCTCCTTTCAAGTTAGGGCTTCTCGCTGTATATTCCCCTTGAGGCAGCAAACTCGGGGTCCCTCCCACATACCTACTGCTGAGAGAAGCCTCCTCCTGAGGTGCTTCTGGGAAGTTGGCATACGTCTTGAGCCTAAGCCAGGGAATCAGCTCGCATCTCGAGACGATTTGGGGTACACGGAGCATTCCTCGAGTTGCTGTGCTGAAGTTGGTGTTCCTCTAGACTTGGGACAGTGTTCTCGGGGCATCTCTGGAGTTGCCTGAAGGAAGTCGAGCCACCGGTCGTGTTGAATGGGGAACGGGGAATGGCTCTGGAGTCAATGCAGGGGAATCGGGCCTCATCTCGAGTTGATTTGGGGCACATGGAGCTGCTTTGCGTTGCTGGGGTGACCTCAGGGTCCGTCTAGACTGGTGACAGTGTTCTTGGGGACTGTCTCGAGATCCATTAAGCAAGTCGAAGCTCCTGACTTGTTTGAATGGGGTCACGGAATAGCTCTGCATGCACTGCAGGGGAATGGGGCCTCATCTCGCCTCTAGGGGGAAGTCTCATGGTTTTTCTCGAGTTGCGGCGGGGACCTGGGGTATGTTCTCGACTTACGGCGGGGATGGCCCTTCAAAACACGAGTTTCTCCAGTGACGTCAGGACTCCTGCCTAGTAACGAGGGACACCTCAGCAATCTCTTCGAGGCTTGGCAGGGCAAAAGGGACGCTTCTCGAGGTGAGGCAGGGCACCCAAGGACCCTTTCCAGAAGCCGCAGGGATTTTGGGATTCCTATCAGTATTCAAGAGGAGTCAGGCATCGTCACCTTTTGAAGCAATGAACTCTGCGTGCCTCTCGAGGTGTCAGCGGGATGTGAGGATTCCGTCAAAATGAGGCAGGGACCTAGGGCTTCCTCTAAGGTCTCCACAGGGGATTCAGACATCCCTTCAGGTTGTGAGATGAAAGACGAGCCTGTATTCAAGCCACTGCAAGGAAATCCGGCCTCCTTTCAAGTTAGGGCTTCTCGCTGTATATTCCCCTTGAGGCAGCAAACTCGGGGTCCCTCCCACATACCTACTGCTGAGAGAAGCCTCCTCCTGAGGTGCTTCTGGGAAGTTGGCATGCGTCTTGAGCCTAAGCCAGGGAATCAGCTCGCATCTCGAGACGATTTGGGGTACACGGAGCATTCCTCGAGTTGCTGTGCTGAAGTTGGTGTTCCTCTAGACTTGGGACAGTGTTCTCGGGGCCTCTCTGGAGTTGCCTGAAGGAAGTCGAGCCACCGGTCGTGTTGAATGGGGAACGGGGAATGGCTCTGGAGTCAATGCAGGGGAATCGGGCCTCATCTCGAGTTGATTTGGGGCACATGGAGCTGCTTTGCGTTGCTGGGGTGACCTCAGGGTCCGTCTAGACTGGTGACAGTGTTCTTGGGGACTGTCTCGAGATCCATTAAGCAAGTCGAAGCTCCTGACTTGTTTGAATGGGATCACGGAATAGCTCTGCATGCACTGCAGGGGAATGGGGCCTCATCTCGCCTCTAGGGGGAAGTCTCATGGTTTTTCTCGAGTTGCGGCGGGGACCTGGGGTATGTTCTCGACTTACGGCGGGGATGGCCCTTCAAAACACGAGTTTCTTCAGTGACGTCAGGACTCCTGTCTAGTAACGAGGGACACCTCAGGAATCTCTTCGAGGCTTGGCAGGGCAAAAGGGACGTTTCTCGAGGTGAGGCAGGGCACCCAAGGACCCTTTCCAGTAGCCACAGGGATTTTGGGATTCCTATCAGTATTCAAGAGGAGTCAGGCATCGTCACCTTTTGAAGCAATGAACTCCGCGTGCCTCTCGAGGTGTCAGCGCGATGTGAGGCATTCCGTCAAAATGAGGCAGGGACCTAGGGCTTTCTCTAAGGTCTCCACAGGGGATTCAGACATTCCTTCATGTTGTGAGATGAAAGAGGAGCCTGTATTCAAGCCACTGCAAGGAAATCCGGCCTCCTTTCAAGTTAGGGCTTCTCGCTGTATATTCCCCTTGAGGCAGCAAACTCGGGGTCCCTCCCACATACCTATTGCTGAGAGAAGCCTCCTCCTGAGGTGCTTCTGGGAAGTTGGCATACGTCTTGAGCCTAAGCCAGGGAATCAGCTCGCATCTCGAGACGATTTGGGGTAGACGGAGCATTCCTCGAGTTGCTGTGCTGAAGTTGGTGTTCCTCTAGACTTGGGACAGTGTTCTCGGGGCATCTCTGGAGTTGCCTGAAGGAAGTCGAGCCACCGGTCGTGTTGAATGGGGAACGGGGAATGGCTCTGGAGTCAATGCAGGGGAATCGGGCCTCATCTCGAGTTGATTTGGGGCACATGGAGCTGCTTTGCGTTGCTGGGGTGACCTCAGGGTCCGTCTAGACTGGTGACAGTGTTCTTGGGGACTGTCTCGAGATCCATTAAGCAAGTCGAAGCTCCTGACTTGTTTGAATGGGATCACGGAATACCTCTGCATGCACTGCAGGGAAATGGGGCCTCATCTCGCCTCTAGGGGGAAGTCTCATGGTTTTTCTCGAGTTGCGGCGGGGACCTGGGGTATGTTCTCGACTTAGAGCGGGGATGGCCCTTCAAAACACGAGTTTCTTCAGTGACGTCAGGACTCCTGTCTAGTAACGAGGGACACCTCAGGAATCTCTTCGAGGCTTGGCAGGGCAAAAGGGATCCTTCTCGAGTTGAGGCAGGGCACCCAAGGACCCTTTCCAGTAGCCACAGGGATTTTGGGATTCCTATCAGTATTCAAGAGGAGTCAGGCATCGTCACCTTTTGAAGCAATGAACTCCGCGTGCCTCTCGAGGTGTCAGCGGGATGTGAGGCATTCCGTCAAAATGAGGCAGGGACCTAGGGCTTTCTCTAAGGTCTCCACAGGGGATTCAGACATCCCTTCATGTTGTGAGATGAAAGACGAGCCTGTATTCAAGCCACTGCAAGGAAATCCGGCCTCCTTTCAAGTTAGGGCTTCTCGCTGTATATTCCCCTTGAGGCAGCAAACTCGGGGTCCCTCCCACATACCTACTGCTGAGAGAAGCCTCCTCCTGAGGTGCTTCTGGGAAGTTGGCATACGTCTTGAGCCTAAGCCAGGGAATCAGCTCGCATCTCGAGACGATTTGGGGTACACGGAGCATTCCTCGAGTTGCTGTGCTGAAGTTGGTGTTCCTCTAGACTTGGGACAGTGTTCTCGGGGCATCTCTGGAGTTGCCTGAAGGAAGTCGAGCCACCGGTCGTGTTGAATGGGGAACGGGGAATGGCTCTGGAGTAAATGCAGGGGAATCGGGCCTCATCTCGAGTTGATTTGGGGCACATGGAGCTGCTTTGCGTTGCTGGGGTGACCTCAGGGTCCGTCTAGACTGGTGACAGTGTTCTTGGGGACTGTCTCGAGATCCATTAAGCAAGTCGAAGCTCCTGACTTGTTTGAATGGGGTCACGGAATAGCTCTGCATGCACTGCAGGGGAATGGGGCCTCATCTCGCCTCTAGGGGGAAGTCTCATGGTTTTTCTCGAGTTGCGGCGGGGACCTGGGGTATGTTCTCGACTTACGGCGGGGATGGCCCTTCAAAACACGAGTTTCTTCAGTGATGTCAGGACTCCTGTCTAGTAACGAGGGACACCTCAGGAATCTCTTCGAGGCTTGGCAGGGCCAAAGGGACGCTTCTCGAGGTGAGGCAGGGCACCCAAGGACCCTTTCCAGTAGCCACAGGGATTTTGGGATTCCTATCAGTATTCAAGAGGAGTCAGGCATCGTCACCTTTTGAAGCAATGAACTCCGCGTGCCTCTCGAGGTGTCAGCGGGATGTGAGGCATTCCGTCAAAATGAGGCAGGGACCTAGGGCTTTCTCTAAGGTCTCCACAGGGGATTCAGACATCCCTTCATGTTGTGAGATGAAAGACGAGCCTGTATTCAAGCCACTGCAAGGAAATCTGGCCTCCTTTCAAGTTAGGGCTTCTCGATGTATATTCCCCTTGAGGCAGCAAACTCGGGGTCCCTCCCACATACCTACTGCTGAGAGAAGCCTCCTCCTGAGGTGCTTCTGGGAAGTTGGCATACGTCTTGAGCCTAAGCCAGGGAATCAGCTCGCATCTCGAGACGATTTGGGGTACACGGAGCATTCCCCGAGTTGCTGTGCTGAAGTTGGTGTTCCTCTAGACTTGGGACAGTGTTCTCGGGGCATCTCTGGAGTTGCCTGAAGGAAGTCGAGCCACCGGTCGTGTTGAATGGGGAACGGGGAATGGCTCTGGAGTCAATGCAGGGGAATCGGGCCTCATCTCGAGTTGATTTGGGGCACATGGAGCTGCTTTGCGGTGCTGGGGTGACCTCAGGGTCCGTCTAGACTGGTGACAGTGTTCTTGGGGACTGTCTCGAGATCCATTAAGCAAGTCGAAGCTCCTGACTTGTTTGAATGGGATCACGGAATAGCTCTGCATGCACTGCAGGGGAATGGGGCCTCATCTCGCCTCTAGGGGGAAGTCTCATGGTTTTTCTCGAGTTGCGGCGGGGACCTGGGGTATGTTCTCGACTTACGGCGGGGATGGCCGTTCAAAACACGAGTTTCTTCAGTGACGTCAGGACTCCTGTCTAGTAACGAGGGACACCTCAGGAATCTCTTCGAGGCTTGGCAGGGCCAAAGGGACGCTTCTCGAGGTGAGGCAGGGCACCCAAGGACCCTTTCCAGTAGCCACAGGGATTTTGGGATTCCTATCAGTATTCAAGAGGAGTCAGGCATCGTCACCTTTTGAAGCAATGAACTCCGCGTGCCTCTCGAGGTGTCAGCGGGATGTGAGGCATTCCGTCAAAATGAGGCAGGGACCTAGGGCTTTCTCTAAGGTCTCCACAGGGGATTCAGACATCCCTTCATGTTGTGAGATGAAAGACGAGCCTGTATTCAAGCCACTGCAAGGAAATCCGGCCTCCTTTCAAGTTAGGGCTTCTCGCTGTATATTCCCCTTGAGGCAGCAAACTCGGGGTCCCTCCCACATACCTACTGCTCAGAGAAGCCTCCTCCTGAGGTGCTTCTGGGAAGTTGGCATACGTCTTGAGCCTAAGCCAGGGAATCAGCTCGCATCTCGAGACGATTTGGGGTACACGGAGCATTCCTCGAGTTGCTGTGCTGAAGTTGGTGTTCCTCTAGACTTGGGACAGTGTTCTCGGGGCATCTCTGGAGTTGCCTGAAGGAAGTCGAGCCACCCGTCGTGTTGAATGGGGAATGGGGAATGGCTCTGGAGTCAATGCAGGGGAATCGGGCCTCATCTCGAGTTGATTTGGGGCACATGGAGCTGCTTTGCGTTGCTGGGGTGACCTCAGGGTCCGTCTAGACTGGTGACAGTGTTCTTGGGGACTGTCTCGAGATCCATTAAGCAAGTCGAAGCTCCTGACTTGTTTGAATGGGATCACGGAATAGCTCTGCATGCACTGCAGGGGAATGGGGCCTCATCTCGCCTCTAGGGGGAAGTCTCATGGTTTTTCTCGAGTTGCGGCGGGGACCTGGGGTATGTTCTCGACTTACGGCGGGGATGGCCCTTCAAAACACGAGTTTCTTCAGTGAAGTCAGGACTCCTGTCTAGTAACGAGGGACACCTCAGGAATCTCTTCGAGGCTTGGCAGGGCAAAAGGGACGCTTCTCGAGGTGAGGCAGGGCACCCAAGGACCCTTTCCAGTAGCCACAGGGATTTTGGGATTCCTATCAGTATTCAAGAGGAGTCAGGCATCGTCACCTTTTGAAGCAATGAACTCCGCGTGCCTCTCGAGGTGTCAGCGGGATGTGAGGCATTCCGTCAAAATGAGGCAGGGACCTAGGGCTTTCTCTAAGGTCTCCACAGGGGATTCAGACATCCCTTCATGTTGTGAGATGAAAGACGAGCCTGTATTCAAGCCACTGCAAGGAAATCCGGCCTCCTTTCAAGTTAGGGCTTCTCGCTGTATATTCCCCTTGAGGCAGCAAACTCGGGGTCCCTCCCACATACCTACTGCTGAGAGAAGCCTCCTCCTGAGGTGCTTCTGGGAAGTTGGCATGCGTCTTGAGCCTAAGCCAGGGAATCAGCTCGCATCTCGAGACGATTTGGGGTACACGGAGCATTCCTCGAGTTGCTGTGCTGAAGTTGGTGTTCCTCTAGACTTGGGACAGTGTTCTCGGGGCATCTCTGGAGTTGCCTGAAGGAAGTCGAGCCACCCGTCGTGTTGAATGGGGAACGGGGAATGGCTCTGGAGTCAATGCAGGGGAATCGGGCCTCATCTCGAGTTGATTTGGGGCACATGGAGCTGCTTTGCGTTGCTGGGGTGACCTCAGGGTCCGTCTAGACTGGTGACAGTGTTCTTGGGGACTGTCTCGAGATCCATTAAGCAAGTCGAAGCTCCTGACTTGTTTGAATGGGATCACGGAATAGCTCTGCATGCACTGCAGGGGAATGGGGCCTCATCTCGCCTCTAGGGGGAAGTCTCATGGTTTTTCTCGAGTTGCGGCGGGGACCTGGGGTATGTTCTCGACTTACGGCGGGGATGGCCCTTCAAAACACGAGTTTCTTCAGTGACGTCAGGACTCCTGTCTAGTAACGAGGGACACCTCAGGAATCTCTTCGAGGCTTGGCAGGGCCAAAGGGACGCTTCTCGAGGTGAGGCAGGGCACCCAAGGACCCTTTCCAGTAGCCACAGGGATTTTGGGATTCCTATCAGTATTCAAGAGGAGTCAGGCATCGTCACCTTTTGAAGCAATGAACTCCGCGTGCCTCTCGAGGTGTCAGCGCGATGTGAGTCATTCCGTCAAAATGAGGCAGGGACCTAGGGCTTTCTCTAAGGTCTCCACAGGGGATTCAGACATCCCTTCATGTTGTGAGATGAAAGACGAGCCTGTATTCAAGCCACTGCAAGGAAATCCGGCCTCCTTTCAAGTTAGGGCTTCTCGCTGTATATTCCCCTTGAGGCAGCAAACTCGGGGTCCCTCCCACATACCTACTGCTGAGAGAAGCCTCCTCCTGAGGTGCTTCTGGGAAGTTGGCATGCGTCTTGAGCCTAAGCCAGGGAATCAGCTCGCATCTCGAGACGATTTGGGGTACACGGAGCATTCCTCGAGTTGCTGTGCTGAAGTTGGTGTTCCTCTAGACTTGGGACAGTGTTCTCGGGGCATCTCTGGAGTTGCCTGAAGGAAGTCGAGTCACCCGTCGTGTTGAATGGGGAACGGGGAATGGCTCTGGAGTCAATGCAGGGGAATCGGGCCTCATCTCGAGTTGATTTGGGGCACATGGAGCTGCTTTGCGTTGCTGGGGTGACCTCAGGGTCCGTCTAGACTGGTGACAGTGTTCTTGGGGACTGTCTCGAGATCCATTAAGCAAGTCGAAGCTCCTGACTTGTTTGAATGGGATCACGGAATAGCTCTGCATGCACTGCAGGGGAATGGGGCCTCATCTCGCCTCTAGGGGGAAGTCTCATGGTTTTTCTCGAGTTGCGGCGGGGACCTGGGGTATGTTCTCGACTTACGGCGGGGATGGCCCTTCAAAACACGAGTTTCTTCAGTGACGTCAGGACTCCTGTCTAGTAACGAGGGACACCTCAGGAATCTCTTCGAGGCTTGGCAGGGCCAAAGGGACGCTTCTCGAGGTGAGGCAGGGCACCCAAGGACCCTTTCCAGTAGCCACAGGGATTTTGGGATTCCTATCAGTATTCAAGAGGAGTCAGGCATCGTCACCTTTTGAAGCAATGAACTCCGCGTGCCTCTCGAGGTGTCAGCGCGATGTGAGGCATTCCGTCAAAATGAGGCAGGGACCTAGGGCTTTCTCTAAGGTCTCCACAGGGGATTCAGACATTCCTTCATGTTGTGAGATGAAAGAGGAGCCTGTATTCAAGCCACTGCAAGGAAATCCGGCCTCCTTTCAAGTTAGGGCTTCTCGCTGTATATTCCCCTTGAGGCAGCAAACTCGGGGTCCCTCCCACATACCTATTGCTGAGAGAAGCCTCCTCCTGAGGTGCTTCTGGGAAGTTGGCATACATCTTGAGCCTAAGCCAGGGAATCAGCTCGCATCTCGAGACGATTTGGGGTAGACGGAGCATTCCTCGAGTTGCTGTGCTGAAGTTGGTGTTCCTCTAGACTTGGGACAGTGTTCTCGGGGCATCTCTGGAGTTGCCTGAAGGAAGTCGAGCCACCGGTCGTGTTGAATGGGGAACGGGGAATGGCTCTGGAGTCAATGCAGGGGAATCGGGCCTCATCTCGAGTTGATTTGGGGCACATGGAGCTGCTTTGCGTTGCTGGGGTGACCTCAGGGTCCGTCTAGACTGGTGACAGTGTTCTTGGGGACTGTCTCGAGATCCATTAAGCAAGTCGAAGCTCCTGACTTGTTTGAATGGGATCACGGAATACCTCTGCATGCACTGCAGGGAAATGGGGCCTCATCTCGCCTCTAGGGGGAAGTCTCATGGTTTTTCTCGAGTTGCGGCGGGGACCTGGGGTATGTTCTCGACTTACCGCGGGGATGGCCCTTCAAAACACGAGTTTCTTCAGTGACGTCAGGACTCCTGTCTAGTAACGAGGGACACCTCAGGAATCTCTTCGAGGCTTGGCAGGGCAAAAGGGACGCTTCTCGAGGTGAGGCAGGGCACCCAAGGACCCTTTCCAGTAGCCACAGGGATTTTGGGATTCCTATCAGTATTCAAGAGGAGTCAGGCATCGTCACCTTTTGAAGCAATGAACTCCGCGTGCCTCTCGAGGTGTCAGCGCGATGTGAGGCATTCCGTCAAAATGAGGCAGGGACCTAGGGCTTTCTCTAAGGTCTCCACAGGGGATTCAGACATTCCTTCATGTTGTGAGATGAAAGACGAGCCTGTATTCAAGCCACTGCAAGGAAATCCGGCCTCCTTTCAAGTTAGGGCTTCGCGCTGTATATTCCCCTTGAGGCAGCAAACTCGGGGTCCCTCCCACATACCTACTGCTGAGAGAAGCCTCCTCCTGAGGTGCTTCTGGGAAGTTGGCATACGTCTTGAGCCTAAGCCAGGGAATCAGCTCGCATCTCGAGACGATTTGGGGTACACGGAGCATTCCTCGAGTTGCTGTGCTGAAGTTGGTGTTCCTCTAGACTTGGGACAGTGTTCTCGGGGCATCTCTGGAGTTGCCTGAAGGAAGTCGAACCACCCGTCGTGTTGAATGGGGAACGGGGAATGGCTCTGGAGTCAATGCAGGGGAATCGGGCCTCATCTCGAGTTGATTTGGGGCACATGGAGCTGCTTTGCGTTGCTGGGGTGACCTCAGGGTCCGTCTAGACTGGTGACAGTGTTCTTGGGGACTGTCTCGAGATCCATTAAGCAAGTCGAAGCTCCTGACTTGTTTGAATGGGATCACGGAATAGCTCTGCATGCACTGCAGGGGAATGGGGCCTCATCTCGCCTCTAGGGGGAAGTCTCATGGTTTTTCTCGAGTTGCGGCGGGGACCTGGGGTATGTTCTCGACTTACGGCGGGGATGGCCCTTCAAAACACGAGTTTCTTCAGTGACGTCAGGACTCCTGTCTAGTAACGAGGGACACCTCAGGAATCTCTTCGAGGCTTGGCAGGGCAAAAGGGACGCTTCTCGAGGTGAGGCAGGGCACCCAAGGACCCTTTCCAGTAGCCACAGGGATTTTGGGATTCCTATCAGTATTCAAGAGGAGTCAGGCATCGTCACCTTTTGAAGCAATGAACTCCGCGTGCCTCTCGAGGTGTCAGCGGGATGTGAGGCATTCCGTCAAAATGAGGCAGGGACCTAGGGCTTTCTCTAAGGTCTCCACAGGGGATTCAGACATCCCTTCATGTTGTGAGATGAAAGACGAGCCTGTATTCAAGCCACTGCAAGGAAATCCGGCCTCCTTTCAAGTTAGGGCTTCTCGCTGTATATTCCCCTTGAGGCAGCAAACTCGGGGTCCCTCCCACATACCTACTGCTGAGAGAAGCCTCCTCCTGAGGTGCTTCTGGGAAGTTGGCATACGTCTTGAGCCTAAGCCAGGGAATCAGCTCGCATCTCGAGACGATTTGGGGTACACGGAGCATTCCTCGAGTTGCTGTGCTGAAGTTGGTGTTCCTCTAGACTTGGGACAGTGTTCTCGGGGCATCTCTGGAGTTGCCTGAAGGAAGTCGAGCCACCGGTCGTGTTGAATGGGGAACGGGGAATGGCTCTGGAGTCAATGCAGGGGAATCGGGCCTCATCTCGAGTTGATTTGGGGCACATGGAGCTGCTTTGCGTTGCTGGGGTGACCTCAGGGTCCGTCTAGACTGGTGACAGTGTTCTTGGGGACTGTCTCGAGATCCATTAAGCAAGTCGAAGCTCCTGACTTGTTTGAATGGGGTCACGGAATAGCTCTGCATGCACTGCAGGGGAATGGGGCCTCATCTCGCCTCTAGGGGGAAGTCTCATGGTTTTTCTCGAGTTGCGGCGGGGACCTGGGGTATGTTCTCGACTTACGGCGGGGATGGCCCTTCAAAACACGAGTTTCTCCAGTGACGTCAGGACTCCTGCCTAGTAACGAGGGACACCTCAGCAATCTCTTCGAGGCTTGGCAGGGCAAAAGGGACGCTTCTCGAGGTGAGGCAGGGCACCCAAGTACCCTTTCCAGAAGCCGCAGGGATTTTGGGATTCCTATCAGTATTCAAGAGGAGTCAGGCATCGTCACCTTTTGAAGCAATGAACTCTGCGTGCCTCTCGAGGTGTCAGCGGGATGTGAGGATTCCGTCAAAATGAGGCAGGGACCTAGGGCTTCCTCTAAGGTCTCCACAGGGGATTCAGACATCCCTTCAGGTTGTGAGATGAAAGACGAGCCTGTATTCAAGCCACTGCAAGGAAATCCGGCCTCCTTTCAAGTTAGGGCTTCTCGCTGTATATTCCCCTTGAGGCAGCAAACTCGGGGTCCCTCCCACATACCTACTGCTGAGAGAAGCCTCCTCCTGAGGTGCTTCTGGGAAGTTGGCATGCGTCTTGAGCCTAAGCCAGGGAATCAGCTCGCATCTCGAGACGATTTGGGGTACACGGAGCATTCCTCGAGTTGCTGTGCTGAAGTTGGTGTTCCTCTAGACTTGGGACAGTGTTCTCGGGGCCTCTCTGGAGTTGCCTGAAGGAAGTCGAGCCACCGGTCGTGTTGAATGGGGAACGGGGAATGGCTCTGGAGTCAATGCAGGGGAATCGGGCCTCATCTCGAGTTGATTTGGGGCACATGGAGCTGCTTTGCGTTGCTGGGGTGACCTCAGGGTCCGTCTAGACTGGTGACAGTGTTCTTGGGGACTGTCTCGAGATCCATTAAGCAAGTCGAAGCTCCTGACTTGTTTGAATGGGATCACGGAATAGCTCTGCATGCACTGCAGGGGAATGGGGCCTCATCTCGCCTCTAGGGGGAAGTCTCATGGTTTTTCTCGAGTTGCGGCGGGGACCTGGGGTATGTTCTCGACTTACGGCGGGGATGGCCCTTCAAAACACGAGTTTCTTCAGTGACGTCAGGACTCCTGTCTAGTAACGAGGGACACCTCAGGAATCTCTTCGAGGCTTGGCAGGGCAAAAGGGACGTTTCTCGAGGTGAGGCAGGGCACCCAAGGACCCTTTCCAGTAGCCACAGGGATTTTGGGATTCCTATCAGTATTCAAGAGGAGTCAGGCATCGTCACCTTTTGAAGCAATGAACTCCGCGTGCCTCTCGAGGTGTCAGCGCGATGTGAGGCATTCCGTCAAAATGAGGCAGGGACCTAGGGCTTTCTCTAAGGTCTCCACAGGGGATTCAGACATTCCTTCATGTTGTGAGATGAAAGAGGAGCCTGTATTCAAGCCACTGCAAGGAAATCCGGCCTCCTTTCAAGTTAGGGCTTCTCGCTGTATATTCCCCTTGAGGCAGCAAACTCGGGGTCCCTCCCACATACCTATTGCTGAGAGAAGCCTCCTCCTGAGGTGCTTCTGGGAAGTTGGCATACGTCTTGAGCCTAAGCCAGGGAATCAGCTCGCATCTCGAGACGATTTGGGGTAGACGGAGCATTCCTCGAGTTGCTGTGCTGAAGTTGGTGTTCCTCTAGACTTGGGACAGTGTTCTCGGGGCATCTCTGGAGTTGCCTGAAGGAAGTCGAGCCACCGGTCGTGTTGAATGGGGAACGGGGAATGGCTCTGGAGTCAATGCAGGGGAATCGGGCCTCATCTCGAGTTGATTTGGGGCACATGGAGCTGCTTTGCGTTGCTGGGGTGACCTCAGGGTCCGTCTAGACTGGTGACAGTGTTCTTGGGGACTGTCTCGAGATCCATTAAGCAAGTCGAAGCTCCTGACTTGTTTGAATGGGATCACGGAATAGCTCTGCATGCACTGCAGGGAAATGGGGCCTCATCTCGCCTCTAGGGGGAAGTCTCATGGTTTTTCTCGAGTTGCGGCGGGGACCTGGGGTATGTTCTCGACTTAGAGCGGGGATGGCCCTTCAAAACACGAGTTTCTTCAGTGACGTCAGGACTCCTGTCTAGTAACGAGGGACACCTCAGGAATCTCTTCGAGGCTTGGCAGGGCAAAAGGGATCCTTCTCGAGTTGAGGCAGGGCACCCAAGGACCCTTTCCAGTAGCCACAGGGATTTTGGGATTCCTATCAGTATTCAAGAGGAGTCAGGCATCGTCACCTTTTGAAGCAATGAACTCCGCGTGCCTCTCGAGGTGTCAGCGGGATGTGAGGCATTCCGTCAAAATGAGGCAGGGACCTAGGGCTTTCTCTAAGGTCTCCACAGGGGATTCAGACATCCCTTCATGTTGTGAGATGAAAGACGAGCCTGTATTCAAGCCACTGCAAGGAAATCCGGCCTCCTTTCAAGTTAGGGCTTCTCGCTGTATATTCCCCTTGAGGCAGCAAACTCGGGGTCCCTCCCACATACCTACTGCTGAGAGAAGCCTCCTCCTGAGGTGCTTCTGGGAAGTTGGCATACGTCTTGAGCCTAAGCCAGGGAATCAGCTCGCATCTCGAGACGATTTGGGGTACACGGAGCATTCCTCGAGTTGCTGTGCTGAAGTTGGTGTTCCTCTAGACTTGGGACAGTGTTCTCGGGGCATCTCTGGAGTTGCCTGAAGGAAGTCGAGCCACCGGTCGTGTTGAATGGGGAACGGGGAATGGCTCTGGAGTAAATGCAGGGGAATCGGGCCTCATCTCGAGTTGATTTGGGGCACATGGAGCTGCTTTGCGTTGCTGGGGTGACCTCAGGGTCCGTCTAGACTGGTGACAGTGTTCTTGGGGACTGTCTCGAGATCCATTAAGCAAGTCGAAGCTCCTGACTTGTTTGAATGGGGTCACGGAATAGCTCTGCATGCACTGCAGGGGAATGGGGCCTCATCTCGCCTCTAGGGGGAAGTCTCATGGTTTTTCTCGAGTTGCGGCGGGGACCTGGGGTATGTTCTCGACTTACGGCGGGGATGGCCCTTCAAAACACGAGTTTCTTCAGTGATGTCAGGACTCCTGTCTAGTAACGAGGGACACCTCAGGAATCTCTTCGAGGCTTGGCAGGGCCAAAGGGACGCTTCTCGAGGTGAGGCAGGGCACCCAAGGACCCTTTCCAGTAGCCACAGGGATTTTGGGATTCCTATCAGTATTCAAGAGGAGTCAGGCATCGTCACCTTTTGAAGCAATGAACTCCGCGTGCCTCTCGAGGTGTCAGCGGGATGTGAGGCATTCCGTCAAAATGAGGCAGGGACCTAGGGCTTTCTCTAAGGTCTCCACAGGGGATTCAGACATCCCTTCATGTTGTGAGATGAAAGACGAGCCTGTATTCAAGCCACTGCAAGGAAATCCGGCCTCCTTTCAAGTTAGGGCTTCTCGCTGTATATTCCCCTTGAGGCAGCAAACTCGGGGTCCCTCCCACATACCTACTGCTCAGAGAAGCCTCCTCCTGAGGTGCTTCTGGGAAGTTGGCATACGTCTTGAGCCTAAGCCAGGGAATCAGCTCGCATCTCGAGACGATTTGGGGTACACGGAGCATTCCTCGAGTTGCTGTGCTGAAGTTGGTGTTCCTCTAGACTTGGGACAGTGTTCTCGGGGCATCTCTGGAGTTGCCTGAAGGAAGTCGAGCCACCCGTCGTGTTGAATGGGGAATGGGGAATGGCTCTGGAGTCAATGCAGGGGAATCGGGCCTCATCTCGAGTTGATTTGGGGCACATGGAGCTGCTTTGCGTTGCTGGGGTGACCTCAGGGTCCGTCTAGACTGGTGACAGTGTTCTTGGGGACTGTCTCGAGATCCATTAAGCAAGTCGAAGCTCCTGACTTGTTTGAATGGGATCACGGAATAGCTCTGCATGCACTGCAGGGGAATGGGGCCTCATCTCGCCTCTAGGGGGAAGTCTCATGGTTTTTCTCGAGTTGCGGTGGGGACCTGGGGTATGTTCTCGACTTACGGCGGGGATGGCCCTTCAAAACACGAGTTTCTTCAGTGAAGTCAGGACTCCTGTCTAGTAACGAGGGACACCTCAGGAATCTCTTCGAGGCTTGGCAGGGCAAAAGGGACGCTTCTCGAGGTGAGGCAGGGCACCCAAGGACCCTTTCCAGTAGCCACAGGGATTTTGGGATTCCTATCAGTATTCAAGAGGAGTCAGGCATCGTCACCTTTTGAAGCAATGAACTCCGCGTGCCTCTCGAGGTGTCAGCGGGATGTGAGGCATTCCGTCAAAATGAGGCAGGGACCTAGGGCTTTCTCTAAGGTCTCCACAGGGGATTCAGACATCCCTTCATGTTGTGAGATGAAAGACGAGCCTGTATTCAAGCCACTGCAAGGAAATCCGGCCTCCTTTCAAGTTAGGGCTTCTCGCTGTATATTCCCCTTGAGGCAGCAAACTCGGGGTCCCTCCCACATACCTACTGCTGAGAGAAGCCTCCTCCTGAGGTGCTTCTGGGAAGTTGGCATGCGTCTTGAGCCTAAGCCAGGGAATCAGCTCGCATCTCGAGACGATTTGGGGTACACGGAGCATTCCTCGAGTTGCTGTGCTGAAGTTGGTGTTCCTCTAGACTTGGGACAGTGTTCTCGGGGCATCTCTGGAGTTGCCTGAAGGAAGTCGAGCCACCCGTCGTGTTGAATGGGGAACGGGGAATGGCTCTGGAGTCAATGCAGGGGAATCGGGCCTCATCTCGAGTTGATTTGGGGCACATGGAGCTGCTTTGCGTTGCTGGGGTGACCTCAGGGTCCGTCTAGACTGGTGACAGTGTTCTTGGGGACTGTCTCGAGATCCATTAAGCAAGTCGAAGCTCCTGACTTGTTTGAATGGGATCACGGAATAGCTCTGCATGCACTGCAGGGGAATGGGGCCTCATCTCGCCTCTAGGGGGAAGTCTCATGGTTTTTCTCGAGTTGCGGCGGGGACCTGGGGTATGTTCTCGACTTACGGCGGGGATGGCCCTTCAAAACACGAGTTTCTTCAGTGACGTCAGGACTCCTGTCTAGTAACGAGGGACACCTCAGGAATCTCTTCGAGGCTTGGCAGGGCCAAAGGGACGCTTCTCGAGGTGAGGCAGGGCACCCAAGGACCCTTTCCAGTAGCCACAGGGATTTTGGGATTCCTATCAGTATTCAAGAGGAGTCAGGCATCGTCACCTTTTGAAGCAATGAACTCCGCGTGCCTCTCGAGGTGTCAGCGCGATGTGAGTCATTCCGTCAAAATGAGGCAGGGACCTAGGGCTTTCTCTAAGGTCTCCACAGGGGATTCAGACATCCCTTCATGTTGTGAGATGAAAGACGAGCCTGTATTCAAGCCACTGCAAGGAAATCCGGCCTCCTTTCAAGTTAGGGCTTCTCGCTGTATATTCCCCTTGAGGCAGCAAACTCGGGGTCCCTCCCACATACCTACTGCTGAGAGAAGCCTCCTCCTGAGGTGCTTCTGGGAAGTTGGCATGCGTCTTGAGCCTAAGCCAGGGAATCAGCTCGCATCTCGAGACGATTTGGGGTACACGGAGCATTCCTCGAGTTGCTGTGCTGAAGTTGGTGTTCCTCTAGACTTGGGACAGTGTTCTCGGGGCATCTCTGGAGTTGCCTGAAGGAAGTCGAGTCACCCGTCGTGTTGAATGGGGAACGGGGAATGGCTCTGGAGTCAATGCAGGGGAATCGGGCCTCATCTCGAGTTGATTTGGGGCACATGGAGCTGCTTTGCGTTGCTGGGGTGACCTCAGGGTCCGTCTAGACTGGTGACAGTGTTCTTGGGGACTGTCTCGAGATCCATTAAGCAAGTCGAAGCTCCTGACTTGTTTGAATGGGATCACGGAATAGCTCTGCATGCACTGCAGGGGAATGGGGCCTCATCTCGCCTCTAGGGGGAAGTCTCATGGTTTTTCTCGAGTTGCGGCGGGGACCTGGGGTATGTTCTCGACTTACGGCGGGGATGGCCCTTCAAAACACGAGTTTCTTCAGTGACGTCAGGACTCCTGTCTAGTAACGAGGGACACCTCAGGAATCTCTTCGAGGCTTGGCAGGGCCAAAGGGACGCTTCTCGAGGTGAGGCAGGGCACCCAAGGACCCTTTCCAGTAGCCACAGGGATTTTGGGATTCCTATCAGTATTCAAGAGGAGTCAGGCATCGTCACCTTTTGAAGCAATGAACTCCGCGTGCCTCTCGAGGTGTCAGCGCGATGTGAGGCATTCCGTCAAAATGAGGCAGGGACCTAGGGCTTTCTCTAAGGTCTCCACAGGGGATTCAGACATTCCTTCATGTTGTGAGATGAAAGAGGAGCCTGTATTCAAGCCACTGCAAGGAAATCCGGCCTCCTTTCAAGTTAGGGCTTCTCGCTGTATATTCCCCTTGAGGCAGCAAACTCGGGGTCCCTCCCACATACCTATTGCTGAGAGAAGCCTCCTCCTGAGGTGCTTCTGGGAAGTTGGCATACATCTTGAGCCTAAGCCAGGGAATCAGCTCGCATCTCGAGACGATTTGGGGTAGACGGAGCATTCCTCGAGTTGCTGTGCTGAAGTTGGTGTTCCTCTAGACTTGGGACAGTGTTCTCGGGGCATCTCTGGAGTTGCCTGAAGGAAGTCGAGCCACCGGTCGTGTTGAATGGGGAACGGGGAATGGCTCTGGAGTCAATGCAGGGGAATCGGGCCTCATCTCGAGTTGATTTGGGGCACATGGAGCTGCTTTGCGTTGCTGGGGTGACCTCAGGGTCCGTCTAGACTGGTGACAGTGTTCTTGGGGACTGTCTCGAGATCCATTAAGCAAGTCGAAGCTCCTGACTTGTTTGAATGGGATCACGGAATACCTCTGCATGCACTGCAGGGAAATGGGGCCTCATCTCGCCTCTAGGGGGAAGTCTCATGGTTTTTCTCGAGTTGCGGCGGGGACCTGGGGTATGTTCTCGACTTACGGCGGGGATGGCCCTTCAAAACACGAGTTTCTTCAGTGACGTCAGGACTCCTGTCTAGTAACGAGGGACACCTCAGGAATCTCTTCGAGGCTTGGCAGGGCAAAAGGGACGCTTCTCGAGGTGAGGCAGGGCACCCAAGGACCCTTTCCAGTAGCCACAGGGATTTTGGGATTCCTATCAGTATTCAAGAGGAGTCAGGCATCGTCACCTTTTGAAGCAATGAACTCCGCGTGCCTCTCGAGGTGTCAGCGCGATGTGAGGCATTCCGTCAAAATGAGGCAGGGACCTAGGGCTTTCTCTAAGGTCTCCACAGGGGATTCAGACATTCCTTCATGTTGTGAGATGAAAGACGAGCCTGTATTCAAGCCACTGCAAGGAAATCCGGCCTCCTTTCAAGTTAGGGCTTCGCGCTGTATATTCCCCTTGAGGCAGCAAACTCGGGGTCCCTCCCACATACCTACTGCTGAGAGAAGCCTCCTCCTGAGGTGCTTCTGGGAAGTTGGCATACGTCTTGAGCCTAAGCCAGGGAATCAGCTCGCATCTCGAGACGATTTGGGGTACACGGAGCATTCCTCGAGTTGCTGTGCTGAAGTTGGTGTTCCTCTAGACTTGGGACAGTGTTCTCGGGGCATCTCTGGAGTTGCCTGAAGGAAGTCGAACCACCCGTCGTGTTGAATGGGGAACGGGGAATGGCTCTGGAGTCAATGCAGGGGAATCGGGCCTCATCTCGAGTTGATTTGGGGCACATGGAGCTGCTTTGCGTTGCTGGGGTGACCTCAGGGTCCGTCTAGACTGGTGACAGTGTTCTTGGGGACTGTCTCGAGATCCATTAAGCAAGTCGAAGCTCCTGACTTGTTTGAATGGGATCACGGAATAGCTCTGCATGCACTGCAGGGGAATGGGGCCTCATCTCGCCTCTAGGGGGAAGTCTCATGGTTTTTCTCGAGTTGCGGCGGGGACCTGGGGTATGTTCTCGACTTACGGCGGGGATGGCCCTTCAAAACACGAGTTTCTTCAGTGACGTCAGGACTCCTGTCTAGTAACGAGGGACACCTCAGGAATCTCTTCGAGGCTTGGCAGGGCAAAAGGGACGCTTCTCGAGGTGAGGCAGGGCACCCAAGGACCCTTTCCAGTAGCCACAGGGATTTTGGGATTCCTATCAGTATTCAAGAGGAGTCAGGCATCGTCACCTTTTGAAGCAATGAACTCCGCGTGCCTCTCGAGGTGTCAGCGGGATGTGAGGCATTCCGTCAAAATGAGGCAGGGACCTAGGGCTTTCTCTAAGGTCTCCACAGGGGATTCAGACATCCCTTCATGTTGTGAGATGAAAGACGAGCCTGTATTCAAGCCACTGCAAGGAAATCCGGCCTCCTTTCAAGTTAGGGCTTCTCGCTGTATATTCCCCTTGAGGCAGCAAACTCGGGGTCCCTCCCACATACCTATTTCTGAGAGAAGCCTCCTCCTGAGGTGCTTCTGGGAAGTTGGCATACGTCTTGAGCCTAAGCCAGGGAATCAGCTCGAATCTCGAGACGATTTGGGGTACACGGAGCATTCCTCGAGTTGCTGTGCTGAAGTTGGTGTTCCTCTAGACTTGGGACAGTGTTCTCGGGGCATCTCTGGAGTTGCCTGAAGGAAGTCGAGCCACCCGTCGTGTTGAATGGGGAACGGGGAATGGCTCTGGAGTCAATGCAGGGGAATCGGGCCTCATCTCGAGTTGATTTGGGGCACATGGAGCTGCTTTGCGTTGCTGGGGTGACCTCAGGGTCCGTCTAGACTGGTGACAGTGTTCTTGGGGACTGTCTCGAGATCCATTAAGCAAGTCGAAGCTCCTGACTTGTTTGAATGGGATCACGGAATAGCTCTGCATGCACTGCAGGGGAATGGGGCCTCATCTCGCCTCTAGGGGGAAGTCTCATGGTTTTTCTCGAGTTGCGGCGGGGACCTGGGGTATGTTCTCGACTTACGGCAGGGATGGCCCTTCAAAACACGAGTTTCTTCAGTGACGTCAGGACTCCTGTCTAGTAACGAGGGACACCTCAGGAATCTCTTCGAGGCTTGGCAGGGCAAAAGGGACGCTTCTCGAGGTGAGGCAGGGCACCCAAGGACCCTTTCCAGTAGCCACAGGGATTTTGGGATTCCTATCAGTATTCAAGAGGAGTCAGGCATCGTCACCTTTTGAAGCAATGAACTCCGCGTGCCTCTCGAGGTGTCAGCGGGATGTGAGGCATTCCGTCAAAATGAGGCAGGGACCTAGGGCTTTCTCTAAGGTCTCCACAGGGGATTCAGACATCCCTTCATGTTGTGAGATGAAAGACGAGCCTGTATTCAAGCCACTGCAAGGAAATCCGGCCTCCATTCAAGTTAGGGCTTCTCGCTGTATATTCCCCTTGAGGCAGCAAACTCGGGGTCCCTCCCACATACCTATTGCTGAGAGAAGCCTCCTTCTGAGGTGCTTCTGGGAAGTTGGCATACGTCTTGAGCCTAAGCCAGGGAATCAGCTCGCATCTCGAGACGATTTGGGGTAGACGGAGCATTCCTCGAGTTGCTGTGCTGAAGTTGGTGTTCCTCTAGACTTGGGACAGTGTTCTCGGGGCATCTCTGGAGTTGCCTGAAGGAAGTCGAGCCACCGGTCGTGTTGAATGGGGAACGGGGAATGGCTCTGGAGTCAATGCAGGGGAATCGGGCCTCATCTCGAGTTGATTTGGGGCACATGGAGCTGCTTTGCGTTGCTGGGGTGACCTCAGGGTCCGTCTAGACTGGTGACAGTGTTCTTGGGGACTGTCTCGAGATCCATTAAGCAAGTCGAAGCTCCTGACTTGTTTGAATGGGATCACGGAATAGCTCTGCATGCACTGCAGGGGAATGGGGCCTCATCTCGCCTCTAGGGGGAAGTCTCATGGTTTTTCTCGAGTTGCGGCGGGGACCTGGGGTATGTTCTCGACTTACGGCGGGGATGGCCCTTCAAAACACGAGTTTCTTCAGTGACGTCAGGACTCCTGTCTAGTAACGAGGGACACCTCAGGAATCTCTTCGAGGCTTGGCAGGGCAAAAGGGACGCTTCTCGAGGTGAGGCAGGGCACCCAAGGACCCTTTCCAGTAGCCACAGGGATTTTGGGATTCCTATCAGTATTCAAGAGGAGTCAGGCATCGTCACCTTTTGAAGCAATGAACTCCGCGTGCCTCTCGAGGTGTCAGCGGGATGTGAGGCATTCCGTCAAAATGAGGCAGGGACCTAGGGCTTTCTCTAAGGTCTCCACAGGGGATTCAGACATCCCTTCATGTTGTGAGATGAAAGACGAGCCTGTATTCGAGCCACTGCAAGGAAATCCGGCCTCCTTTCAAGTTAGGGCTTCTCGCTGTATATTCCCCTTGAGGCAGCAAACTCGGGGTCCCTCCCACATACCTACTGCTGAGAGAAGCCTCCTCCTGAGGTGCTTCTGGGAAGTTGGCATACGTCTTGAGCCTAAGCCAGGGAATCAGCTCGCATCTCGAGACGATTTGGGGTAGACGGAGCATTCCTCGAGTTGCTGTGCTGAAGTTGGTGTTCCTCTAGACTTGGGACAGTGTTCTCGGGGCATCTCTGGAGTTGCCTGAAGGAAGTCGAGCCACCCGTCGTGTTGAATGGGGAACGGGGAATGGCTCTGGAGTCAATGCAGGGGAATCGGGCCTCATCTCGAGTTGATTTGGGGCACATGGAGCTGCTTTGCGTTGCTGGGGTGACCTCAGGGTCCGTCTAGACTGGTGACAGTGTTCTTGGGGACTGTCTCGAGATCCATTAAGCAAGTCGAAGCTCCTGACTTGTTTGAATGGGATCACGGAATAGCTCTGCATGCACTGCAGGGGAATGGGGCCTCATCTCGCCTCTAGGGGGAAGTCTCATGGTTTTTCTCGAGTTGAGGCGGGGACCTGGGGTATGTTCTCGACTTACGGCGGGGATGGCCCTTCAAAACACGAGTTTCTTCAGTGACGTCAGGACTCCTGTCTAGTAACGAGGGACACCTCAGGAATCTCTTCGAGGCTTGGCAGGGCCAAAGGGACGCTTCTCGAGGTGAGGCAGGGCACCCAAGGACCCTTTCCAGTAGCCACAGGGATTTTGGGATTCCTATCAGTATTCAAGAGGAGTCAGGCATCGTCACCTTTTGAAGCAATGAACTCCGCGTGCCTCTCGAGGTGTCAGCGGGATGTGCGGCATTCCGTCAAAATGAGGCAGGGACCTAGGGCTTTCTCTAAGGTCTCCACAGGGGATTCAGACATCCCTTCATGTTGTGAGATGAAAGACGAGCCTGTATTCAAGCCACTGCAAGGAAATCCGGCCTCCTTTCAAGTTAGGGCTTCTCGCTGTATATTCCCCTTGAGGCAGCAAACTCGGTGTCCCTCCCACATACCTATTGCTGAGAGAAGCCTCCTCCTGAGGTGCTTCTGGGAAGTTGGCATACGTCTTGAGCCTAAGCCAGGGAATCAGCTCGCATCTCGAGACGATTTGGGGTAGACGGAGCATTCCTCGAGTTGCTGTGCTGAAGTTGGTGTTCCTCTAGACTTGGGACAGTGTTCTCGGGGCATCTCTGGAGTTGCCTGAAGGAAGTCGAGCCACCGGTCGTGTTGAATGGGGAACGGGGAATGGCTCTGGAGTCAATGCAGGGGAATCGGGCCTCATCTCGAGTTGATTTGGGGCACATGGAGCTGCTTTGCGTTGCTGGGGTGACCTCAGGGTCCGTCTAGACTGGTGACAGTGTTCTTGGGGACTGTCTCGAGATCCATTAAGCAAGTCGAAGCTCCTGACTTGTTTGAATGGGATCACGGAATAGCTCTGCATGCACTGCAGGGGAATGGGGCCTCATCTCGCCTCTAGGGGGAAGTCTCATGGTTTTTCTCGAGTTGCGGCGGGGACCTGGGGTATGCTCTCGACTTACGGCGGGGATGGCCCTTCAAAACACGAGTTTCTTCAGTGACGTCAGGACTCCTGTCTAGTAACGAGGGACACCTCAGGAATCTCTTCGAGGCTTGGCAGGGCCAAAGGGACGCTTCCCGAGGTGAGGCAGGGCACCCAAGGACCCTTTCCAGTAGCCACAGGGATTTTGGGATTCCTATCAGTATTCAAGAGGAGTCAGGCATCGTCACCTTTTGAAGCAATGAACTCCACGTGCCTCTCGAGGTGTCAGCGGGATGTGAGGCATTCCGTCAAAATGAGGCAGGGACCTAGGGCTTTCTCTAAGGTCTCCACAGGGGATTCAGACAACCCTTCATGTTGTGAGATGAAAGACGAGCCTGTATTCAAGCCACTGCAAGGAAATCCGGCCTCCTTTCAAGTTAGGGCTTCTCGCTGTATATTCCCCTTGAGGCAGCAAACTCGGGGTCCCTCCCACATACCTACTGCTGAGAGAAGCCTCCACCTGAGGTGCTTCTGGGAAGTTGGCATACGTCTTGAGCCTAAGCCAGGGAATCAGCTCGCATCTCGAGACGATTTGGGGTACACGGAGCATTCCTCGAGTTGCTGTGCTGAAGTTTGTGTTCCTCTAGACTTGGGACAGTGTTCTCGGGGCATCTCTGGAGATGCCTGAAGGAAGTCGAGCCACCGGTCGTGTTGAATGGGGAATGGGGAATGGCTCTGGAGTCAATGCAGGGGAATCGGGCCTCATCTCGAGTTGATTTGGGGCACATGGAGCTGCTTTGCGTTGCTGGGGTGACCTCAGGGTCCGTCTAGACTGGTGACAGTGTTCTTGGGGACTGTCTCGAGATCCATTAAGCAAGTCGAAGCTCCTGACTTGTTTGAATGGGATCACGGAATAGCTCTGCATGCACTGCAGGGGAATGGGGCCTCACCTCGCCTCTAGGGGGAATTCTCATGGTTTTTCTCGAGTTGCGGCGGGGACCTGGGGTATGTTCTCGACTTACGGCGGGGATGGCCCTTCAAAACACGAGTTTCTTCAGTGACGTCAGGACTCCTGTCTAGTAATGAGGGACACCTCAGGAATCTCTTCGAGGCTTGGCAGGGCAAAAGGGACGCTTCTCGAGGTGAGGCAGGGCACCCAAGGACCCTTTCCAGTAGCCACAGGGATTTTGGGATTCCTATCAGTATTCAAGAGGAGTCAGGCATCGTCACCTTTTGAAGCAATGAACTCCGCGTGCCTCTCGAGGTGTCAGCGGGATGTGAGGCATTCCGTCAAAATGAGGCAGGGACCTAGGGCTTTCTCTAAGGTCTCCACAGGGGATTCAGACATCCCTTCAGGTTGTGAGATGAAAGACGAGCCTGTATTCAAGCCATTTCAAGGAAATCCGGCCTCCTTTCAAGTTAGGGCTTCTCGCTGTATATTCCCCTTGAGGCAGCAAACTCGGGGTCCCTCCCACATACCTATTGCTGAGAGAAGCCTCCTCCTGAGGTGCTTCTGGGAAGTTGGCATACGTCTTGAGCCTAAGCCAGGGAATCAGCTCGCATCTCGAGACGATTTGGGGTACACGGAGCATTCCTCGAGTTGCTGTGCTGAAGTTGGTGTTCCTCTAGACTTGGGACAGTGTTCTCGGGGCCTCTCTGGAGTTGCCTGAAGGAAGTCGAGCCACCGGTCGTGTTGAATGGGGAACGGGGAATGGCTCTGGAGTCAATGCAGGGGAATCGGGCCTCATCTCGAGTTGATTTGGGGCACATGGAGCTGCTTTGCGTTGCTGGGGTGACCTCAGGGTCCGTCTAGACTGGTGACAGTGTTCTTGGGGACTGTCTCGAGATCCATTAAGCAAGTCGAAGCTCCTGACTTGTTTGAATGGGATCACGGAATAGCTCTGCATGCACTGCAGGGGAATGGGGCCTCATCTCGCCTCTAGGGGGAAGTCTCATGGTTTTTCTCGAGTTGCGGCGGGGACCTGGGGTATGTTCTCGACTTATGGCGGGGATGGCCCTTCAAAACACGAGTTTCTTCAGTGACGTCAGGACTCCTGTCTAGTAACGAGGGACACCTCAGGAATCTCTTCGAGGCTTGGCAGGGCCAAAGGGACGCTTCTCGAGGTGAGGCAGGGCACCCAAGGACCCTTTCCAGTAGCCACAGGGATTTTGGGATTCCTATCAGTATTCAAGAGGAGTCAGGCATCGTCACCTTTTGAAGCAATGAACTCCGCGTGCCTCTCGAGGTGTCAGCGGGATGTGAGGCATTCCGTCAAAATGAGGCAGGGACCTAGGGCTTTCTCTAACGTCTCCACAGGGGATTCAGTCAACCCTTCATGTTGTGAGATGAAAGACGAGCCTGTATTCAAGCCACTGCAAGGAAATCCGGCCTCCTTTCAAGTTAGGGCTTCTCGCTGTATATTCCGCTTGAGGCAGCAAACTCGGGGTCCCTCCCACATACCTAATGCTGAGAGAAGCCTCCTCCTGAGGTGCTTCTGGGAAGTTGGCATACGTCTTGAGCCTAAGCCAGGGAATCAGCTCGCATCTCGAGACGATTTGGGGTACACGGAGCATTCCTCGAGTTGCTGTGCTGAAGTTGGTGTTCCTCTAGACTTGGGACAGTGTTCTCGGGGCAACTCTGGAGTTGCCTGAAGGAAGTCGAGCCACCGGCCGTGTTGAATGGGGAACGGGGAATAGCTCTGGAGTCAATGCAGGGGAATCGGGCCTCATCTCGAGTTGATTTGGGGCACATGGAGCTGCTTTGCGTTGCTGGGGTGACCTCAGGGTCCGTCTAGACTGGTGACAGTGTTCTTGGGGACTGTCTCGAGATCCATTAAGCAAGTTGAAGCTCCTGACCTGTTTGAATGGGATCACGGAATAGCTCTGCATGGACTGCAGGGGAATGGGGCCTCATCTCGACTCTAGGGGGAAGTCTCATGGTTTTTCTCGAGTTGCGGCGGGGACCTGGGGTATGTTCTCGACTTACGGCGGGGATGGCCCTTCAAAACACGAGTTTCTTCAGTGACGTCAGGACTCCTGTCTATTAACGAGGGACACCTCAGGAATCTCTTCGAGGCTTGGCAGGGCCAAAGGGACGCTTCTCGAGGTGAGGCAGGGCACCCAAGGACCCTTTCCAGTAGCCACAGGGATTTTGGGATTCCTATCAGTATTCAAGAGGAGTCAGGCATCGGCACCTTTTGAAGCAATGAACTCCGCGTGCCTCTCGAGGTGTCAGCGGGATGTGAGGCATTCCGTCAAAATGAGGCAGGGACCTAGGGCTTTCTCTAAGGTCTCCACAGGGGATTCAGACAACCCTTCATGTTGTGAGATGAAAGACGAGCCTGTATTCGAGCCACTGCAAGGAAATCCGGCCTCCTTTCAAGTTAGGGCTTCTCGCTGTATATTCCCCTTGAGGCAGCAAACTCGGGGTCCCTCCCACATACCTACTGCTGAGAGAAGCCTCCTCCTGAGATGCTTCTGGGAAGTTGGCATACGTCTTGAGCCTAAGCCAGGGAATCAGCTCGCATCTCGAGACGATTTGGGGTACACGGAGCATTCCTCGAGTTGCTGTGCTGAAGTTGGTGTTCCTCTAGACTTGGGACAGTGTTCTCGGGGCATCTCTGGAGTTGCCTAAAGGAAGTCGAGCCACCGGTCGTGTTGAATGGGGAACGGGGAATGGCTCTGGAGTCAATGCAGGGGAATCGGGCCTCATCTCGAGTTGATTTGGGGCACATGGAGCAGCTTTGCGTTGCTGGGGTGACCTCAGGGTCCGTCTAGACTGGTGACAGTGTTCTTGGGGACTGTCTCGAGATCCATTAAGCAAGTCGAAGCTCCTGACTTGTTTGAATGGGATCACGGAATAGCTCTGCATGCACTGCAGGGGAATGGGGCCTCATCTCGCCTCTAGGGGGAAGTCTCATGGTTTTTCTCGAGTTGCGGCGGGGACCTGGGGTATGTTCTCGACTTACGGCGGGGATGGCCCTTCAAAACACGAGTTTCTTCAGTGACGTCAGGACTCCTGTCTAGTAACGAGGGACACCTCAGGAATCTCTTCGAGGCTTGGCAGGGCCAAAGGGACGCGTCTCGAGGTGAGGCAGGGCACCCAAGGACCCTTTCCAGTAGCCACAGGGATTTTGGGATTCCTATCAGTATTCAAGAGGAGTCAGGCATCGTCACCTTTTGAAGCAATGAACTCCGCGTGCCTCTCGAGGTGTCAGCGGGATGTGAGGCATTCCGTCAAAATGAGGCAGGGACCTAGGGCTTTCTCTAAGGTCTCCACAGGGGATTCAGACATTCCTTCATGTTGTGAGATGAAAGACGAGCCTGTATTCAAGCCACTGCAAGGAAATCTGGCCTCCTTTCAAGTTAGGGCTTCTCGCTGTATATTCCCCTTGAGGCAGCAAACTCGGGGTCCCTCCCACATACCTATTGCTGAGAGAAGCCTCCTCCTGAGGTGCTTCTGGGAAGTTGGCATACGTCTTGAGCCTAAGCCAGGGAATCAGCTCGCATCTCGAGACGATTTGGGGTACACGGAGCATTCCTCGAGTTGCTGTGCTGAAGTTGGTGTTCCTCTAGATTTGGGACAGTGTTCTCGGGGCATCTCTGGAGTTGCCTGAAGGAAGTCGAGCCACCGGTCGTGTTGAATGGGGAACGGGGAATGGCTCTGGAGTCAATGCAGGGGAATCGGGCCTCATCTCGAGTTGATTTGGGGCACATGGAGCTGCTTTGCGTTGCTGGGGTGACCTCAGGGTCCATCTAGACTGGTGACAGTGTTCTTGGGGACTGTCTCGAGATCCATTAAGCAAGTCGAAGCTCCTGACTTGTTTGAATGGGATCACGGAATAGCTCTGCATGCACTGCAGGGGAATGGGGCCTCATCTCGCCTCTAGGGGGAAGTCTCATGGTTTTTCTCGAGTTGCGGCGGGGACCTGGGGTATGTTCTCGACTTACGGCGGGGATGGCCCTTCAAAACACGAGTTTCTTCAGTGACGTCAGGACTCCTGTCTAGTAACGAGGGACACCTCAGGAATCTCTTCGAGGCTTGGCAGGGCCAAAGGGACGCTTCCCGAGGTGAGGCAGGGCACCCAAGGACCCTTTCCAGTAGCCACAGGGATTTTGGGATTCCTATCAGTATTCAAGAGGAGTCAGGCATCGTCACCTTTTGAAGCAACGAACTCCGCGTGCCTCTCGAGGTGTCAGCGGGATGTGAGGCATTCCGTCAAAATGAGGCAGGGACCTAGGGCTTTCTCTAAGGTCTCCACAGGGGATTCAGACATCCCTTCATGTTGTCAGATGAAAGACGAGCCTGTATTCAAGCCACTGCAAGGAAATCCGGCCTCCTTTCAAGTTAGGGCTTCTCGCTGTATATTCCCCTTGAGGCAGCAAACTCGGGGTCCCTCCCACATACCTATTGCTGAGAGAAGCCTCCTCCTGAGGTGCTTCTGGGAAGTTGGCATACGTCTTGAGCCTAAGCCAGGGAATCAGCTCGCATCTCGAGACGATTTGGGGTACACGGAGCATTCCTCGAGTTGCTGTGCTGAAGTTGGTGTTCCTCTAGACTTGGGACAGTGTTCTCGGGGCATCTCTGGAGTTGCCTGAAGGAAGTCGAGCCACCGGTCGTGTTGAATGGGGAACGGGGAATGGCTCTGGAGTCAATGCAGGGGAATCGGGCCTCATCTCGAGTTGATTTGGGGCACATGGAGCTGCTTTGCGTTGCTGGGGTGACCTCAGGGTCCATCTAGACTGGTGACAATGTTCTTGGGGACTGTCTCGAGACCAATTAAGCAAGTCGAAGCTCCTGACTTGTTTGAATGGGATCACGGAATAGCTCTGCATGCACTGCAGGGGAATGGGGCCTCATCTCGCCTCTAGGGGGAAGTCTCATGGTTTTTCTCGAGTTGCGGCGGGGACCTGGGGTATGTTCTCGACTTACGGCGGGGATGGCCCTTCAAAACACGAGTTTCTTCAGTGACGTCAGGACTCCTGTCTAGTAACGAGGGACACCTCAGGAATCTCTTCGAGGCTTGGCAGGGCCAAAGGGACGCTTCTCGAGGTGAGGCAGGGCACCCAAGGACCCTTTCCAGTAGCCACAGGGATTTTGGGATTCCTATCAGTATTCAAGAGGAGTCAGGCATCGTCACCTTTTGAAGCAATGAACTCCGCGTGCCTCTCGAGGTGTCAGCGGGATGTGAGGCATTCCGTCAAAATGAGGCAGGGACCTAGGGCTTTCTCTAAGGTCTCCACAGGGGATTCAGACATCCCTTCATGTTGTGAGATGAAAGACGAGCCTGTATTCAAGCCACTGCAAGGAAATCCGGCCTCCTTTCAAGTTAGGGCTTCTCGCTGTATATTCCCCTTGAGGCAGCAAACTCGGGGTCCCTCCCACATACCTACTGCTGAGAGAAGCCTCCTCCTGAGGTGCTTCTGGGAAGTTGGCATACGTCTTGAGCCTAAGCCAGGGAATCAGCTCGCATCTCGAGACGATTTGGGGTACACGGAGCATTCCTCGAGTTGCTGTGCTGAAGTTGGTGTTCCTCTAGACTTGGGACAGTGTTCTCGGGGCATCTCTGGAGTTGCCTGAAGGAAGTCGAGCCACCGGTCGTGTTGAATGGGGAACGGGGAATGGCTCTGGAGTCAATGCAGGGGAATCGGGCCTCATCTCGAGTTGATTTGGGGCACATGGAGCTGCTTTGCGTTGCTGGGGTGACCTCAGGGTCCGTCTAGACTGGTGACAGTGTTCTTGGGGACTGTCTCGAGATCCATTAAGCAAGTCGAAGCTCCTGACTTGTTTGAATGGGATCACGGAATAGCTCTGCATGCACTGCAGGGGAATGGGGCCTCATCTCGCCTCTAGGGGGAAGTCTCATGGTTTTTCTCGAGTTGCGGCGGGGACCTGGGGTATGTTCTCGACTTACGGCGGGGATGGCCCTTCAAAACACGAGTTTCTTCAGTGACGTCAGGACTCCTGTCTAGTAACGAGGGACACCTCAGGAATCTCTTCGAGGCTTGGCAGGGCCAAAGGGACGCTTCTCGAGGTGAGGCAGGGCACCCAAGGACCCTTTCCAGTAGCCACAGGGATTTTGGGATTCCTATCAGTATTCAAGAGGAGTCAGGCATCGTCACCTTTTGAAGCAATGAACTCCGCGTGCCTCTCGAGGTGTCAGCGGGATGTGAGGCATTCCGTCAAAATGAGGCAGGGACCTAGGGCTTTCTCTAAGGTCTCCACAGGGGATTCAGACATCCCTTCATGTTGTGAGATGAAAGACGAGCCTGTATTCAAGCCACTGCAAGGAAATCCGGCCTCCTTTCAAGTTAGGGCTTCTCGCTGTATATTCCCCTTGAGGCAGCAAACTCGGGTCCCTCCCACATACCTACTGCTGAGAGAAGCCTCCTCCTGAGGTGCTTCTGGGAAGTTGGCATACGTCTTGAGCCTAAGCCAGGGAATCAGCTCGCATCTCGAGACGATTTGGGGTACACGGAGCATTCCTCGAGTTGCTGTGCTGAAGTTGGTGTTCCTCTAGACTTGGGACAGTGTTCTCGGGGCATCTCTGGAGTTGCCTGAAGGAAGTCGAGCCACCGGTCGTGTTGAATGGGGAACGGGGAATGGCTCTGGAGTCAATGCAGGGGAATCGGGCCTCATCTCGAGTTGATTTGGGGCACATGGAGCTGCTTTGCGTTGCTGGGGTGACCTCAGGGTCCGTCTAGACTGGTGACAGTGTTCTTGGGGACTGTCTCGAGATCCATTAAGCAAGTCGAAGCTCCTGACTTGTTTGAATGGGATCACGGAATAGCTCTGCATGCACTGCAGGGCAATGGGGCCTCATCTCGCCTCTAGGGGGAAGTCTCATGGTTTTTCTCGAGTTGCGGCGGGGACCTGGGGTATGTTCTCGACTTACGGCGGGGATGGCCCTTCAAAACACGAGTTTCTTCAGTGACGTCAGGACTCCTGTCTAGTAACGAGGGACACCTCAGGAATCTCTTCGAGGCTTGGCAGGGCCAAAGGGACGCTTCTCGAGGTGAGGCAGGGCACCCAAGGACCCTTTCCAGTAGCCACAGGGATTTTGGGATTCCTATCAGTATTCAAGAGGAGTCAGGCATCGTCACCTTTTGAAGCAATGAACTCCGCGTGCCTCTCGAGGTGTCAGCGGGATGTGAGGCATTCCGTCAAAATGAGGCAGGGACCTAGGGCTTTCTCTAAGGTCTCCACAGGGGATTCAGACATCCCTTCATGTTGTGAGATGAAAGACGAGCCTGTATTCAAGCCACTGCAAGGAAATCCGGCCTCCTTTCAAGTTAGGGCTTCTCGCTGTATATTCCCCTTGAGGCAGCAAACTCGGGGTCCCTCCCACATACCTACTGCTGAGAGAAGCCTCCTCCTGAGGTGCTTCTGGGAAGTTGGCATACGTCTTGAGCCTAAGCCAGGGAATCAGCTCGCATCTCGAGACGATTTGGGGTACACGGAGCATTCCTCGAGTTGCTGTGCTGAAGTTGGTGTTCCTCTAGACTTGGGACAGTGTTCTCGGGGCATCTCTGGAGTTGCCTGAAGGAAGTCGAGCCACCGGTCGTGTTGAATGGGGAACGGGGAATGGCTCTGGAGTCAATGCAGGGGAATCGGGCCTCATCTCGAGTTGATTTGGGGCACATGGAGCTGCTTTGCGTTGCTGGGGTGACCTCAGGGTCCGTCTAGACTGGTGACAGTGTTCTTGGGGACTGTCTCGAGATCCATTAAGCAAGTCGAAGCTCCTGACTTGTTTGAATGGGATCACGGAATAGCTCTGCATGCACTGCAGGGCAATGGGGCCTCATCTCGCCTCTAGGGGGAAGTCTCATGGTTTTTCTCGAGTTGCGGCGGGGACCTGGGGTATGTTCTCGACTTACGGCGGGGATGGCCCTTCAAAACACGAGTTTCTTCAGTGACGTCAGGACTCCTGTCTAGTAACGAGGGACAGCTCAGGAATCTCTTCGAGGCTTGGCAGGGCCAAAGGGACGCTTCTCGAGGTGAGGCAGGGCACCCAAGGACCCTTTCCAGTAGCCACAGGGATTTTGGGATTCCTATCAGTATTCAAGAGGAGTCAGGCATCGTCACCTTTTGAAGCAATGAACTCCGCGTGCCTCTCGAGGTGTCAGCGGGATGTGAGGCATTCCGTCAAAATGAGGCAGGGAACTAGGGCTTTCTCTAAGGTCTCCACAGGGGATTCAGACATCCCTTCATGTTGTGAGATGAAAGACGAGCCTGTATTCAAGCCACTGCAAGGAAATCCGGCCTCCTTTCAAGTTAGGGCTTCTCGCTGTATATTCCCCTTGAGGCAGCAAACTCGGGGTCCCTCCCACATACCTATTGCTGAGAGAAGCCTCCTCCTGAGGTGCTTCTGGGAAGTTGGCATACGTCTTGAGCCTAAGCCAGGGAATCAGCTCGCATCTCGAGACGATTTGGGGTACACGGAGCATTCCTCGAGTTGCTGTGCTGAAGTTGGTGTTCCTCTAGACTTGGGACAGTGTTCTCGGGGCATCTCTGGAGTTGCCTGAAGGAAGTCGAGCCACCGGTCGTGTTGAATGGGGAACGGGGAATGGCTCTGGAGTCAATGCAGGGGAATCGGGCCTCATCTCGAGTTGATTTGGGGCACATGGAGCTGCTTTGCGTTGCTGGGGTGATCTCAGGGTCCATCTAGACTGGTGACAGTGTTCTTGGGGACTGTCTCGAGATCCATTAAGCAAGTCGAAGCTCCTGACTTGTTTGAATGGGATCACGGAATAGCTCTGCATGCACTGCAGGGGAATGGGGCCTCATCTCGCCTCTAGGGGGAAGTCTCATGGTTTTTCTCGAGTTGCGGCGGGGACCTGGGGTATGTTCTCGACTTACGGCGGGGATGGCCCTTCAAAACACGAGTTTCTTCAGTGACGTCAGGACTCCTGTCTAGTAACGAGGGACACCTCAGGAATCTCTTCGAGGCTTGGCAGGGCCAAAGGGACGCTTCTCGAGGTGAGGCAGGGCACCCAAGGACCCTTTCCAGTAGCCACAGGGATTTTGGGATTCCTATCAGTATTCAAGAGGAGTCAGGCATCGTCACCTTTTGAAGCAATGAACTCCGCGTGCCTCTCGAGGTGTCAGCGGGATGTGAGGCATTCCGTCAAAATGAGGCAGGGACCTAGGGCTTTCTCTAAGGTCTCCACAGGGGATTCAGACATCCCTTCATGTTGTGAGATGAAAGACGAGCCTGTATTCAAGCCACTGCAAGGAAATCCGGCCTCCTTTCAAGTTAGGGCTTCTCGCTGTATATTCCCCTTGAGGCAGCAAACTCGGGTCCCTCCCACATACCTACTGCTGAGAGAAGCCTCCTCCTGAGGTGCTTCTGGGAAGTTGGCATACGTCTTGAGCCTAAGCCAGGGAATCAGCTCGCATCTCGAGACGATTTAGGGTACACGGAGCATTCCTCGAGTTGCTGTGCTGAAGTTGGTGTTCCTCTAGACTTGGGACAGTGTTCTCGGGGCATCTCTGGAGTTGCCTGAAGGAAGTCGAGCCACCGGTCGTGTTGAATGGGGAACGGGGAATGGCTCTGGAGTCAATGCAGGGGAATCGGGCCTCATCTCGAGTTGATTTGGGGCACATGGAGCTGCTTTGCGTTGCTGGGGTGACCTCAGGGTCCGTCTAGACTGGTGACAGTGTTCTTGGGGACTGTCTCGAGATCCATTAAGCAAGTCGAAGCTCCTGACTTGTTTGAATGGGATCACGGAATAGCTCTGCATGCACTGCAGGGGAATGGGGCCTCATCTCGCCTCTAGGGGGAAGTCTCATGGTTTTTCTCGAGTTGCGGCGGGGACCTGGGGTATGTTCTCGACTTACGGCGGGGATGGCCCTTCAAAACACGAGTTTCTTCAGTGACGTCAGGACTCCTGTCTAGTAACGAGGGACACCTCAGGAATCTCTTCGAGGCTTGGCAGGGCCAAAGGGACGCTTCTCGAGGTGAGGCAGGGCACCCAAGGACCCTTTCCAGTAGCCACAGGGATTTTGGGATTCCTATCAGTATTCAAGAGGAGTCAGGCATCGTCACCTTTTGAAGCAATGAACTCCGCGTGCCTCTCGAGGTGTCAGCGGGATGTGAGGCATTCCGTCAAAATGAGGCAGGGACCTAGGGCTTTCTCTAACGTCTCCACAGGGGATTCAGACATCCCTTCATGTTGTGAGATGAAAGACGAGCCTGTATTCAAGCCACTGCAAGGAAATACGGCCTCCTTTCAAGTTAGGGCTTCTCGCTGTATATTCCCCTTGAGGCAGCAAACTCGGGGTCCCTCCCACATACCTACTGCTGAGAGAAGCCTCCTCCTGAGGTGCTTCTGGGAAGTTGGCATACGTCTTGAGCCTAAGCCAGGGAATCAGCTCGCATCTCGAGACGATTTGGGGTACACGGAGCATTCCTCGAGTTGCTGTGCTGAAGTTGGTGTTCCTCTAGACTTGGGACAGTGTTCTCGGGGCATCTCTGGAGTTGCCTGAAGGAAGTCGAGCCACCGGTCGTGTTGAATGGGGAACGGGGAATGGCTCTGGAGTCAATGCAGGGGAATCGGGCCTCATCTCGAGTTGATTTGGGGCACATGGAGCTGCTTTGCGTTGCTGGGGTGACCTCAGGGTCCGTCTAGACTGGTGACAGTGTTCTTGGGGACTGTCTCGAGATCCATTAAGCAAGTCGAAGCTCCTGACTTGTTTGAATGGGATCACGGAATAGCTCTGCATGCACTGCAGGGCAATGGGGCCTCATCTCGCCTCTAGGGGGAAGTCTCATGGTTTTTCTCGAGTTGCGGCGGGGACCTGGGGTATGTTCTCGACTTACGGCGGGGATGGCCCTTCAAAACACGAGTTTCTTCAGTGACGTCAGGACTCCTGTCTAGTAACGAGGGACACCTCAGGAATCTCTTCGAGGCTTGGCAGGGACAAAGGGACGCTTCTCGAGGTGAGGCAGGGCACCCAAGGACCCTTTCCAGTAGCCACAGGGATTTTGGGATTCCTATCAGTATTCAAGAGGAGTCAGGCATCGTCACCTTTTGAAGCAATGAACTCCGCGTGCCTCTCGAGGTGTCAGCGGGATGTGAGGCATTCCGTCAAAATGAGGCAGGGAACTAGGGCTTAATCTAAGGTCTCCACAGGGGATTCAGACATCCCTTCATGTTGTGAGATGAAAGACGAGCCTGTATTCAAGCCACTGCAAGGAAATCCGGCCTCCTTTCAAGTTAGGGCTTCTCGCTGTATATTCCCCTTGAGGCAGCAAACTCGGGGTCCCTCCCACATACCTATTGCTGAGAGAAGCCTCCTCCTGAGGTGCTTCTGGGAAGTTGGCATACGTCTTGAGCCTAAGCCAGGGAATCAGCTCGCATCTCGAGACGATTTGGGGTACACGGAGCATTCCTCGAGTTGCTGTGCTGAAGTTGGTGTTCCTCTAGACTTGGGACAGTGTTCTCGGGGCATCTCTGGAGTTGCCTGAAGGAAGTCGAGCCACCGGTCGTGTTGAATGGGGAATGGGGAATGGCTCTGGAGTCAATGCAGGGGAATCGGGCCTCATCTCGAGTTGATTTGGGGCACATGGAGCTGCTTTGCGTTGCTGGGGTGACCTCAGGGTCCGTCTAGACTGGTGACAGTGTTCTTGGGGACTGTCTCGAGATCCATTAAGCAAGTCGAAGCTCCTGACTTGTTTGAATGGGATCACGGAATAGCTCTGCATGCACTGCAGGGGAATGGGGCCTCATCTCGCCTCTAGGGGGAAGTCTCATGGTTTTTCTCGAGTTGCGGCGGGGACCTGGGGTATGTTCTCGACTTACGGCGGGGATGGCCCTTCAAAACACGAGTTTCTTCAGTGACGTCAGGACTCCTGTCTAGTAACGAGGGACAACTCAGGAATCTCTTCGAGGCTTGGCAGGGCCAAAGGGACGCTTCTCGAGGTGAGGCAGGGCACCCAAGGACCCTTTCCAGTAGCCACAGGGATTTTGGGATTCCTATCAGTATTCAAGAGGAGTCAGGCATCGTCACCTTTTGAAGCAATGAACTCCGCGTGCCTCTCGAGGTGTCAGCGGGATGTGAGGCATTCCGTCAAAATGAGGCAGGGACCTAGGGCTTTCTCTAAGGTCTCCACAGGGGATTCAGACATCCCTTCATGTTGTGAGATGAAAGACGAGCCTGTATTCAAGCCACTGCAAGGAAATCTGGCCTCCTTTCAAGTTAGGGCTTCTCGCTGTATATTCCCCTTGAGGCAGCAAACTCGGGGTCCCTCCCACATACCTACTGCTGAGAGAAGCCTCCTCCTGAGGTGCTTCTGGGAAGTTGGCATACGTCTTGAGCCTAAGCCAGGGAATCAGCTCGCATCTCGAGACGATTTGGGGTACACGGAGCATTCCTCGAGTTGCTGTGCTGAAGTTGGTGTTCCTCTAGACTTGGGACAGTGTTCTCGGGGCATCTCTGGAGTTGCCTGAAGGAAGTCGAGCCACCGGTCGTGTTGAATGGGGAACGGGGAATGGCTCTGGAGTCAATGCAGGGGAATCGGGCCTCATCTCGAGTTGATTTGGGGCACATGGAGCTGCTTTGCGTTGCTGGGGTGACCTCAGGGTCCGTCTAGACTGGTGACAGTGTTCTTGGGGACTGTCTCGAGATCCATTAAGCAAGTTGAAGCTCCTGACTTGTTTGAATGGGATCACGGAATAGCTCTGCATGCACTGCAGGGGAATGGGGCCTCATCTCGCCTCTAGGGGGAAGTCTCATGGTTTTTCTCGAGTTGCGGCGGGGACCTGGGGTATGTTCTCGACTTACGGCGGGGAAAGCCCTTCAAAACACGAGTTTCTTCAGTGACGTCAGGACTCCTGTCTAGTAACGAGGGACACCTCAGGAATCTCTTCGAGGCTTGGCAGGGCCAAAGGGACGCTTCTCGAGGTGAGGCAGGGCACCCAAGGACCCTTTCCAGTAGCCACAGGGATTTTGGGATTCCTATCAGTATTCAAGAGGAGTCAGGCATCGTCACCTTTTGAAGCAATGAACTCCGCGTGCCTCTCGAGGTGTCAGCGGGATGTGAGGCATTCCGTCAAAATGAGGCAGAGACCTAGGGCTTTCTCTAAGGTCTCCACAGGGGATTCAGACAACCCTTCATGTTGTGAGATGAAAGACGAGCCTGTATTCAAGCCACTGCAAGGAAATCCGGCCTCCTTTCAAGTTAGGGCTTCTCGCTGTATATTCCGCTTGAGGCAGCAAACTCGGGGTCCCTCCCACATACCTACTGCTGAGAGAAGCCTCCTCCTGAGGTGCTTCTGGGAAGTTGGCATACGTCTTGAGCCTAAGCCAGGGAATCAGCTCGCATCTCGAGACGATTTGGGGTACACGGAGCATTCCTCGAGTTGCTGTGCTGAAGTTGGTGTTCCTCTAGACTTGGGACAGTGTTCTCGGGGCATCTCTGGAGTTGCCTGAAGGAAGTCGAGCCACCGGTCGTGTTGAATGGGGAACGGGGAATGGCTCTGGAGTCAATGCAGGGGAATCGGGCCTCATCTCGAGTTGATTTGGGGCACATGGAGCTGCTTTGCGTTGCTGGGGTGACCTCAGGGTCCGTCTAGACTGGTGACAGTGTTCTTGGGGACTGTCTCGAGATCCATTAAGCAAGTCGAAGCTCCTGACTTGTTTGAATGGGATCACGGAATAGCTCTGCATGCACTGCAGGGGAATGGGGCCTCATCTCGCCTCTAGGGGGAAGTCTCATGGTTTTTCTCGAGTTGCGGCGGGGACCTGGGGTATGTTCTCGACTTACGGCGGGGATGGCCCTTCAAAACACGAGTTTCTTCAGTGACGTCAGGACTCCTGTCTAGTAACGAGGGACACCTCAGGAATCTCTTCGAGGCTTGGCAGGGCCAAAGGGACGCTTCTCGAGGTGAGGCAGGGCACCCAAGGACCCTTTCCAGTAGCCACAGGGATTTTGGGATTCCTATCAGTATTCAAGAGGAGTCAGGCATCGTCACCTTTTGAAGCAATGAACTCCGCGTGCCTCTCGAGGTGTCAGCGGGATGTGAGGCATTCCGTCAAAATGAGGCAGGGACCTAGGGCTTTCTCTAACGTCTCCACAGGGGATTCAGACATCCCTTCATGTTGTGAGATGAAAGACGAGCCTGTATTCAAGCCACTGCAAGGAAATACGGCCTCCTTTCAAGTTAGGGCTTCTCGCTGTATATTCCCCTTGAGGCAGCAAACTCGGGGTCCCTCCCACATACCTACTGCTGAGAGAAGCCTCCTCCTGAGGTGCTTCTGGGAAGTTGGCATACGTCTTGAGCCTAAGCCAGGGAATCAGCTCGCATCTCGAGACGATTTGGGGTACACGGAGCATTCCTCGAGTTGCTGTGCTGAAGTTGGTGTTCCTCTAGACTTGGGACAGTGTTCTCGGGGCATCTCTGGAGTTGCCTGAAGGAAGTCGAGCCACCGGTCGTGTTGAATGGGGAACGGGGAATGGCTCTGGAGTCAATGCAGGGGAATCGGGCCTCATCTCGAGTTGATTTGGGGCACATGGAGCTGCTTTGCGTTGCTGGGGTGACCTCAGGGTCCGTCTAGACTGGTGACAGTGTTCTTGGGGACTGTCTCGAGATCCATTAAGCAAGTCGAAGCTCCTGACTTGTTTGAATGGGATCACGGAATAGCTCTGCATGCACTGCAGGGCAATGGGGCCTCATCTCGCCTCTAGGGGGAAGTCTCATGGTTTTTCTCGAGTTGCGGCGGGGACCTGGGGTATGTTCTCGACTTACGGCGGGGATGGCCCTTCAAAACACGAGTTTCTTCAGTGACGTCAGGACTCCTGTCTAGTAACGAGGGACACCTCAGGAATCTCTTCGAGGCTTGGCAGGGACAAAGGGACGCTTCTCGAGGTGAGGCAGGGCACCCAAGGACCCTTTCCAGTAGCCACAGGGATTTTGGGATTCCTATCAGTATTCAAGAGGAGTCAGGCATCGTCACCTTTTGAAGCAATGAACTCCGCGTGCCTCTCGAGGTGTCAGCGGGATGTGAGGCATTCCGTCAAAATGAGGCAGGGAACTAGGGCTTAATCTAAGGTCTCCACAGGGGATTCAGACATCCCTTCATGTTGTGAGATGAAAGACGAGCCTGTATTCAAGCCACTGCAAGGAAATCCGGCCTCCTTTCAAGTTAGGGCTTCTCGCTGTATATTCCCCTTGAGGCAGCAAACTCGGGGTCCCTCCCACATACCTATTGCTGAGAGAAGCCTCCTCCTGAGGTGCTTCTGGGAAGTTGGCATACGTCTTGAGCCTAAGCCAGGGAATCAGCTCGCATCTCGAGACGATTTGGGGTACACGGAGCATTCCTCGAGTTGCTGTGCTGAAGTTGGTGTTCCTCTAGACTTGGGACAGTGTTCTCGGGGCATCTCTGGAGTTGCCTGAAGGAAGTCGAGCCACCGGTCGTGTTGAATGGGGAATGGGGAATGGCTCTGGAGTCAATGCAGGGGAATCGGGCCTCATCTCGAGTTGATTTGGGGCACATGGAGCTGCTTTGCGTTGCTGGGGTGACCTCAGGGTCCGTCTAGACTGGTGACAGTGTTCTTGGGGACTGTCTCGAGATCCATTAAGCAAGTCGAAGCTCCTGACTTGTTTGAATGGGATCACGGAATAGCTCTGCATGCACTGCAGGGGAATGGGGCCTCATCTCGCCTCTAGGGGGAAGTCTCATGGTTTTTCTCGAGTTGCGGCGGGGACCTGGGGTATGTTCTCGACTTACGGCGGGGATGGCCCTTCAAAACACGAGTTTCTTCAGTGACGTCAGGACTCCTGTCTAGTAACGAGGGACAACTCAGGAATCTCTTCGAGGCTTGGCAGGGCCAAAGGGACGCTTCTCGAGGTGAGGCAGGGCACCCAAGGACCCTTTCCAGTAGCCACAGGGATTTTGGGATTCCTATCAGTATTCAAGAGGAGTCAGGCATCGTCACCTTTTGAAGCAATGAACTCCGCGTGCCTCTCGAGGTGTCAGCGGGATGTGAGGCATTCCGTCAAAATGAGGCAGGGACCTAGGGCTTTCTCTAAGGTCTCCACAGGGGATTCAGACATCCCTTCATGTTGTGAGATGAAAGACGAGCCTGTATTCAAGCCACTGCAAGGAAATCTGGCCTCCTTTCAAGTTAGGGCTTCTCGCTGTATATTCCCCTTGAGGCAGCAAACTCGGGGTCCCTCCCACATACCTACTGCTGAGAGAAGCCTCCTCCTGAGGTGCTTCTGGGAAGTTGGCATACGTCTTGAGCCTAAGCCAGGGAATCAGCTCGCATCTCGAGACGATTTGGGGTACACGGAGCATTCCTCGAGTTGCTGTGCTGAAGTTGGTGTTCCTCTAGACTTGGGACAGTGTTCTCGGGGCATCTCTGGAGTTGCCTGAAGGAAGTCGAGCCACCGGTCGTGTTGAATGGGGAACGGGGAATGGCTCTGGAGTCAATGCAGGGGAATCGGGCCTCATCTCGAGTTGATTTGGGGCACATGGAGCTGCTTTGCGTTGCTGGGGTGACCTCAGGGTCCGTCTAGACTGGTGACAGTGTTCTTGGGGACTGTCTCGAGATCCATTAAGCAAGTTGAAGCTCCTGACTTGTTTGAATGGGATCACGGAATAGCTCTGCATGCACTGCAGGGGAATGGGGCCTCATCTCGCCTCTAGGGGGAAGTCTCATGGTTTTTCTCGAGTTGCGGCGGGGACCTGGGGTATGTTCTCGACTTACGGCGGGGAAAGCCCTTCAAAACACGAGTTTCTTCAGTGACGTCAGGACTCCTGTCTAGTAACGAGGGACACCTCAGGAATCTCTTCGAGGCTTGGCAGGGCCAAAGGGACGCTTCTCGAGGTGAGGCAGGGCACCCAAGGACCCTTTCCAGTAGCCACAGGGATTTTGGGATTCCTATCAGTATTCAAGAGGAGTCAGGCATCGTCACCTTTTGAAGCAATGAACTCCGCGTGCCTCTCGAGGTGTCAGCGGGATGTGAGGCATTCCGTCAAAATGAGGCAGAGACCTAGGGCTTTCTCTAAGGTCTCCACAGGGGATTCAGACAACCCTTCATGTTGTGAGATGAAAGACGAGCCTGTATTCAAGCCACTGCAAGGAAATCCGGCCTCCTTTCAAGTTAGGGCTTCTCGCTGTATATTCCGCTTGAGGCAGCAAACTCGGGGTCCCTCCCACATACCTACTGCTGAGAGAAGCCTCCTCCTGAGGTGCTTCTGGGAAGTTGGCATACGTCTTGAGCCTAAGCCAGGGAATCAGCTCGCATCTCGAGACGATTTGGGGTACACGGAGCATTCCTCGAGTTGCTGTGCTGAAGTTGGTGTTCCTCTAGACTTGGGACAGTGTTCTCGGGGCATCTCTGGAGTTGCCTGAAGGAAGTCGAGCCACCGGTCGTGTTGAATGGGGAACGGGGAATGGCTCTGGAGTCAATGCAGGGGAATCGGGCCTCATCTCGAGTTGATTTGGGGCACATGGAGCTGCTTTGCGTTGCTGGGGTGACCTCAGGGTCCGTCTAGACTGGTGACAGTGTTCTTGGGGACTGTCTCGAGATCCATTAAGCAAGTCGAAGCTCCTGACTTGTTTGAATGGGATCACGGAATAGCTCTGCATGCACTGCAGGGGAATGGGGCCTCATCTCGCCTCTAGGGGGAAGTCTCATGGTTTTTCTCGAGTTGCGGCGGGGACCTGGGGTATGTTCTCGACTTACGGCGGGGATGGCCCTTCAAAACACGAGTTTCTTCAGTGACGTCAGGACTCCTGTCTAGTAACGAGGGACACCTCAGGAATCTCTTCGAGGCTTGGCAGGGCCAAAGGGACGCTTCTCGAGGTGAGGCAGGGCACCCAAGGACCCTTTCCAGTAGCCACAGGGATTTTGGGATTCCTATCAGTATTCAAGAGGAGTCAGGCATCGTCACCTTTTGAAGCAATGAACTCCGCGTGCCTCTCGAGGTGTCAGCGGGATGTGAGGCATTCCGTCAAAATGAGGCAGGGACCTAGGGCTTTCTCTAAGGTCTCCACAGGGGATTCAGACATCCCTTCATGTTGTGAGATGAAAGACGAGCCTGTATTCAAGCCACTGCAAGGAAATCCGGCCTCCTTTCAAGTTAGGGCTTCTCGCTGTATATTCCCCTTGAGGCAGCAAACTCGGGGTCCCTCCCACATACCTACTGCTGAGAGAAGCCTCCTCCTGAGGTGCTTCTGGGAAGTTGGCATACGTCTTGAGCCTAAGCCAGGGAATCAGCTCGCATCTCGAGACGATTTGGGGTACACGGAGCATTCCTCGAGTTGCTGTGCTGAAGTTGGTGTTCCTCTAGACTTGGGACAGTGTTCTCGGGGCATCTCTGGAGTTGCCTGAAGGAAGTCGAGCCACCGGTCGTGTTGAATGGGGAACGGGGAATGGCTCTGGAGTCAATGCAGGGGAATCGGGCCTCATCTCGAGTTGATTTGGGGCACATGGAGCTGCTTTGCGTTGCTGGGGTGACCTCAGGGTCCGTCTAGACTGGTGACAGTGTTCTTGGGGACTGTCTCGAGATCCATTAAGCAAGTCGAAGCTCCTGACTTGTTTGAATGGGATCACGGAATAGCTCTGCATGCACTGCAGGGGAATGGGGCCTCATCTCGCCTCTAGGGGGAAGTCTCATGGTTTTTCTCGAGTTGCGGCGGGGACCTGGGGTATGTTCTCGACTTACGGCGGGGATGGCCCTTCAAAACACGAGTTTCTTCAGTGACGTCAGGACTCCTGTCTAGTAACGAGGGACACCTCAGGAATCTCTTCGAGGCTTGGCAGGGCCAAAGGGACGCTTCTCGAGGTGAGGCAGGGCACCCAAGGACCCTTTCCAGTAGCCACAGGGATTTTGGGATTCCTATCAGTATTCAAGAGGAGTCAGGCATCGTCACCTTTTGAAGCAATGAACTCCGCGTGCCTCTCGAGGTGTCAGCGGGATGTGAGGCATTCCGTCAAAATGAGGCAGGGACCTAGGGCTTTCTCTAAGGTCTCCACAGGGGATTCAGACATCCCTTCATGTTGTGAGATGAAAGACGAGCCTGTATTCAAGCCACTGCAAGGAAATCCGGCCTCCTTTCAAGTTAGGGCTTCTCGCTGTATATTCCCCTTAAGGCAGCAAACTCGGGGTCCCTCCCACATACCTACTGCTGAGAGAAGCCTCCTCCTGAGGTGCTTCTGGGAAGTTGGCATACGTCTTGAGCCTAAGCCAGGGAATCAGCTCGCATCTCGAGACGATTTGGGGTACACGGAGCATTCCTCGAGTTGCTGTGCTGAAGTTGGTGTTCCTCTAGACTTGGGACAGTGTTCTCGGGGCATCTCTGGAGTTGCCTGAAGGAAGTCGAGCCACCGGTCGTGTTGAATGGGGAACGGGGAATGGCTCTGGAGTCAATGCAGGGGAATCGGGCCTCATCTCGAGTTGATTTGGGGCACATGGAGCTGCTTTGCGTTGCTGGGGTGACCTCAGGGTCCGTCTAGACTGGTGACAGTGTTCTTGGGGACTGTCTCGAGATCCATTAAGCAAGTCGAAGCTCCTGACTTGTTTGAATGGGATCACGGAATAGCTCTGCATGCACTGCAGGGGAATGGGGCCTCATCTCGCCTCTAGGGGGAAGTCTCATGGTTTTTCTCGAGTTGCGGCGGGGACCTGGGGTATGTTCTCGACTTACGGCGGGGATGGCCCTTCAAAACACGAGTTTCTTCAGTGACGTCAGGACTCCTGTCTAGTAACGAGGGACACCTCAGGAATCTCTTCGAGGCTTGGCAGGGCCAAAGGGACGCTTCTCGAGGTGAGGCAGGGCACCCAAGGACCCTTTCCAGTAGCCACAGGGATTTTGGGATTCCTATCAGTATTCAAGAGGAGTCAGGCATCGTCACCTTTTGAAGCAATGAACTCCGCGTGCCTCTCGAGGTGTCAGCGGGATGGGAGGCATTCCGTCAAAATGAGGCAGGGACCTAGGGCTTTCTCTAAGGTCTCCACAGGGGATTCAGACATCCCTTCATGTTGTGAGATGAAAGACGAGCCTGTATTCAAGCCACTGCAAGGAAATCCGGCCTCCTTTCAAGTTAGGGCTTCTCGCTGTATATTCCCCTTGAGGCAGCAAACTCGGGGTCCCTCCCACATACCTACTGTTGAGAGAAGCCTCCTCCTGAGGTGCTTCTGGGAAGTTGGCATACGTCTTGAGCCTAAGCCAGGGAATCAGCTCGCATCTCGAGACGATTTGGGGTACACGGAGCATTCCTCGAGTTGCTGTGCTGAAGTTGGTGTTCCTCTAGACTTGGGACAGTGTTCTCGGGGCATCTCTGGAGTTGCCTGAAGGAAGTCGAGCCACCGGTCGTGTTGAATGGGGAACGGGGAATGGCTCTGGAGTCAATGCAGGGGAATCGGGCCTCATCTCGAGTTGATTTGGGGCACATGGAGCTGCTTTGCTTTGCTGGGGTGACCTCAGGGTCCGTCTAGACTGGTGACAGTGTTCTTGGGGACTGTCTCGAGATCCATTAAGCAAGTCGAAGCTCCTGACTTGTTTGAATGGGATCACGGAATAGCTCTGCATGCACTGCAGGGGAATGGGGCCTCATCTCGCCTCTAGGGGGAAGTCTCATGGTTTTTCTCGAGTTGCGGCGGGGACCTGGGGTATGTTCTCGACTTACGGCGGGGATGGCCCTTCAAAACACGAGTTTCTTCAGTGACGTCAGGACTCCTGTCTAGTAACGAGGGACACCTCAGGAATCTCTTCGAGGCTTGGCAGGGCCAAAGGGACGCTTCTCGAGGTGAGGCAGGGCACCCAAGGACCCTTTCCAGTAGCCACAGGGATTTTGGGATTCCTATCAGTATTCAAGAGGAGTCAGGCATCGTCACCTTTTGAAGCAATGAACTCCGCGTGCCTCTCGAGGTGTCAGCGGGATGTGAGGCATTCCGTCAAAATGAGGCAGGGACCTAGGGCTTTCTCTAAGGTCTCCACAGGGGATTCAGACATCCCTTCATGTTGTGAGATGAAAGACGAGCCTGTATTCAAGCCACTGCAAGGAAATCCGGCCTCCTTTCAAGTTAGGGCTTCTCGCTGTATATTCCCCTTAAGGCAGCAAACTCGGGGTCCCTCCCACATACCTACTGCTGAGAGAAGCCTCCTCCTGAGGTGCTTCTGGGAAGTTGGCATACGTCTTGAGCCTAAGCCAGGGAATCAGCTCGCATCTCGAGACGATTTGGGGTACACGGAGCATTCCTCGAGTTGCTCTGCTGAAGTTGGTGTTCCTCTAGACTTGGGACAGTGTTCTCGGGGCATCTCTGGAGTTGCCTGAAGGAAGTCGAGCCACCGGTCGTGTTGAATGGGGAACGGGGAATGGCTCTGGAGTCAATGCAGGGGAATCGGGCCTCATCTCGAGTTGATTTGGGGCACATGGAGCTGCTTTGCGTTGCTGGGGTGACCTCAGGGTCCGTCTAGACTGGTGACAGTGTTCTTGGGGACTGTCTCGAGATCCATTAAGCAAGTCGAAGCTCCTGACTTGTTTGAATGGGATCACGGAATAGCTTTGCATGCACTGCAGGGGAATGGGGCCTCATCTCGCCTCTAGGGGGAAGTCTCATGGTTTTTCTCGAGTTGCGGCGGGGACCTGGGGTATGTTCTCGACTTACGGCGGGGATGGCCCTTCAAAACTCGAGTTTCTTCAGTGACGTCAGGACTCCTGTCTAGTAACGAGGGACACCTCAGGAATCTCTTCGAGGCTTGGCAGGGCCAAAGGGACGCTTCTCGAGGTGAGGCAGGGCACCCAAGGACCCTTTCCAGTAGCCACAGGGATTTTGGGATTCCTATCAGTATTCAAGAGGAGTCAGGCATCGTCACCTTTTGAAGCAATGAACTCCGCGTGCCTCTCGAGGTGTCAGCGGGATGTGAGGCATTCCGTCAAAATGAGGCAGGGACCTAGGGCTTTCTCTAAGGTCTCCACAGGGGATTCAGACATCCCTTCATGTTGTGAGATGAAAGACGAGCCTGTATTCAAGCCACTGCAAGGAAATCCGGCCTCCTTTCAAGTTAGGGCTTCTCGCTGTATATTCCCCTTGAGGCAGCAAACTCGGGGTCCCTCCCACATACCTATTGCTGAGAGAAGCCTCCTCCTGAGGTGCTTCTGGGAAGTTGGCATACGTCTTGAGCCTAAGCCAGGGAATCAGCTCGCATCTCGAGACGATTTGGGGTACACGGAGCATTCCTCGAGTTGCTCTGCTGAAGTTGGTGTTCCTCTAGACTTGGGACAGTGTTCTCGGGGCATCTCTGGAGTTGCCTGAAGGAAGTCGAGCCACCGGTCGTGTTGAATGGGGAACGGGGAATGGCTCTGGAGTCAATGCAGGGGAATCGGGCCTCATCTCGAGTTGATTTGGGGCACATAGAGCTGCTTTGCGTTGCTGGGGTGACCTCAGGGTCCGTCTAGACTGGTTACAGTGTTCTTGGGGACTGTCTCGAGATCCATTAAGCAAGTCGAAGCTCCTGACTTGTTTGAATGGGATCACGGAATAGCTCTGCATGCACTGCAGGGGAATGGGGCCTCATCTCGCCTCTAGGGGGAAGTCTCATGGTTTTTCTCGAGTTGCGGCGGGGACCTGGGGTATGTTCTCGACTTACGGCGGGGATGGCCCTTCAAAACACGAGTTTCTTCAGTGACGTCAGGACTCCTGTCTAGTAACGAGGGACACCTCAGGAATCTCTTCGAGGCTTGGCAGGGCCAAATGGACGCTTCTCGAGGTGAGGCAGGGCACCCAAGGACCCTTTCCAGTAGCCACAGGGATTTTGGGATTCCTATCAGTATTCAAGAGGAGTCAGGCATCGTCACCTTTTGAAGCAATGAACTCCGCGTGCCTCTCGAGGTGTCAGCGGGATGTGAGGCATTCCGACAAAATGAGGCAGGGACCTAGGGCTTTCTCTAAGGTCTCCACAGGGGATTCAGACATCCCTTCATGTTGTGAGATGAAAGACGAGCCTGTATTCAAGCCACTGCAAGGAAATCCGGCCTCCTTTCAAGTTAGGGCTTCTCGCTGTATATTCCCCTTGAGGCAGCAAACTCGGGGTCCCTCCCACATACCTACTGCTGAGAGAAGCCTCCTCCTGAGGTGCTTCTGGGAAGTTGGCATACGTCTTGAGCCTAAGCCAGGGAATCAGCTCGCATCTCGAGACGATTTGGGGTACACGGAGCATTCCTCGAGTTGCTGTGCTGAAGTTGGTGTTCCTCTAGACTTGGGACAGTGTTCTCGGGGCATCTCTGGAGTTGCCTGAAGGAAGTCGAGCCACCGGTCGTGTTGAATGGGGAACGGGGAATGGCTCTGGAGTCAATGCAGGGGAATCGGGCCTCATCTCGAGTTGATTTGGGGCACATGGAGCTGCTTTGCGTTGCTGAGGTGACCTCAGGGTCCGTCTAGACTGGTGACAGTGTTCTTGGGGACTGTCTCGAGATCCATTAAGCAAGTCGAAGCTCCTGACTTGTTTGAATGGGATCACGGAATAGCTCTGCATGCACTGCAGGGGAATGGGGCCTCATCTCGCCTCTAGGGGGAAGTCTCATGGTTTTTCTCGAGTTGCGGCGGGGACCTGGGGTATGTTCTCGACTTACGGCGGGGATGGCCCTTCAAAACACGAGTTTCTTCAGTGACGTCAGGACTCCTGTCTAGTAACGAGGGACACCTCAGGAATCTCTTCGAGGCTTGGCAGGGCCAAAGGGACGCTTCTCGAGGTGAGGCAGGGCACCCAAGGACCCTTTCCAGTAGCCACAGGGATTTTGGGATTCCTATCAGTATTCAAGAGGAGTCAGGCATCGTCACCTTTTGAAGCAATGAACTCCGCGTGCCTCTCGAGGTGTCAGCGGGATGTGAGGCATTCCGTCAAAATGAGGCAGGGACCTAGGGCTTTCTCTAAGGTCTCCACAGGGGATTCAGACATCCCTTCATGTTGTGAGATGAAAGACGAGCCTGTATTCAAGCCACTGCAAGGAAATCCGGCCTCCTTTCAAGTTAGGGCTTCTCGCTGTATATTCCCCTTAAGGCAGCAAACTCGGGGTCCCTCCCACATACCTACTGCTGAGAGAAGCCTCCTCCTGAGGTGCTTCTGGGAAGTTGGCATACGTCTTGAGCCTAAGCCAGGGAATCAGCTCGCATCTCGAGACGATTTGGGGTACACGGAGCATTCCTCGAGTTGCTGTGCTGAAGTTGGTGTTCCTCTAGACTTGGGACAGTGTTCTCGGGGCATCTCTGGAGTTGCCTGAAGGAAGTCGAGCCACCGGTCGTGTTGAATGGGGAACGGGGAATGGCTCTGGAGTCAATGCAGAGGAATCGGGCCTCATCTCGAGTTGATTTGGGGCACATGGAGCTGCTTTGCGTTGCTGGGGTGACCTCAGGGTCCGTCTAGACTGGTGACAGTGTTCTTGGGGACTGTCTCGAGATCCATTAAGCAAGTCGAAGCTCCTGACTTGTTTGAATGGGATCACGGAATAGCTCTGCATGCACTGCAGGGGAATGGGGCCTCATCTCGCCTCTAGGGGGAAGTCTCATGGTTTTTCTCGACTTACGGCGGGGATGGCCCTTCAAAACACGAGTTTCTTCAGTGACGTCAGGACTCCTGTCTAGTAACGAGGGACACCTCAGGAATCTCTTCGAGGCTTGGCAGGGCCAAAGGGACGCTTCTCGAGGTGAGGCAGGGCACCCAAGGACCCTTTCCAGTAGCCACAGGGATTTTGGGATTCCTATCAGTATTCAAGAGGAGTCAGGCATCGTCACCTTTTGAAGCAATGAACTCCGCGTGCCTCTCGAGGTGTCAGCGGGATGTGAGGCATTCCGTCAAAATGAGGCAGGGACCTAGGGCTTTCTCTAAGGTCTCCACAGGGGATTCAGACATCCCTTCATGTTGTGAGATGAAAGACGAGCCTGTATTCGAGCCACTGCAAGGAAATCCGGCCTCCTTTCAAGTTAGGGCTTCTCGCTGTATATTCCCCTTAAGGCAGCAAACTCGGGGTCCCTCCCACATACCTACTGCTGAGAGAAGCCTCCTCCTGAGGTGCTTCTGGGAAGTTGGCATACGTCTTGAGCCTAAGCCAGGGAATCAGCTCGCATCTCGAGACGATTTGGGGTACACGGAGCATTCCTCGAGTTGCTGTGCTGAAGTTGGTGTTCCTCTAGACTTGGGACAGTGTTCTCGGGGCATCTCTGGAGTTGCCTGAAGGAAGTCGAGCCACCGGTCGTGTTGAATGGGGAACGGGGAATGGCTCTGGAGTCAATGCAGGGGAATCGGGCCTCATCTCGAGTTGATTTGGGGCACATGGAGCTGCTTTGCGTTGCTGGGGTGACATCAGGGTCCGTCTAGACTGGTGACAGTGTTCTTGGGGACTGTCTCGAGATCCATTAAGCAAGTCGAAGCTCCTGACTTGTTTGAATAGGATCACGGAATAGCTTTGCATGCACTGCAGGGGAATGGGGCCTCATCTCGCCTCTAGGGGGAAGTCTCATGGTTTTTCTCGAGTTGAGGCGGGGACCTGGGGTATGTTCTCGACTTACGGCGGGGATGGCCCTTCAAAACTCGAGTTTCTTCAGTGACGTCAGGACTCCTGTCTAGTAACGAGGGACACCTCAGGAATCTCTTCGAGGCTTGGCAGGGCCAAAGGGACGCTTCTCGAGGTGAGGCAGGGCACCCAAGGACCCTTTCCAGTAGCCACAGGGATTTTGGGATTCCTATCAGTATTCAAGAGGAGTCAGGCATCGTCACCTTTTGAAGCAATGAACTCCGCGTGCCTCTCGAGGTGTCAGCGGGATGTGAGGCATTCCGTCAAAATGAGGCAGGGACCTAGGGCTTTCTCTAAGGTCTCCACAGGGGATTCAGACATCCCTTCATGTTGTGAGATGAAAGACGAGCCTGTATTCAAGCCACTGCAAGGAAATCCGGCCTCCTTTCAAGTTAGGGCTTCTCGCTGTATATTCCCCTTGAGGCAGCAAACTCGGGGTCCCTCCCACATACCTATTGCTGAGAGAAGCCTCCTCCTGAGGTGCTTCTGGGAAGTTGGCATACGTCTTGAGCCTAAGCCAGGGAATCAGCTCGCATCTCGAGACGATTTGGGGTACACGGAGCATTCCTCGAGTTGCTGTGCTGAAGTTGGTGTTCCTCTAGACTTGGGACAGTGTTCTCGGGGCATCTCTGGAGTTGCCTGAAGGAAGTCGAGCCACCGGTCGTGTTGAATGGGGAACGGGGAATGGCTCTGGAGTCAATGCAGGGGAATCGGGCCCCATCTCGAGTTGATTTGGGGCACATGGAGCTGCTTTGCGTTGCTGGGGTGACCTCAGCGTCCGTCTAGACTGGTGACAGTGTTCTTGGGGACTGTCTCGAGATCCATTAAGCAAGTCGAAGCTCCTGACTTGTTTGAATGGGATCACGGAATAGCTCTGCATGCACTGCAGGGGAATGGGGCCTCATCTCGCCTCTAGGGGGAAGTCTCATGGTTTTTCTCGAGTTGCGGCGGGGACCTGGGGTATGTTCTCGACTTACGGCGGGGATGGCCCTTCAAAACACGAGTTTCTTCAGTGACGTCAGGACTCCTGTCTAGTAACGAGGGACACCTCAGGAATCTCTTCGAGGCTTGGCAGGGCCAAATGGACGCTTCTCGAGGTGAGGCAGGGCACCCAAGGACCCTTTCCAGTAGCCACAGGGATTTTGGGATTCCTATCAGTATTCAAGAGGAGTCAGGCATCGTCACCTTTTGAAGCAATGAACTCCGCGTGCCTCTCGAGGTGTCAGCGGGATGTGAGGCATTCCGACAAAATGAGGCAGGGACCTAGGGCTTTCTCTAAGGTCTCCACAGGGGATTCAGACATCCCTTCATGTTGTGAGATGAAAGACGAGCCTGTATTCAAGCCACTGCAAGGAAATCCGGCCTCCTTTCAAGTTAGGGCTTCTCGCTGTATATTCCCCTTGAGGCAGCAAACTCGGGGTCCCTCCCACATACCTACTGCTGAGAGAAGCCTCCTCCTGAGGTGCTTCTGGGAAGTTGGCATACGTCTTGAGCCTAAGCCAGGGAATCAGCTCGCATCTCGAGACGATTTGGGGTACACGGAGCATTCCTCGAGATGCTGTGCTGAAGTTGGTGTTCCTCTAGACTTGGGACAGTGTTCTCGGGGCATCTCTGGAGTTGCCTGAAGGAAGTCGAGCCACCGGTCGTGTTGAATGGGGAACGGGGAATGGCTCTGGAGTCAATGCAGGGGAATCGGGCCTCATCTCGAGTTGATTTGGGGCACATGGAGCTGCTTTGCGTTGCTGGGGTGACCTCAGGGTCCGTCTAGACTGGTGACAGTGTTCTTGGGGACTGTCTCGAGATCCATTAAGCAAGTCGAAGCTCCTGACTTGTTTGAATGGGATCACGGAATAGCTCTGCATGCACTGCAGGGGAATGGGGCCTCATCTCGCCTCTAGGGGGAAGTCTCATGGTTTTTCTCGAGTTGCGGCGGGGACCTGGGGTATGTTCTCGACTTACGGCGGGGATGGCCCTTCAAAACACGAGTTTCTTCAGTGACGTCAGGACTCCTGTCTAGTAACGAGGGACACCTCAGGAATCTCTTCGAGGCTTGGCAGGGCCAAAGGGACGCTTCTCGAGGTGAGGCAGGGCACCCAAGGACCCTTTCCAGTAGCCACAGGGATTTTGGGATTCCTATCAGTATTCAAGAGGAGTCAGGCATCGTCACCTTTTGAAGCAATGAACTCCGCGTGCCTCTCGAGGTGTCAGCGGGATGTGAGGCATTCCGTCAAAATGAGGCAGGGACCTAGGGCTTTCTCTAAGGTCTCCACAGGGGATTCAGACATCCCTTCATGTTGTGAGATGAAAGACGAGCCTGTATTCAAGCCACTGCAAGGAAATCCGGCCTCCTTTCAAGTTAGGGCTTCTCGCTGTATATTCCCCTTAAGGCAGCAAACTCGGGGTCCCTCCCACATACCTACTGCTGAGAGAAGCCTCCTCCTGAGGTGCTTCTGGGAAGTTGGCATACGTCTTGAGCCTAAGCCAGGGAATCAGCTCGCATCTCGAGACGATTTGGGGTACACGGAGCATTCCTCGAGTTGCTGTGCTGAAGTTGGTGTTCCTCTAGACTTGGGACAGTGTTCTCGGGGCATCTCTGGAGTTGCCTGAAGGAAGTCGAGCCACCGGTCGTGTTGAATGGGGAACGGGGAATGGCTCTGGAGTCAATGCAGGGGAATCGGGCCTCATCTCGAGTTGATTTGGGGCACATGGAGCTGCTTTGCGTTGCTGGGGTGACCTCAGGGTCCGTCTAGACTGGTGACAGTGTTCTTGGGGACTGTCTCGAGATCCATTAAGCAAGTCGAAGCTCCTGACTTGTTTGAATGGGATCACGGAATAGCTCTGCATGCACTGCAGGCGAATGGGGCCTCATCTCGCCTCTAGGGGGAAGTCTCATGGTTTTTCTCGAGTTGCGGCGGGGACCTGGGGTATGTTCTCGACTTACGGCGGGGATGGCCCTTCAAAACACGAGTTTCTTCAGTGACGTCAGGACTCCTGTCTAGTAACGAGGGACACCTCAGGAATCTCTTCGAGGCTTGGCAGGGCCAAAGGGACGCTTCTCGAGGTGAGGCAGGGCACCCAAGGACCCTTTCCAGTAGCCACAGGGATTTTGGGATTCCTATCAGTATTCAAGAGGAGTCAGGCATCGTCACCTTTTGAAGCAATGAACTCCGCGTGCCTCTCGAGGTGTCAGCGGGATGTGAGGCATTCCGTCAAAATGAGGCAGGGACCTAGGGCTTTCTCTAAGGTCTCCACAGGGGATTCAGACATCCCTTCATGTTGTGAGATGAAAGACGAGCCTGTATTCAAGCCACTGCAAGGAAATCCGGCCTCCTTTCAAGTTAGGGCTTCTCGCTGTATATTCCCCTTGAGGCAGCAAACTCGGGGTCCCTCCCACATACCTACTGCTGAGAGAAGCCTCCTCCTGACGTGCTTCTGGGAAGTTGGCATACGTCTTGAGCCTAAGCCAGGGAATCAGCTCGCATCTCGAGACGATTTGGGGTACACGGAGCATTCCTCGAGTTGCTGTGCTGAAGTTGGTGTTCCTCTAGACTTGGGACAGTGTTCTCGGGGCATCTCTGGAGTTGCCTGAAGGAAGGCGAGCCACCGGTCGTGTTGAATGGGGAACGGGGAATGGCTCTGGAGTCAATGCAGGGGAATCGGGCCTCATCTCGAGTTGATTTGGGGCACATGGAGCTGCTTTGCGTTGCTGGGGTGACCTCAGGGTCCGTCTAGACTGGTGACAGTGTTCTTGGGGACTGTCTCGAGATCCATTAAGCAAGTCGAAGCTCCTGACTTGTTTGAATGGGATCACGGAATAGCTCTGCATGCACTGCAGAGGAATGGGGCCTCATCTCGCCTCTAGGGGGAAGTCTCATGGTTTTTCTCGAGTTGCGGCGGGGACCTGGGGTATGTTCTCGACTTACGGCGGGGATGGCCCTTCAAAACACGAGTTTCTTCAGTGACGTCAGGACTCCTGTCTAGTAACGAGGGACACCTCAGGAATCTCTTCGAGGCTTGGCAGGGCCAAAGGGACGCTTCTCGAGGTGAGGCAGGGCACCCAAGGACCCTTTCCAGTAGCCACAGGGATTTTGGGATTCCTATCAGTATTCAAGAGGAGTCAGGCATCGTCACCTTTTGAAGCAATGAACTCCGCGTGCCTCTCGAGGTGTCAGCGGGATGTGAGGCATTCCGTCAAAATGAGGCAGGGACCTAGGGCTTTCTCTAAGGTCTCCACAGGGGATTCAGACATCCGTTCATGTTGTGAGATGAAAGACGAGCCTGTATTCAAGCCACTGCAAGGAAATCCGGCCTCCTTTCAAGTTAGGGCTTCTCGCTGTATATTCCCCTTGAGGCAGCAAACTCGGGGTCCCTCCCACATACCTATTGCTGAGAGAAGCCTCCTCCTGAGGTGCTTCTGGGAAGTTGGCATACGTCTTGAGCCTAAGCCAGGGAATCAGCTCGCATCTCGAGACGATTTGGGGTACACGGAGCATTCCTCGAGTTGCTGTGCTGACGTTGGTGTTCCTCTAGACTTGGGACAGTGTTCTCGGGGCATCTCTGGAGTTGCCTGAAGGAAGTCGAGCCACCGGTCGTGTTGAATGGGGAACGGGGAATGGCTCTGGAGTCAATGCAGGGGAATCGGGCCTCATCTCGAGTTGATTTGGGGCACATGGAGCTGCTTTGCGTTGCTGGGGTGACCTCAGGGTCCGTCTAGACTGGTGACAGTGTTCTTGGGGACTGTCTCGAGATCCATTAAGCAAGTCGAAGCTCCTGACTTGTTTGAATGGGATCACGGAATAGCTCTGCATGCACTGCAGGGGAATGGGGCCTCATCTCACCTCTAGGGGGAAGTCTCATGGTTTTTCTCGAGTTGCGGCGGGGACCTGGGGTATGTTCTCGACTTACGGCGGGGATGGCCCTTCAAAACACGAGTTTCTTCAGTGAGGTCAGGACTCCTGTCTAGTAACGAGGGACACCTCAGGAATCTCTTCGAGGCTTGGCAGGGCCACAGGGACGCTTCTCGAGGTGAGGCAGGGCACCCAAGGACCCTTTCCAGTAGCCACAGGGATTTTGGGATTCCTATCAGTATTCAAGAGGAGTCAGGCATCGTCACCTTTTGAAGCAATGAACTCCGCGTGCCTCTCGAGGTGTCAGCGGGATGTGAGGCATTCCGTCAAAATGAGGCAGGGACCTAGGGCTTTCTCTAAGGTCTCCACAGGGGATTCAGACATCCGTTCATGTTGTGAGATGAAAGACGAGCCTGTATTCAAGCCACTGCAAGGAAATCCGGCCTCCTTTCAAGTTAGGGCTTCTCGCTGTATATTCCCCTTGAGGCAGCAAACTCGGGGTCCCTCCCACATACCTATTGCTGAGAGAAGCCTCCTCCTGAGGTGCTTCTGGGAAGTTGGCATACGTCTTGAGCCTAAGCCAGGGAATCAGCTCGCATCTCGAGACGATTTGGGGTACACGGAGCATTCCTCGAGTTGCTGTGCTGACGTTGGTGTTCCTCTAGACTTGGGACAGTGTTCTCGGGGCATCTCTGGAGTTGCCTGAAGGAAGTCGAGCCACCGGTCGTGTTGAATGGGGAACGGGGAATGGCTCTGGAGTCAATGCAGGGGAATCGGGCCTCATCTCGAGTTGATTTGGGGCACATGGAGCTGCTTTGCGTTGCTGGGGTGACCTCAGGGTCCGTCTAGACTGGTGACAGTGTTCTTGGGGACTGTCTCGAGATCCATTAAGCAAGTCGAAGCTCCTGACTTGTTTGAATGGGATCACGGAATAGCTCTGCATGCACTGCAGGGGAATGGGGCCTCATCTCGCCTCTAGGGGGAAGTCTCATGGTTTTTCTCGAGTTGCGGCGGGGACATGGGGTATGTTCTCGACTTACGGCGGGGATGGCCCTTCAAAACACGAGTTTCTTCAGTGACGTCAGGACTCCTGTCTAGTAACGAGGGACACCTCAGGAATCTCTTCGAGGCTTGGCAGGGCAAAAGGGACGCTTCCCGAGGTGAGGCAGGGCACCCAAGGACCCTTTCCAGTAGCCACAGGGATTTTGGGATTCCTATCAGTATTCAAGAGGAGTCAGGCATCGTCACCTTTTGAAGCAATGAACTCCGCGTGCCTCTCGAGGTGTCAGCGGGATGTGAGGCATTCCGTCAAAATGAGGCAGGGACCTAGGGCTTTCTCTAAGGTCTCCCCAGGGGATTCAGACATCCCTTCATGTTGTGAGATGAAAGACGAGCCTGTATTCAAGCCACTGCAAGGAAATCCGGCCTCCTTTCAAGTTAGGGCTTCTCGCTGTATATTCCCCTTGAGGCAGCAAACTCGGGGTCCCTCCCACATACCTATTGCTGAGAGAAGCCTCCTCCTGAGGTGCTTCTGGGAAGTTGGCATACGTCTTGAGCCTAAGCCAGGGAATCAGCTCGCATCTCGAGACGATTTGGGGTAGACGGAGCATTCCTCGAGTTGCTGTGCTGACGTTGGTGTTCCTCTAGACTTGGGACAGTGTTCTCGGGGCATCTCTGGAGTTGCCTGAAGGAAGTCGAGCCACCGGTCGTGTTGAATGGGGAACGGGGAATGGCTCTGGAGTCAATGCAGGGGAATCGGGCCTCATCTCGAGTTGATTTGGGGCACATGGAGCTGCTTTGCGTTGCTGGGGTGACCTCAGGGTCCGTCTAGACTGGTGACAGTGTTCTTGGGGACTGTCTCGAGATCCATTAAGCAAGTCGAAGCTCCTGACTTGTTTGAATGGGATCACGGAATAGCTCTGCATGCACTGCAGGGGAATGGGGCCTCATCTCGCCTCTAGGGGGAAGTCTCATGGTTTTTCTCGAGTTGCGGCGGGGACCTGGGGTATGTTCTCGACTTACGGCGGGGATGGCCCTTCAAAACACGAGTTTCTTCAGTGACGTCAGGAGTCCTGTCTAGTAACGAGGGACACCTCAGGAATCTCTTCGAGGCTTGGCAGGGCCAAAGGGACGCTTCCCGAGGTGAGGCAGGGCACCCAAGGACCCTTTCCAGTAGCCACAGGGATTTTGGGATTCCTATCAGTATTCAAGAGGAGTCAGGCATCGTCACCTTTTGAAGCAACGAACTCCGCGTGCCTCTCGAGGTGTCAGTGGGATGTGAGGCATTCCGTCAAAATGAGGCAGGGACCTAGGGCTTTCTCTAAGGTCTCCACAGGGGATTCAGACATCCCTTCATGTTGTGAGATGAAAGACGAGCCTGTATTCAAGCCACTGCAAGGAAATCCGGCCTCCTTTCAAGTTAGGGCTTCTCGCTGTATATTCCCCTTGAGGCAGCAAACTCGGGGTCCCTCCCACATACCTATTGCTGATAGAAGCCTCCTCCTGAGGTGCTTCTGGGAAGTTGGCATACGTCTTGAGCCTAAGCCAGGGAATCAGCTCGCATCTCGAGACGATTTGGGGTAGACGGAGCATTCCTCGAGTTGCTGTGCTGAAGTTGGTGTTCCTCTAGACTTGGGACAGTGTTCTCGGGGCATCTCTGGAGTTGCCTGAAGGAAGTCGAGCCACCGGTCGTGTTGAATGGGGAACGGGGAATGGCTCTGGAGTCAATGCAGGGGAATCGGGCCTCATCTCGAGTTGATTTGGGGCACATGGAGCTGCTTTGCGTTGCTGGGGTGACCTCAGGGTCCGTCTAGACTGGTGACAGTGTTCTTGGGGACTGTCTCGAGATCCATTAAGCAAGTCGAAGCTCCTGACTTGTTTGAATGGGATCACGGAATAGCTCTGCATGCACTGCAGGGGAATGGGGCCTCATCTCGCCTCTACGGGGAAGTCTCATGGTTTTTCTCGAGTTGCGGCGGGGACCTGGGGTATGTTCTCGACTTACGGCGGGGATGGCCCTTCAAAACACGAGTTTCTTCAGTGACGTCAGGACTCCTGTCTAGTAACGAGGGACACCTCAGGAATCTCTTCGAGGCTTGGCAGGGCCAAAGGGACGCTTCTCGAGGTGAGGCAGGGCACCCAAGGACCCTTTCCAGTAGCCACAGGGATTTTGGGATTCCTATCAGTATTCAAGAGGAGTCAGGCATCGTCACCTTTTGAAGCAATGAACTCCGCGTGCCTCTCGAGGTGTCAGCGGGATGTGAGGCATTCCGTCAAGATGAGGCAGGGACCTAGGGCTTTCTCTAAGGTCTCCACAGGGGATTCAGACATCCCTTCATGTTGTGAGATGAAAGACGAGCCTGTATTCAAGCCACTGCAAGGAAATCCGGCCTCCTTTCAAGTTAGGGCTTCTCGCTGTATATTCCCCTTGAGGCAGCAAACTCGGGGTCCCTCCCACATACCTATTGCTGAGAGAAGCCTCCTCCTGAGGTGCTTCTGGGAAGCTGGCATACGTCTTGAGCCTAAGCCAGGGAATCAGTTCGCATCTCGAGACGATTTGGGGTACACGGAGCATTCCTCGAGTTGCTGTGCTGAAGTTGGTGTTCCTCTAGACTTGGGACAGTGTTCTCGGGGCATCTCTGGAGTTGCCTGAAGGAAGTCGAGCCACCGGTCGTGTTGAATGGGAACGGGGAATGGCTCTGGAGTCAATGCAGGGGAATCGGGCCTCATCTCGAGTTGATTTGGGGCACATGGAGCTGCTTTGCTTTGCTGGGGTGACCTCAGGGTCCGTCTAGACTGGTGACAGTGTTCTTGGGGACTGTCTCGAGATCCATTAAGCAAGTCGAAGCTCCTGACTTGTTTGAATGGGATCACGGAATAGCTCTGCATGCACTGCAGGGGAATGGGGCCTCATCTCGCCTCTAGGGGGAAGTCTCATGGTTTTTCTCGAGTTGCGGCGGGGACCTGGGGTATGTTCTCGAATCACGGCGGGGATGGCCCTTCAAAACACGAGTTTCTTCAGTGACGTCAGGACTCCTGTCTAGTAACGAGGGACACCTCAGGAATCTCTTCGAGGCTTGGCAGGGCCAAAGGTACGCTTCTCGAGGTGAGGCAGGGCACCCAAGGACCCTTTCCAGTAGCCACAGGGATTTTGGGATTCCTATCAGTATTCAAGAGGAGTCAGGCATCGTCACCTTTTGACGCAACGAACTCCGCGTGAATCTCGAGGTGTCAGCGGGATGTGAGGCATTCCGTCAAAATGAGGCAGGGACCTAGGGCTTTCTCTAAGGTCTCCACAGGGGATTCAGACATCCCTTCATGTTGTGAGATGAAAGACGAGCCTGTATTCAAGCCACTGCAAGGAAATCCGGCCTCCTTTCAAGTTAGGGCTTCTCGCTGTATATTCCCCTTGAGGCAGCAAACTCGGGGTCCCTCCCACATACCTATTGCTGAGAGAAGCCTCCTCCTGAGGTGCTTCTGGGAAGTTGGCATACGTCTTGAGCCTAAGCCAGGGAATCAGCTCGCATCTCGAGACGATTTGGGGTAGACGGAGCATTCCTCGAGTTGCTGTGCTGAAGTTGGTGTTCCTCTAGACTTGGGACAGTGTTCTCGGGGCATCTCTGGAGTTGCCTGAAGGAAGTCGAGCCACCGGTCGTGTTGAATGGGGAACGGGGAATGGCTCTGGAGTCAATGCAGGGGAATCGGGCCTCATCTCGAGTTGATTTGGGGCACATGGAGCTGCTTTGCGTTGCTGGGGTGACCTCAGGGTCCGTCTAGACTGGTGACAGTGTTCTTGGGGACTGTCTCGAGATCCATTAAGCAAGTCGAAGCTCCTGGCTTGTTTGAATGGGATCACGGAATAGCTCTGCATGCACTGCAGGGGAATGGGGCCTCATCTCGCCTCTAGGGGGAAGTCTCACGGTTTTTCTCGAGTTGCGGCGGGGCCCTGGGGTATGTTCTCGACTTACGGCGGGGATGGCACTTCAAAACACGAGTTTCTCCAGTGACGTCAGGACTCCTGCCTAGTAACGAGGGACACCTCAGGAATCTCTTCGAGGCTTGGCAGGGCAAAAGGGACGCTTCTCGAGGTGAGGCAGGGCACCCAAGGACCCTTTCTAGTAGCCACAGGGATTTTGGGATTCCTATCAGTATTCAAGAGGAGTCAGGCATCGTCACCTTTTGAAGCAATGAACTCCGCGTGCCTCTCCAGGTGTCAGCGGGATGTGAGGCATTCCGTCAAAATGAGGCAGGGACCTAGGGCTTTCTCTAAGGTCTCCCCAGGGGATTCAGACATCCCTTCATGTTGTGAGATGAAAGACGAGCCTGTATTCAAGCTATTGCAAGGAAATCCGTCCTCCTTTCAAGTTAGGGCTTCTCGATGTATATTCCCCTTGAGGCAGCAAACTCGGGGTCCCTCCCACATACCTATTGCTGAGAGAAGCCTCCTCCTGAGGTGCTTCTGGAAAGTTGGCATACGTCTTGAGCCTAAGCCAGGCAATCAGCTCTCATCTTGAGACGATTTGGGGTACACAAAGCATTCCTCGAGTTGCTGTGCTGAAGTTGGTGTTCCTCTAGACTTGGGACAGTGTTCTCGTGGCATCTCTGGAGTTGCCTGAAGGAAGTCGAGCCACCGGTCGTGTTGAATGGGGAACGGGGAATGGCTCTGGAGTCAATGCAGGGGAATCCGGCCTCATCTCGAGTTGATTTGGGGCACATGGAGCTGCTTTGCATTGCTGGGTGACCTCAGGGTCCGTCTAGACTGGTGACAGTGTTCTTGGGGACTGTCTCGAGATCCATTAAGCAAGTCGAAGCTCCTGACTTGTTTGAATGGGATCACGGAATAGCTCTGCATGCACTGCAGGGGAATGGGGCCTCATCTCGCCTCTAGGGGGAAGTCTCACGGTTTTTCTCGAGTTGCGGCGGGGACCTGGGGTATGTTTTCGACTTACGGCGGGGATGGCCCTTCAAAACACGAGTTTCTCCAGTGACGTCAGGACTCCTGCCTAGTAACGAGGGACACCTCAGCAATCTCTCCGAGGCTTGGCAGGGCAAAAGGGACGCTTCTCGAGGTGAGGCAGGGCACCCAAGGACCCTTTCTAGAAGCCACAGGGATTTTGGGATTCCTATCAGTATTCAAGAGGAGTCAGGCATCGTCACCTTTTGAAGCAATGAACTCTGCGTTCCTCTCGAGGTGTCAGCGGGATGTGAGGATTCCGTCAAAATGAGGCAGGGACCTAGGGCTTCCTCTAAGGTCTCCACAGGGGATTCAGACATCCCTTCAGGTTGTGAGATGAAAGACGAGCCTGTATTCAAGCCACTGCAAGGAAATCCGGCCTCCTTTCAAGTTAGGGCTTCTCGCTGTATATTCCCCTTGAGGCAGCAAACTCGGGGTCCCTCCCACATACCTATTGCTGAGAGAAGCCTCCTCCTGAGGTGCTTCTGGAAAGTTGGCATACGTCTTGAGCCTAAGCCAGGCAATCAGCTCTCATCTTGAGACGATTTGGGGTACACAAAGCATTCCTCGAGTTGCTGTGCTGAAGTTGGTCGTCCTCTAGACTTGGGACAGTGTTCTCGGGGCATCTCTGGAGTTGCCTGAAGGAAGTCGAGCCACCGGTCGTGTTGAATGGGGAACAGGGAATGGCTCTGGAGTCAATGCAGGGGAATACGGCCTCATCTCGAGTTGATTTGGGGCACATGGAGCTGCTTTGCATTGCTGGGTGACCTCAGGGTCCGTCTAGACTGGTGACAGTGTTCTTGGGGACTGTCTCGAGATCCATTAAGCAAGTCGAAGCTCCTGACTTGTTTGAATGGGATCACGGAATAGTTCTCCATGCACTGCAGGGGAATGGGGCCTCATCTCGCCTCTAGGGGGAAGTCTCATGGTTTTTCTCGAGTTGCGGCGGGGACCTGGGGTATGTTCTCGACTTACGGCGGGGATGGCCCTTCAAAACACGAGTTTCTTCAGTGTCGTCAGGACTCCTGTCTAGTAATGAGGGACACTTCAGCAATCTCTTCGAGGCTTGGCAGGGCAAAAGGGACGCTTCTCGAGGTGAGGCAGGGCACCCAAGGACCCTTTCCAGTAGCCACAGGGATTTTGGGATTCCTATCAGTATTCAAGAGGAGTCAGGCATCGTCACCTTTTCAAGCAATGAACTCCGCGTGCCTCTCGAGGTGTCAGGGGGATGTGAGGTATTCCGTCAAAATGAGGCAGGGACCTAGGGCTTCCTCTAAGGACTCCACACGGGATTCAGACATCCCTTCATGTTGTCAGATCAAAGACGAGCCTGTATTCAAGCCACTGCAAGGAAATCTGGCCTCCGTTCACATTAGGGCTTCTCCCTGTGTATTCCCCTTGAAGCAGCAAACTCGGGGTCCCTCCCACATACCTATTGCTGAGAGAAGCCTCCTCCTGAGGTGCTTCTGGAAAGTTGGCATACGTCTTGAGCCTAAGCCAGGGAATCAGCTCTCATCTCGAGATGATTTGGGGTACACGGAGCATTCCTCGAGTTGCTGGGCTGAAGTTGGTGTTCCTCTAGCCTTGGGACAGTGTTCTCGGGGCATCTCTGGAGTTGCCTGAAGGAAGTCGAGCCACCGGTCGTGTTGAATGGGGAACGGGGAATGGCTCTGGAGTCAATACAGGAGAATCTGGGCTCATCTCGAGTTGATTTGGGGCACATGGAGCAGCTTTGAATTGCTGGGGTGACCTCAGGGTCCGTCTAGACTGGTGACAGTGTTCTTGGGGACTGTCTCGCGATCCATTAAGCAAGTCGAAGCTCCTGACTTGTTTGAATGGGATCACGGAATAGCTCTGCATGCACTGCAGGGGAATGGGGCCTCATCTCGCCTCTAGGGGGAAGTCTCACGGTTTTTGTCGACTTGCGGCGGGGACCTGGGGTATGTTCTCGACTTACGGCGGGGATGGCCCTTCAAAACACGAGTTTCTTCAGTGACGTCAGGACTCCTGCCTAGTAACGAGGGACACCTCAGGAATCTCTTCGAGGCTTGGCAGGGCAAAAGGGACGCTTCTCGAGGTGAGGCCGGGCACCCAAGGACCCTTTCCAGTAGCCACAGGGATTTTGGGATTCCTATCAGTATTCAAGAGGAGTCAGGCATCGTCACCTTTTGAAGCAATGAACTCCGCGTGCCTCTCGAGGTGTCAGCGGGATGTGAGGCATTCCGTCAAAATGAGGCAGGGACCTAGGGCTTTCTTTAAGGTCTCCACAGGGGATTCAGACATCCCTTCATGTTGTGAGATGAAAGACAAGCCTGTATTCAAGCTACTGCAAGGAAATCCGGCCTCCTTTCAAGTTAGGGCTTCTCGATGTATATTCCCCTTGAGGCAGCAAACTCGGAGTCCCTCCCACATACCTATTGCTGAGAAGTCTCCTCCTGAGGTGCTTCTGGAAAGTTGGCATACGTCTTGAGGCTAAGCCAGGGAATCAGCTCTCATCTCGAGACGATTTATGGTACACAGAGCATTCCTCGAGTTGCTGTGCTGAAGTTGGTGTTCCTCTAGACTTGGGACAGTGTTCTCGGGGCATCTCTGGAGTTGCCTGAAGGAAGGCGAGCCCCCGTTCGTGTTGAAGGGGGAACGGGAATGGCTCTGGAGTCAATGCAGGGGAATCGGGCCTCATCTCGAGTTGATTTGGGGCACATGGAGCTGCTTTGCGTTGCTGGGGTGACCTCAGGGTCCGTCTAGACTGGTGACAGTGTTCTTGGGGACTGTCTCGAGATCCATTAAGCAAGTCGAAGCTCCTGAATTGTTTGAATGGGATCACGGAATAGCTCTGCATGCACTGCAGGGGAATGGGGCTTCATCTCGCCTCTAGGGGGAAGTCTCATGGTTTTTCTCGAGTTGCGGCGGGGACCTGGGGTATGTTCTCGACTTACGGCTGGGATGGCCCTTCAAAACACGAGTTTCTTCCGTGACGTCAGGACTCCTGTCTAGTAATGAGGGACACCTCAGCAATCTCTTCGAGGCTTGGCAGGGCAAAAGGGACGCTTCTCGAGGTGAGCCAGGGCACCCAAGGACCCTTTCCAGTAGCCACAGGGATTTTGGGATTCCTATATGTATTCAAGAGGAGTCAGGCATCGTCACCTTTTCAAGCAATGAACTCTGCGTGCCTCTCGAGGTGTCAGGGGGATGTGAGGTATTCCGTCAAAATGAGGCAGGGACCTAGGGCTTCCTCTAAGGTCTCCACAGGGGATTCAGACATCCCTTCATGTTGTCAGATCAAAGACGAGCCTGTATTCCAGCCACTGCAAGGAAATCTGGCCTCCGTTCACATTAGGGCTTCTCCCTGTGTATTCCCCTTGAGGCAGCAAACTCGGGGTCCCTCCCACATACCTATTGCTGAGAGAAGCCTCCTCCTGAGGTGCTTCTGGACAGTTGAAATACGTCTTGAGCCTAAGCCAGGGAATCAGCTCTCATCTCGAGATGATTTGTGGTACACGGAGCATTCCTCGAGTTGCTGTGCTGAAGTTGGTGTTCCTCTAGACTTGGGACAGTGTTCTCGTGGCATCTCTGGAGTTGCCTGAAGGAAGTCGAGCCACCGGTCGTGTTGAATGGGGAACGGGGAATGGCTCTGGAGTCAATGCAGGGGAATCCGGCCTCATCTCGAGTTGATTTGGGGCACATGGAGCTGCTTTGCATTGCTGGGTGACCTCAGGGTCCGTCTAGACTGGTGACAGTGTTCTTGGGGACTGTCTCGAGATCCATTAACCAAGTCGAAGCTGCTGACTTGTTTGAATGGGATCACGGAATAACTCTGCATGCACTGCAGGGGAATGGGGCCACATCTCGCCTCTAGGGGGAAGTCTCACGGTTTTTCTCGATTTGCGGCGGGGACCTGGGGTATGTTCTCGACATACGGCGGGGATGGCCCTTCAAAACACGAGTTTCTCCAGTGACGTCAGGACTCCTGCCTAGTAACGAGGGACACCTCAGCAATCTCTTCGAGGCTTGGCAGGGCAAAAGGGACGCTTCTCGAGGTGAGGCAGGGCACCCAAGGACCCTTTCCAGAAGCCGCAGGGATTTTGGGATTCCTATCAGTATTCAAGAGGAGTCAGGCATCGTCACCTTTTGAAGCAATGAACTCTGCGTGCCTCTCGAGGTGTCAGCGGGATGTGAGGATTCCGTCAAAATGAGGCAGGGACCTAGGGCTTCCTCTAAGGTCTCCACAGGGGATTCAGACATCCCTTCAGGTTGTGAGATGAAAGACGAGCCTGTATTCAAGCCACTGCAAGGAAATCCGGCCTCCTTTCAAGTTAGGGCTTCTCGCTGTATATTCCCCTTGAGGCAGCAAACTCGGGGTCCCTCCCACATACCTATTGCTGAGAGAAGCCTCCTCCTGAGGTGCTTCTGGAAAGTTGGCATACGTCTTGAGCCTAAGCCAGGGAATCAGCTCTCATCTTGACACGATTTGGGGTACACAAAGCATTCCTCGAGTTGCTGTGCTGAAGTTGGTGGTACTCTAGACTTGGGACAGTGTTCTCGGGGCATCTCTGGAGTTGCCTGAAGGAAATTGAGCCACCGGTCGTGTTGAATGGGCAACAGGGAATGGCTCTGGAGTCAATGCAGGCGAATACGGCCTCATCTCGAGTTGATTTGGTGCACATGGAGCAGCTTTGCATTGCTGGGTGACCTCAGGATCCGTCTAGACTGGTGACAGTGTTCTTGGGGACTGTCTCGAGATCCATTAAGCAAGTCGAAGCTCCTGACTTGTTTGAATGGGATCACGGAATAGTTCTGCATGCACTGCAGGGGAATGGGGCCTCATCGCGCCTCTAGGGGGAAGTCTCATGGTTTTTCTCAAGTTGCGGCGGGGACCTGGGGTATGTTCTCGACTTACGGCGGGGATGGCCCTTCAAAACACGAGTTTCTTCAGTGACGTCAGGACTCCTGTCTAGTAATGAGGGACACTTCAGCAATCTCTTCGAGGCTTGGCAGGGCAAAAGGGACGCTTCTCGAGGTGAGGCAGGGCACCCAAGGACCCTTTCCAGTAGCCACAGGGATTTTGGGATTCCTATCAGTATTCAAGAGGAGTCAGGCATCGTCACCTTTTGAAGCAATGAACTCTGCGTGCCTCTCGAGGTGTCAGGGGGATGTGAGGTATTCCGTCAAAATGAGGCAGGGAACTAGGGCTTCCTCTAAGGACTCCACAGGGGATTCAGACATCCCTTCATGTTGTCAGATCAAAGACGAGCCTGTATTCAAGCCACTGCAAGGAAATCTGGCCTCCGTTCACATTAGGGCTTCTCCCTGTGTATTCCCCTTGAGTCAGCAAACTCGGGGTCCCTCCCACATACATATTGCTGAGAGAAGCCTCCTCCTGAGGTGCTTCTGGAAAGTTGGCATACGTCTTGAGCCTAAGCCAGGGAATCAGCTCTCATCTCGAGATGATTTGGGGTACACGGAGCATTCCTCGAGTTGCTGTGCTGAAGTTGGTGTTCCTCTAGACTTGGGACAGTGTTCTCGGGGCATCTCTGGAGTTGCCTGAAGGAAGGCGAGCCCCCGTTCGTGTTGAAGGGGGAACGGGAATGGCTCTGGAGTCAATGCAGGGGAATCGGGCCTCATCTCGAGTTGATTTGGGGCACATGGAGCTGCTTTGCGTTGCTGGGGTGACCTCAGGGTCCGTCTAGACTGGTGACAGTGTTCTTGGGGACTGTCTCGAGATCCATTAAGCAAGTCGAAGCTCCTGACTTGTTTGAATGGGATCACGGAATAGCTCTGCATGCACTGCAGGGGAATGGGGCTTCATCTCGCCTCTAGGGGGAAGTCTCATGGTTTTTCTCGAGTTGCGGCGGGGACCTGGGGTATGTTCTCGACTTACGGCTGGGATGGCCCTTCAAAACACGAGTTTCTTCCGTGACGTCAGGACTCCTGTCTAGTAATGAGGGACACCTCAGCAATCTCTTCGAGGCTTGGCAGGGCAAAAGGGACGCTTCTCGAGGTGAGCCAGGGCACCCAAGGACCCTTTCCAGTAGCCACAGGGATTTTGGGATTCCTATATGTATTCAAGAGGAGTCAGGCATCGTCACCTTTTCAAGCAATGAACTCTGCGTGCCTCTCGAGGTGTCAGGGGGATGTGAGGTATTCCGTCAAAATGAGGCAGGGACCTAGGGCTTCCTCTAAGGTCTCCACAGGGGATTCAGACATCCCTTCATGTTGTCAGATCAAAGACGAGCCTGTATTCCAGCCACTGCAAGGAAATCTGGCCTCCGTTCACATTAGGGCTTCTCCCTGTGTATTCCCCTTGAGGCAGCAAACTCGGGGTCCCTCCCACATACCTATTGCTGAGAGAAGCCTCCTCCTGAGGTGCTTCTGGACAGTTGAAATACGTCTTGAGCCTAAGCCAGGGAATCAGCTCTCATCTCGAGATGATTTGTGGTACACGGAGCATTCCTCGAGTTGCTGTGCTGAAGTTGGTGTTCCTCTAGACTTGGGACAGTGTTCTCGTGGCATCTCTGGAGTTGCCTGAAGGAAGTCGAGCCACCGGTCGTGTTGAATGGGGAACGGGGAATGGCTCTGGAGTCAATGCAGGGGAATCCGGCCTCATCTCGAGTTGATTTGGGGCACATGGAGCTGCTTTGCATTGCTGGGTGACCTCAGGGTCCGTCTAGACTGGTGACAGTGTTCTTGGGGACTGTCTTGAGATCCATTAACCAAGTCGAAGCTGCTGACTTGTTTGAATGGGATCACGGAATAACTCTGCATGCACTGCAGGGGAATGGGGCCACATCTCGCCTCTAGGGGGAAGTCTCACGGTTTTTCTCGATTTGCGGCGGGGACCTGGGGTATGTTCTCGACATACGGCGGGGATGGCCCTTCAAAACACGAGTTTCTCCAGTGACGTCAGGACTCCTGCCTAGTAACGAGGGACACCTCAGCAATCTCTTCGAGGCTTGGCAGGGCAAAAGGGACGCTTCTCGAGGTGAGGCAGGGCACCCAAGGACCCTTTCCAGAAGCCGCAGGGATTTTGGGATTCCTATCAGTATTCAAGAGGAGTCAGGCATCGTCACCTTTTGAAGCAATGAACTCTGCGTGCCTCTCGAGGTGTCAGCGGGATGTGAGGATTCCGTCAAAATGAGGCAGGGACCTAGGGCTTCCTCTAAGGTCTCCACAGGGGATTCAGACATCCCTTCAGGTTGTGAGATGAAAGACGAGCCTGTATTCAAGCCACTGCAAGGAAATCCGGCCTCCTTTCAAGTTAGGGCTTCTCGCTGTATATTCCCCTTGAGGCAGCAAACTCGGGGTCCCTCCCACATACCTATTGCTGAGAGAAGCCTCCTCCTGAGGTGCTTCTGGAAAGTTGGCATACGTCTTGAGCCTAAGCCAGGGAATCAGCTCTCATCTTGACACGATTTGGGGTACACAAAGCATTCCTCGAGTTGCTGTGCTGAAGTTGGTGGTACT